ATAGAAAGTATATGATTATGATAAATACTGATTTAAATAAACTTTTGAATATTCTTTGTAAACAAATCATTAAGTTATATTGAATGTATTTAACAATCATTAAACTAAACATCAGAATAATTAAATTTGAATAGAATAATCTTTTTCATAATTTAGGTTGAATATAAATAATTTTAGAAGAGATGTTCTTAGTTAAATTTCAAAAAATTATCTGATATTATCTAATTTCATTTTATTTTCTTATAGCAATTCTTATTATTAAATATACTATGAATGAGATCTAGAATAATAATGAAGGCAATATTTATAATTCTATATCATTAAGAAATAATTATAGTGTTTAAAATTTAAGAATTTTTTATTAAGAGATTAATTTTCAAAATTAAGATTAAGAATGAATATAATATTATATCTTTTTGTTAGAATGCTTGACTTTAAAATGTTTTTGATATATTTTATTAAGACTATTTTTTGGTAAATATTAAATACTATTTTTTAACAAAATTAGATTAATATCTCAGAAGATTTGATTTAGATTTTAATAAATAATATTTGTTCATAACCAAGTGGTCTAAATTATTAATCTTAGTTAATTATATATTATTTCTATATTTTATTTTAATCAATAATTAAACTATGCAGAGCTTTATGAAAATATGTATCATTTAATTTTATATCTCTTATTATATCTTATTTAATTAATTAGGATTACTGAAATATCAACAAGAGTGAGTTTTACGTATGAAATATTTATTATGATAAAAAATGATTAAATAATTATTAATTAATTAAGAATGCGTGGACCACGTTCAACGAGTCCTTGTCCTACAAAATAATAAGTTGAGAAACTAAAACTATTATAAACTGCGATTAAGAAAAGGACTTCAAAACCAGATTTTATAACTACCTACAGAATTCATATTATATTATCAAGTAAGAACATTTTTCAAAGCTTATAGTTGTAATTGGGTTTATAATCATCTCTATTTTATCGTTTACTAAATAAACAAAAGAATACATTATCATTAATGAGTCTGAAATCAAGTCACATAATTCATAAGGCCATTCATATACTTTAGGCCCAAATGCTTTTTTCTATGTTTTAATTATTATATTTACAATAGAATATCACATTAATGTAAGCAAAAACTTTATTTAAAAATGATTTCACTTAATAAATAAATGTAGAGAAATGCAAATTGTCTTTTATGGATGAAATTCCTTTATATTATAATTTCAAAGAAACCTATCCATAATGCAATCACATAGTTTATAATTAAGGAAATTGTTCATCATCTTATTCTATTGCTGTTTCTTCTTCATTCTCAGATAGAGTATGCAAATAAAACTAGACTTAATAATTGTCTGCTCAAAATTTATTATCATGTGATGGTAAATTAAATTTGGGTTGCAAAGGAGGACATTTAACAAGATCAGCTGATTATATTATAAAGCATGGATTAACAACTAATGAATGTCATCCTTTTAAAGGAGATGATACATTTAAAGAGTGTACAAATGCTCTTAATCATTGTTAAAGGTATAAAGCAGATTCATATTGTTAATTACAAAATAAAGAAGTATTAATATTTATATAATAGGATATCAAAAGAGATATCTTAGTAAAAGGACCAGTTGTTGCTATTATTCCAGTTTATAAAGATTTTTTAATATATAGAGATGGAATTTATTAAGTATTGGATGGATAACCTCATTTTCATGGTGGCTAAGCTGTGAAAATTATAGGATGGGGTGAATAAAATGGATAATAGTATTGGATAATTGAAAATACATGGGGAGATACTTGGGGAATTAATGGATTAGCTAAAATTGCAATTGATAGTTTTTCTGAAATGGCTTAGTAAGCATTATCGATAAATTATTGAGATAGTATATTAGTATTATAAGTTTATTAATATATTTGAAGTTAAAAATTATTTAAAATATGAATAGAACACCTTCTAATTCTTTGTATATGAGAAATTCACGAAATTCTTCTCATTCACCAATTCCTTAGTAAAAATTTGTAACTCCTGAGAAACTAGTAAGAGTTAGCGGAAGTTCTGGAGTTAAGATAAATTCAATTCAAAAGAATGGAACCAGAATTAGAAGTGAAGTTGTTGAGACTGTAAACAAAGTTAAAGAATAATAAAAGTTATAAGAATACATTTAGGAACTTGAAAATAGTATTAATGAGTTTAATAAGTTAGTTTAAATACCAAAGTAAAATGAAGAATAAGAATAATTAGAGAAGAGAATATTAAAACTATTATAACGAAATCATGATTTTGAATTAGAGATGGAATTAGTTAGATAAGAAAATGAACAATTAAAATAATTATTAATTGAATAATAGACTAAAATAATAGAACAAAATTAAGAAATTATGACATTAAAGGTTTTGAAGGATGGATTTAAAAAATATAGTTTTAGTGATTACTTCAAATAATAAAATTAATGAAATATGTATATATATATATTTTAATCACAAGGAAACAAAATTTCATAAATAAAATAATTTTGTTTCTAAGTAATAATTAGCATGTGTTTTGATAATTTCCCCAACTCTGTATGCAGCAGTATGGGCATTCTAAACACAAGCTGGTATTTTAACTGGTCCACACCAATTTCTGTAATTATAACATTAATAATATGTGAATTTCCAAAATAATTCTTCATTCCAATTTGTTGTATTTTCCAAAACTGTATAATGTGTGGGAGTAGCAGTTCCTTAATTAACTTATTATGCAATCAAGAAATAATCAAAATGAGATGAGACTACTCTATCTGCAACAATCAATCCATAATTATCTTTTGTATTTGAAAAGAATCTATCATTTATTCTCTTATTCACCATTATAAATGTAAATTATGGTAATTTTTAATTATATTTATTCTTAATAATTTCTTACATAGTTTCTACTTCCTCTTAATATAATTTATTTATTTGTGAATTACCTACTCCATCTCTAAATACTACAATTGTATCAGGTAACTTTTTATTATTAAAATTCTAATATTCTTTTAGACTTTATTCTAATAACATTGCAACATCTCTATTTATTTCTTTTCCTTTTTCTACAATTAAAGTTTTTGTGAAATTTCCATAACCTTATTAGCCAAATTAAGCATTAAATCCGACACAAGAATCATCTCCTTTAACGGTTTTATGATAAACATCAATTCCCACAATCATAATATTATCGGATATTTCGTTTATTTTTTAAATATTCCATGGTTATTTCCCTAATTTACTATGTATTTATAAGATTATCTTAGGAACTATTGCACAAAATTTTTTGTTCTGAATCAATTATAATGTGACATTTTAATGAGATACTCCTTCCTCTGCAATTAAATATTTTTTTAATTCTTAGTAAATTTGTTTATCCTTTTTTTGATCAATTAATGAAATTACTAATTTTGGCCTTCCATTCGCTTCAAAATTATTTTCAAGACAGGATACCCATTCTTGACTATTATAACTGTCAACAACTAAATGGGTAGGTTTTGATAAATTTAAACCATAATTTTGTCCTTTTTTAAGTAATTAATTTATAAGAGTGCCAGCAAGGTCTGAATCTTAATCATTATATATTACAACCCAATTGTTTAGATCTGTTTATTCATAAAACTTATCTTTTATTTCAAAGCATCCACCAGAATAACTTTTTATTTCTCCTTTACAATTTATTTCTGGTCTTCTTATTTCATATGCTTATGTTGTAGAATTAGATTTCAAGATTATACTTTATTTTTTCATTAATTGTTCCAATTCACTTCTCTCCTTGATAATCTTCTATTATCTATCTTATGGATCTACTATTACTATAGGTTTTAGAATTTTTTTGAGCTAATTATTATTTTTTTACTGATCTGTTAAACCAGTTTTCCACATTAATTCAGGTATTAATCTTATTTCCTATCCTTTTTTAGTGTAATGAACTAATAAGGGTTAGTATAAATCCTTTATCTTAATCTTATATCTTTACAAATAATATTAACAGTATGTAGTTTTTCCATCTTCCATGAAAGATTTCGGATTTCTAGAATAATCTATATCATGAATTCTATAGAATCTTTTTGAATACATAGCATATCCTGATGAGTCTATCAATTCCTGTTTTAATTTTTTTAATCTTTTCTCCTTTTACAATCCCTATCCAAAACCTGAAATAAAATCCAAAATTGTATTCGTATTTATTAATTTAGTGCTATAATCTATTTATAGTAAAGGAGTTGATTGACCATTACAAAATGCACTTCTGAACCCTTTTAAATAGGCAATGTGATAATCTTCGAGTTCCTAAGTATCATTCATTTTTGATTCATAAAATTTTCCTTTTCCAAACAACTCTTTCATTTTTCTAGATTCATAAATTTACTTAAGTATAGCATTGATAGCTTATTTTGTTACATTTATTGATTATTAATCATCAAACTAGGTAATCTATTTTAAATTAATTGTCTTAATATATTTAATATCTATTATCTTTTTTTATCCATCTACTACTTTTTCTATATGAATAGGATCTTTCTTTAAATCATAACTCCACAAGTTTGTTCCTGCTATACAAAACCTTTTGATTCCTTGTTTATTAATTTCATCTCTATATAAATTAAACCTCTCTTTAATTAACTTTTCTGAATCCAAAGGAACTTCAGGTTAAAAAGCAAAACTGTAAATTTGAAGAAATACATCCTTCAAGAATTGAATTTCAAAATGATTTGACTCAACAATTTTACTCCTAAAATCTTTGGTTAGATTCTCTCCTCTTTTAGGTCTTTTGGGCAATTCACAAATTGTATTATATTTCTATTACATTAAAATAATTATTACTTTTTCTGGAAAAGGGATTGAATTTTAAATACCAATGTGTACATTATTTAATTTTTGTATTTTTTTCTCCACTTTCTATTTTATGTACTATTTTAATAATCAATATAAATTTTTTATAAATAAATAATAAATTAGTTTTACGAGATTAAGAATTATAAGTATGTCTAGAATTTTGAGTGATTCTTTATTAGAATAAGCAAATCAAAAGAGTAATTTATCAATTAGATAAGCAAATCATGATTAAGAAGCATAAGAGATGTTTTCGTTATTAAATAAGTAATTATGATTGTTATAAAAGATTACATATTATATAAGGTGAATATGAAAGAGATATGGCTAAAATTTAAGCAGAAATTAATTAATTAGATAGAGGAGGAATGAAATTCTTAACTCCTGAATAAGTATAAAAGAAATATTATTTACAAAATTTAATGTCTTAAAGATAAGCAACTCATGGAAAAGAATAACAATTTTTAAAGAATCTATAAAATTATAGAGAATAATATATATTGAATGAAAAATTAATGAATACAAAGGGTATATCAAATTAAGAAATGTATAAAAAGAGAGAAGAAATTATGAAGATGAAATTATAATATGAGTAACTGTAGACAGAAAAAGCAAAAATATATAGAGAATAATAAAATCCAAATACATTATCTAGTGTTGGACTTTCAGTATTAATGGATGTTAGTAAAAACTAAAATTTTGATGCTGCTAAATAAAAATTAAATAAGGATGAAGCAAGATTATAATTTTTAAAAGCTAGATAAGCAGATGATATTTTACATCGAGATTTAGATGAAGTTATGAGTATTTGAATGTTTTCATTTTAGATAGTGGTCCAGGGGATAATACATCAAATGAAGTTAGATATTTATTGAAATAAAGTATTGGAAAAACTTAGAGAGAATAATTAGAACATTTATCAAAAATAAGATAATAATTAGAAGAATATAATAGAGGTAATACAAGATTAGTATTACCATTTGAATAAATTAATGATAATAAAAAAATAGTAAATGATTAAGATAGTTATTTAAATGAGATAGATTAATTGAGAAAAGATTATGTTAAAGCTGGAGGAGTAGATCCTAATTTTTTATTAAATCTAACCTAATTAGAAAGAAGTATAAATAGAAAAGCAAATGGTTCTCAATATGATGTTTCTACATAACCTTAATATATACATATCCCATAAAATCAAAGGAATACAGTATATTAATAACCAATGGCCCCTAATATATCTTATTCATAACCTAATCTACATCGTCCATAATAAGGTTTTCATTAATAAGATAGTTTAATTAATACAAATTCCTTATCAACTCATCCAATCTATTAATATTTACCATAATCATTTAGGGAAGAATTAAATAAATTATAATTATAAACTCAACCTATGAAATTGGAAGAAAAAAAGAAAATTGATCCTAATAATGCAGATGATATGACTTTAGAGTATTTAAGAAATTAAGAAGCTGAACTATTATTGATGATGAATAGATTAGATCCAAGATCTGTTGATCATTAAAGATTAATGGATAATTATAAAGAATTATAAAAGTTAAGAAATTTAATAGAAAAGGCTATCTTTGATAAAAGAGTTTCTGAAGCAATTAATAAAGACAAAGAGTATAGAAAAAAACTAATTAAATAATAAGTTAATTTATTTGATAGATCAAATAGAGCAGTACATTATGCAGCAAGTGAAGGATTTGTACTATTTTTTGATTATGCATCTATGGTTGAAATTCAATTCCATACTTTAAGAATAAATTATGGAATATTTAGAAAAGGTTCAGATATGTATCCATATAAATAAACTAAAGATTCACTTACTGCTTTTGAAACTTATAGAACAAATAAAGCAGTATTCTTTGATAGAGATGTAATTAGAGATTTAGAAGCTTATCCAGATACATATGTATTTGTTGAATTATGGGGATATTAATCAAATATACCAGAAGTAATTGGATGGTCAATGATCAGATTATTTTAAGATGAAGGTAAATTACTAATAGGAAGATTTAGAATTCCATTTTACAGTTAAAAATTAAATCCAAATTTCTTATTTACTTAAGCATTACCATATGTTAATAATACTTTAGTTTATGGTAGAATTTGTCTTCCTGGAGATCCAATTTTAGATTCCAATGATATCATAGTAATAGAAAGTGAATATGATATGCCTGATATGCATATACATACAACAGCACATGCAGCATCTCTTGCTGAAATTTAAGATGTCTATTTAAATGAAGCTAAAAGATTTGAGAAAAAGAAAGATATTCCACCTGTTGATTTAGGTTTATCAAATTAAACTTTTAAATAAAATATCTCATAATTATCCTATACTAATTAATCGGCTGATAGTCCTGTTACAAAAAGTGGAGGAGCAACTTCAAAAATGAAAAATAGATTCTCAAATAGAGGATCTAAAAATTAATCTAAAAATACAACTCCAACTCCTGGATCATAAACAAATAGATAAAAAAGTTAATTTGGAGATGCTAAATTAACATTTAGATTAGTTAAATTAGCTAAATTACCTACTAATGAATACAAAACTGCTCCTATTAAATTAAAATTAGGTGTATTTAATGGTTCGAAAATTTTAGAAGATTTTGAATAATAACCTTAGATGGCTGTTTTATAATTAGAACCTATAAAAACAAATGGTGAAAAAGAAATTGAATTTAAAACAAAACATGAATTTACATTATCACTTGATTGGTTATACAATTATAGAGGAGATGATGTTATGTTATTTATGGGTTTATTTATTAATTAAAAGGATTTATTTGGTTGGTTAGCTACTCCATTATTTTATCTTGATAATGCATAAAATGATTATAAAATGAAATTAGGAGCTTATTAATGTAATTTATTAGCTCCACCAGGTTAATCACCTCCTTTTAATCCAGAAACAATGAAAAAATAAGAAATTGAAGTAGATTTTATTATTATGACAACTGAATAAAAAGCTAATTAATTACCATTATATGATACATATGTTAGTTTAAGTAATTAATCTAAATTAGATTAATCAAAAATGTCAAATCTTAATAAATCTAGTAGATCATAAGGACCAATTCCAAGTATTTTTAATAAATCTCAAGATAAATCAGGTGATTAAAGTTATGCTTAAAAAGTAGTCATATTACTTGAAATGCTTAATGGAGTAATTAGAGATGATGAATATATAGTAGATGTAGCTATATGTTGCAAAGATAAAATAGTATATGATGTGAATGATGAACCATGTAAATATAAAATAGATTAAACATTTGAAAGTTAAAAAGGAGCAATATTATTTGAAGATGAAAAAATTGAATTTGAAATTGATTTTAATAGTGAAAAGAATTAAGGAATTACTAAATAAGCTTGTTAATTATTATTGTATTTCTCTACTAAAAAAGATAAAGTCACATGGTTTGTACATGATTTAATTAAGTATGGTAGATATTCTTTACCTACTTTAAATCTACCATTTTAAAAACCTCCTATTGATAAAACAAAACTCTAAAATCATGCTCTTATGACATTAGCATTTGATTTGAAGCCAATATAATGATTTAATTTTTATTAATTTATAAATTTATATTATTTAGAATCATTACTTTAAGCATTTATTTCTGAATAAAGATATTTATATAAAATTAATGATTAAAAATATAATCAAAATATAATAAAAATCAAAAAAACTGCACACAGTGAGATTTGAACTCACGCGAGAATGACTCACCGCATCTTGAGTGCGGCCCCTTAGACCACTCGGGCATGTGTGCTATATTGAAAAGTTTTAGGTAACAATTATTATATTCTAGTCAATTTATAAAGTTAGTATATATATACCAATAAATTATATTGATTATGTAAATTTAATTATATTTTTAGATTAATATAAATTATTAGAATAAATTCATTATCTATATTCTTATGTAATTTTAATTAATTTAGATGAGAAATTTATGTTTATATAATTTGATTATATAATGATTCAAAATTATTAGTAATAATTAATAGAGAATATTCTTTAATTAATTTCTATAATTTATTATAATAAAAAAACACGTCAATCATGATCAACGATTTTAACAGTTGGTACAAAACATAGCCTCTTTTTACAAGAACATATGTGAGTGTTTTAGTCTTATTTGGAATAATAGGAAAATTCAAGCCATCTTATTTGTGGTATTTAATGTTTGATGCTAATAAAATATTTAGTCTTTAAGTATTTATTATTATCAAATATTATATAGATACATAGACTAATTACTCATTACTTTTTTAGTGGTATATTAAGTTTTAGTTTTATCCTTCATTTATTGTTTGTAATCTTTTGTATAAAAAATTGTGAAATAATGTTTGAAGGATCTAACTATGCAGATTTCTATTATATGATACTTTACTTTTTTATAACAGGAGATGTAATTCATATAGATTATTTAGATAATGAGTTGGTTATTTGATTATGGATTTTTATCAGCAGCATTTTGTTTTGCATTAATATATGTTTGGTGTAAGAGAAAACCATTTGAAACTGTGAGATTTTACTTTGGATTTTAATTTAAGAGTGAATATTTTCCATGGGTTTTGATTGCTTTTCATGCTATTACAGATTAAGACATAGTTTAAGATCTTATAGGTTTAGGAATAGCACATTCATATTTATTATTAAAAGATTTTCTACCAGTCACTCATAGCATTGCTTTATTGGAAACACCTTAATTTTTGTATGAATTTTATTATTTAAATTATTAGTAAGAACTTTATAAATAAACATATTGTGAAATATGCACCTTTTGCAAGAAATAGATTTAATTAATAATAATTCTAACAACCTTAAAGATAGAATTTCTTTTAAGGATAAGGTATACGTTTAGGTTGATAAATAAATATTTGAGTATAAATATATATATATATAATTCATTATTAACCAAGGATTTTTCCAAACCAATTTTTAGTAAGTAAATTTAATATTTTTTCTGGAATAAATTTTCTTTTCTATTATTTTTCAATATTTGATTCAATTTAAGTAATACCTAAATATGGATCTTTATCAAAATAATGATTCTATTAAAAATGTTATATAATTAAATTTTGTTTTTTCAATTTTTTTAATTCTTAATAATAAGAAGAAAACATTGTATCTCTAAAAAATGGCATTAATTTTTCTAATTCATTCATTTTTATTATTTTAAATTAATAAAATTATAATGTTCCAACTATAAAATTTTAGATAAAGGCTTCTCCATATAATAAAAACATTTCTAATATTAATCTTGCAAACTTCTTTTCTTATTTTTACATTAACATTGTAAAATAATATTAACTAAAACATTAACATAAGTTATCCTATATAAATGAACATTTTCATACTATATTATTACTTTACAAATGTAATAGTATTTCATTACATCTATTTTAAATCATTTATTCTAATTATTTAATTCTTCTATGAATGCCAGGTACTCCTGATATAAATAGATCTTCCATTGATTTCATTAAATGAACAAACATCCAAAACATTTCTTCTTCATCTTCTATTACTTCAAAATTATCCAATTCCAACTCTCTATCATTTCCATCAATACTTAATAAGAGAATAATATTTCCACAAATAACATTCATTCCTTATGTATAACCTATTTTTGGATTATATATTGCATATGCTCTTAGAATTCTATGTAGTAGATTAATATATTTATTGTTATTCATTTTATCATCATATCCAGTTCTATTAATATCTTTTTTTATTTATTATTCCACTTATTAAGGAGGTTATTTAGAAAAATACTTTTTTGCATCTCCTTTTTCTATAAATGTCATCCAAATAGCTTTTCGTCTAAATAGTAATAGATATCTTACTACAAATATTTGATCCCTCTTTATTATATTAATGTAGCAGCTAATTATAATTTTTGATCATCTCCAAAATTCTATTTTTTGTTTAGTTTAATTAATTAATCATTATTAAACAAAAGTATTGGTATATTTTTTTATTCTAATTTATATATAAATTATACATTTTTCTAACATCTCAAATTCATCATCTCCTTAATAATTTATGATTTAATCATCTATTTATTTTTTTACATCTAATGCAATAAAATTAGATTTAAATATAGAATTAGAAAGCTAAGAATCAAATGATCCTCTTCTTTCTTATTTAGTTGATTATTTCATTATATGTTTTTTAATTTTATTATTCAATAGTTATTATACCTTTATAGAATTATAAAATATAACATAAACATTACTATCTATAAAAAGATTATAATTAAAATACTATTATTATGATTTGCAACTTATTTCAAAGAAACATATTAAATTATATATTTAAAATGAATTTATGTGATAATTCAGGATGGGATATTGAAGAATAATGTTATTTAGATACACTATTTACAGGTTATTTACCTAAATTAGAAAAAAGAATATCAGAAAATAGTAGTCATAGAATAAGAACTTTATCATAACCAAAATAATTTAATCACTCTATTAACTCTCTTCATCATCATAGACCTACATAAAGTTAAGCATTTTAAATGAGTTCTTATAGTGCCAATTTTTACACTCCATCTACTACTAAAACTAGAATTAGATTCAAATTCACTCCTTCATTAACACAAGATGAATAATCAAAATAAAAAAATAATTCATAATCTCCAATTAAAAAGAAACCAAAATATACTATTATAAATATGAGTTAATTACTATCAGTCACCCCTAAAGTTAAAATACATTAAGATTCATTGAATAAAGTGCTTGAGAGATTTTCCAATAAAAAAAGATGAAACATACAACTATTATAATATTTAATGAACTCTTTTTTGTTTTTATTGTCTTTAGTATTTCTTCATATTAATAAATTATAACAATACAAATTTCGATATATATATATATATATATATGCATCATTTTAATGTAACTTAATTAATTAATATTTATATCAAATAAATTTCATGCCTAAATAAGTTTAGTAAAAATAAGCAGGAGGAAAATTTGTATCAACAGGAGATCCAGTTGCAGATGATAGAAATTGGATTGGAAGAGTTAACAATGAATTAACATGTACAGCTGCTTGGAATAGAGATTGGGGATTCTTAGCAGGCAATTCAGAAAATCTTAAATTAGAGGATGCTACTAAACCTTATAATATTGATGAATAAATTAAAAATCTCTAATAAGTATTTCTAATTAATATAATCAAAAGGAAATTGAAAAAATTTAAGTTGACCCTAATAAAATTACAATTAATAGAACCTATGGTAAAGGAGAGGCTTTAGAAAAGTTTTAGACTGATTAAAATAATAAAACAAGAAACAAAGATCTTAAACCTTAAGATAGAAAAATTCCAAAAACATGGAAATATCAAAAAGGATGGAAACCAGAACCTGATCCATACGATCCAATCTAAAATATGTTTAAAAGTAATAAAAAAAAATGAACTATATGTTCAAATTTACAATATTATCAATTTTAAAATGATGATTATAAATGGAATAATCCAACTCCTATATATTCTTCTATTTATAATTATTTACATTTTAGAAATTAATATTCTCTCTTAATTTATACAATTCCAATATTCAAGTTCATTTAATATAACAATAGCAGTTAAAAATAGTTCTTACTATAATATTGTTATACTATTAAATTATAATTTATTATTATATTTAAATATCATCTAAATACTATGTTTCTATTTATCTATTGTATTTGAACATTAGTATCAAGAACTAAAGATTTAATCATATAATCTTTTTAATAATAAGAGAAACAAAGAATTTAATAGAAATTATAGATTTTTTTATTTATTTTAGTGATGTCCCTTTTTATATTGCTAATACTTTATGGTTTTTCTATAATTATGAATTACATAGGTTGATAAATTATGTATTTGAATAATATGTTAATTTAAAAATTGAGTTTTAAAAGAATGATCATAGTTATTTTGAGTAGGATTTGTTCATATTTATAATAGTATGGAATTAACAAATAATATTGTGAATTAAGATTAGATATTAGTTCAAAAAATAAAAAGACAGGACAAAGCTGGTATAGAAATATTGAAAGGAGTAAAGAAACACAAAATTACATTTGTTGATGAAATAGAGAAAGGGAAAGATGTTCAAACTGTTATTGAAGTAGAATGCTGGAAAAAATATAATTATGTATCTCCTGATACTGAAGTAGCAGATGAATGCTGTTCGCTTATTTGATTGCAAATATTAATTGTTATTTAATTTCCTTATGAATTGAGTATCGATCATTTTCAAATATTAAATATAGTCTTTTTATTTTCATTTTATAATGGCATAATATATCATATTATAATGTTAACAAATATCAAATGAGTTAATATAATTAATTATTCAAACACTATCATCTAGATTTGGATAGATAACAACAACATAAGATTTATCAAAAAGTAACATACATTTTAGATTACAACTCCAATCTATTTTAAAACATGAAAGTTCTTATCAAATTGTATATCACAAACATATTTACATGTTGGATTCCAAAAGAATATATTACTACTTCTAGTACAAACTGTTAGAATTGTAAAATTCTTAGACCAAATAAAAGATTTAACAGATAATATTTAATCCATTATAGCTTTTAAGGTCAATAATCTAAATGAATACACAATTTTACATTCCATAAAATTTAGTGGTCTTTATAACTCCATTCTAATAAACTATTTTCATTTTGTATCTTTGATAAATTTATTTTACAACCCTACTCTATTTAAGTAACTATTATTATTCTATTAGATTTAATCACTACTTTCTATGAATATTAATCAGAATATTCTTCTTCTTTATAACTAAGAAGATCTTTTGTAATTTTATGTTCTAAATCTATTATTCATTTAAGTGTTAATAGATTAATGTTCAAATTCATTTATAATCCTTAACATTTAACATATAGATTCAAAAAAACTAAAATATTATTATTTAATTGATTATATTCAATTCAGTATCTTATTAATATTAAATTATATAATCCAATAAATTAATCATTATTTAAAGTATCAGATAATTGATTATTTAATAGTTTCCAATCTCTTATACTATAAATAACAATAAAATCTTTAGCATCTCTTCTTTCACTCATAACCATATGGTATTTATTTTGGAAATTTTAAATAAGTAACATTTTTATAAGAGTATTATCTTTAATTAATTTGAAATCATATTATATAAATCTATTCCTATAAATTATAATAAACTAATATATTTAGTTTTGATAGATAATTACTTAAAATTCACTAATTATTACTAATTAAATAGAAACTGGACATAAAAATTAAATTATTTTATTATTAATATTATTATTAACTATATAAAAATTATACATATTTTATGAGAAAATACTTTATTATTTTATGTTTATACATAATTTAACAAATATTTATGATATTAATTGATTATTACTCACTTTTTTATTTCAATTATATAATCATTTGCTTTTTATAATAATTATAGTTATTTTATTCATTTTTTTAAATAATAAGAGTTTCTTATTTATTGTAATAAATATTGTTATATTTTAATGCAAAATATGATCATCAACCATGATTTTAATATTATTTAAATTTCTCTCTCTTTTCATATTATTATAAAATACTGCTACTAGATGAAAAAGATAAAAATGATGATGATCTTGAACTTGAACTTGATTAATTTTTCATTTATTCTTAATTTAGGCTCTAATTTTTTTCATATTAATAATACTTGCTTATTACCAATATCATTGTTTTAAGCCTCATCATCACTAATAATTATGAATGTTCTTTTTATAAATCTTTCCAATGCTTCTTATGTAACTTTAATCTTTTTTTAACATTTCAAAGGACTTTTCTTTTCAATAATCTCTATTGATGAATCTGATTGATTTAATTTATTTTCTTTTAATTGTTAAATTTATTTTTTAGTTAATTTTTTAAGTTTAGCTTTATTTTCTGTAAGAATTTAATCAGTAACTACTGCTAGAACACCTTCATTTGACATCATTCGTTTTCTTTTTTCTTTCATCATTTTTTATTTAATTAGAATTTAATTAAATATTATAGTTTTATTTTTTAATTTTCATATTGAATAGTATAGATGGATGTATTTATAATTATAAAAATAATAATTAACATATTATCAATTCAATAAAATCTCATTTATAAATAGAAGCCAAAGATTTAAAACTATCTTTAGTAAAATATCTAATTGTTTTCTAAAAATTTGATTAACTTACATATTATCTTGAATTCATAAAAAGGTTTTTGTTATTTTTTAATTCGAATGCTTTAGGAGAACATTAAGTTAATTCAGTTTTGATTCTTTAAGATGGAATTGAAGATTATCTCTAACTATAATTATAAAGTTTTGTTTAAGATAACTGTAATAATTGATTAGTAGTTCTAGAAACTGATTTATATTTATTGATTTATGATTTATTTTCTATGATATAACATTTTTTTAGATTTTAGATATGAGATTAAAATTTATTTTTTATTTATTTTAATTTTGGATTAGTTTTTATTATTTATCTTTTCAAAAACTCATTATTATTAAAAAAGCTGAAGTATGGATCATTTTAATGTTTCTATTAAAATTGACTTTATTAACCACATTCCAAACATCTACAACTGTTTCTTCTTATCTTTTATGATTCAATTCTATTATATAGAGATCTACTTTTATTGATAAAATTTATGGTTTTTTTATTCCTATTTTGAAGAATTTTTAGACTTTATATTACAGTTTTGCATTTTGTTAAATCTTAAAGGCCACTTCTAAATTTCCTTATGACAGTATCTTCAGCTATTTATGTTTGTCTTCTATAGGTTTCTTTTGTCTCTTTTTCTTAAGTGAATTATTTGGTTTTGAATTCAGGTAAAATATTGTGGTTTTGATTTTAAAATTAATTCATGTATCCAAAAAAAGAAGAATAACAACTCTTTCTTCTAGTTAAACCTCTTTGTTATTAAAATATCTCATTAGAAAGTTTTATAATCTAAAAACTTCTAGATTTAAAGGTTTTTGTTTAAACAATTTCACATTTTATAGTGTAGTCTTTCTTACTTATATATCTTCTATTCATTCTAATTAATAATGATTGAATGGCTAAAACGAAATACAATATCAAATAAATAATAAATATTAAAATTTTAATAATAGTCATCTTTAATTCAAGATATTAGATTAATACTATTTAATTTAGGAGTAAATTTAAAAAGTTGAACTTCATTTGATACTTATCTGTTCTTACTATATGATGATTTAACAATAGGAAGATTTAATTTTTTATTTGCTATATTTGGACTGTTGCTTTCAGATTTCATTGTAAATTCTCTGCTGTTTGAATTAGTTTTCAAGAAGAAAGTAGTCTTACAAGCATCTCTAAGGAATATCTTTCTTCCACTTGTTTATTAAACCTTTTAGATTTATTTATTAGGTGTATTGTTTATTATAAATGATCTTCTAAATGATGTAATTTGATTAGGTTAGAGTGGATTATTTTCATCTTCTTCAATTTCTTATTCTTATTTTCTTTCTATTGGACTAATTCCTTTAAACATTTAATCTAGATTTCTTTTAATTCTAAAATTAGTATGTCTGGATTTAATTATTTATTAGGTATAAATTAACTTTGCTTATGATTAAAATTTTGTAATATTTCCACATTCATCACAATAACAGCTATTTGATCTTTATTTTTGATAGAAATTGTTTGAATTAGTTTATATAAGACTAATATTATTGTTTTTAGAATTATGTTATTTGATTTGTATTGTTTTAGTGTTTCTTTTATGAATTTAATTATTTGCAATAATGGTATCTTGAGAATCTATATATGTTGATTCAATACTCTAATATTTCTTATGTTAATTTGTTGAAAAATGTAAAATTTATGATTATAAATTCATAAACTTAAATTATAGAGAGCTAAGTTATCCACATTACAAACAACTGCAACTTTTTCTTCTTTATTTACATTATTCAGTTATTTGATGATTTGTAATATGAATATAACTTTTGTTCCTCCGTTTAATTTATTTTTGATTGTTTGATGAAGACATAATGAATTCTTAGTTTATTTAATAAATTATATAAACTTTTAATTACTTTTTTAAAATAAAATATATATATTTATTAAAAAATAAATATGAATAAGAAAAAATAAATTAAAGAAATGAATTATAATCAAAAAATACCAGATTTTTAATTATGTTTTTTAAAGTATTCTTTTTATTGATTTGTAATTATACTTTTTTTTGTATTTTTTTAAGGAGGACTTCTGTTTTAATTAAATTATAAATAAGGTAATATTTATTTTTTATTTTCTAAAGGTGAATGTATATCATATTTAGTTTTAGTATTTGTTTCAAATAAATTTAATGATTATTGATGACGTAAAACTCTTTATGTTTAAGGTTATTTTACTTGAAACTTTTTTAATAATGGATTTTCATTTTTTGAATTATTAAGATCTATTTCAAGTATTCTTTTCTTTAAATATCTAAACTCTCCATTTTTAACAGGTGAAAATTATTCTGTATTTTACTTTCTAAATTATGGTCTTTTTAAAATCTTTTTAATTCTAAATTGATTTGCCAGTATTTATTATTTAAACAAATGCAAATTTTAATATTTTTATTAGAAAGTACTCTATATTCCACATTCATTACATTCACAACTTTTTCTATTCCTATCTCTTAAATAATTATTAATAAAATTTGTATTAATCAAATCTATAGATTTACTCCTATTATTATTTTATTAATTAATGTAATCTCTAAATAATCTATGATCTGTAATAAGTTTTTATTTTTCAAGTTCTTATTGTTTTTCAATATCTTATTGAAGAATTAAAGATTTATTAATATGATTAACACAAGAGGAAACATTCATATAAGTATATTGAAAGAGACTCATTTTACCACATAATTAACAATAACAACTTTTTCTTCTATGTTATTTTTTATATATATGTGAAGTTCGTTCTTCTTCAAATGAATAATCCTTAAAACTAGGACCTTTCCAAATATCTGTATTTTATTTTTGTTTTCTGACAAATGGTAAATCCAATTATTACATATAAAAATATAATTATTATAAAGAACTAAAAGATAAATATTATTATAATATCATTATGTTTTATATCTGTTGTGTTTATGTATTTGAGGTGGTTTTATTTTTGTAAAACTTAAAAGTTTTTTAGTAAACCCAATAAGAAGTGGACATAAAAGTTTAGGATTATTGCGTAGTTTGATTTTTGTATTTGTTGATCTTTCAGTTTATGGAATTCGTTCAATAATTAATTATTAAGATTTAAGTACAAGTGGAGTATGTCCATCATGAGAATGAAAAACACTTGGTCTAAAAGCTTTATTTTTCATAGCAGTTTCTTCCAATAATTTTTAGGTTGTACTAATTGAAGATCTTGCAAATGAAGAATCATATATCATTAATGGAGATCTTTGTTCTTCAGATCTTTCATTTAATAATGATTTTCTACTTATACGAAATGAACTCTAACTTTTGCGAATATGTTAAATATCTTAATAATGATTAAAAAATACTTGGAAGCTAAATAGAGAATTTATTTTAGCTTGGCCAATGTTCTGTTGATGTATGTAAAGTATAACTCTGATTTCTTTTTTGTAGTAATTGATGCTTAAGATTCATAAATTTGTATTAAAATTTACTCATTCTACCACATTCATTACAATAACAACTCTTTCTTCTTATCTTTTATTTATTACACTGTTCCAATGCATTATTTGTAAAGAGATCACTAAATGAATGTCTATGTTTTTATTGAATTGTCTTAGTAAATTTAAAATGACAGGAATCTCTGGATGTATGAAGGGAATAAGTAAATACAGATTGAGTTTTCATAATAAGTATTAAATAATCTAAAAATTTGATTTGACTTAAATATTTAGATACATTAATAAAATTCCACAATAAAAACAATAATCATTCACAACGTCTAATTACTTTTATAAAACTTATTCTATTATTATTCAATTCTTATGTTTATCAAATAAAAATATTTTTATCATTTCTTTAAACTATAAACAATATATTAAAATGGAATAAAAAATTCTTAAATAAATAATTAAATTAAGTTCTGAAATTTTACATATACTAAAGATCAGATAATAGATTTAACTATTTCTATAATGTTCTAATAAATTTAATATATATATATAATAATAAATTTAACCATATATAATACTTATATTATAACATTCCTATTATAATTATATATATTATATTTGATTCCAATTAATTCAATTTATTATTCTTTCTTATTATATTTATAAATTTTGAATAAATAAATTATCAAATTTCATCAAAACTCTCCTAAATCTTTTCGTTCTTTATGTTTCATATGTTTAATAAAAGTTGAAAAGATATCTTTATCTGCTTTGATATATTCACATTGATCATCTTATTTCTCCAATAATTTACATTCTTTAGCGAATTCTTAATATTAATATAATTGATATACTTTTTCCACAGTTCTTTTTAATGAAATCTAATCTATCATGAACTTTCTTTTGATCTTCTGTTTTTAAACAATGAATATTAATTAGAGCAACATCTTAATTACGATCTCCTTTGGGTATAAATTTTAAACATGTCAAATGATACCAATGTTTTTTGTCATATCCAAATCCTGGTGCCACAAAAACATGTCCAAATCTAATTTCATTTTTAGTAATATTTTAAAAGCATCCTGTACATCTAGCTCTATTTGATAAAGCATATCCAACCTCCAAATATTATTGCATTTTAATTGATGTAATAAACAATAGGCATAGTAATTATATTAATAAAAATCATTATAATAATTATATATCATATAATTAATTATTCAATTTATTATTATTAAACATTCTTATTCTCATAAAATGTTAATTTTAATATTACATATTATATTAATACTCAAAACATCAAATAATTGAATATATTTATATAAATAATTTTATTGTTAATCTCAATATCTAATAGAATGTAGAATCTCTAAGAGTATAATAAGATTTTTTAAATGAATAAATAGGTTGCTAATTAAATAAATCATTTTCCCTTTCATTATTAACAGATGTTGATTTGAATATTTATAAATATGATTATAAATTTATTAATAAGTATATTAGAAATATATTAAAAATGATTATTCTAATAAAAATTACTAAAAAACAATGGAAAAATATTAATATTTAATTAGAATGTTATAAAAGTTTATTTAAATTATAAGTATTCATAAATAATAAATAATAAATAATAAACTTATATGAAACAAGATTAATATATACAGCTTTTAAGAGATTCATAAGCAATTAAATTAAGGGATGAATTAACTTAATTATAATCAAAAGCTCATGATTATGTTATATAATAAATGAAACTTTTAGAATCCAAATATAAATAATAATTGTTATTAATAGTTGAATAGCATTAAGAATGTAAGTTGATTTGTGAATAACTCAGATTTAAAAATGAGTAATATTCTAAACTCTTATTAGAATAAGAATTTAAATGTATTTAGACAAAAAATTATGTAAGTCTTGAAATTGTTAATTAACTTTTAACCTAAAAGATAAATTCCCTATTATTACAACTTAAAAATCATAATATCATTTCTGAATCTGAATATTTCAATTAAAAAAATATGCTTTAAAAAAATATTGCAGAAGTGTTTCTTAATTCTGATGAACAACATCAATCAGTATTCACTATACCAAATAATTAAAATTCAAAGCCATTCTAAATAACTTAATAAACATTTAAATAAGAAATTCAAAGTTAAATAAATAATTATAATTAAGTTCAATTTAATTAATATAATTCTATTGCTACATAAACAGAACTAATAAAAAAGAAAAAAGTAAAATCTATGAAATAGTCAAATTAGACAAATGAATTAAAGTAAAGTCTTCCTATAGATTTATCCAAAGAATTACTGGAATGTAAGAAATCTATTTAAGAATTATAATAAAGTAAGATTGATTTATAAATTACAAATGAAAAGTTAAAATCATAAAATCAAAATCTCTTAACCAGATTAAATTAGAAATTAAATACTTAAATCAAATCTAATGATGTAAATAAGAAAAATACATATACACCACATATAATCAAAAAGTTTCTAAAATTTGATGATATACTTTTTAAAAATGTAAGACCATTTTCGATGGCTTAAAGTTTTGATTTGAGATAAGGAAATTTAAGTAGTCGATAATTCTTTACAAGACCAAATACTTCAGCTCCAAATACTACTAGAAATAGATTCAATTAAACTTAGCAACCATCATGTTTAGGTCATCATATTATATAATGATTATATTTATGAATATATTTAAATTCTAATTATTATTTATATCATTTTTAATTATAAAATAATACTTATAATCAAAAATAAAGTCTTGAATTTTTTGTAATTATTCTTAAGGAGGAAATTAATAAAATTAAAAATAATTATAAAATTGATATAAAAACACTTTTGTTCATACAATAATCAACAGTGTTGTAATTTATTAATTAATAATTCAAATATATCATATTATATTTAATTTATGCAAACTAAGAATATGGATATAAAATTAGTTAAAAAATTTAATTAGTAATATTAGATATATATTATTCTTGAAGTATGCCCTTATGAAATTATTTCTAATAATAAAAATGAAATCTTGTATAGTATAAAAACTATTAAAAATAAAAAGAGCAAATCATTAATTCTATTTAGACAATGTTTCGATCTGATATTTGATAGTAAAATAAAAAATTATCATATTTCCACTAAATACTTAAACATTTTTATAAATCAATAAAAACTGAAGAATAAATGTACTACATTAACATAATTTAGATCACAATATGTTATTTCTATAATAATCTATTGAAAATATTAATAGATTAAATTGAATTAAATCAATACTCTTATTAGCTCATTAACCTTCATTTATAATCCCAATAGTTTTAAGTATGATAAATAGTTATTGGTTACCTCCAGTTTTATAATGTATGTCTTAATCTATTGATGGAGATTAGTAATAATAATAAAACATCTAAGAAAATATAGATTAATATCAAAGTAACAATTAAGTAAATCAATTTCGATGATTTATTTGGAAATGATATTTAAGTAATTGATTCAGATGGTGAAAAATGATAATTTTATGATCGTTAATCTTTTATTTTAAATATAAATATATTTTATGTCTTTATCTTAAGATGATGAATTACTAGAATTACATTCAAGATATGACAATCTTCAAAAACTAAATCAAAATATTGCCTTTGAAAATTAGAAATTATAAAATGAAATGAAAACTATGAAGTAGGTATATTGTCTAATCATAATTCTAGACTTTATTTTAATTTGAAACAGAAAATAATGAATTAAATGATCAAATTGAAAATCTTAAGAATGATCTAAGAACTTAATTTACTATTAGTTAGAATTTAAGATAAGAAAATGAATTTTTTGAAAATTAAATACATGAATGTAGAAAACAAATTGATTCTGCTGCTTCATATTATAACTAAATTATTGAGGAAAACGATCTTCATATTTCTTAAATGCAACATAAAATATAATAAAATGAATATCTAACATAAGAAAATCATTTATATAAAGAACAACTTCATTCTTTATAAGAAGAAAATGAATAATTAGTATAAGAAATAACTAATTTATAAGAATCACTTAATAATCATGAACCTTATCCTTAGGATATTAAAAATCTATAAAATTCAGATTAAAATAAACATATATAGAAATAAAATAAAAAGAAAATTAAGGAATTAGAAAGATTAATTATTAAAAAAGAATAAGAAATAAGTTAATTGTATTAAAAAATAGAAGATCTAAAAAATTATATTTAATAAATGAAATATTAATCAGAAAAATATGAATAGAATCTTTCTTACTTATATAATGATTATTAATAAATTGAAATAGAAAGAAATAAATTAGCTTCTAAAATTGATTCAATTTAAAATTCAAATGAAAGATTTTCTACTTTATAACAATAATTGTCTACATCTGAGAAAAATAAGAATAAAGAATATTAATAAATGAAAATTTAATATGATCAATTACAAATGCAGAATTTACAATATCAATAATAAATTTAAGTTATAAATGAAGAAATTACTATTCTCACATAAAAGTATAATGATTTATAGGAATTAAATAATTAATATTTATAAGAATCTTAACATGAAAAAAATTAATTAATTGAAAAGGACTCTTTAATAGATAAATTATAATAATAATAATAGATTAAGGATTTATAAATATAATAATAAATTAAAGAATTTAATTAATAATTAAAAGAATTATAATAAAATAAATCTGATCAATAAACTTAAATTATTTAATTATTAAAAGAAAATCAAATATAGAATAGTCAATTAAATTAGATTAAAGATTTATAATCTAAAGAATTGAAAGATAATTTAAATTAAATAGAATCATTAAAAAAAGAAAGATAAAATCTTAATGATCTTATTAAAATTAAAGATGATAAATATATAGATTTAGAAATGAAATTAAAAAATTCAGAAAATTTAATTAAATAAATTTAAGAAGACAGAATTTATTTAGAATAAGCAGAATAGTATAATATTAATATAATTTAGATCCTTTGAAGAGGTATCTTAATAATGTATGTAATTATAAGATTAGAATAGAGATCTCTTAAGGTAAGTTGCTAATCTTGAAAATGACTTACAAAAAAATGAAGAAGAATTGAGATAATTAAAGAGAAATAATAAAAAGTATTCATTTACATTAAGTAAAGTTCTTAGAATTTTGATAAGAATGCATAATAAATGATTTTGAAAGATAGAGAAATATTGCATTTATAATCAGTTGTAGAAAGATTAGAAGGAATGAATAGATAATTATAATAAGAATGTGATAGACTTGCTGCAAAAATTTAATTAACATCACATGAGAATACTTTATTAAGTAGAACAAATAGAGAAATTAGTTAAATGGGTAAATTATTAATAGAAGGATAATAAATTAAAGAGATGTTAGAAAAGAAAAAATATGAAAAACCATTAACATAAACTAATAATAAAGCACCTTAAGTGATTTAATAGCTACAATTACACAATAGAAGACCATCTGTAAAAAAATCTTGAATTAATTTTGAAATTAATTAAATCTCTAATTATTAAATTAATTGTTTTGATACTAAAATTTTAAGAAGATTTTATAGATAATGTAGTAATTTTAAAAATAAATTTATTTTTATTTTACTTATCTTAATTTTATTTATTGAATTACTCTATCATTAATTTTCTCATTATATATTCACTAATATATATACTATTTGGTTCTAATCGTATTTTCTCGATCTTGTACTTCTTATATAATGTTATTCATTAATTTGAATATAAATATTCAAAAATTATGTTCATTAACTTCAAGATTTTCATCAACTTTCTTATTTCATTGTTAAATTAAGATAATAACTTTTATATAGAATCAATTTCAGATTTAATCTGTGATATTCCTAAAAACCTTAGCATTTTATCTCCCTTTTTCATGTCAAATACTCAACATCCATTTGTTTTAACATGTAGAATACTCTATATAGAAATTGCTAAAATCTAGTTATTTTTCACTTGATTTCAAAATGGTACTCTAATTTTTCTAATTAATATTCTCTACATACACTTAAATATTAGCTTTAGGAATTTAAGGGTTTGTAGTATGCTCATGGATGCATAGAGTATTTTAATTGAAGAATAGATTTAAATAAATTTTGTTTGCTTTTATTCTATTTTGATTATCAATATTTTTTATAATCAAAATATAAAATAAAATATGGATATTGAACTTGTAGAGAAGTAGAAACCTCAGGGAGAGATTTCAAGAAGAGCAATATCTTAATATATAGAATAAGATGAAAATGATGTAAAGAAAATATTTTGGGTATGTTTACTAATCAAAGTCTTATTAATTTATAAATGGTAATTGAATTTATATTATAAAAAGCTGTTTAATTTCTAAAATACAATGTGAAATTTGTTTAGTTGAAGATGTATCTAATACTTCTATAATTTCTGTTAATTTAAGTTATTGTGGATTATATTTGTATAATTTATATATATTTTATAATTTAGATTAATAACATGTTTACCAATTATTTAGTTGTTGTTTCCACATACAATTATAACTAGTAAACTATTTAATCATTTACTTGGGAGATTTCTCTATTTCTTGTAATATTGTAACTAATATTGAGTATATTCTTTATTGTGTCAGAAAAAGATTGGAATTAATTGATGTATCCAAGTCTAACTTATTTGATTGTATGGTTAATTGGAAATAAGGTTGATGAAAAATTGATATGTGAATTATTATATTGAATTAATATTATGAACTTTTAAATTGAGCAAAATTTAAGTGATAATGAAATATAATGCATATATGGACAATTACAAGCTAAACTTAAATAAATATTGGAGTGTTTGAAGCATAATAAATCTATAATGAAGGTTCTTATTCATTTATAAGCTTAGGAATTTGGATAAGTGACTAGTGAGTATGGAGGCAAGATTGAAGCAATTTCAAAGAAGTCTATTGTTGATCATATGAAAATTAACATGAATAAATTATTTAAAGATATGGGTTCATAAGTAATTATATGATTAAATTTAGATCAAACTTTTGGGATCTAAGATCATAGAATCATCTTAAGTTTTAAAGGAATTGATAATTCCAATAAATGATGAAAGTAAATAATTGAAATAATCATTTAATGATTATGTTAAATAAATAGAGGGTAGAAAGAGAGATCAAGATGAATAGAATAAAAGAATAGAAGAATTAAAATCAAAAATATCCTCTTTATAAAAATCAACTTATTAAAATGAAAAATAAATTACATATCAACTTAAACAATTAAAATAATAAGAGAAAATGATGGAAGAAGAATAGAAGATGAAATATTAATAGGTTTTGATATGTAAAAGAGATCTTGGTAATTTTATATTAGAAGAAGGTTAAATGATAGATTATAAAATTAATCATTCTTAATCAAAATGTTATGAGATTATTTACTTTAGTTTAGAATAATTTTATACTAAATTTAATCAAAGTGGATAATTGAAACCATTATTAGAAGTTTCTTTAATGTCTTAAAATAGAAGTTAATAAAGAAGTGCAACAGAAAATAGATCACATAATAATACATAATTTACTTATTAAAATTAGAAATCTATATCACCTTCAAATCATATTTAAAAGTAAGAATAATAAAAATCTAATAGAAATAAAAATGAAATTGTTTTTCCAAAGAATATTTAAAATTAAATTTAAAAAATTAATTATGATGATCAATAAAATTAAGTAATTATGAAATAAGTTAAAAATATTCATAATTCAAAATAAGAATCAGCAATTAATTGTAAATAAAAAAGTAAATCATTTTTATAATTTACTGATTAATTAATTGAATCTTAAGATTGTTATGATAATCTTAAAGATAAAAGTACTTAATAAATTAAAATATCAAATTTTAATAAAGAAAATTAAAACATAGCATTCTTAAGTAGTTTAATGAATAGAAAATAAAGTGGAGCTAGTTTAAAACGATCAGAAAATAGTAATGCTTCTATATTCAATTGTAAAGGTCTTGGATATTTAAGTAATTAAGAATCTTTAAATGAACCATTCAAAAAGGAATGAATTATATAACAATTTATATATAAAAATATTATTTCAATTTTATTATTATATTTTAATATTTAATTCATTTTATTACAATAAGAATTTACTCATATTTTATTAAAAGATTTCAAAAAAGAAAAAGGATTTAATATTAAAATGCTGGAAGAACTATATATATTATTTTTAATTACACGAATCATTTTATCATTAGAATTACTATAAAGCACTTTATAATTCATTATCTTCAATTGGTTTTGAAATAAAGATATCCATTCCACTTTCAAATCCTATTCTTTTACTTTCATTATCTGTAAATCCACTACATCCTATTATCTTACATCTTTTAACTTATTTCTCTATCTCCATTTATCTTACTAATTTAGATGTCTAATACCCATTCAAATATGGCATATTAATATCGAGAATGATAAATTTAATCCAATTACAACAATAATCTTTATTATTTTACCAATTTTTGAGAATTTCTATACATTCTTAACCACTTTAAGCTTTTAAATAAATTTATTTCATTCTATCTAATTTCCAACCTAAAGTTTATAAATTTATTGGTTCATCATCAGCAATAATAATCTAAGGACATTTGCAATTTTATTATTGTTCTATCAATTAATCTTCAAATTTCTTTTGATTAACTGCATTACTAGTATTACTCTCTTTTCTAATCAGTATTTTAGATTCTTATTGATTTTAAATTTAATTTTCACTAACATCTTAAATTTTAAATAAAAAGCTAGTTCCTTTATCTACTCCTTTTGAATCTACTTATAATCCTTCTTCATTTCCACTTAATTTTTATGCTAGAACATTACTTATCATTAATCCTAAGCCTACTCCTGAAGTATTCATATTCTTACTATCCTCCAATTTTCCAAATGGTTAAAACAATTTACTTTTATCTTCTGGTTTCAATCCTACTCCTGTATCTTCAACACATATTTCTATTAATTTTGTCTATATTAATTTAGCTGATACAGTTATACCACCTACTTTTGTAAATTTAGTAGCATTACTAATGAGATTAAATATTATCTATTATATTCTTTATGAATCAGATTTAATTATTTGAGGAATTTTAGAATCAAATTTTAAATCTAATTTTAAATTCCTTAAACTTACAGGATATTACATAATGGATATAGCATCATTCAATAATTAATGTATAGAAAATTCTTAGTATGTTAACTTAAATTTTCCAGCTTTCAATTATGCTAAATCTAATAAATCATTAGCTAATCCTTTAATTGATATTGCAGAACTTTACAAAGGCTATAGATATCTAATGTTATTTTAGTATTGATTACTTTGATATCAAATTGTTATCTTATTAAAATTGAATTTTCAATTATTAATTTATTTCAATTATTGCTCCTAATGGATTACGTAATTCATGAGAAACATAAGATAACATTCTAGATTTATTTTTATTTTGCTATTATAATACTTTGAATTGATTAAATAATGATACATCTCTTATTAATAATAATACACTTCTTTTATTTTCATATATATAAGGTTTAATTGTAATTTGAATTAATAATCCTGGATTACATTCATCTTCGGGTTTATCTTCTTATAATTCATTATCCTAATTTTCACTAGATTCTTCTATCATACATAACATCTTTTTAACTTCAGGTGAAAATTTTATTTTATCCTATCCTTTATAAGTTCTTTAAGAAATATAAGATAATTATCTTTTAAATGGAGAAGTTAATCCATTTTTATCTTATACTTTTTCTTATAAAGCATTATCTAATTCTTATTTTAATGTTTCAGCTTTACTAAGTTCAGCTTAATAATAATAATCTGTTTGATTATCATCGAAATTATTATTGAAAAGACTTTCTTTAGAATTCTCATCATTTATTTATTGATCAAATTATTAATCAAAAGGTTAATAATATTAATGTTAATGATATTTTAACTTTTTATCTAAAGTTGAAAAAAATTTATCAAATTATGCTTATTCTTCAAATTAAAATTTAGAACTATAATTTTTTAATTCATACAAACAAGATAATATTTAATCTTGTCTATTTTAAATATGTTTTCTTCCTAATAAGTTGTATACTTAATTATTATGATAATCAATCTTATTTTAATCATTGATTATTAATATTCCCTCAGGAAATTAATTGAATAAAATCTCATAAAATGTTTTTTATTATTCTATCTATTCAAGAACTGATGGATCTTTTGAATATAATGAAGAGTTTTTTGCTATCCTTTAATTTAATGGCATAAATTTAATTTAATTTGACTCTTCATCAAATATTTATTATTATTAAGGACTTTCTAATTTCTCAGTAAAACTACGAGAACAAGGTCTCTTTAAAGGTAATTTTTTTACTTCTAAATTTGCTGTCATAATGAATTAATATATTAATAGCAAACCATAAAGAATATCTCCAAAAATGATTCCAATAGAAGTGGAATCAATTAATAAATATATTGATGTTAAATTTGCAGAAGCAATAACAACTAATAAATGTCCAACTCTAACTATTTAATTTTAGATCGTTGATTCTATTTCTAATTAAATTGTTAATCCTAACCAAAAATATTAAAATCTGCTTAAAAATCCATCATTTTTCAATCCAAAATCAATACTACCCAAACAAAATATATTTAAAACTTACCATAATGATTTAAATACTATTTATTATTGTTCAATACATGTTTTTGTATATCTATTAAATGGTATAAATAATAATGTCAATATCATACTAAAAATAACTTAAAAGTATTCTGAATTATGATTAACTAATTTTATTGTAAGTACCATTATAAAATAGATTAGTTGAATTACTACTCTTAAATTTACATTATTCATTTGATTCTAATAATAATTTCTAAAAATTATACTATTATTATTTATATTCATCTTATATAATTAGATATAATATATTATTTCAAATATTTCATAAGAATAGGAATGATAATAATTGTATATTTAAACAAAATTTATAATCATATCAATAATTTTCTAAGTAATTACCATTTTCCAATTAAATCTTTATTCTAGATAATTATTCCTTTCTACTTTCAGTTAGTCTATTAGTTTTGGCTAGATTCTTAAGTTCATCTTCAAATTTTATAACTTGATTTTCTGTAGCTTTGAATCTGCCTTCCATATGTTATTTAAGTCTTTTTTATATTGAATAAAATTAAGAATATGATAAACTATCTTTTTGATATTCTTTTATTTTATCTTTTATACTATAATCTCTATTATGTATACAATAATATAATTGTCTATTGAATTTATCACTTAATTTATTCTTTTCTTCATAAGATTCATTAATCTAATTTACTAATTAAGGTAACACTTTACTATCTCTTACTTTTTCATACTTTTTATACAATTCAATTTCTTTATTTTTATCAATTTATTTTCTGTCTTCACAATCAATAATTGATAATTATCTTTTTACATTTTCTGTTTTTCCAAATAAAGTACTGCCACTTGTATTTAATTTAATTGTATGTCTTCTTGCAGATTTACTTGGTGTATTAGAATGATAAGTATTTGGTTTATGTTAATTAAATACATAATCTGAAAGATCTAATTCCTTTTTAATTTTTTCTAATTTTTCTATATGATTTTCTACTCTATTTTTTTCATTTTTAATTGTTTTAAGTAATTATAGTTTATCTTATGAATCAAAATATTCTTCAATATTAGGCAATTAAATTGAATAGTTATAATCTACAGATATTCTTTTTAATTTAAAATTACGTGATGATTTAGCTTCAAGTACTCTAAATTTTAATAATTTATATATATTACTGTTAATTTTATTCATTAAGTAATTATTTCAAAATTGTTTAAGCTCTTTTTTATCTTATAATTGGACTCAAATCACTTTTATATTCTCTTTAAGTTTAAGTGATAATGTTTGGTTTTTTGTTGACAAACTTTTCTAATCTAACACTACCCTTATAAATGATTTTTTTTTATTCAATGAATTAAACTTTATTATCTTTATTTTCTTTGATAAATTTCATTCTAAAAAATTATCAAATAATGTATATATCAACTATTATTTTATCAATAATTGTTTTTAATAATAATAAAGATTTTATTTAGATAATAAAAATTGAAACACATATTCATATAGAATTAACTTATTTTATTTATTATCATACTTATATTAAAATAGTATATTAAATTTATGTGATTCATATATTTATATATTTTAATTTAAATGGGTAATAATTGTGTTTCAGAGAGTGATTCATTAATTAATGAAGACACATAAGCTAATTTCAATAAAATAGAATCCAGACCTGGAATTTATGCTATTGAACATACTACTAATACATATTTGGATAACATATCTATTATGTCTTCCCCAGACTCTCCTTATCCAATCATTTATATGGAGAAGATGGATGTAATTGCATTTAAAGGTCACAAATTTGCAATTCTTTAAAAAAATAGTGTTTATTATGGTGAAATCAATTAGAAATACTAAAAAAATGGAAAAGGAAAACTTTATTTAATTGATGTGGATAAGAATAGAAACTAAAAATTATTTATAATGAAAGGAATGTTTAAAAATGATATATATTAAGAATCAGGACAAATTTCACCTTTTGGAGAATGTTTGGATGAAACCTCTGATTCAAAAATTACAGAACCATAAGATTCATAAAAATCAATAATCTAGAATAATCAATATAAATACAACAAGTTTATAAATGATAAAGATATAAATTCTATTACTGATAAAAATTAACTTAGACCTAATATTGTTAATGGATATATTTAATATCTTTAATAACTTGATGAATAATTGTATTGGGACACTCCTCCTTAAAAAAGAGAGAAATTTTAAAGAACTATTATATTCTAGAGTACATGTTCATTAGATAAATATGATGAATTTAAATAACTAATTAAATAATTTAGATTTGTTAAGTTTTGGTTAATCTATAAAAAAATTGGATTTGTTATAGAACATAATCCTAATCGTTGGTATTTTGTAGAAGTATAAATTACTGAAGATGAATTCAATATCAATATATATGATTCTATTAAATGTAGTGATGCATTTTATCAAAACATAAAACATAAACTTACTCAACTCTTCTAAAAATTACTCAATCATAAACTTTAATCAAAACTAATCATTAAAGACAATATTCCTTAATCATATAATACATATGATAGCGCAGTCTACACTTGTATATTTGCTAGAATGCTTAGATGTAATTGTAGAAATAAAGCACTTAATATGAGTCCTTCATAAATGAGATCAGATTTATTAAAACTATTTCTTAACTGATTATAATTTAATTAATGATATTATTTTATATTTCTCATTTTATAAATAAGTATCTTAAATCTAATATCAAATTGTCATCCTAATTATTTAAATAATTAGTTATTAATAATTAATATATTTATTATATATATATCTTGTATAAATATCCACCTTTTTTATTGAATTCAAATGTATTCATACTTAAAAACTAATTAGAAACTTTATTATTTTTTAGAAAAACTAAGGATGTATAATCTTTATTATTTTAAAATATGCTTATATATAATTCCTTTTTATTAATCATAATTTGAAATTAAATTCTCATCTATTTTTCTAATAATCATTCAACTTAATCATTAAAATTATTCAATCATAAAAGTAAATTTTTAAGTTGAAAATAACTTATGTTATGCTTAATCTTTCAATGAAACTTTCTTAATTATATTTCTAAAATTCATAATATTTATTTTTAATATAAATATCAAGTCGAAAGTATTTTAATGAGCATAATGTTATATATTTTAGTATCATCATATTTAATTAATGTAGAATCCTCATTAAAATACATATATTAAATTATAAGAGATAAAAGAATTGAATATTACTGGCAGAAACAATACTACCATAGTTTGAAAATGATATAATTGTAATATTTAATAAAATTAATAAAGATTATTAATTATGGAAAAAATTAATAAATATATATATGTAATTAAAACGTACTCAATTAAAATTAGATAGAAATAATATGATCTAGAAACAGTAAGAGTGACAACAATTAATTAGATGTTCATCCTAATAATTTTGATCATGAGAATTGTAGATGCAATGATTATAATGAAGATTAACTTTTATGAATTCCATTAAATTTATCACCAAAAAAATGAAAATATTTAATTATTTGTTTATTTGAATAACTTTATATGGGATCAAACTGTTCAAATTGTTCTTAATGTTAAAAAGATAAATTGGAATAGATCAATGAAGTCACCATAACCAAGAAATCAGAAAGCAATAAAATAGTTATTTCCTCTAATTCTTAATTATCTTATTAAAATAATAGTCATTTTCACAAAGTTTATATGATTTTAACTATAATAGTAAAAATCAATTTAAAGTTTTGATGAAACTTAGAAACAAACATAAAAATTGTTGTTGTTATCTAAAATGGCTATTGTGATATAAAAGTAATGGAAAGGATATAAAGCAAGGAAAGCATATTTATAAACAAAACAATGTTTAAAAAAGCCATAGAATGACTAAGCAACTATTGATAGCAAGAGTAAGAGAAATATATAGAAATATTTTATTTAAGAGGAGTATGGACGTATTTTAACATATTTATCAAGTAAAAATTAATCCTGAACAACTTTAAAGGGAATTTAGATCAAAATATGAATTTATTAGTGGATCAACATATGAAGGAGAATGGTTAGGAGATAAGAGAGATGGATATGGAATACAAATATGGGAAGATGGGGCTAAATATATTGGTTAATGGAAAAATAATTAAGCTTGTGGATAGGGAACCTTTTATCATGTTGATGGAGATATCTATGAGGGTTAATGGGAATGTGATCGAGCAAATGGATTTGGAATATACAGATAATCAAATGGAGTTATGTACTAAGGATAATGGAAGGATGATTATCAACATGGATAAGGTTAGGAGAAATGTATTAGAATATTGTAAAAAAAATAGGGATCGATAATTCGATTTATGAGGGTGAATATTTTTAAGGTAAGAAGTAGGGAAGAGGGATTTATAAATGGCCAGATGGAAGTTATTTTGAAGGAGAGTGGTTTAATAATAAGATTAATGGTTATGTATAAGTTTAATAGAGAATAGGGAGAATATATTTGGGCGGATGGTAGAAAGTATAAGGGTATATGGAAGGATAATAAAATGCATGGTTATGGAATATATTAATGGAGTGATGGTCGATCATATCATGGGGAATATGTTAATGACAAAAAGTAAGGTAAAGGAAAATACTTTTGGCCAGATGGGAAAATATTTGAAGGAGAATGGTATGAAGGAAAATAGAATGGAAGAGGTAAATATTTAATGGCAGATGGAAAAGTTAAATTTGGATTTTGGGAGAATGGAAAAAGAATAAATATTGAAGGATAATTATAATGAATAAGTAATTTTATTTGTATTAGAGTTACAAGGATAATAAGATATTATATAATTAAAGGTTTTTTTAATAAATGTTATAATTATCAGCAATAATTTAATAATATAATTAATATTTATTTAGTTTTAAAATTAAATAAATTTATGAATAGTAAAAAGATATTAAATTTAGAAGTTTTTATTTATGTATTTTATCATTCCAAACTTTAATTTTAATGTGTATGTTTAGGTTCAGGTTCAGGTTCAGGCATATTATCACGAACTTAATAATTTTTGAAATAATCAAAACACTTTTTACAACAGCTTTTTTAATTTTCATATTTTTCAGGAACAACTTTATCAATACGAGGGAAACAACATTCTGTTAAGGTATTTCTATATTTATAGATCAATATAATTGCAATGAGTAATAGAATAATGGAAATTATCAATCCAGCTCTTGCATTTTTACCTAATGGTCTAATTGAAGAAGTAGGTTCTTTGATATTTAAATATAAATACCTTCATAAAACTAGTCTTCAAAAAATAAGATTTTTGGTTGCAACTATGGTTAATATTCTTTTGGACCACTTTATATTGTTTGATTAGATCCATTTATTGAATATAATTCATTATATCCATAGAGATGTAGAATAAATCCAATTTCTAATGAATATCTTCCAAATAAAGGATTAGATTTAGTCATTGTGATAGGAACTTAAATATACTTCTATCCAATTAGTTCTTCAAGTGTCAAATTATAATCTAGATAAGTTGTTTCAGATTATGATAAGAATGTCCAATTTATAAATCTTACAAATGGAGTTACATTAAAGAATAATGAACTACATAATATATTTGAATCTGTTCCAATACATGAATTTTATTCATATTTGAAGTATTCTTTTTCTGCTTCTTCTGATGCTGTAGCATATTGAATATATTATTATGGATCATTAGGATTCTCAGGTATAGGAGCTGAATATTTGTATTATTAAGGTAATAATGCACTGATACCTTTTGTATAATTACTCCATATTATAGTATAATTTTCTTCAGGATGAAATACACTACTATTTAATTAATTTTAATAATAGTTATAACACACTGTTCTCACATTCTATATAGATTAAATAATTTTACATCCACAAATTAACTACTTCTAAATTAATTACATGGGGGATTACCATCAATCTTTTTATTATAATAATCTTCATCTACAACTAATTTACAATCCTTAGATGATTATTCTATTTCACAGACTATAGGATTCCAATATTTACAATATTCTCCATAAAAATCAGGAGGACATAAACATCCATAATGTAATCGATATCTTATTGTACAATTAGCTGAATTATTAATTGAAATATCTTTATATTAAATATAAGTGACCCTTTATTTGAAACAATAATGTTAAGTTACATTAATTAGAATAGGTTAGCCAAGATAACACTTAAGTGGAATCAATGGGCCTTATCTTAGATATTCATTAATTGTAACATTAACTACTGGAACTGTAGGTTTTGATGTTCCATTCTCTTCCATTATTCTAAACTATCTAGCATGTTTTAAATCTATTTTAGAGTCTGGAATAACAAATTATTCTTCATTATCCCCATCTAATCTTCTTAATCCTAAAGTTTATCTTATCATTTCTATTGGTGTTCTTGTAACTAAAAGTTATGCTTTATTTCTCCATTCTTCATATAAGGAGTTAGTATTCTTCAATATAGAAGTAGCTGCAATACATTATATTACTAATAAAAAAAGCATTATTTAATATTAATTTAAAGTCTTAAAATTTTATTAAATAATTCTATATAAAGATAATCATATACAATAATATATCTTCATAATATTTAAATCACAAAAATTCATTTAATAATTTAAGATATTCCTTTAATCCTTTTATTATAGAAATTCTTTAAGATGTAAGATTGGAAATATAGCTATCTCTCAAATTTTAGGTATCTTTGAATTTTTTTAATATTGTGATTGCTTCTGTAACTATAATACTTTGTTTTATTAATATTTCTTTTCGTTCTTTATTTATATAGATCTAAATAATCATAGATCATACAGCAAATCTTTTTGGATATTCAAATGTCTACTCTAATTCCTTAAGATCTTAAGTCAAATCTTAAGAATAAGAATTCATTAAGTACTATAATAATGAATTGTAAAATTGCATAACTAAAATCTCATAATCAATTGAAACAGGAATTGTACTTAACAAATCTTTTTCATTTCCATATTTTAACTATAATAATAATCGTAAAAAGCTTATAATATCCATATTTAACTTATCCTTTTTTATTCTAAACTCCTTTGATAAAGATGAAATAGGAATTTCATAACCATTATACTAAATCTTGTCTATAATTGATTCTTCTTCATGTATTAACTTTTTAATAATTATAGTATTCAATATCTAATCTATGCTCTTCTCTTAATCTTCAAGGATTTCAGTATTCAACCATAACTTTAATTAGTCATCTAATTACTCTAAAATTATATGAACTGTAAACATTATCTGGTAATGCAAATCCATACCAACATAACAAAAATCTATTTGATCTATTTCCATATGAGACTGTAACTTATTCAAATTTCTTAATTGGTACAGTAGTTGTAATACAAAAGTATGCTTCTTTATCATATTCATCTAACCAATCCCATTATTATTCTTCCCTTATCTCTTTTTCATTATCTTTAGATTATGTTGATTCATCTTATTACTTTCTTAATCTCCCATTTATCATTTATTATTTTACTTTTATAGCTTCAATTTGATATTATGGTAATCCTCTAATTATTACTTTATTTTTCTTTTCTAACTTTGTTTATATATAAAATACCTGGATTCAAAGTGACAGTAATAATAGGTTGATTTTTCAAATTTATTTATTAAAATTATTTCTCAATTCTTTTTTATTCTTCCCTAATCTTCCATTCTGCCAATTCTTTAATCTTTAAAATCTCAAATTGTTATTACTTTGCCATTTTAACTTCTTCATCAGAATCATTATCCTCACTATCAGATGAATTAATTGAAATCAAATCCCATATATTCATTTAACTATCTTAGAGTATCTATTCTTAATGAATCATATTTATTATATTTCTTTTTTCCTGTATTGATACTCTATCCAAATCTTATATTATACTCAAATCTTTTATATATTGTTTATTCTATATAACAAATTTATTTTTCTAATCTTCCCATTTCTATTATTCTCTACTATCTTCAATACCTAAAATACTAAGATTAATTTAATTTCTTTTTATAATGTATTGTTATTGAAATACTACTGATTTAAGATCATTTCCCTTTTCCAATCCTTAATGAACCATATAATGTGTACATGCTTGATTTGAATGGTTAAGAAAATCAGCTATAGGAATGAGACAAGTTGATTTAAGTGCCCATCCAAAACATCTACTTGTAACACATTCTATTGCCCAGTAAAAATCACTTTTATCTGTTATTCTTGGAGCTCCAAATACATCTTAAGCATTATCAAAGATTAATTTTGCTTTGCTCCATAATCCTAAGAAATCTTATTTGATTAATTAGAATTCTTCTAATATAATAGGATCTTCAATGTTCTTTAAATCATCATTAGACCAAGCTAATAATGTATTGTTAGTTTATATTGCTTAAATGTAAGGGTAATAAAATGACAATTCTCCTTTCTTCTTTTCATTGAACATATAAAAAGCTCAGATACAAAGAGATTTATACTTAAAATATTAAATTCTGCTTCATTATTTTCTTCCTCATCAAACATTTCTGGATGATTGTTGTAAACTGTATTAAGAATACTCTACTTGCATTTCTAAGGTGATATTATCAATGATTAAGGTATGCAAATGATTGCCTATTAATTTGTAAACTTAATAATAATACAGTATCTGATGGTAAGTCTTCAGAGGCAACTACTCCAGTGACATTTCCAAATGAAGCTGGAAAATGTACACCCTTCATTAATACTCCATTTTCTATACCCCATTATAATAACATCTTGTATTTTGGATTTTATTAGATTTCATTTGTTTTAGATTAATCAAATTGCATGTAATATTAAATTTAAATTATCTGAAATGATCAAATTTATGTTAATATAATACATAAATAATAGAGTAAAATTTTGATATTTAGACAATAATTTTACGTTTAATTTTTCTATTAAAATTATATATCTTTTATATAATAGATCAATTAATAAAAGAATATATTTAAAATTTAGAATATAAATAATCATTATTATTTTTACTATTATTATTGTTATTATTATTGGTTCTACAATTATTATTATAATTATTAATATTCTTTTAGATTACTTATATCTAATTTAGTTATTTATTTTTGCATTGATCCATTTCCCTAAAAAGAAAGGTAATGATCTACTTCCAAATTAGGAATATTGTACTCTTTCTTAAATTTGATAAGGATAGGAATATTAAATACTCCCCAACCTAATCTTTGTAATTAAAATGGAGCTTATTTAACTGTAACTATATTAGGATGAAATGTTTCATGTAATTGATAAGTAACCTATATTTAATTTTAATTTATACTGATTCAATCATATGATTAATGTCAAAATTCTTAAGTGCAGCTTTATCTGAATCCTTATTATATTCCATTTTCACAATTAAAGTCCATTAATTAACATTTTTTTTTTCTTAATTATCAATTCGTTTATATAAATTGCCATATACAACATTCACTTTAATTTAATTTGGTAACATCATTTATTATTGAATAATCTGTTATTATCTTTATGCATATTGTTCAGGATTGCTCTCTTTAATCTTTTTAGCTAAATCTTAATTAATAATCAATGGTTCATTTTTAGAATAAAGTTATCTGCATAATGGACACTTATAGGATTGATTATTATAATCTAGTAAATCTAAAAGACATGCTGAGCAAAATATATGTTTGCATTGAGAAAGTTGAATAGGATCTACAGCAATATTTAAACATATTGGGCAATCGTGGGATTGTTACATTTTTATTAAATTAATGTATTTAATTAATCTTTACAAAATATATTGCACATCATTCTGATGAATTATAATTTTAATTAAATTGTTTTAAATAAAACTAATTGTTATGATTATTAAATTTGAATATTCAAATAATATGATATTCTAAATATTAACAAAAATTTATAAATTAGAAACTTTATCTATAAAAATGTGATCTTACTATATATATTTATCACCTAAAAGAAATTTATTAATAATGTCATAATTTAAATTAAACTAGAAATTATAAAAAAAAATAATCAACATTTATTGATTATTTATTAAATCTCTACCAAATATTTAGGATAAGTTTTTATAAAATAATAACTTTCATTATTATATGATTTTTAATTAACAAAGTTTAAATATTATTATAATTTAACTAATTTACTTTAGGTAATCTTAATATTACATTTTTGATTTGTAAAAATACTTTTCAGGTTTAGCACTATTTCTTTTTTTATATTGTACAAATTCTAAAATATGTCTTGAACTTAAGGATATATTTGCATAATTATGCAATTTTTGTATAGAGTTAATAATAGTTCATATGAATTAAATAAACCTTAAAAGGAAAGATAAGTAATATATATAAATTATATTCTTTTCTAAACAATATATTGATAATATTATTGGTTGTTTAAAATGAGTAAAAATATTTAAATGCATTACCTAATAAATTAGTAGTATATTTAGTGAACAATTGATATATTATAATTAGAAATAACTTAATTATCAATAAATACAAATTCAAATTAGAAATACTCTAAAATCTCTTCAATAACTTATCTAAATTCTTAAAATTTGAAAATTGAGTTTCTTAATTTTATTATAATAGATGATAAGATATATTTGATAATATATAATTCATTTATATATTATTATTATCTGGACTAAATTTTAGAAGTCAGATGATTATTTTATAATTGAATATATATTGATTATTTTTAATTAATTAATTTTTAATATAATTCATAATAGTACTATAAGAAATTAATTACAATTACATAATTTATATTCCAATTATAAAATTGGAATATGTAAGATGGCATTATTGTAAATAAGAAATCTGTTAGCTTAATTTTAGATTTTTACATATAAATATAAGAATTTCATTGAGATATCTTTTAGAGTTCAAAGGATCCAAAAAAATTCTGATCTTATATTCCTTAAATTCCATAAACTTTCCATTTTCCTTAAAACTTATTATCTTGTTCAATAAAAGATCCTTTATATTGTTAAAGTAAATATATGTTATCAATAGAATCGATCATCTGAAATAAATCAGAGTCGAGAGAAGTTCTAAGATAGACTTATATTTCTTAATTAGATTATATTATAATATTTCCTTCAGCAGACCATAGATATTATTGTTTTTATTGTGTAATTTATAATTCTAGTTTATTATGGTGTACCTATATAGTTTTGAATTTAAGTAATTTTGTATTACATTTTTAATTATTGATCGTTTTAAGATTCCAAAGAGAATTTTGTATAGAATCTTAGATTTAACTAATTTTAACTATGTTTTTTTGAATAGAGCACAAATTCTCTTGTATTAATTTCTGTTCTAGATCTTTTTTGAGTTTTTTTCTTCTTGAAACTTCAAAAATGACACCACATACACAAATCAGTATCAAAACACAAAATATAAGTATGATTATAGGATAATTTTGGTTATCTTAGGTATTTTGTTCTGACGTAATAGTTTAAACATTTTTAAGAAATTGTTCTTAATTGAGAAATGTTGTTATATTTGGAATATTAGGGTAGTTTAAAATTTTTGATGATGAATTTGTTTACAATTGAGGTATTTATTACATTGATTAAATTATGTTCTTAGCATATGAGAATAATTAAGTGAATTGTATTAAATTTAGAATTTATTTATACCATTTTTGTTATATTCCATATTTCTTAATATAAAAATGATATATAGAGAATATATTAATAATGGTTTAATTTAATATAAATATACTCTTATTTTTACATATACTGATTTTTCAACTTAATTCCTTCTCTACTTCAGCCAAATCTTTGGGCATTTCATCAATTTTAGTGTTGTAATATTTTTCAACTTCTAATAAAAGATTAGCTTCTTATTAAGCAACCATATTGATTGCAACTCCCTTTCTACCATATCTACCAGCTCTTCCAACTCTAAAAAATATATTTATATTTATGATACCTATGAATATATTATTCTTTGAGTCTTGGGAATTCATAATTGATGACCAAAGATAATTATTAAACATCAATACCTCTTCCCATAAGATCTGTAGAAACTAGAATTCTTGCAGCTCCTTTTTTGAACTCTTACATAACCTAATTTATATACAATTAATTTACTTATTCTCTTTCTTTTTATTCCATTTGACTATGGATTTTACTAACAGTAAAACCTTCTGTTGTTAATTTATCATAGAGATCATCAACTGTTTTTTTGGAATTGCAAAATAATATTGATTATGAAACTGTAAGATTCTTATATAATTCAACCAAAACTTTGAACTTTTGGTCTTCTTATTAAATGGCAATGTAGAATTATCTAATACCTTCCAAAGTCAATTATTCTTTCTTGACTAAAATCTTTGCTGTTCCTTCTCTCAAAAATTATTTACTTAATTCAATAATTTCTTATGGGAATGTTGCACTAAATAATGCTATGAAGAATATATGATTAAAATATACCAATTTAGATATCTCCTGGTACCATTTTAAGAATTTCAGCGAAATTATCACTAAATCCTTAATCTAACATCTAATCAGCTTCATCAACTACTAATAATTTCATGAAAGTGGCATCCAAATATTTGTTTTTCATCATATCAATCAATCTACCTGGTGTGGCAATGATAATGTGTACACCTTATTTACATTTTTCTCTAGTTTCTTAAGTTGATGTTCCACCAATACAACAAAAGGCTTCTATATTTAAATATTATCCTATTCCTTTGACAACATCATAAATTTGCTTTGCCAATTCTCTAACTGGTGCCAATATGATGACTTATGTTTTTCTTTAATTTGGGTCTATTCTTTGTAAAGCACCAATAGTAAATGTACCTGTCTTTCCAGTTCCTATAAAATATAATAAAATTAGAGTATTTACCTGATTAAGCTTATGCTAATACATCTTTTCCTAGGATGATTGGTTTAATGGCCTTTTGTTAGATGGCTGATGGTCTTTCAAAACCATATGAGAAGATGCCTCTCAATAAATCTTTGCTTAAGGTTAATTCTTCGAATGTTTCGACTTACTTATTAATTTACGATAATAATTTACCTCTATCCAATTTTCTTATAAATCTTATGTAGCTTGATCCATAAATATTCTAATAAAAATATTTTTATTTTCTTACTTTTAATGTCCTTTTTATTTAAAAATAAAGATTTAAATTAGAAAGCATAATCAAATAAAATTAAATAGTTTGGAAAACAAAACTAGATGAACTAGATTCTTCTAATAATGAATGATCAGGTAAAATAATGTTATATTAATATTGATATTATTATAATTATTATTTTCATCTTCCACGGGCTATGGCTAATATTTCTATAATTCTTAAGAACAACTGTATTATAGTAGCATAGAGCAACAAAGATCCGATCACATAATCATCAATTGATAATTTAAGTTTCTTAATATTATTTAAATAATTCTTACTCCTTTGCCCATAATTAATTAGGTCTCCCATATCAAATAGAATCCATAGAATACTATAAACAATGTGCACAATAAGATATAGATAACTGCAGACCACCAAATACATGACATAATGACTAACATCAATATGGTTGGACAAAGAATAAATATTGCACCAACTAAAAATATGGAATGATTGATACTTTTGAATGAGAAATCTGTTTTTGTTTTGCAAGCATACAATGTTAATGCAAAGACTATTACAAATGTTATTCCCCAGGCTTACCAAACTATTGCTTATCCCCAATAGATAGCCATCAATATGCAAAAGGTTGTAAGAGTGAATCCGAAGAAAATAATATATAGTAATAACACTACATAATTAGTAGGAGCCTAAGTTTACAAATGTAATTTACTTTTCTTGCAATGTTTCCACCACAGTATAACATACATTACAATATCAATGCAACAAAAAAGGAAACATAGAATAACCAAGTAGGTGCAGGATAAAGGTAATATCCTGTGTTGCATATTATAGGTCCATAACCACTATAAAAGCATTCTGTTAGAAATCCGCCCTCTAGTTAAACAAGCCAAAAGGCCATCCCTGTATAAAGCCCTAAGGCAATCATCACTAATGTAATTAAAAGTTCTAAAGTCAAAAGAGTGTACACTTTTTTAACGAAATCAGCTCTAATGTAAGCATCTTAAAAGTCAGCCAGGTCTAAATAATCTTAATTTTATAATACATCCGTAATTATCATTCATTTTTTAAACTTTTCCATCTTATGTGTCAAATGCTTAAGGATTATAATATTATTGTTATTGTTATTAATATTATTGTTATTGATACTGTTGTTAATTGTTCTGGTTGTATTAGTAATAATCTTGGTTAGAATTATTGTACATTTTTTATAGATGATAAAAATATTAATTAAAGTTTTCGATATCTCAATTGTTTAAAAATCATAAAATCAATATATTATTAATTTATTCTATATTGTATTTCTAGAGAATTTATCTGTCTCTTTTATATATATATTTATTATGTACTTCATAAAATATTATTGATCTCAATCTATATATATGAAAAACTTATATAATATTTCATTAATTATACACATTAACACATTTTTTAACTTCATATTAAATTCATAATTTTAAAATTTATATATTATTTTATTATATAATAATCAAATTTATGATTCATATTATTAAACAATTATATAATTATAATAGAAAAAAAATGTGAACAGTTTAAGTTCTTAAATTTATAATAGAAAATGGTGATTTTAAACAATTAAAGAGTTAACAATTAATTTTGAATTGAGATTATTATAGTAACCTTGTTGAATATTAAAAATAAATTTACAATAGATTTTATGATAATAAATTATGATTAATAAATATAACAGCATTAATAAAGTTTCAAAATTAAAGAACAATCACAAAGACAATGTTATCAATAGTTGAAGAAAGAAAGGGTATTTAATGAAATAAGTTTTAGAAGAATAATAAAGATAGGAGTTTTTAATTGATGAAATTCCACTTAGAATATGGGAATAAGGTATTAATGTAATAATTATATAGTTACTAATCAATATAGATAAGAGATAATGGTATAATCTATGAAATATTGATAATTAGACCTTAGAAAATCAATTATGGTAGATGGATATTGATAAGGTTTTTTAAAAGGATAATGGAGTACCAAAAAAATTATAATAGAAATTAAGGATGATGAAAATGGGTAAGTCCAATAGAGAGTGTAGTATTTGCTGTAATCATTTTTTAAAAGGTAATAATAATCTATATATTTTAGATGAAACAATAATATAACTTCCTTGTAAACATATTTTCCATAAATAATGCTTATTTTCTTGGCTTGATCATAGTACAAAATGTCCAAATTGTCGGAGTGATGTTTTACATACATTAATGAATTAATTGAAATGATATACATTTCTATGGAAAAATTTATATTAAACTTATTTATAAAAATAATTTAAATGATAAATTGGATCATTTATACTTAATCCATAATCTTTTATCTTTTGTATAAATATAAAAATATCATTTCATTCTATAAAAATTTGAATTGTATTAGTCTTTCATTTTTATTTCATTCATTTTTTAATTAGATTGATTTTATTAGTTAATAAGTATTATTAATTATGTAAATACTTCATTTTTAGTTTTTTTTATTTTAAATTATTGTATTTCAAAGTTTTTAAAAGTAATAATTAACTCTCTTAATTCCTTAATTTTCAATAAATTAGAAAATGAATCAAAGAACATTCTATTTTTATACGTTTAAATATAATTAAGTATCATAGACATTTGAGAATAAACAAATTACAAATACATAAAAGTTTATTGTATTATTTATTCTAAATTGTTGTTATTGAGTAGCAATGAGAAATTAAAATTTATTTATTAATAATATCTGTTATAATGATTAACAACAACAATCGAAAACTCTAATCATAAAAAGATGTGAGAAGTAAAGTGAATACTGGGTTGAATCGTAGGAATGAGAGTCCTTAAAAAAGAGTATAATCTGCAGTTTAATCAGTATATTATTATATTAAATAGGGTGATAAATCGATTGATTAAAGTGGAAATCTAACAGAACAACTTAATTCTATAGTTTAGGATTATTTATTAAGATCAAATTGTATTAAAACATTAGAGCAATTTAAAATTGAATCTTAATTTGCAACTGAATAAAGTAACGAAACTGAACATATTATATTGGGACATTTTGATAGAGGAGAAAGAGATAAGTTTTTCGAATCATGGAGTAGATACATTCCAATTTCTCAAAGATAGGATCATTATTCTTGGAAATTAGAATTCTACATACAAATCTATTTCTTTATCTATCCCATTCATCCAGTATTTAAAAAGTAAGGTTAAATTGATAAACATTCAATTAATCAATTGAAAATCTATCTTGAGACAAAAGGTGGAGATTTATCGAAAACTAATGAAGTTCTTCCATTCTATGCTTTACCATATGTAAAAAACATATAAAATCATCCATCTTTTTCATATTTATTTACTCATGAATGGATATCAGATTTAAGAATGAAATTGAAGGAATTTATTCAATCAATTTATGGATCAGATTAATATGGTTCTATTTTAAAAAGGTTATTTTTATCAAAAGAAGGATCTAATAATTATTAACAATAAAATGATCAAAAAAGATAAATAGAAATGAAATAATTACAATAAGAAAATTTAGAACTTAAAAAGAAGAATCAACAATAGATTTAAGCAATACAAGAATTAAATCATTTAGCATAAAAAAATTTAACAGAAGCTTAAAAAAAATGGTTCTCTTTTACAGGTGAAATGTTAAAAATGTAGAAAGAAATGTTGAAATATATAGAAAATAATAAGAAAATACCAGAGTAGATATAACAATTCAAAAAGAAAATTACATCTTATGATAAATTCTTTAGTTAGAATTTAGAAGACTTAGTAAATAAATCAGAAGACATTTCTCTATTTAATAATATTACATAACCAGATCATGATCTATCTGAAATTACTAATTAGCAATGTATATTGTTATTATAATAATATTAATAGAAATTAATCCAGTTTAATAATCAATAGAAGAATATATTCCTTTAAATTATAATAAAATTATTTAGTTGTTTACAAAATCTCAGAATCCAGTATTAATAGCAACAGTATTGTAAGCATTGAGATGGAGAATTACAAGAGCAAGAAGTGCATTAGAAAGAAGATCTGTTGTAGTTGCTTATTAAACTCATGATTTGATAGGAACTCATTAAAGAAATATTATTTTAGCATAACATTTAATGTTTAAAGCAGCCCCTATAATTTAATGTTAAACATTAAAATTAATGAATGCTTTAGCTTCAGATTATGATGGTAGAACTTATTTAATATCAAATTCTCAACTAATAAAATTATTAATTGAATTAATAAAAAAAGATTAGACTGATTCAATAAAAAGAAAAAATGCAATAGGTACATTACAGAAATTATCATTACGTAAATAAAGTCAAATTTGGATGTTAGATAATGATATCATTTATGTGGCTTTAACAATTTTATAAAGAGTATAATATATAAATAAATTTTAGGAAAAATTTAATCTTAGTGAATATACATATGAATATATAACTGCATTGATTATGAATTTATCATTGAGTTCAAGAGGACGTGATGCTTTATCTATGAATAAAGAATTAGCTTTTGAAGTTTTATTTGAATTAATAGAATTTCCTAATGATTAGATAAGAACCTTTACTAATGGGACATTTTATTCAATGTTTAGTAGAAGAGAATTAAGAGATTATGCATATTAATTAAATATACCTTAAGAATTACCTAAATTATTGTCTACTAGTGAAGAAAGATTTAAGAAATAAATTTAATATATGATTGAATAATTAGAAAGTAATGAAGATGATTATGAACAATCATAATTGGAAGAAGATAATGATGTAGATGATTTAGAAGATGATGAAGAATGTCCAGTTGATGATGAAGATGAAGATGATTTAGAAAATAATGATATGGTTGTTGGAGAAGAATTATTAAAGAATGAATTTGCTTTAGATAATGAACAAGCAGAATAATAAAGATAATTAATGGAATCCATTATGCAAAAAGAATTATAATAGAGAAGTATCTATTAAGAACAATTAAGAGATTCTCAATTAGAGAAAATGCCTATTGGATGTAAATATAATATATTATTATTTTAATGTAGAAGGTCCATTCATAGCTGATAGTCTAGCACAAATTAATTAAAAACAAGTGTAACCATAAGCTTAGGCTTTCTAATCTAGACCAAAAATACCCAGAACTCCTCCCATTTAATAATAATATTATTAACATTGATATAAATTATTGAAAAAATAATATACTGATTTTTTATTATTTAGTTAATATAATTATAATATTAGCTTTATAATCTATTGTAAACTATTCTAAAAAATTTAAATTATACTTAAATCATAACTAAAATGAATAAATATTTTTATGATAACAAAAAAGAATTATTTTATATTGTTATCATATTAATTTAAAGCTTATAATATTAAATATATCTAATGATATTTTATGATAATCCAAATATATAATGATATTTTTATTCTAAATTTATTTTTATAAGTTGTTAAATTTATATATTTTGAATTTCTTATATAAATTAAACACAAAATTTAATTGATATATTCATTATTTAAAAATAATCATAATTAATCAGCAAACTGTTTTTAAAGGTTTCGAAGTATTAGCATACCAATCTGGTATTAAAGTAATCATTTATTATTAAGTCATTTTAGATGTTTCTTCTAATATTTTAAATATAAATTAATACCATTTGAAAATTCAAATAGATCAGAAGCACTAAGTTTGATTGTGCTTTAGATTGTTTTAAATTAATCTCTCAATTCATCAAAATATGGATGTGCTAAAGATTAAAGAGGAGTGAATCGAGTTTTAGGACAATAAGTTAATAATTTTGAAACTAAATCTATAGCTTTTGGATCTTTAGTTTTCAATACCTATAAAATTAATTTAATTATTATACTCTTCTCCAATCTCTTTATTTAATAGTAGCAAATTAATACTACTGCATATCATAATTTTTATTCATACTTAAGATCTATTCCTTAGAAGGTGTACCAAGCACTTTTACTATTTCAACCATTTAATCAACAGCTGAATCTCCTAAAAATAATGGTTCACCATTTATTAATTCAGCAATAACACAACCTACAGACCAAACATCAATTTAAGTATTGTAATCAGTAGCTCCAAATATAAGTTCTGGAGCTCTATAGCATCTTGAACAAATATAAGCTATATTAGGTTCACCTAATATTAATCTTTTGGCACTTCCAAAATCACATAACTATAATTTATTGGTTTCTGGATTAACTAATACATTATGTGGTTTGATATCTCTATGACATATTCCTAATATAGAAATATAACTAATAATTAATAATATTTAATACGCTATAGATCTCAATAATTGATAACTAAAAATTTTAACTAAAAGTTCAGGCATTCTCTTAAAATCTTTTATAAATGACTTATTGTATGAATAAAGAGTGTCTGAGAAGTAATCCATTACTACATTTAAATAACTTTCATCTTTATTCTCTGCTGGAGTGTAAAAAGCATATTTCATCTTTAATACATTTTAATGATCTAATTCTTATAGTATTTATAATTCTCTATTTTTATATCTTCTATCTTGTAATACTTTCTTAATAGCTACTATTTCTCCAGTTTCATTCACTTTAGCCTGCAAATATAAATATATATAATTTACTTTGTATACTACTCCAAATGATCCACTTCCAACAACCTTTAAATTTGTATAAGTAAAATTGCTATAATCATATCTTTCAGTTGTTGCTGGCATTAATACAGACTTAGTACTATTCTTTTCAATCGAAAGAGGTTTACGAGATTATTTTTTAATTGTCTATTGTTAGAATGATTTTAATTAATTTTCAAACTTTCCCACATAAATAGAAGTTGTAGGTTCTTCTTTGTTTTTCTTAAATGGTTATTTTACCATTTAATTCATTTTTAAACGAGCTTTCAGGTTTGAAATATCTTATAATGTTTTAATCTCCTTATCCATTTCTTCAACTTCTGTAACTACTCTTCTGTTTTATTCTTCCGACTATCATTTATATACATTCATCTACTTATTTCTTCAATTATTAATTGAGCATCTTCTGAAACATAATTTTTAACGTAATTTTTAATTATATATAAATAATTCAAACAGTCATCTCTATTTTTATTTAGCTTGTATATATTACAAATATTCCTAATTTTATTAATCATTAAATAATACTTCTTTGCTCATTTTTATTGTAAAAACTAATTCATCCTATTATGTCTTACTCTTGATTTAAGAAGATTTCACCTATTAAGGTTATTTACTTGTCTTTTTATTGTTTTATGCAATTGGAGTTGCTTATTTTTATTTATTTGTGCTATTATAATTACTAGAAGTATTCATTTTATTAGAAGGTGATTAAACCCTTTTAGATGATATTGATACAAAGTCTGTAACTTTTTAAACATTTAATTAATTATCATTAACAGGTGGAGGTGTGGTATTCTTAATAGGAGATGATCTATAAATTTCATTTATATATATACTACTGATTATAATTTTAAGTTTCTTCATAAATTAATCTATTAACATCAATATGAGGACTTATTAACTTTCTTAATCTCAATTTCATTTTCTCAAAATAACCAATACGATAATCAGCATAATTTCTATCATAAAATTTATCAAAATCATCCATTCTCCCTCTTATCTATTTTTATTATTATATTAAATTAAACTCTAGCTTATAGTACAATTAAATCTTAGTATGCTTATTTATTTCCTTTTCTGACTTCATCACACAAATCTATTTATTATATATGATATATTAATACGAATATAGTGTATACAAATCTGTTCTACTTCCTATGCTATGCTAGGCAATAGATCTAATCGTAAGACCAACCATTACTCTGCACTCATATTAATTTTTAATAATTAATTTTATAATCAGTTCCATTTGATTATTTTCTACAAAATATTTCTCTATAATAATTTATCCTAAATTTTATTTTTTTGATTCTTCTAATTCTATTATATGTATATTAACTGAATCTACATCTTTATATACTTAAATTCCATTTGTTTGCATACTTTCCCATGAATAATTTTAGTAAAGAAAGATTTTATAATAAATTAAAGATTATTTACAATATATATTAATTGTATGTTATTATTATAGAAATATACATAATAAACATCAATTCAATCAGTTCCTATAATGAAAGAAATTTCAATAAAATGTTAATTTGTCTTATTATTGTTTATAATAGCGAGATTAACCTTCTTATTCTAATTCTATTATTATTATTAAGAAAAAGATTATTATTATTATTAATTTGGCTATTTCTCATTCTACTTAACATCTACAAAGGAACTGAATGCTTTATTAGGAATAAAATCATTTATAATCCTCATTTTATAATTGGTAATATAATGGTTATGTTTTTTCTTTGGAATACTCAAATAACTTTGAAATTATTGAGGTAAAGATTCCTATGATACAATTGAGAAATATCTATCCAAAATAACAATTTTGTTGGTATTTGTTTATTCTCTAATGAGTAATAAGATACAAAAATCTTAAGCATTATCTGGATTATTTATGATAACTGCCTCTTATACTTCTTATTTCAATTTACTAGACTAGAGACTGTTAATAATAACAATTTTATTTAAATTTTCTAGATACCATTATGTAATATTGTAATTTGAATCAAAGGTGATAAAAGAATTAGTATAAACTTATCTTATACATGGAATATCTTCCCAGAATCTGTTCATTTTAATTGGTAATAATTTAAGTTTATTATTAAAATATTACCAAATAGTAACAGATCTATCATTACTTGCTACAGCAATCAATTGATCACCTATAATGTCAATACTAGTAATACAATCTTTATGTTATTTGATCATTTAATCTATTTTGATTGTAAATGTGTTGTCAATACTAATAATATAATTAAATAATATCATGGTTCCTTTTTCCATACCAACAATAAAATAATTATAACTACCCATAGTTTAACACTATTAAATAGTATGTATTTCTTATTCTTTTTAATCTTTAATTGTGTATTAACATTATATTGTAATTTAATTAGTCATAATATCGAATTGAACAATGTAAATATTATTTTAACCACAAATTGCAATAATAGGATTTAATAGAACTTTTAGATTTGCAAAACTTTATTTACTATTTCGTGATTCACTAATAAATGGATTATAGAGTAATTCCATGCATTAAATATATTGTTATTCTTTACTCTATAATACTAATTATGATTCTAATTTCCATAAATTGGACTCTTTCTTATGAATCCATACATAGATTATATTACTATCTCCTGCAGTTAAAATGACATTTTAGTTCTTAATTACTAAGATACAATAAGGAGTGATAATAGGTAATTATTATTAATTATCCATATGATTTTGCTTAATATTAAGTTATCCTTAAGTCATTAAATTAAATTTAGTATAACCATATGTTTGACTTTTCAACTTGATAGAGGTGTTGGTATTATTGAATTGTTGACCCATTGCAATTATATTATCAATTTCATTAAAGACTGAATAAGAATTAGATGATGAGGATCTACTAATTCTAATATTTTCAATCATTTCAGATTAAGCAATACTTTAAGCTAATAATATTAATATATATTAAGTATACTTTTATTATCATACAAATGGATATTAGATGTCATTGAATAATATTTACTCCAAAGCAATGTTAATATATTTTCTGAATATTCTATGATTTTATCCTAAAATTCTTTGTAAATATTATGATTAAATGATTCAATAATTTATTATTCTTTTGTAATTTATAAACTATTTTCTGTTGCCAAAACTTCTAATTCAGGTTGCATTCTTAATAATACATTATAATATTCTTATAATGAATTCATATCAATCTATTTATAATGTTCTTCTATGTGAACATTACTTTCTTAAACATTTATAATTGATTTAATCTAATCATATGATTATTTGTATGTATTATAATGTTTATCCATTGTGTTTTAGAATTCTACTAATTTATCAATCATATATTATTTTTAGAAATCTATTTAACTTATTATTTCAGTCTTAAATGAACTACTTCTATTCTAAATGCTTAATTAAAATAATATTATACTATTCTAATATTTTCTCGATTGCCTTATCATAATCATTTATGATCTTATCCTATATTGTATTGAAATTACTAATTATTTTGTTCATTTATTGTTTACAATACTCTATTTATTTTGTGTCTATGATTGATCCCATAATAAATACCGAAATTAGGTAAAACTAATTTATTGATGAAATAGCTTAAATTCTCAAATTATTGCAAATGATAATTTTTATTACATTGTTTGATCTCACATTGAGTACAATAAAATGTAAGAAATTGAGGACATAATTGATTGGAACAAAAATGAGTAAGAATTTAATCTGAATGTCTAATGCAAAATTTATCAAACATATAAAAATAATTAATAAAATCATATCAATAATATTTTTATATAAAGGTAAAATAATAATATTTTATTTATTCTTTTTTTATGAATATATCAGATTTTATTTTATTCTTAAGTTTCTGGTTCTTATTATTTATTTTCTTCATCAAATTCTAAATTTGGAACATATGCTCCTCCTTCATTCTTTTTCATGCAATGGAATCCAACCAATTTGCACCATAAGAATAAATCTGCATCTAATTAAGCAGCTCCCATATATTAATCATTTTTATTAATTAATAAGTATTTGTGATCACAAAATCTTTACAAAGCCAATTATAAATAATAAGTATATCCAGCTCCTACAATTATTAATAGAAGAGTAATAAATAAATTTGATCTTGTTAATAATCCCAAAAATCCTGAAATAACTGCTGATACTATCAAAACTGTAAAGAATTATTTCTTTACTACTAAAGCAATATCTTAATTTTCAGCTATAAAATATATTCATTTTTATACTTATTCCCTTTTTAATTAAAAATAATAAAAATAGAATGACAATTCCAAATACTAATTATATTAATTCAAATTTGATTGATTCAAAATGAATTGTAAGGTAAACCATTAATAAAATTTTACTTACAGAATGAACTATACAAAATCCATAATTTTTAGGAACCTAAAAAAATATATTAATTATCTACCTTATCAACAGATCCTGGACAGAATTATACTATTAAAATAGAAACTATGTATAAAATTATTGTCAATTATTCTAAAAATGGAATAAATGTTAGAATAGATCCAAAGAAACCAAGTTGAAGTATCACCATTGATAATAAACTTCCTACTAGATATTATGAAGCAGCAACAACTAAAGATTTTTGTTAAGCTATTTAAGCTAAATTTCCAGTTAAGCCTATCATCTCTTAAGCCTTAGCAATCTATTCATCTGCTTATCTCTCAGCATCTTAAAGCTTTTATCCACCTTATCTATAAAATAATATATCTTTTATCATTATTACTCCTTTATCTTTTTCTCCATTTCCTCAGCTTTTTTGGCTCCTTCCAAAGCTGCAGGGATTGCTGCTTACACAAGAGTGGTATCTTCTTCTCTTCTTTCACTCATTTATTATTAATATATATAAATATATATAAATATATCAAAAACGAAATATGTAATATACAGTTCAATCTTATTTCTCTTGTTTATTGTATGTATGATATATCTTCTCCCAATTAATTATTGTGTTCTCTACATTATCAATAACATTCTGCAGTTGTTTATCCTATTAATGTTGAATATACATTAAATACATAAAATTCATTTAAACTAGCCCATAACGGTCTAACAATAACTTTAAAAAATCCCATTTCATTTTTAGCCATTATTTCTTATTAGTCTAAGTCTTTCATAAATGGTGTTTAAGTAATCTTACGAGTTCCTTCCTCATCGAATTAGGCTTTAAATTCCATGTTAACTTTCTCTGTCCAAGCTTTCGATAATTCAAATACTTTTGCAGCACCACTAAAATCTGAAGTATGAATAATCATTCCTGTAAACAATTTTACATCACCATCCATTTAACCAAACATCCTATCCTAATTATCTTTACTTTCTTTCACTCTTTACTCAAAATCCTTAATTAAACCAAAATGTTATTTAATATCTGTGAATAGAATGTTTTCAACTAATGTCTATCTGAAAATAGACAAATCTTCAACACTTAATCCTGATAATATATTATAATTATCCTAATTCAATAATCTCAAAGTGACAGCTGCATGATGATTTTCCAAAGGCTAACAAAATAAATCAAATAAATTACACTCTTATCTAAGTATCTTGTAGCCAATTTGCTTTTGCTATTGATTTCAAACTGATTCGTCCTTCCTGTATGTGAAATATCATGACATAATCCAGATATCACTGTTGCAAAATACACAATCTCACTTATATATTCATGTGCTTTTGGCAAAGAACATAAAAAATTACAACTGTGCATTACAGTAATACCATGATCAAAATTATGAAAAGGATTCTTCCTTTTGTTATATTTTCTTTCAACTTCTTTAATAAATTTCATCAGAACATCTTCATTTATATCGTAATTATCAATCCATTCATTTTTCTTAATAATATGATACACTAACTTTGCTTTCATGTTGTCCTTATACTATTAATCAATAAATGTAAATAATTACAGAGAAAATATTAAATTCAAATTTATCTATTGTTTTGTCTTCATATAATGTATCCAAATCATCATCCTCTTCTATTTCCAATGCTGATTCTATTGATTTTATACGTAATTTAGATGCTTAGTAATGAAATGCTTTGATTGTTTTACCCAACATTTGAATACTCAATCTAGGCTTTCTGGTTTTACATGATTATAATGAATTATTTGATTAATAATATTGTTCTTAATTATCTAAAGATTACTCTTCTGGTATAAATAATGAAATATATGAATTTTTAACATTTGGATTGGATTTTTGTAATTAAGAAATGAATTTAAATGTTTAATGTTTGTTATATGAACGTTGAATTGATTATTTGATTTCATCTTCCAATGATTCTTCGTTTTTTAAATTCTTTATGTAATCTGTCATTCTTGATCCTTCTTAAAGATGAAATATTATCACAAATCCTTTATAAACTTAATCAACCACCTTCAAAAATATTTCAAAATCTTCATTTTAAATGTATTCATTTTTCTTTTTCATCATAAATTCATCCAAATCTATATACTTTAAAATTCTTTCATCTGTAAATAACTCTTTGTAATGTGGAGTCCTTTTATCTAAAGAAAATTAAATATTATATTTCTATTTGAGAGTCTCCCAAATATAGTGATTCAAAAATATAAGTCTGCCATTTTTATCAAAATCAAATAGAATTGTATCTGTAGATCTTAAAAAGTATTTATAATATGCTATTTTCTCATGACACAATCTCAAATGTCTCTAATATTTAGATTTCAAATTATATATTTCTGTATAAATGTACTAATGATCCTATCTATTAAGATAAAACTCTTCCAAAATTAAAGCAATAGGATTCCTACATTTCATTTCAATTCTTACAGAATTCATTTATACTTCCTATATTTCATCCCCAGAGTATATATAATCTTTCTTAATTTGAAAATGAGGATTTAAAGCTCTAAATATTTCATCAAATAGGATATATTGTGATGACTCTACAAAACTTAAAACTATATCCAAAATCTAATCTGCAAATTAGACTGGATTAAAATATTGAACTCTGGCTTATAAAATCACATCAATCAAGAAATTTGTTAAGGATAAGACTTCATCTTTGAATCTGTATTCGTTAGCTTCACTATTTTAAATAATATAAAATATTGTACTTTATAAATCTTCTAAATAACTTATTTCTTCCTGGTTTATTCCAATAAAAGAAAAAAAATGTCTCTTATTTATTTTAATTGATGAATCTTATTATTGATAATTCAGTAAATTAAGAATTCAAATCCAATACTTATTCTAATAGCTTAGTTTAATTTTCATTATTCTAAAAATTATAAACAATATTAGGTTTAAGATGTGAAAAATTTAAGAAGAATACTTATTGTTTATCTTTTTCAATCTATTTTATTGAATCTTTTTCTGTAGAATAGAAATCCCACTCTTCATTTCTTTTAATCAGAAAGTATATATCATCCGAATCAGTTAATTCTTTAATAAGTGATTTAACAACATTTACTAAATTATTGTATGATAATTCCTCTTACATTAGTAAATAATGTGTATGTAAACTTCCCAAAAATAAACTCTATAAAAGATAATAATAATTATTTTTATACTTTTAATTAAGCATAAGTTTATTTAATTTAATCGATTATTTGAATATAATATTTACTTTTTAACTGAACGCTAGTATCAATTTAATCAGACTTCTCATCTTATTATTCTTAAATTACTCTTCCACAAACACTAATATTTGTACACCTTATAGGTGATTCATTGTCTAATTCTGATTAATTTTGAATCCCTAAATATTTGTTAATTTAATCCCTTAATTAGGTTAACTTCTTGATATCTGTAGGAATTAAATGTCCTCCATTTGTCATATTTATTGAGAGCATAGTGTCAAGCTATTCAATCAGTTGCAAAATGAAGGGAGATAATGACTATTTATATTTAATTCAAGTAATACATCTTAATTGGTCTCAACTATAGGATCTTCTTACTAAAATTAAATTTGTCTGGCACTTACACTAAATTTGTTACTTTTATTTTTTTCTGCAATTTTGATATGAGGTATAAAGGTATCGTTTTATTTATGATTAGAGTACTAAACTATTCTTTCACGAAATTATTATTCCCTAAAATTTATACTCTGTATTTATTTTACATATCTTTACTCCCATATTTGCTAACAATCTCCATTAGGCTTTTCTCTTTTCTTAAAATGCTTTATTCTAATTCAGTTTTTTACTGTTTATTAATAACCTTGTCACTCACCAAACTATTGATTGTTATGAAAAATTAAGTATATTGAGGAAGTCTCAGTTCCATTAATTTCTAATACAATATTATATATATAAATATAATCAAATATGTGTTGATTCATTATCCTATTGTCATTTGTGTACTTCTTCTCTTTAATATACTACTTTTAGAAGCAGGCACTAGAATTGGTACTGATACCATTTTCCCTATTATTGGATTATAAACTTCCAAATTTGATTTTTTTTCTGGTGTTTCTAAATGTATTATGCATACTGAGTTACATATATTTTCATTAGCAGAGCATTTTTTACTTGCCAGTTTGTGATCAGATGATTTTTATAAGGAACAACCCATCTAATTTACTATTTTAAATTTAATAATAAACCTGAATATGCTTAAATTATTTGATGCTTTAAATTTAATATTTATTCATAAATACCAGTTTTATTTGTATTTCTATTAATTCAATAGGTTATTTCTTTTTAACTCATCCTTATTTATGACTAATATATTATTATATATATAAGATAAATTAGGAATTTATATCATACTCATATAAAGTCAAATTCTAATTTACTTTCAGATGAAATATCTAATTATTTATTATTATCACATATACTAATTATTCATGACTCTATTAAACTTTTATCTATAAAAATTATAGTATAAAATCATATATATTATGATGTGAGAAAATAAGAACAGACAGTTGATAGAATAGAACTTTGTGTAATTCCTTTATAATAAAATATATTATTTCGTTTGTTTAATTTAATTTAATAGGGTGCGAGGGTTTCCCCTCACTAGCAGAAATTGAGCGATAAAGCCTTTCCAAACGGAAAGTTTTGGGGCCTCACTGACGCCGGTTGTGCAATGGCCAGCTTAACCCCACACTACTGATCTGCATGATCATCAGCAGTGCTCGCCAGGTAAGTAAAATTTATATTTAAAAATTTTGGTTTATATAATTTAATATAAACCAAAATATTATGGGTTTATTAAGATGAATTGATTATATTCAATTATTTTGTATTACATAAAAATATCAATTTGATTATTCATTATAATCATCTAATTATTATATTAAGAGAAAGAAACTAATAGGATAGATTTATGGTTAAAGCAAGGTTATCACAATTAAAATCTACATTAAGATTTGTAATTTGCTATTAAATATTGAACTGAGTAACAAAGCTAATCAAAATGAAATTTCAAGAAAATGAAATGCTATGATGGTTAATCTTAATAAAGAATGCAAATATCAATCCTTAAAATTTTTAATATAATATTTTACTTACTTTAACCAAATATTAATTATAATTCTTTATTTAAAATAAATAAATAGATTAAATATGATGGAAGTAATTCCTGAAAATATACTTGATACTTAAGCAATTTGCAACATTCATATAAAGAATTTCTGATTATTTCATTATACTTTAAAATTTATTAATTTAAATAATAAAATAAGAGATCATGAAATAATAATTTCAGAACAAATTGAAATAATATCTAATATTTATATTCTATCAAATTTATCTCATATATCATCTTCCTCCAATTAGTTGTGGTTATTGTTGTAAAAATTAAGGCTGCATTAAAGGTTAGGCCATCTATTAAGCCAACTAAATTAAATAATATTTAAATACCAATTAATCGAATTAAGGAATATTTTATTATTATGATTATTATTATGGTTATTGCAAAAATCCATTTTATTATTATTATTATTAAATTTATGGTATTTATTATTATTATTGCTAAACCTACTATTATGGAATCTATTAATAAGATTATTATTATAGATTTTAAAATTGAACTTGTTAAGGAATCTATTATTGCATTGATTATTATGGAATACCTTAAAACTATTATTAACCCTATGTAAGTATTTAAGGAATTTATTATTATTATTAATATTAAGGTATTTGCTAAGGAATTTATGATTATGCTTAAGTTATTTATTGTTAATTCAATAACTACTATTATTGTTAAAAAAGTTGTTATTAACTTAATTATTAAGGAATTTATTGTTGATTTAATTACTATTATTAAAGGATTTATTATTACAGTAAGATTTACTAAGGGTTCAATATAGGCTATGTTATAGGTTAAGAATAAGCAAGTGGTTATTATAATGGAATTTGAAACTATTATTATGCTTAAATATTGTCATTCTTTACTATTGTTGGACTTGATTAGAACGATAATGGGTTCAGCATTTATTATTAAAGTAATTGTTATTATTATTATTATTATTATTATTATTATTATTATTGTTATTGTAGCTATAACAAGTAAACCATTTATGCTTATTATTGAGCAGTTAGAAAATTAGGATCTACAACTTATGGAAAAAGGGAAGGTACAAAAACCCCTTAACTCTGTTGTAACATAGATATTTATTAAGTCAACTAATTTTATTTTTCCATAAATTGCTTTATTAATTATTCTTGAGCCTATAGTCTTTAATCATACTAGGATAATTAATCAACTTGTTAGGGTTGAGGTATATATTAATTTAAATTACTTTGGGTTCCTACTTATAGAAAACTGAAATCTTTTCCATGAGCTTTGGTCTTTTTTACAATAAATTCAACTTCTTCTCCTTCTCCTTCTCCACTACCTTCAGCTTCACATGCTCCACCCTCTGCTTCTTCACCTCCTCCTTCTCCACCTTCTTCTTCCTCTTATGCTGCTTCTGCAGGAGAAAAGCTGCATTTACAAACTAAGTTCTCAAAAAATTCTGGCCCTTAAACCTATACAAATTGCATTGGATGTTATGTGTTGATCCCTCTTTATTTGATTTTGATTTGCTATTAGACAAATGAATAAAATTCTTATGTTTTTTCTTCTTCTTATACACGTAATCTCACATTCAAAGATGGATGCCATGGTTTATATCCTTTAGGCTATATTTTTAGCAGATCAGATAAGGCATCATCAACAGTTATGTAACTAAAAAGCTCTAATAATTTTTAGTCATAAATACTAAGTGCTTTGGCATAGAGTTCCTACCAATAAAAACAAAATAAACATTATATAAAAATTAATAAAACGGATTTATAATAAATGTTAAATTTTTTTGTTTTAATCCTTGAACACTTAAACATTTTAATAGAATTATTTTTAGAATGAGATCAAAGTATAATGAAAATAAGAAATGATTTTAATAAGAAATTAATTGGTTTTAATATTTGTTATGAAATTATTATTCATGATTTATGTGTTATTTTATACATTGATGGTATATATCTTTAAAGAAGGGCTTGAAAAAAGAATCCAAGAAAAGATGTTACTATGACAACTGTTAAAACAACCCAATTGAATCCTTCAAAACTTAATTAAAATTATAATTAATTCTTACGTATCCTCCTTAATATCAATTACATCACACCAAGTAGCTCTTTGAGGGAATATAAATGATACTATTGCAACAACAAAACCAAGAGTGGTCCATAATGTTAGTAAGATATTTTTATAGTATTTGACTTTAAAAGGATTTGATATGTATATTGATACTCCAAAAGACATGAAGTAATACATTAAACTTAAAAACATGATTGAATTCAAGTATCCTTCTCTTTAAAACTTTTCAATAGGTTTAGAATATTCAAAGAATCTATCTGTTGTATTGAGAATACCATAATTAATACATAAACTAGATTATAGAAATTATATTAATACCCTAAAACAGCAAAGAAAATGTTAGTATAGATTTGAATTTAATTTTAATAGGAAAATTGATCATCTAATGGTATGTATTCTGCTAATTCTGTGGCAGGAGAAGAAATGCATAGGAAAATTAACAATGGAATATTGGAAATGAATCCAACATAAACAGTTTAAAATTCAGCTAAAACAATAGAAAATTGAATCTTACAAAAATTTTATACTTCTAAAAACATAATAGTTACAGCAGCAAATTTAATACCATTAACACTAAGTTGATATTAGAAAACTTCAATAATAGTCATTATGGCTGCTTTTCCTTATGCTAAGACTTAAACACAACATTTTAATGAAGTTGATTTAGAGCTAAATGGTGCAGTATAAGAAGCATCAGATTCACTAAATGAGATTCCAACTTATGCCTAAGCAATAGCAGACTAATTAATAAATAATGAAATATTTTACACAATCATTAGCACCATCTCCAGTCATCATGACTTATCTTCCCATTTCTTAGAGCATTGCAACAATTTATTTTTTTTGTTCAGGCTTTTATCTGGCAAAAACTCTAGTTTTAGAAATTAATTTCATAGTTATTTCTTTCATTTTTGTATCATCATATTCAATGGCATTATTTTCAGTAAAGATTTGATTTGATGAAGTATTTTAAGTCATACTAATACTAGTATCTCTATTTGGATTGACAATAGTTAAAAATTTAGAAATAAATTCCAAGAATTTTCCAGTAATTGCTGTCATTTTATGATTTCGAATAACTTCATCAATTACATTTTAATTTTCTATGGCATTTTCATCATAATTAGTTTAATTATCATTATCTATTATGACTATTTATCTTTTGGATGAATTATAATCTAAAATGATAACTTCAGAATTAATATCAATTATTCCAGATATTTTAGCACAATATATAGTAGTTAAAGGACTATCACCAGAAATTACTTTAATATCTAATCCACTGTTTCTTAAAATTTATATAACTTAAGGAGTATCATCTTTTAATGGATTTTCTAAAACAAACATTCCAACAATATTTAATTATGTTTCTAATTCTTCTCTCTGTAAATCTAATTGATTGTTATTTAATTTACGATAACCTAATCCTAAAACTCTAAATCCATTTGATGCATATTTCTTGACTTCATCTAAAACAACTTACTTTTTATCTTAAGATTATTAATTAATCATTTCAGGAGATCCTTTAGAAAATAAATAAAAATTAGTTCCATCTGTTGCTATGACACTCATCATTTATCTTGCTGAACTAAAATCAAAGATCTTAATAATTTCAAATTCTTATTAATCTTTTTTAACTGAAAAGAAAGATTTGCCTTCAAAATTAATTTTCCAACCAATAAAATTTAACATTTCTATTTCTAAAGGATCACCTTGTAATTCTCCATTAATTAATAAAAGATGATGACAACATGCTAAAATATAATTAGCTATTTATTCCTATAAAATATAAATATAAATTACTAATGATTGATCATGAGTCCAAACTTTTATTGCTTTCAATCCTAAAGTAGTTAGAGTTCCTGTTTTATCAAAACAACAAGTATCAATACGTCCAGCAGATTCAATCTTATCAGCATTACTACCATTAATTCCTATTGAACTTAGTCTAACTAAACTAGCTGTTTTACAAATATTAAAAAATATTGGCATTGATGGAGGTATTGACCAAACAATATTATCAAGAAATCTTAATACTAATAAACTTGTTTTAAATTCCATTGGTATATATTTAATTAACATAAAACCATAAACTACAGCTATTATTGTTGCAAATGATAAAATAAATTTAGCAGCTTATATATAAAATCTTTATGATGGAGGTGCTGGAAATAAAACATTTCTAAAATATTATCCTCTTAAAGAACTAAATCCAGTTCTAAGTACTATAGCTACATTTTCTGTTGTTGAATTTACTTTTACTATATTTGTTCCTTCAAATAAACAATGTTGATTTAGTGTTTCAAAATTAAATTTGGCTGAATGATCAGGTAAGGATGTTTTAGGAATTGGAACATTTTCTCCTGTCAATGTTGCTTCATTTACCATAACATCTCCTTAAAGTATAGCGCAATCACAATTCAATTATTAACCTTCTTATAATATTATGTAATCTCCTGGAAGTAATTCAGATCCATTTACAGTTTTTAAAGTGTCACTCTTCAAAATTACATTCTGATGAATATTAGCTAATTTTTATAGAAGACTTCTTGATCTTCTATATAAGATATAATTGACTATAACTGCGATTGCAGTGAATGCTAATATAAGTATTGGAAATGTTATTGAATTTTAAGCAAACCATACAGCAACTGCAAAATATTAGAGAATATTAAATGGACCGGTTAGGTGCTCAAATAAAAATTCAGGTAAGGGTTAAATGGGAATTTAGAGTTGACATTTTCCATAATATTGTATTTTTAAATTTTAAGTTAATACATTACGATTTGCTATTATATCTTTTATTAACTTTCCATCAGTTTCAAATTCAATTGGTTGATAACATTAAGTTTTAGGATCAAATGCATATTTAAGAAGTCTAAATACAAAAATCATACTACCTGAATGTGAAATAATAAATGCCATTCATCTACTGTTTTTCTAATGTAAATTATTGACCATTCTATGTATCTACCCTATAATGTGTTCCCGTCTCTTCAACATTACAAGGAGTAAATAAAAACCAGTTATACAATTTTTTACTCCATCTCAAAGCCAATGCAAACATACAGCCTGTCATTATGGAAATAATAATCTAAATTCTCTTATAAACAATTACAGTTAAAATAAGTCTGATTCTAAGGAATCTAACAGGAGTAACTTTTAGAAGTGGATGCTGTCCCTCTATCTCTGCATTATTAACACGATAAGACATAGTAAATATTTGAAAAGTTAAAATATATTTATTAATGATGTTAACTTAAAAAAATTAACATTATATATTCAAAAGATTTTTATCGTTAACATCACATTTAATTAAGTCATTACTCAAATGAATTCATTTACCTAAATGATTATTGCCAAATTTTACTTCATATATAATAATACTTTATAATTATTTTTTATTCATTTAAAGCTCACTAATTATTGTAATATCAAAAGTACATAATATTAAATAATTGTTCTCTTTATCCAATATTAGATTCATAAATAGGCTATACTAAATTACTTAGATAAGCAACTATTAATAATTCTAATTTAATATTCTTCTATTGTAAAATATGTAAATGCATTTACAATTCTTGATTGATTCTTATAATTTTAATATCGTCATTGATTGAGATTTTAATTTTCTAATTAACTAAACTCTAAACAAAATCAAATGACCAATAAAACCAGTAACCATCAAATTAAATACTTTATTGAATCTTATATGATGAATTGCTTTTCAAAATTTAACTATTGTTTATGTATTCTACTGTTAATAGTAAACATTAAAATAAAATAAAATAATTTTTGATTTAGTACTTCCACTTACTAATTTCACTTTTGCTTTAATATAAGAATATTATATAATGTTAACGAACTTCCAAAATTAAATCATTTTACACTATGTTCTATGTTATAGATTAGAGTATCCACTTTCAGTTATGTTAAGCATAGATGATATAAATAAGTAATTGTTTGTATATAGTTTTATAAAACACTTCATTTATTTGTTATTAAATTTTAAATAAAATTATGCGATAAACATCTTTAATTGTCATTTCAAAATGTTTAGCACATCTCTTAAAATAAAAAATATTCTTTAATGGAAATTTAGTTTCTTATATATATTAAACATTAGGAATAATAAGATGAATTTATAAAGATTGATTATTTTTTTATTAATTATAATAAATACTTTAAAATTTTAATAATTATCAACAGTTGATTGTTTATGAAGAATACAAATTTAATAAAATATATTAATTTATTATCTATCTAATTTAAAAGAATGTTTACTTTAATTAATCAAAAATACTCTTTTTTATTGATCAATTTATTTAAATTATTAGTTTGATAATTTTGATATACAATTTACGATATTAATTCCTTCTTAAAATAATTATAAGAATGATAAATACAATAATGTTTTCACTTTAAAATTGTGAAATAACCAAATACTTAATGACATACATTAAGGATATTAAGATTATTTATGAATTAATAAATTGTATTTATTATTATAAATATTTAGCTGTTAAGCTATCAAATATGTATAGAATACCACTTGATGATTATAATTCAAACTTAGATACAAAATTGAATATTTGTTAAAGTACTAGAAATTGTAATTAACCAAAAATCAATTTTTCTGTTGATAGAACATCAAGAGCAATGTATAGTATGATTTATGAATAATAGTTCTGGAAGAAGTTGTAATGTCAAACATTAATTTGATGTTTTAATGGGAGTTGAATATGAAAGATTGAATTAAGAGAATGATAGATTAAGAAATTAACAAAAAGAGGAGAAGGAATGTGATAATGAAAATAAAAATAAAAATAATGAAATTTAGTTAAAAGATTAATCTGAACAATTAACAAAGAAAGAACTTTAATGTTAACATTTAGAAAACAAATTAACTGATGCAAATAAAATGATAGTTTAAAAGGAGGTGTTGATACAAAATTAATATTAATAAATAAATTAGCAATTATAAGTAATTTAATAGTTATAATATACAATAAAATAATTGGAATGTAAATTAGGATTTCTAGTTTGTGAAAATGAAAATTTAAATAATAAAATAAATGATGAATAATTGAATTAATAATAAATAATAAAGTAACAAAAAGATTATGAAGAATTATTTAAAGTTTATAATTCTTTACTGGAAAATTATAATTTATAGAATGAAAAATTAAAGAGAATAGATAGTTAATATAAAGAATTAGAATAGAATTATTAATAAATTATGGAAAAGAAATAGTAATAAGAGACAGAAATAAAAAGTAAAATGATATAATATGTTGATTGTAAATAGAAATTGACTATTTTAACAACTGAATTGGATCGTATGAATGAAGTTATCAAATAATAATAATAAGAATTTGATTAAAAATAAATAAAATTCTAAAATAAATAATAGATATTATTAATTAGAATAATTTTACATTGTGCTGAAATTGATCGATTGATAGAAGTATAAAGTAAATTAATGAATGAAAATAAATGGTATCGTAATCAAGTTGATCTATATGCTATGATGATAGGAGAGAATAATAAAATTATTAAATCAGATATTTGATTTGTTTATTTTAATTGATTTATTTATTTATTTAAAAAACTTTAAGATTAAATTGATAGAAAAAGATATAATAATAATAAATTTTAATGAATATGAGTTTCATTCTTTTTTTTCATCTGAAACATGCTACAATAATTAAAACAATGTGAGCAAATAGATATACAATATCTATGTATATGAACATAGCACCAATAATATAATCATCTATTGATAATTTGTGAGTCTACATGAAATAATATAATTACACTTCCTCCAATAATTAATTGAGTATCATATATTAAATAGACTCCAAATAGTAAACTAGAAATCAACGAATATAATAAACTCATTGCTTGATCATAATATACTCCTGATAATATTGCAAAAAGAAATAGAGAAGTACTTGCCATAAATAAAAATGCCCCTTTAATAATCTTAGATAATATAATACCTTTAGTTGTGAAATCCTTTTTGGTTTTGCATGCATAAAGAGTGAGTCCAATTACAGCAGCTAAAGTAAGGGCAGCAGCCATTAAAACAATAAATCCTAATTAAGAATTCAGTATACCTCCTTCATCACTATATTTGTTGAAAACATAACTACAAAGTTGAGATATAATGTAACTTTCAGCAACTGTAAAAACAAAGAGAAATATATAATTATGAGGTACTCTCCAGGAATATTTGGGTATCCACAATAAAATCATTTCAATAATGATTGCTATTGCAATTGCCAAATAAACCCAACCTGAATGTTCATTTTAGAAATCTCTAAAAGGAATATAGAAATAAGAGAAGCAGCAAGCTACAACTGTTAATATTAATTGTAAAATCATTATACTATAAACCTTGTTAAATATTATATGAATAAATACTTTTCTAATAAAACCAGGTCTTTGATCTGCTGATAATGGTTTATAGTTTTCATTCTTAGCATACCATCGTTCATCAATTTAAACTAGTTATTCTTCTGATTCTACTTATTAAGCAGAATTTGGGTAATTCTAAGTTGGTTTCACATCATAAACAGGAATATGAACATAATTATTTTTTTTCTTTTCTTCTCCATTATTTAAGACTGGAGATTATTGAAATTCTATATCCATATTTTACATGATCTTAATTTTAAATATATAATAACATTCTTATCAAGTTTATGTTTTCAATTAAAATGACTAAATAAAATTAATTTCTTTTACGATGATAAAGAAATCAACGCTTAAACTTTGGAACATACTCATTCATACCAAACTCATGGATATTACCTAAACAATCATCAATTTTTATGATCTATTTAATATTTTTGAAAACTTAGATTAATCAATTATTCATAAATTATATATTTAATCAAAACTTCCCTTTATAAATTTCAAATAATATATAAAGTTCATTGTGTCTTTTAAGATTTCCTTACTGTTTACTAAACTATTGATATTTCTTCTATTTCTACAGTAAGTTCTATCAAAATATTTTGCTTCTTTGTTGATATTCATCACTTGTTTTTAAATATTTAAGTTTTAATTATTATTCATTACACTCTCATTATATATCCATTTTTATTTGTTTAGCTAATACAATTTTATCAATAATTAAACTTTACTTCAAATTTAAAGTTAGTTACTTTGTAATTTCATTCTTAACTATTAATTCATTTTTAGCTCTGTAAACTATTGAAATATCTATTTAAAACAATTTAGTAATTAGAGTAACTACTTAAAATTATCTTAGTAATTTAATGAGATGAATTTTCAGCTCAAAAAGATTAATTTAACTTCCAAATTTAAAAATTACATAGAATAAATGAAATAAAATTAAATGTCCTAACTAATTACTAGAATAAAATTTAATTAAAACTATCTGCTTAGATCTATTAAATTAAATTCGACATTAACTTTAATAAAAAACAAATATATATATATATGTTCAATGATTTCAAATATCATTCATTAAAGAAATTAGGCATTTATATAAAAGAAGATACTGTTTAGTTAATGCTTAAACTCTATGATAGAAGTATTAATTCACAATAAAACATCATTTATTTTACTTATTTATTCAACATAGAATTGATAATTCTTATTTATAAATAAACCTATTAGTTTAAGTTATTAATTTAATTAATATTTATTTTTCTTTATAAATTGAAGAAATTTATACAGAAAAAATAATTATTCTTTTTTTAATAATGTTTATGTTCATGTAAATATACTCCTTATTTTTTGTATAAAAAATTATTGCTCATAATTCTTAATCTCTAAATCCAAGCATTTCAATGTCAAATTATAAATCTGAATTTGGTGGAATGACTCTACCTGCTCCTCTGTTTCCATATGCTGTGGCAGATGGGCATATAACTGTAACTTTATCACCAAGTGTTAAATTTAAAACAACCTCATCCCAACATTTAATGACTTAACCAATTCCTACTTTAAATTCAAATGGTTAATTTCTATCCTTGCTACTATCAAATTTAGTGCCATCAAGTAATTTACCCTAATGTATATATACAATAATACAGTATAATGAACCTTTACTGTGTCACCCTTCTCTGGATAATTAGAATTGCTGCCTCTTTCATGAATTTTGATTGAATATTTCTAGATGAGATCTTAATCATCAAGAGAAGCTAAAGAAATTGAAATAATTAAGGAGAGCAATAAAAACTTATTCATAATATTAAATAATATAATTTATATTCAATATTTTTTTAAGAGATTTAATATTATTATTACAATATATAAGAGTATATATTTCTAAATGTTACTCTATTAAATGAATACTAAAAAAGATTTTTGGATGTTTTTTTTCTTTTATTTATTATTTACTTACTAATAACAATAAAATAAATATAATATCTTATTATTTATTCTAATCAATTGATTCTTTCAAATTTTATTATATTATTTGGTTCAATATCTATCTAAAAATTTATTGGGAATCTAACTTATAAATTAGGATCCAATGTAATATTGTAATTCATTAAAATATGACTAAGAATAACTTTCATATTTAATTAAGCCATATGTTAACCTATGCAATTTCGCATTCCAGCTGAAAAAGGCATATATACAAATCCATTATCCTCTTTTATTGGGTTAGCATTTAACCATCTCTTATAATCAAATTTATCAGGGTTATCATAATGTTTATTTGACCATCCTGGAGCAGCAAATAGAACTAGTACATTAGTTCCTTTATCTATTTTTAAATTTTTAATATAATGAGTCTTTTTAGCCTTTCTAATAAATGGTGCAAATAGAGGAGCCTTGAAACGAAACATTTCCTAAATGAAGGCTGTTAATTTAGTTAATTATTAAAGATGAATGTCTTTGACTTCTGTTTGACCATTCAAAACTTACAAAATTTATTCTCTTATTTCTTTTTAAGCTTCTTGTTCTAATCCTAAAAAATATAATGTCATAGTTAAAGCATTGACTGATGTACCTGAACCAGCAGCAAACATAGTGATAAACATGGAACATATTTCTAAAATTTCAATTTTTGTATCATTTTATTATTATTTTAAATAGGCATCTACATATATATCTAGAAAATCATTTCCTTTATTATTTTAATTAGATATTTTCTAATTTATTTAAGAGGTGATAAAATCAATTAATCTATCAACTCTTTGATTTAAATGTTTTTATGAAGGACTAGGAAATATTTTATCTCCTTTTCTTCCAAAAATCAATCTTTTTAAAACTACATAAGGATTAAATAGATTTTAAGCACCCATTTCTTCATCTAAATCTAAGATTTCAGCTGGAACACTTTAACCATTTAATTTAAATTCTAAAGTTTCACCTCCAAAGAAAGATTTCATAACAATTTCTGTTGTTAAATCAACTAAAAATTTATGAAGTTGATTGATATCTTAATTTTTTATTTTTTCTTATACAACTTAATTAACTTTAGGAATTCTTTCTTTTAATTTATCATAAGTAAAATGATTACCCAATATAGATCTTTATTATTTGAATTTTTATCCTTCTGAATATAATATTCCTCTTGATGTTAATTTTCTTTATTATTATACATTTATACTCATGATATAAAACATCTGCTCTTTAATAAAGTTCATGGTTGATAAATACTTCTTTATAATACTCTGGATCATAAATTTCAATTAAAGGTTCATGCATAAGATTACTTAATACAAATTTAACATTGGGATTATCAAATACTCGTTTTTAGAAGTGTTTTAATCCATCTCCATATAATTAATTGGATTTTGGTATTTATGCAAAATCACCTGTTAAAGGATAGAATCTTATAATAGCCTTATTTCCAAGTGTTAATTTCAATTAAATCAACTTTATATACGTTTTCAAACATGTAAAGTAAATGAATAGAACAAGTAATCCTATTAATATATACAATAACATATTTAAAATTTATTTAATATGTAAAATTATTTCATTGCTTACGCTTTACCAATTTAACTAGATTTTTGGGGGAATATTAAATAAATAATACTAAAGGGAATGTTACTTAAACACTTGTATCTACTGTGACATCATATTTTCTTAAGATTTGACCAATCATAATCTTCATAGTCATCATAGCCATGTGTTATCCAATACAATTTCTTCCACCAGCAGAAAAAGGTACAAATACATAACCATTATCTTCCTTAATTGGTCTCTAATTTAACCATCTTTTATAATCAAATTTATTTGAATCATCAAAATATTTATCATTCCAACTAGGAGCAGTAGTAAAAGCAGATACATATGTACCTAATATAAATTATTATTAATTAAATATACCTTTCTCAATTTTCAAATTTTTAATATAATGGGTTTCTTTTGCTATTCTAGTTAATGGTTGAATAACAGTACTTTTCATTCTAAATGCTTCCTAAATAAAAGCATTCAATAGTACTAACTTACCTAAATGTTATGGTTGAATCTCCACTTCATTCCCTACTACATTAAAGATTTCTTATCTAATCTCTTCTTATGCTTACCTTTCAATACCTAAATAATATAGTGTTATAGCAATTTGATGAGATGATGTATCAGTTCCTGCTGAAACAATTGAAACAAATAATTAACATAATTCTAATTCAGTAATTTTAGGTTCATTAGGTTTTTAATTAAGATATGCATGAATATAAAGATCTATAAAATCTTAATTTTAGTTAGGTTTATAATTAGCAATCTTATTTTTAATAATTGGCATTAAAGTATCATCTATTAATCTATCTATACGAGCATCTAATAATTTTTCTTTTTTTGATGGTAAAAAACCAAAAGCCTTTCTTCCCATTAATGCTAACTTAATACTTACATAGAAATCATTCATTTGCATATTTCCTAATTCTGTTATTAAATCAATCATTTCTGTAGTGATATCATTACCTTAGACTATAATGTCTTATAATTCTTTACAAAAGAAAGTTTTAATTATTATATCACTTGATGTTTTAGTTAAAAAGTCTAATATATTTGTTTTATCATCCTTTTCTAATTTTTCTAGTAAAACTTAATTTATTATTGGCGTTCTTTATTTCAACTTTTCAAATGTAAATGCTTCTCCTAATAAATTTCTTTATTATTTAACTTTTTAAGGTTCACCAAATAATATTGAGGTTGATGATAATTTGCTAAAATTATAATTAATTTTTTACGGATGATATAGAATTTCAACTTTGGTATAGTTTTCATGATTCACAAGAATTGATTTGTAATATTCAGGGTCATGAACAAAAAGGAATACTTTATTCAAAATATTAGAAGCAACAAATTTGATGTTTGGATTGTTTTAATATCTTTATTTAAAGATCTCTGTAGCATCACCGTATTTTTTAAAAGATTTTGTCAAATAAAAGTAATCACCAAATAAAGGGAGAAAGGAAATCTAACAATCTTTTCCATGTTTCAATTTTAAAAACAACAATTTAGCATATATATGTATGACATATACATATAGGAAGATTGCTAGGCCAGCTAAACATATGTAACAAATCATTTAATTTTATTTATGTTTATATATAAACCATAATTAAGTTTAAAAATCAATTATGATATTTATAAAATCAAATTTAATATTTCTTTATTATAATAATATTATCATTTGCTTTATATTATATATTTAAAAACAAAGAGATATATATTTTTAAATGTAAATTGATTAAGATTTTTATCTTAAATCTTAAAATAGTAATATATATATACATATAGATTAAAATTAATAAATATAAATAATAATTAGATTTAATAATAAATCTATTAATTAATTTCTTTTATAAAAATAATTTAGATAATAATATTTATAAATCATTAATATTATATGAATTATTATTGACTCAAGTTTTACATTTAATGTTAAGATTATTATTGGTAATTCAAATTTTCATTATAATATACAGAAGGTTATAGCGGTTAGACTTGATTCAAATCCAAAAAATTGTTAGCTTTTTATTTATCTTTAACAAATTCTTTAAAGTGATTTTAATTTTCAACTTATTCTTGGTTTTCGTATATTCCAAATGTCATTCTTTATTTCATATCTGTCATTGTTGTATGTTATTTAGCTTTAGATTTCTTTCTTAAAACTTCTTATATTTTATTGACCATAATTTGAGTAGATTATGGATCTAAAGAAACTGACATCCAATTTTTAAAATTTTAATCACCAACCAATTAATGTAAATACATACAAATTTAAAATGCGTATGTTTATATTTCACCTCCTTAAGAATTTAAAAATGAACTTAATGCTTATAAAAGCAAGGTAAGTGTATTAACACTGAAAGATTACAAAAATGAACCTATTGTTTAGATTTATTTTGCCATAACTTAAAGACAAAACTTTTGAAGTGGAACTGTAGATTTCTTTTATCCAGTTAATTAAATCACTGCAAATAAGCCTGCTTCATATTATGAACAATTAAGTATGTAATTACTGACAGCAACCTCTGATAGTGATTAAAAATTATACTAAACATTCTTCTTTAATTTATTTGTGTTCAGAGTTTTAAGATTTCAAAATCAATTTTGGTACAAAGACTTAAAAGATTTATGGACAGATTTGTACACTTCTGCCAAGTGAAAACACTTCATTAATTAATGTCACAACATTCCTTTAAATTTTAGGCTAATTATTTTATGAATTCTTACTTTAGAATCATCTATTGATATCATAACCTATTATCCAAACATTTCGAATAATTAATTCACATATTAAGGCACATATTTATTTATACACCTCAGATTTGTAATTGCTTAAAATAACTATAACCATGCTTTCGTTCCATAAGTAAATAGTTATTAAGTCTCTGCTGCCAATTAGGTTAATTGATTTGGATCAATTTATGGTAATTCATTAAAACCTAAGACCTAAATTGTTTGGGGATCCATTTATTCCGAAGTGCAATTTGAATTTTAATTTATTTCAAAATTACGACTGTTAATTTCAATTAAAATCCAGCTTTATAATTATCATTCTAATAATTCTTATATATTACCTATTCTCACTTCATAATCATTCTTGTTTAAGATTCTTAAAACAATTAATATAGGGTCTATCATTTTTAAATAACTTCATTTTTATAAAGGAAATATCAAATACTAAAAAATGACATACTTTAATAAATAATAAAATATAAAATTAGTAATAATAGAAATAACTATTAAAAAATTTATATGTATATATATGTATTAATATTTATAATAATAATAGATCAGACAACAAATATCTTTTTTTTTGTATTTAATACTTTATGATCGTTTTTTTAAGCATTATTTAAGAAATTATGACTAGCTATGATCTATTTATGTTATTTTGGATGTCCAAGATCATCTTCTTCATAAGATTTATCTGATGACTCTGATTCAATAAGATCTTCATTTTATTTCTTATAAAATTTGCATTTCATTTATAGAATTTCATTATCATCACATAATAATTATGGACTTACAGATTAAAATTTGAGAGAATTCTAATAATATTTAATTTTCATTGCTCTTTGAGATTCTCCAAATTGATATTTAATATCATGAACAAATTTATATTTCTTAGATTCAGTATGTGGTCTTGTTTATACTTAAGTTTAAATGAATCTATAATTTCTTTAATATTTTTATAAAAATGTTGAATGACTAGTAGATGGTTTCATTTAGGGTAATTCTTAAATTCTTTTTTAATGAGTATTTTTATTAGGTTATTTCTTTTTTGAATCTATACCATCTTCTTTAGCTATGTCCTTATTATCATTGAATGCTAACATTAATCTTTAAACAAGACCATGTTAAGATTAAGGTCTTTTTGGTTCCTCTAAAACTTCAGGCAATTCTAATTTCTTCTTTTTTAATTGATCATCTTTCATTTTCTATGTTAATTCTTTATATGGTTCAGCAATCGATTTTAAAGCAATATTCATTGGTTAAGATTAAGATTAAATAAGACGTCTATGTTATATATGTATATAAATATTTACTTTTTTTCTCTTTAAACAACTACTTATTCAGGTTAAGCATAATTTCTTTACATTTCCTCCAATGCTGCTTCATTAAAATACTTATTAACTAGAAATCTAACTTTCACTCTTTCTTTTTCATAAGGAGATAAGTTCTCTTTTTCAATCAATTTTAATGCATCAAATACTAATTCAATGTCTTTTAATTTTTAACCAACCCAATCAAATGGAAATTTCCAATAATTAGATCCATCATATTTAGCCAAACTTATATCAGACCATAACTCTCCTTTCATTGACCATATCTTAAAATGTTTATCCATTGATGAACTAATAAATGATACTAATTCCCTTATTTTATTAATTTTCACAATTGCAGAACTATGAGCTACCCATTATCTAATAAGTAAAGCAGAAATATTGCAAGTAAGAACAGGAGATTATTATTTCTCTTCTTAAACTAAAAAGGTTTCAACACTTTTTGATACATCAATCAAATCTTTTCTTTTTAATTAATAGGAATGACCCTTCTTTAATTTCTCCATTTCAGTAATACCTTTTCTTTATAAGAATTCTGTTAATGATAAAATATGCATATATCCTTTTTAATCACCCATATAAAGTAAGGCTCTCCTTTTATTTTAATGTTATTCAGTATCATATTATTAAATATCCTTCATTAAACCTTCTTATTCTTCTTATAAATTTAATTTTGATTTTTTATCCTAAGCAGTTTTATCAACAAGTGGTCCTGAAAATTCAGGTAACAATTCCTATCTTGATGGTCCAGATGATATGTCTGAGAATATGGCAACAGATAACATTGGAGATAAGGGATTAGTATTAATTCTTAAAAGACATTTATTTGTTTTAATATTCCAAATGCTTATAAGTATTCCTTATAAACTCACTAAGACAGGATATGGATCAGCAAATTCTAAAGCAGTTACTTCTGCTAATGGTTATGGTGTATTAAGAACTCCACATAATTTACTTGTTTCAAAATCCCAAAGAGAAATCAATCCATTTGCACTACCAGTTGCTAACATAGTAAAATTAGAACTATATGACATAGATAAGATTTCAGAATTTTAATGACCACCACAAAATACTTTTAATAAGATTGATTCTTCTGGATCTGTTTCATCATATATTCTAATAGTAGAATCTTAACTTGCAGATATTAATAATTTCTCTTCTTATAAAAATATAATTGAACTAATATCTAAAGTATCTCTTTTTTTAATATTAGCCAATTTATTAGCAAATTCTGAATTCTCAATTTCATTGTGCATATTAACCTTTTTTAAAAACTCTCCTGTTTTCATATTATATTATCTAATTAAACCAGCATTATCAGCTATAAATAGTTTTCTTTATCTTCCTCCAAAACAAAATGTTGATAAATCCAATTATATTTTATCATCAAATACTTCATTCATTACTTTCTTTAATTTACCACCCATAGCATCATATATTCTTAAATCAAATTTAGTTAAAACAATAAATTAATTAAAATACATATTGAATTCTACATATATTGGATATACTTCTTCATTAGGTCCTTTCTATTTCTAATTACTACTCATTTATGCAGCATTATAGAAATAATTTAATCTTTTACCAGAATATACAAATCTATCAGTTCTTGTTATTATACATAAATCAGTAACTAAAGATTATTAATCATTTGGTATAACTTAAACACTACTCATTTATCTAATATCCCATATTCTAATATTTGTATGATCATCAATACTAACACAATTAGGTGATTAAGGAATGAATTTACAAGTAACTACTAATGAAGAATGTCCTTCTAATCTTCCAATATAAGCTCTAGTTATAGATACTTCTGGACAATAAACATTAATAAATGTTTCAAATCCATAACTAATTAAATTTGATCCATAATCTTGATTATAACTTAAACCTTTAACTCCTCTTTTTGAAGGAGCTGGTGTTTTTAATTCTGTTATAAATTTTTAATCTTGCATATCCCATAATTTAATTTTACCATCTTAACTTGCTGATGCCAATAATTTAGGACTAATTAATTCAACAATATCAGTTATTTATTTAGTATGAGCATTCAAAAATTTAATTACTTATCCTTTTGAATCTTTTTCATTCCAAGGAATACTCCATCCTCTAATATTATAATCAGATCCAGCTGTTACCCATAATTCATGATAAGGAAAATACCAAATACCAGTTTATAAGACTTCTTATTTAAATTATTTAATAACTTTAAAAGTTGTTGCATCCCAAAATATTAATTATCTATCACTTGTAACTGCTGCTATATAATTATCAACTGTATGAAAATGAATAATAAATATTTTTCCTGATTCAGATTCTGGTGCTAAAGTAAATTTCTTATCTTAACATTCAGGTGTATAGAATCTCAAATGTTAAGAGTTCTATTCTAAACAGATAACACTATCCAATTATTAACAATATGCTATCTAAAATTTTTATAAATTAATTTTACATTCTTAATAGGGTTCTTATGATTGGAATCATCTACTTATGCCATAGGAATATATCGTTTAGATTTTCTTGAATAAGCCCTATCTAATACTTCAATTTCTGTTAATTCTCTCTCTTTCTCAAATCTAGTATCATAAAGTTAAGCATCTTTTGAACCAATAACTGCATCAATAATATATTAAGTGAACTCAGCCCATTCCATATGACCATCACCATTTATATCTATATCTTAAAATAACTTTATCAATCCATTAACTAATTCATATTTATCTTCTGGAGCATGAGATATTGCACATTTCATCAACCATATAAAATTTGGTAACTCAATACCATTTGGATGTTCATGAAACTCCTTATCCAAAGCATCCAATTTTTCATTATCTAACATCATCATCAATCTATCTGCTTAATAAGGGTTACGTTCAACTAATATCATGTCTTAATGTTCATGCAAATATCTAAATTAATATAACTTATATTACTTTATCACATCTGTTAAAGATGGTTCAAATCGTTTAAGTAAATTGTTCATTAAATTATTAAAAAATTTAAATCTTACAACATGGGTGAGATAGTGCCAAATCAATTATTTGTTGCTGGTTATAGTCGTAGCAAAATATCAGATGAAAAGGGAATCAAAGATATTTTCAAGAAATATGGAACCATCAAAGAAATTGCCTATAAAGGTTCATATTCATTTGTTGTATGAATTTCACTTTCTATAAACAGACTTTGTCCTCAGAATCAGAAGCCTAAAATGCTATCTCTGCCATTAATGGACAATTAATCAATGGATAAAAGTTTAAAGTAGATATAGTTGACAACCGTAAAGGCAAACGAATTGGTCCTTAAGAAAAGGATTAATGTTTTAGATGTGGAAAGGGTGGTCATTGGTATTTCTTTTTATACTTATTAAAGGGCTCGAGAATGTCCTAATCGTACATCACCTATGAGAAGAGGAAGATATACTAATTCACGATCAAGGTATTTAAAATTTCTATATTTTGAGACATCAAAGATCAAGAAGATCTGATTCAAGATCTCATTCATATTCTTCATATTCATCTTCTCATTCAAGAAGGAGAAGAGATACAAAGAAGAGAAACAAGTACAGCAGAAGAAGTAGAAGCCCAAGAAGAGATAACAAGAGAAAGAAAAGTACCAGTTGCAGAAGATCACAAAGCAATTCAAGGTCCAGATCATCAGTTAGCAATAAATAACGCTAGTCACACAAGTCATCATCATCTAAATGAGAAAGGATCAAATTAAAGAAAAAAAAAAAAAAAGAAATTAGAAATTAAATCAATCCCTTTCTTCCATTTTTTATTCTCTCTCTTTGTTTCTGGATTAAATTGCGTCATTTTTTGTAAAAAGCTTACTTAAATTAAAGTTCTTAAGCAATTAATAAAATTAACTAAATTTCATATATATATATATATTAAATTAATTTTTATTAATAAATAAAAAATCAGAATCATTTATTAATATTTGATAATAGTGTTAATAATAAATGAAAAAGATTATTTATTTTCTCAATATTTTTCATATTATTATACTTTTAGATAATGTAAATAAATTCTAATAAATATCTAGTGATTTTCAATTATAATATGAATAAATATAATTTGTTCATAGATGAGTTTGAAAATCATGAAATTTATTGGATAAATATCAAAGACTTAATATGCATAATGTAATTTATTATTAAAATTTAAACTTTTATTTTTTTATATCTATATATATCATTTATATGATATGATTAATACTTGAAGGATATATAAACCTCAATAGTTATTAGAAATGAAAAAATATTATATAAATTCAATTTTCTTTCAAACTTTGGCTTCAAATAAAATGTTTTTAACATCTAATTTAATTGGAGGTCTTTTTGGTTTGATTCTAAGATAAAATAATTAGACTTTCTAATAAAATTTATAAGCACAATTAATTAAAGGACTTAATAATCCGATCATTAAACACCCTACTTATATAAAGCCAATTTTTAATATTTAATCTTAAGTAAATTAATGTTTAAAATCTTTACAAAATGATAAATTAATTAATGTAAATAATATTACTGGAAACTCCACAAACAAGATATTCATTTACTCTAATTTAGTATTTGTAAACCTTATACTTAGTATAAACCCAATATATATACAATTAGTAAATGAAAGTGCTATGCTTTATGCTACAGAGTAATCTTGCATTCCAATTAGAATTAATAGAAAAATAAACTTTTTTATTAAGATAATTAATTGATGTTAATCATTTCTTATTTCTTTAATAACATATTTACAATTTTATCTTCTAAAATGTCTCAACACTATAGATATACCTAAAATGATATATCCAAGACAAAAAATTAATGAAATTACATTTCTTATTCCTTATTAGTTGTTAAAAGTTAAATATAATAAAACCTTAAAGCTTAAATCCCAAGCATTGGCATAAAACCAATTTATTATCATATTTACACTATCAAAATTTTAATATTTTTTTATGTACTTATTTAATCCATATAATTATATTGTAAGCCATTCAAATCGTTTTGACTTATATTTACTTACAAAATAAATGAAAGATGAAGAAAAACAAAATTTTGAGCAAAACATCAAATAAATATGCAGAATCATAAGTAATGAAAAAAATGAAACTGCTTATAGTAACTAACATTAAATATTAGTTATTAAATCAGCATTAATTTAATACTCTTAAAACTTACCAAAACTTTAAATTAAATTATTTCCTAAGTAATTTCCAACATTATCTTTGATCCCCAAAAAGTTTAAAATTGGTTCAATAGATAAAAATTCAGATGATTAAAAGTAAATATAAATATTTTGTGGATATTCTACATTTATAAATTTCAGGTAAGAATGAAATTGTAACAGATCTAAGATTTCTAAAAATTAAAAGGGAGAACCAATAAGACATACAAAAATAGCTAAACATCCTAAAACAATCATAAGATTGTAACCAAAGCTTTTAACACTTTCAGAAACTTTTAATTAAGTTTTACTTAAAACTATAGGGGCCTTTAATTCAATTTATTAAGATGATGGAGGTACAAGTAAGTCATTTTAATCCCATAAATTAAGATTGACATTTACATTTAAAATTGGGTTTTGGATTAGTTGTTTTAATATTTGAATTTTTAATTCATAATTGATATTTCTAGTCTCATTTGAGATTATTTAGATTACACTAAAAACACTAATATTATAATAAGTAGGATCAATATTAATTGAGTTAATATTAAAATCTAAAAAGTGAATATCATCTTAATATAGTTTAACTTTATTAGTATAGGATAATTTTACATATTATGTGTTAAAAGTTGTATTTAATAATACAATAATCATTTTAGTAATAGCAAAACAATGACTTTATAATTAAATAGATTCAATACAATTCCAATTCTATTCAATTTTGCATAAATTTGAACATCCATCATAATTCATTCTGTTTCCATCATCGCATTCTTCGTCATAGTTTATAATTCCATTTCCACATGTTAGACACTTATTATTTTCCAAAATATAGTCTGAATTACATTGTAAACAAAGATCTCCCTAACAAATTAAACAATTATCTTGGCATTAAATTACATCTGATTAAATTTTTTCATTCTCTGTCTATGGGATTAAAACACATTCACCATTTTTAAATTCTTCTTCTTCTTTACATTAAATTAAACATTTGCCAGATTCACAAACTTAACAACCATAATTACATTAAAATTAACATTGAAAACAACCATCATATTAGATATCATTTCCGTCTTCGCATTCTTCAAATCCTTATATGACTATCTTATCACCACATATTGGTTGACATATATTATTAATCAATTCAAAATTTTATTGACAAATGATACAAATTGAATCTTAACTGCATAATTAACAATATGCTTAACATTATAATTAACATTCATGACACCCATCATCAATAATATCATTACCATTATCACATTATTCTGGAGAAAATAATGCAACTTATTTATCTCCACAAATTTGTTAGCATTTATGATCAATTAACTACCACCCATCAAGACAAAGATAACATTTATATTAAATACACATTAAACATTCTAATTAGCAATTTTGTCTACATTTATAACAATCATTATATTAGAAATTAATATAATCTTCACAATTACAAGTTTAAATGCATTATCTATTGTTTAATGAAAGTTTATAACCAACTTAGCATTCTTGACTTGTTTCATAAATACTTAGCTTGCAGTTTTCAATTATTTAACAATAATAGTATTAATATCCTAAAATTCCAAAATAATCTTTAAAGTTATAAAAATTTTAAATATTTTAAAGAATATGATATTATTAAGATTGATATCCATTTTCATTTTAATTTATCATATGATAAAAAAAACCTGTTTCTAATTGTTCAATAAAGGTATCACATATCTATTAATCATTTACACATTTATTCTCTATAAGAAAATAAGATTATTCACAAACTTAACAAATTCCAAAATTACAAAGAATGCAATTTAATGGACAAGAAAATTAACATAGATGGCAACCATCATATGGAATTTAATTACCATCATCACAAGCTTCATTTAATATTATTTTTCTATCACCACAAATCGGAATGCAAGTATTTTAAATATCAAGTATCCAGCCATCTAAGCAATTGATACAGCTTCCTTTTATACAATTACTACAACCCAAATTACAATCGTAATAATTAGAGAAACACCCATCAAATGGTTAATTGTTTAAGTCTGAACAAAAATAATCATTCTTAGTAGTAAATAATTAAAAATCTCTTATGCCAAACCAAGAGCTAGAACCATTCACTTTAGTTATCACTTCAATTTGTAGATTGTTATGATTATGTATAAAATCTTCTATTTATACTTTTATAACTATGAAATTGTTGCATAATATTAAGGCAGAAGTTACAAATGAATTTGAATGATAAGTGGATACTAATTAATTATCAATTTTGATTTCTATTGTTGTTGGAGTTTAATTGAATATTAAAACTTTCAAATTAAAACTAATTTTAAAATGATTTTTCAAAACAAAATTTTTGATTAAATTATTTCCTGTTGACCTTAAATAATTGAAATCTATATACAATTATTATCGATACCTGTACATTAAAATACTCCTAAAGAGATTATGCTATTAGTCATCCATCCATCCTCTGATGCTACTGAAGTAAATTTTAAATTATTAAGTGATTTATAAATTAATTCAAAATTCTATTAGTAATTATTTAAAAGTTCAGCACTTAGTTAAAATTCTGAAAAACCCCACTTTCCTTATTTAGAAACCATTGTAATTTAAATAGAATTACTCCAATGAAAAATATTTTCGGATATTTCTAATATCCGATATGATCCAATCTGTGAACATGAATTTGTTAGACTATATAGAGAAGTCTAAACAACAAGTATAATTTAGTTATCAACGTACAAATAAAATTCATAACCATTCCTAGAAGAGTTTATACTATCTTAAGATTTGAATAATTACATCCAAAATTTAAATGATAGATTGATTCTATTATGCAATGGAAGCTCAAAAGTTTTTGTTATTAAACTATTATATTCGTAATTTGTGCACTCGTTAATGACTACTAAGTTTATTAATCCACAAGCTGTCACTGAGTAACTATGATAATCTATTTAGTAAATAGCCCAATTTTATATAAAAAATAACATACCAAAGGCTGTACTTGTAAAAATTCCATTAAAATTACTATAAATTAGTTGAGACCTACTTATTGCTACTAAGAAAATATAAAAGTTCATTAAAATTCTTTTATTCATTCTTGATATCAATATAGATATTAATGTAAATATTTAAATTTTAAATAATTAATTAAATACATAAAACTAAAGCATATTTTTTAATTTAATAATTGCATTAAAAGCTATAACATCTAGATAATAAGATTATTTATCAGGCTTAATATTTAAATGGGACACAAATATATGAAAATTTGATAATATTATACTAAATTATTCATTATACATTAAAATATAAAATTTATTTCTAGTAGATATAATAATAATTTTATTTTTTATTTACCTGGTGTATATTAAATTTTGAAAATATATACTAGCATAGAAGTCAGTTTGGCCGAGTGGTTAAGGCGGTGGACTTGAAATCCACTGGGTTTACCCGCGCAGGTTCGAATCCTGCAGCTGACGATTTTTTTATAATATGATGCAAATTTGGAAATCAAAGTATTTTTTAAACATTTTATTTTAATCCTTTAAGTTGTTAAATTATTTTTAATACAAGAATTAGAATAATATATTCATTTTTCAATGAATTTATAAACTTAGAGTTTTTAGAATACTATTTAAAAAGTATAATTGACCGAATCACTAATTAATTACTTGTGAATATTTTGTTATTTAGTATTAAAGTATTGTTATTAATTACTTATTGAATAATTATATAGATTTGCTATTAAAGTCTGAAGAATAAACAATTTTAGACAGTGTTTAAAATACTACTAATTTTTACATTTAATGCTGAATAAAAAATATGAATTTTATATAAATTTAGGTTAATAATAAGATTGATTTCAAGAAAAGATAACCAAGATCAAATTTAATAAAAAAATTAATTTAGTCAAGTCACTTGTTCTTATTAATTGTTGAACTTCATTAATTAATTAAAAAATGCATAAACTACTTTATTATTTTATATGAGCTTTTTTGAATATTGGGCTCTATTCTTTTATTCATAAATGGATAGATTCAATAATTGTATAACATTTACTAAGCAATTCAAGAGAAATATTAAAATTAGATTATATAATTCTTTGTCTTGGAGTTATTTTTCAAAATCTCTTGGTTTATTTCCTTACTCATTTATGTGTAACTTTTTTCTAGAGAGCACTATAAATCCTCTCTCTAATTTTGATGTTGAACTTTAAGTTTAAATATAAACAAAAAAGAAGACTAATTTAATATACAGTAATTAGACTGACTGTTAAGCACTTTTCTAATAAGACATTTTTTAAATAATTAAGAAAATGTACTACATAATTGATTAATAAATATTTTAAGTAATTCATTTAATATATAATTGATTTAACTCCTCTATTTCTTAATCAAATTATTAGAATATTAATTCGTATTCTTCCATCATTTATCTACATTACACAAGAATTATTTTTTCCTAATGCATAATTTTTTATTAATTTAAAAATTTAGGAATATTACTTTTTAATTTACTAACACGAACTCTATTATTATTAGTCTGTTTTGTACTCACAATCTCTTATAAATATTTTTCATATCTTTTTTTCATATTTAAAAAACTATTTAATAATTATTTTGTATTCAAGATTTTTAAATTCTTTGTCTTTTTATTGTCGTCTAAATCCTCATATTCTGTAGATTAAACAATATCTGAATTGCTGCTTTATTAAGGATCATAAATAAGAGAAGAGTATTATTAATATTATAAGTCTGAATGCACTTATTATTTTTTCTCATAATCTGATTATTACAATAAAGCATCTCTTAATAGATCCTAAAGAATCTTTTTTAACACTAGAGCTTCATAATCAGAAATATTAATTGAAATGTAAGTTTAATAAGTATCTGTGGATTATTATTATGATAGATGAGAGCCATTCTCTCTATATTCCAAAAGGGTATCAAAATGATTCTCCTCTTCATCATTTTTTTGTTCAAATTAAGGCTTTGGTTTTCTCTATTTATTTTATAAAAGATGGATTAATTTTTATAGGATTATTTGATTCTCATTAGGAAAAGAAATGTTAGAGTGCTAATTTTCTTATCTTTATTGTTGTTGCATCTATTCTCAAAGAGTTCAAATTAAAAAATAATGATATATATAATTCTATTAAGTAATGGTTGAAGAGTAATATTTGAAGGTAATTTAATAAAAGAAACTAATAGAAATTTATAAAAATATAATTCAATTTTATTTATATATATATATATTATATTATATATATTATATAGTCACCTCATCTAGATGCTTTTTATTTAGTCTTTTTAATTCCTTTCTTTTTTATTTCTTTAAGTTCTATGGTATCAACCTTTTTTTATTCTTAATTTATTCTGTCATGAGTCATTAACAAAAACTTTATATATTCCTCTTACTTCTCTTAATTTATAGTTTTTCTTTGTTAATCCTACTAAAATTCATAGAATATTTTCTCGACCTCTTATCCTAATTAATCATACAAGCGTATGTTATCTTAATAAAGTTCCTACATATGAGTTAAGATATTTGTTTGTTAATTTTAATTAAAATCATAATCAATCTATTAATGATTTAATTAACTTAATAATAATTAAATACTAAATAATCATTTTTTTTTTGGACTCTCTTAATTAGAATTTTTGTTATAAATGAGTTATTTTTTTTATAAATGTTTAGTTTGTTGAATATTTTAAGTATGAGGTCTATTATAATTTTAAGTTTAATAAAATCCTGCATTATTATTTGATACTTTCTGTGATTATAATTGTTCTTATTGAGGATAAGTTTAGGACTGAGCATTCCAAAAATTAGGTTATGCTAGGATTATTGATTTAAGATATACCTACACCATACCAAGGACTTTAATAATAATATTAGAATTATTAGAATTACTAATTTTGAAATTATTATTATTTTCTTCTTTAGTAAGAAGAAACAGAGAAAGAGAAAGGCATTTATTCAAAAACGGAGATGTGTTCTTAAAATTAGATATCAAAATTTGGATTTGTATCTCTTTCATTTCTCTTCCTTTTCTTAAATCCTTAAATAATTTAATACTTCAGAAATATCTAATTCCTTGAAACTTTTAAGCATACAGCTTTTTTGTGGTTATTATTAAAATGAACTATATATTGATTCAGCATTTTCAATTTGAGTACAATCTATGAGTTCATGAATACACTTGCCACAAGATTGTTATATCTTACTAAGTTCGTTATATGGTAAATCTTTTAAGAAAACCTTTAATGTTTAGAATTAATACCCATTCAATTTAAAATGATCCAAACCATTTATTTTCTTCAGCCCAATACTTGAAATGCATTTTATCCCTAAATTCAGTAATAATTTTAGCCAATCCAATAAAATGTGAAGTTTGGGTAACATTAAATAATAAGTAAACAGGACGAGGAGCATCATTTAGTTTTTTATTATTTCGACTTGAGCTATTTTCATATTGATTTTTATACCTAGTCCATATACCATATTTAATTGCTCGATGAACATTATCTTTTGTAGGAGCACGTATCAAAAAAAATGTAGCCTCAGGTTCAAGTGGCTAATTGATTTTTTAGAGACACTTAAAAGTTGTTGTAACTTCTTCAAAATTGTCATAATTATCTAAATATTAGGCTTCAGGCTAAGCACATTTAGGATTAGCTTGCATATTTAATTATTTATATTATTTATTCAATTAAAATATATTACTAATAGAAAATATCTATTATTTTGATTAAGAGTCTGTGTTCTAAAACCCAAAAAAACATTTTTTATATTTAGAATTCATTTTTTAATTTTCCATACTTAAACGAATTTTATTTCTTATATTATAATATTAAAACTAAATAATCATATATAAATAATTTATAAAATGAGCACTTTCAATTTAAAATACCAAGTTTTAGCATCTAATACTGGATTATTATACAAATTAGAGGAAGAAAATGAAATAACAATAAATTACTATGCCTATGAATTATCCTCCAATTTTTAAGAAACATACCTTAAAGATGAGGAAAAAATTAAAAATTGTAAGACGATTAGACAATTTGTGAAATAAATTAATTACTAAAATAAAAAATATATTCTCTTTAAATATTTGGAAGGGGAAACTCTAGATAGAAAAATTTTTTAGTTTAGAGGAAGATAAGAATCTATTAATTTTGAGACAATTAAACTCTATTTAATTTAGATGCTTGATACATTATAAAAGCTTCATTAATCTAATATATTAGGCAGAATTTTTTCAACTAAAAATATTTTAGATTGCTAAGGATAAATTTTATTCATGGACTTTGGATTTGGTCCAAACATCATAGAATAAAACTTAGATTTAATTGCTCCACCTGAAGTAATCATAAGATTCCTTGAGAGAGGTATCAAATTTAAAATTATTTTAGAAGAAGGTCATTAAATATACAATATGAAAGTTGATTCTTGGTTATTAGGAGCAGTGTTATATCATTTGGTCAAATTAAGTCCTATAAATACAATAGAAATAGATGGAGGGAAAGGCAAAGTTATGCTTTAAAAGGACGCTCCTGAATATTTTTCATATCTATCAAAATAAATCCAAAACGAAAAAAAATGCATAGATGTGATAACAGGTAGATATTCGCCAGAGTTTTGCTAATTTATATAAGGACTTTTAACATATAACCCAAATGATAGGTTTTCTTTTTTACAAATTTATCAACATAATTTTATTAAGAAATTAGGCATTCAAAATTATGAAAAATATTTGTAGTTTTATTAATCCTACAATGAATAAGGGTTGAACGAATAAATAAATATTAGTGAAGATCATGGCTCTAGAATATTGAGTACTGGATTCCTCTTAAATGGTGTTAGTAATTAACCAATAATACAATCAACAGTAACTAATACATAAGAAGCAAATTAAAACATGTAAAACAATCATCGAATTCTTCTTAGTATTCCTCCACTATGTTTAGATAGTTTTTAATTAGAAAATAATAATTCAAAAGTATAATTTCCATTAGATACTTCAGAATTATTGAAGAATTCTTAAATAGAAGATTAGTATAGTATAGAAAAATAATTTGTGCATGAAATTTAAAGTTTATATGTATATATACATTCTATATATATAGGAATCTAGATTTTATTTAATATGGTCACATATTAGAATGGAATTATTCAGATTTACATTTTTGGAATTATCTGCTGTGGAATTTATAAATGAATTGCAAAAAAAAAAGTTTTAGTTAGAAAATGTTTGTGCTTACTTTCTTAGAAAAATGGGTTATCTAATTTTGATTGAATTATTAAAAAAAATAAATGAAGATGTTTGTCCCTGGGTATGTAATCAAGAAGACTAATAAAAATGGAAAGATTTTAAGAAGGAAACTTAAAAATCTATTTTAGAAAACAATATCAAATAAAAACTTAAAGATTTAGAACCAATTCTCAAAGAGGCTTATTTTATGCATTGTAAAATATATTTAGAAGATGAAAGAATTGAATAAGCTATTAGAAATGAATTATAAGCAGATTTAGAATGTTTTTAAAAGCAAAAAATTGAAGGTAATTCTATTTATAATTCTTGTTCTAATGAATTTTTGAAAAAAGGATATAGATAAATTATTCTTATTACTTACAAATTTTTAGAACGTGAGTAGAAACTTGCTTAACAACCACATTTAAGATATAATACTTTATTGTTGAAAATTACAATTTGCCATTTAATTAATCGAATATTTGATCTGAATACAGTAACAAATTCTTTTAGAAAAATTTTGTAAAACAAAAACAGAAATCCTTTTCATTTGATTACTCCGAATGAAATATATTAATATATTTGCAGAGATGATGAATAAGAGAAAATTAATGATATTTAGGATATTTTGTCAGGTAAATCTGGTTGATATATATAAAATTTAATCAATATAATAATTCAGAACTTATAATATTTTGTATTTCTTTAATAAAATTATAATTAAGATTTTTGATTTCTTGTTTATTTTAGAGTCTTTTTCTTTAAGACTTTCATTGAAATAATATATTTATGAGAATCTAAGTTATTAAATTATTAAATTAATGGAAAAATTAAAATTTTATTAATTTTAAGAAACATAATACAACGTAATTTTAATTTCAAAAAGCACTATAAGTCGAAGTTTCTCTTTTAGGGGATGAGTAATTTAAATCCATTGGAGAAAGACAATTTTAGTTTTCATATGATTATCTCAATGGTGAACCAATTATGGCTCTTAAATTTACTTTACTTAATGGTGAGTTCGTTTTTTGAATTGTGATAGTATGTCTCATCATCTATTTTTAATTTCTCATTTTTTTGAACCATACTCCAGAACTTATATTATGAGCTGTTGGACGTCTATAAGGCGATTTTTCTAGCATCATAAGTATCTGATCTTTGCACTCAAAACTAATATCGTTTCTCATGAATAAATTATCAACATTTGGAAAATTATTATGTAATAATTCCTTAAGTATTATAATGAAATACATATAAAACTATGCCTAAACTCCAAATATCTAGCTTCTCATTTTAAGTTCTATTCTAAATAACTTCAGGTGGCATGTATTCAATTGTACCACATAATTAAGGAGAGACTTCCCCATAAAACATATTTGTTGCCCAAGTAAAATCTGCAAGTTTAACTTCATCTTAGTCTGTGAGAAGAATGTTGGATAGCTACTATTAAAATATTTAAATACTTTGATATCTCTATGTAATATGTTATTTTTATGTAAATGTTAAACTGCCGATAAGATCTATGAAAAATAATGGAAAGCTTTCTCTTCTTTAAAAGGGCCATTCAGTTATAAATTACTGAATAAACACCCTCCACTACAATATTCTAACATCATATATAGAAATTGGTCATCTTCAAAGGTATCTACCATAGAAACGATATTTGGATGAGATATGGTTTATTATATTTTCATTTCATTCCTCAAATTCTATATGTCTTAAACACTTAGACACTTTTTAATGACCTTCATAATTAAATAGTTAATACAATTTTAGCAGCTAAATAAGTACCATTATTTTCACATTTAGCTAAACACACAACACCATATGCTCCCTTTCCTAAGACTTTCTCAAAGATTACATATTCTCCTTTTGTTCCTTTGACTCTTACTTTTGAATTCATTCTTTATTTATTATATTAAATGAAGACTTATCAATTTGCACTTAACAGTATAATTTCTGTGCGTTTTTTGTTATAAAATCAGAAAATATGTTAACGATAGAATTTACATCTATTTCAATATATGAACTAAAAAATATTAGAAAGGTCAGATATTTTTCTTTTATTTGTGAGAATTTTTAATTGTTTGTTTTAAAATATTGACTTTATGAAGATCAATAATATATTAATATTTTTATAAATTAAATTTTCTTATTATATAATATATTTTATGTTTAGTTAATTAAATATATATATAATAGATTAGAAGGAAAATTATTAATAAACTTCATTTAATCATAATTTTGAACTCAAACTAATTTATATTGTTAATATTATTTTATTATTTTGTCAAAATCCTATAAATAAAATTATTAACTTAAAATCTAATTTATGTGATAAAATAAAATACAAATTTATTTCTTCAACTAAATTTATGAAAAGATAACGATCGTAATCCTGGGATGCTTCTAATCATGATTCTAGTGAATTATTACGATAATAATCAGAAAGACCCTTAAATGATCAAAATGTATGATATTGTTAGATTAAGAGCATTTTTACTATGATTGTTAATCACAATATAATTAAAGATATTTCAATTATTGAGACATATAAAGAGGTTGATAAAATATCAATCCATAAAAAACACTATGTTAATTATGTAATAAAAATAAAAACAGACTATTTTGATTATACTGTTGCTAAAAGATATTCAGAATTCGAAAAACTATATGAATAAGTAATTCTAGATATTTAATATTGAAGGTTTCACCTATTTTACATAAATTACCAAAATTTCCAGAAAAAAAATTAATTAAGTCTAATTCAAAGAAAAATATTGCAGAAAGAAAAGAAATGCTTGAAGGTAAAGAATTTATTAACAAAATAGAAATTTTAAAATATATATAGAAAAATCTCAATAATTAAATGCATAGTTTCTTGAACTTTTTAAATATTCAATGTAAATTCATTGATATCTTTAGAATAATTTTTAAAAGGAGGTTTTGGTTAAAATGTAAGAATTCATGAATTGAGTAGAGATGAATTAGGTTTAATTGATTTAAAAGAAACAGCAAAATTAACTGCTTCAAATGAATTAGAGAAGATGACATTTCATTATATTGTTAAATTAAATGATCGTATAGATGAAAAAAGTAAAATATTTTCGTAAGATATAAATACTTATATAGTAAAATGGAATAATACTTTTTTGGTAAAACTTAATATTTGAATTCTTAATTATTGAAATTCTTGTTACTTGGAGATGATAGTAAATATAAAGGAATTATTGAATTATTAAGAAATCCATCAAAAGATTCTCAATCTCACATCTCTTGTGTTAGTGGATTTCAATTTCTAAGAAAAATGTTAGAATATGATTATAACCCAAGTAACTAGTATTTTAAAGAAATTTAGACGCTGATTTTTTTTTGAAAATCTTTTCTGAATTAAGCATAAAACAATTTAAGAAAATTGGTTTATCTTTTCACATTTGTAGTAGAAATAAATAATTGTGCAAATAACATACATTATTATTGATTTATAAATATGTTAAAGGAAATGATTTAAAACCTGAATTTATAAACTTTTTAGTAAGTTTTTCAAAAAATTTAAGTTAGAAGATCAAGATGCTTTGTAAGAATTTAATTCTTTTTCTGAAATATACTAATAAAAGAAAGAGGAACCCTTTTAATTAGTTATTGACAATAATTACTATGATGATAATTAAAGAGATAATTTACCCACAAAATCAAGCTCGAAAGAACAACAGTGTCTTTTAGAGTAAGATCCGACTTTAGAATTACTATAAGAAATAATAAAATCAACATCTATATCTTGGAAATTAGTGTAAGGTAAATATATAGGTTGATTCAAGAATTTGAGAACCATTCTTTCTAGCATATTTAAGGATAAATAGTCAAGACTATCCATCCATTGAAATGCAATTTAGAAAAAGCAATTGAGATTGTTACAACAGCTAAATAGAAATGGGTGGCTACTATGATTTCAAGATAATAACTAAAAAAAATAAATGATAACAAATATGTTATAGCAGAAACATATTTATGGTAAGATAAATAATTGTTTAAAAAAGTAGTTTTTTTTTCATAAGAAACAATTATAATAAATGTAAATATTTGATTTATTCAATTAGGAAAATAAATTTGAAATTTTAATGTAACCAGAATTTGAAATTTAAGAATATGAATAATTCTAGAAATATGATGAAATAAGTATTATTATTTTTTATTATGCTTAAAGGTTAGAAATTATAAATAACATATGGAGTTTATGAAAATGGCATTACAACAGTCACTATCATTTAAAATCTCTTTGATAAAGTTTAACAATTATAATATACACCTTTACTTTTAAAGGAAGTTAATTATTTTGAAAAGAGCATATAATAATTATAAATTTTATAATCTGAATGAAATTATTATAAAATTAAATTGACATTGTTTCTTTATCGATATTTTATTATGAAATTATCATAATTATTCTAACGATACAAATTTCGTTTTGGTTTAAATATTCGAAATATGAAGACTTAAATATTCAATTTTGTCTTTCATAACATATTACATAAGCATGCTCTGTAACAATATCTTGCAATTAAATTTCTGTGACTTGAGAATCATCATAGCAATACCATTTCTAATCCTCTTAATTTTTTATAAAGGAATTATAATGACCTTCTTAAAGTTCTCCATAATGATTTATGACTCCAAATAGTTTATATTTTAATTCATTTATATCATTACCATTTAGATAGTCATTAGGTAACTAATATATTAATTTAATATTACCTTTAAATTTGTAACATATTTAACCATATTAAGTATAAATGGAAATTTAACAAATATGTTGTTTTTTATTTTTTAAGTAACATCATCTGATGATTTAAATCTTTTGAGTTAAAATATTAGTATTTGAGGTGTAGAATATAATAATAGCTATTTAATTCCTTTGACATGTTAATCACATTGATTACAGTACCATGAATTATTTTCATCCAATTATTATTATTGTTATTAAAAGTTTAAACAGTCATAAATTGTTAATGAAGATTTATTAATAGAAAATTATTCGTTATTATCTTATTATTTAAAATTTGATGTATCTATATTAAAAATCATTGGAACACCTTATCCATACCATTTAACTATTATATTCAATTAAAAATTTGGTTAAGAAATAAAATTATAATAATATTTTAAACTGTGTTAACATTTCTTTAATTCACAATACTTGCAATATTATTTATGACAAAAGTAGCATTATTATTCTGTTTATTACGAATTTGATTCCAAATATAGATCAAATTAACATTTAAATTATTGATTGTAATTTTTCTCAATATAATCATATATTTCAAATATTTTTGTTCTAAAATCAAAAACAATAGTTATAATATCAGTTAAAATTAATAGTTCCTGATTTATATGAGTTATGAGTGTATGACATCTATAATTATAGGGTATTTATATTTCTTAAATATTCATAGGTCTAACAAGTAATTTAGAATTTTAAAGTTATTGTCTTAAATATTGAATATCATCTTCTGGTCTGACTAATTTAATTATTTATTAAAATACTTTCAATATTCTTTTGTTAATTTGATAAATTGAAAACTAAATCTTAGGTTCTTAATTAGTTCCTGATTTCATTTTAAATCCATTCAAAATTATAATTTTTATAGACTGAAAGAATCATTTACTTTTATCTATATTTATCATCTAATAAATAATAGAATATGCCTTTTTCATTTTTCTTTGTAGCTAATGGTAATTATATCATCATATATGGATCAAATCTAATTAATAATTTAAATTTACGTTATTGACATATTTTTACAATTAGGACATTCAATTTTGCTTTTAAATTATGCTTAGAATAATTAAGTAATTATTGATTAGTTTCTTTGACTATGGACATCCCAAGATTCTATAGCTACTACTAAGTCCTCCCTGCCTTTACTTGAAGGTATAGTCACATATGGTTTTTTTTTAATTTAATTTACATCTTCATTTATGGCATCAAGTAAATATAATAAGAATTCAGCTGCATCATGTTATTCATTTCCATAATACTGCTAATAATTATTAACTCTTTACAATATTATAAAATTTAGAAAATGTTTTTTTAAATGAATTAGGAATGATATATGGATATTTTCTACTTTTTAAATCCTTGATTAGAGTAGCAAAACTTGAAATAATCTCGCCTTTACTTCCTAATGGATTTATTAAGTTTATATCAAATTAATAAATATCATTTAAAATGTAATCTGCAAAACCTGGAGTATTGCATAAGATTTAAATGGCACTATTCATAAAACAAGTGTTTCCTAAATTTCCTAATCCTGTTTATTAACTATATGAAATCATTTTTTAATTATATTATATAATCTAAATTCCTAATAAAGAAATATAATATATATATATATATATATATATATATAATATATAGAAATGTAAAATCATTCATATCTAAATTTAGTATAATTTTATTGCATCAATAATGGGAGAGATTGTAATTTGTATCCTTTTGGAGGATGTTATAATTTTAAACTAAATACTTTTGGTTTAATATAGGCACCATTCACACCTTATAAATTATTCTATTATTATATTTATAGAGATGGTATTATTTATTATTTTATTGAATTTTCTTATAATTTATCCTATTCATATTCGTAATTTTATTTTTATGTAGATTTAACATTTTTATTATTCTTTCTTATTGCAAATTGCTTTTCATTTTTAACTCCCATACCTTATAAGACTCCCTTAATTTATGATATTGGAGATAAAATATTTTATCCATTTTGTTAATAAATGAGGGAATTATTTAGCCTATTATCAGCCTTCCTATATTAAATCAAATCCAAAATCTACAATTCTATTCCTCGTTTTTCTGTATAACCACAAAAATCTTTGATTGATTCCAATGATTTTTGTTAATAATCTTCATAAGGAACATAATTATCATTATCAACCTCAGGTATTGTTTTTATTTAATTTGGAAGTTGTTCTTCACCTTCTTAAATAATTTCATCCCCTTTATTCTATTCATTTTTATTAATAGGAAATAAATTTGTATTGATTCTACTCTAAATGTGTTTATACAAAGTACTCCTCTTCTCAAGTAAAATCTTCTTTGGTAAAGATTAAGATTTATTTTAAGTATCTTAATTTATTTAAATAGATTCCTTTTTCTAATTTCTTCTTATATCTAAGATAATTAAATAATAATTTACTTGCTCCAGTCCACTCCTCATATATTTTTAATGAATGCTATAAATACTCTTCATAAGATCTAGAACATGGATAAATCAATTCATAATTACCCTTATTCTATTATTCATAATCATCTCTTTATTTTTAATATTATAATTTTATTTATTTCTTCTCTTCAGATGATAACTTTGTCTTTTTGCCTGTTAACACTCTCTTCTACATTTCATCCTTTTTGTATTAAATAACCTCATTCTTAGTTTTTACATTGATATTCATTAATGTAATAGTATCAGCTATTAAATTCTTTTTTATATATTGATCCAATGGTGTATCTGTAGTAAAACTAGGTGTATGGTTGACTTCAAGTAAATATGGTTTTAAAGAATTGTCTATCAAAATATCAAAGCCAAGAATCTCAAAACACATATTATTTGCATAATTATCAACTTATGTGTAATTTTATTGTAAAATTGGCTAAACAGAACAAAATGTTTTTATTATTAAATCTTTTATATCATCCAATAATTAATCAACATTATGATTCTATTTATAATTAATAAAAATTACTTAATCTCTTAATAGTTAAAAAACACTGGACATACTTCTTTTATGTCCAACATCCATTTTCTTTTCATCAGAGTTGAAAATAAAATTTGGATTATCTTTATTTATTGCATAATTAGTTAAATGCATACAAACATCATCTAAATTATTTGTATTAGGAGCAATATATGTTTAAGTTGCAAATCTTGCTAAACCTTCTTTATACAAATATATTCTTAAAGGATCACACCCACAAATTAATACATACATTCGCAAATCAAATTTTAATCCATCAATAAGGAGTGGTTTATGAATATATCTTTATGCAACATAATGTTCAGTAGGATTTATTGATTCTATAGAGCGAGTTAAAAAGATTCCTATTAATATTAGCTTAAACTATACCTCTGCCTTAACATGATGCTTCAGGTTTAAGTATAAATGTTTTAGCTTTACCAAATTATTGTTTAAAATCATTATATTCATTTGGTAACATCCAAGTTCTCGGAAAAAAATCATATTCTTCTGGGAACTGCTTTTGCATTTTGTTCAAATTTCTGCCTAAATGGTTTTTACGAGCCAATGAATACATACCTGGAAAATGATTAATCTTCTAATGAGCTATTATAAATAATATAAAAATGTATGTTACATTGCATTTTGGCCAAAGTTTCAGGAAGAACAGCATTGTCAGTCCAACAAAAATCCCAATTATTAATTTCTTAATAGGGAACATATTGTAGTTTAAACTTATAAATCATTTTTCCTACAAATTTCACTACGGGATACTGAGTGTCTATTTAATTATGTTGGAGATACCTGAAACATTCATTATTAAATTTTTATTTGTGTTTAAAAGTGATTTCTTTTTCTTTTTTTTATTTAAATCTTCATCACTATCATATTCTTATGATTAATCTTCATCTTCCTCTTCACTATCTTCAAATTCTCCATTAAATATTATGTCTTTTTCTTATTTCATATACAATTATTAATTATAATGTCTAATAATTGATCAAAATAATCATTTATATATGTATTATAGAAATATAAATATAATTAATAATAATAAGAAATTCAAGAGTAACTTATAATTCCAATGAACCTTTTATTGTTTATAAAATTATAGATAATTATAAAGACTAGAGTAATATAATATCTCAAAGAAATTATAGTTTCAAAAAAAAAGTTAAAAAATTAATTAAAAAGCCTCTAAGAAAATAAAACTAATAAACTATTGAAAAAAAGATTATTCCAACTCTCTATTCTATGTATTTCTTCAGCATTTAATACTATAATATTCATTCTTATAAAATGAACAAACTATAATCATTTTTAATATGATTATATTCATGAATTTCAGTAATTTTTGAAAACGACTTTACAATATAAAAGAATTTATTTCATTTAAAATTGAGCAAGAATAAAGAGAATGTAAAATTTTGATCATTTAATTTGTAATAGCATTTATTTTTATTCTATTTTTTAATATTTTTTAGTTTACATTTACATTTAAAGAATTCTTTATCTAATTGTTGTTTAAAGATATTTTAAACTACATATTGAAATAAGAATTGGATTAATTTATGATTTATTATTAATTGATTGATTTAAGTAAAGCATTACATATTGATTAATTTTATGTCATAACTTAATTTATTAGATTAAATTTTATATATGTACAATTTATTTTAATTTGTGATAAACGCAATTGTTTTAATCAACTTTGAAAGTTTTTTCCGACAGATATTCTTATTCTAATGCAATTAACTTTTATAATTAATTCTCATTACAAAATAATCAGTTTAATATTATAATCACTTGATTGGAATGAAATTTGTAATGATTAATTAATTTTCATTACTAATTCTTAATAGTTTATGAGTTCAAAAATATGAGAAAAGATTGAATAAACAAAAATAAGCATTATAAAAATCACTAAAATCCACTCATCAACCTACTACAAACTATCAATTCGTGGTAATTATATAGTAATTTTGATAATGCTTAAACGTCAAATTATTTGGTTCAATTTTTTTATAACCATTCAATACATCTTTATTTCTTATCTAATGTAAATTATTGCAATTACCTTCTGTAAATTGCTTCTCTAAATAAATTTAATATAACAATTCGAAATCTAATTCTTTTTAAATTTTTTCCTTTTTAATTGTGTCTTGGGTGAAAGTGTTTTACGAAAATGGCGAATATTCAGAATCATCATTGTTAGATTTATTTTATTCTGATTGGATTTATCTATTAAAAATGATATCAAAGTTGAGTGTCAGAGAATTCGAAAGACGCTCAACTTCTAATTCGGCTAATTTTACTTATTCTTTTGTAAGCTCTTTTTAGATTAAGTGAGGATGAGGTTTTTAATTATATTGTTTGTAAATTTTTCGAAATTGTTTTAAAATAGGTATTTCTTTTTTCAAAGCAAACCGTTTTGAAGCCTGTTTATGAGGAGATTCTGAAGGTTATTAAAGCATGTTTAAGTATTTTAAATAAAATATAACTGATAATAGATTAAAAAACTGATTATGAATGTGAATAAATAAGAATTATATTCAATACTCACTGGATTTTATCATTATATACTATGATTATATTATATAAATAATCTTAATATGAAATTTCTTCAATATTAGCTAGCTATTTCAAAATCTTTCTTGTCCATCTTTTAAATTCCTTACATATAAAATATAAACCAAGTTGCTTTTATTTGATTCATCATAAAATGATATTTTCCTTATATATATTGTTACTTGATGAATTTCAAATAAATTTGACCTTATCTATTGAAATAATGACTTTATTACTATTTTGTTCTTAATTCTCTAAAGTAAGAATATGAACTCTTCTTAGCTACAATTGTTATTTTGATGAAATACGAATTTCCCCATTTGATGTAAGAATCTATTTTTCTTCTAATATCTGAGAAAAGAAGATCATTCATTATGCTTAGTTTAGAAGAAATTTCATCTTCGTATTTTTCAAATACAAGAAAAATATATATTCAAATTATTTTATTTAGTCTAAATATCAAATTTTATTTCAACTTCTAATAATTGTATTATATCATATATATATATCCTATAAATTAATTTGGTTCTAAAGATCAATCAAAACTTGTCAAAATTATCATATCTTTGATATTTATTATAAATAATGATAATATCACAAAACAGAAAAATAGATAAAAAAATTTTGATGTAAATATTTTGACTGACACCATTTACCTAATAAATTATTTTATAACCATTCAAAATATATAAATTAAGAAACAAATTTAATAAAATAAAATAGGAAGCTTTGAAATTATGAACTTCCTTAAAAAATCATTTAATTAAATCAACTAAAAATAAATTATGATAATACGTTATTATAAATCTAAATTTCAATAAACTTAATCTAAATTTTAATTAGAATGAGGAAATCATTTTATAATGCAAATCTTAACATTTTGATTGTAAAAATCAATAAAATTAAGCTTGGGTGTCAAATTTTTAGTTTATTGTTGGCATCCTGATATGAATTATTTTTATTTAAAGACATTAAAGAAATCTTAAGATAGTACTTATATTTTGAAAATAAAGATATAGCTTTGAATTATTATTAATAAATACAAAGATAATATATTTATAATTTTTCTTTTTTATAAAAAGATTTTCTATTTTATTCATATGAAATTGAATTATATTGTATAAATTTACAGCAGATTCTTGACATTTTTGATATATGACTAGGAATATAAAAATAAAATTAAGCTTAATGCAAATAAAGAGTAAAAAAATGAAACAAGCTTTTGGAAGGCTTTATTTATTTTTTTGAGATTATTTTTCTTAATTTTCTCTAAGTATCTAAATATCTTATTTATGATGGTTTGAGATAAAAAATTATATGTGGGTAGAATTTTAGATGCTATTGTATAAAAAATGATTTTTGAGATTGTAAATATCGTTTAAATTATATTCCTTAATTAAATATTTCTTGATTGTAAATTTGATTGTTATTTTGGAAAATAAAATCTGAATCACATTCAAGCAATTAAGTCTTATCTAATAAAACTTTATTTTTTAATTAGTTATCAATTTTATTTTATATCATATATTGTTGTATGATTAAAATAAAGTTTTGGAAAAGTTCTTTTCAGTAAATTAGAATCAAATTCCTTCCATATAACTCAGATAACTTTAAATGATAATCCAGTTTTAAATATTTAAGAATTTAATGTTTCAATATTTATAATACTTTCTCAAATATTAGAACTTTCATTATGATTTAAAGGTATATGAATAAATTAATATATTTCTTAATGTAGGAATTTTTTTTATGTTTATATAATAGATCATATTAATTTTATATGAATCATAAATTATTTTCTTTTTAATTTATAATACAAGAAAATAATTAATAAAAAAAGAGATGCTACGAATAAAAATATCAAAATATGATATTTTGACAACTTTTTTGTTCATTTATAATATTTTCTTATTATATCTTTATAATAATAATTTATATTTAAATAATAATATTAATTAAAAATCAAGTATGAGTAGAAAACAAACAAGTTCTAAGTATCATATAAAATTTGACTTATTATAGATCACCTCAGATTTCAAAATCTATCCATAAGCAAAGCAAAGACTCTGATTCAAGTTCCTCTGAGAGGAGATATGGCAAATTTTGGAAACCTAATGAGGATTCCTTATTAATGGAATTGCACAATCGGCATAACGGAAACTGGAAATTAATTGCTGAAGGCATTCCAGGACGAAATCTAAGTTAGTGTTAATAAAGATGGAAGAGAATTAATCCAAATAAAGTATTTTTGCATCTATTTTTTTGAATAAACTTCGAAAATAGTGGACAGATTAAGAAGATCAAGAAGTTATAAGACTAGTTAATGAAAATGGACGTAATTGGAAATTCATTGAAGGACTTATGGAAGGGCGTTCAAGTAAATAGATCAGAGAAAGGTTCTTAAATAATTTGGATCCTGAAATAAATAAAGAGAAATTCACTTTATAAGAAGATCAAATAATTTTAGAACAATATCGAATATATGGTCCTAAGTGGAGCGAAATTGCAAAGATGTTAAATCGAAGACCAGTACAGTGAGGACCTATCATTAGGAAAATTAAGTGAAGAATCGATTTTACTCTTATATAAAAAGAGTGTAAATGTTAAATGAAGGATCAGATGATGATGATGATGATCGATCAATAGAATCAGAACCAGAACAACCATAGAAAATAGTTCTAAATTCTATATAAAATGTGTTTTAGCCTATTTACCAACCATTAGATACCATTTAAAGTTTAAAAGAGGAACATGATAATACAAAAAATGATTCATTATTAATAAACTAGACACCATCCCATCGTATCCAGCCATCCATAAATTTGATATAAGGTCGTTTTTATCATTTATTTCTAGATTCATTTGATTCTAAATAATTCGGAGGGATGGAAGAATAAGATGTTTCCCCCTTTAATTAACATAGAAAGATATTAGAATATAGTCCTATTAATTTTTAGTATGCTCATCATTAACCTAATTTCGATATGATCCAAGAAGATATGAAAGAATTAAAATGCTAAATAGAAAGTATCAATATAGAACATCCTATCTGAAATTTAATTTTATTTGTTTATTTTAAGAATCAAGTTTCTTACAAAATTATTATATTAAAATTCATTATTTCTTTTTATTCTATATTTGTTTCATTATAATAATAATAAGAAAATTTTAATATATAAATGCTATGTTGTGTTGATCTTGATTCCAACCTAGATCAAAAGATGTATTTTCAAAAGTTTCAAATTTTATTATAATAATTAATTAATTTGGAAACCTAAGAATTACTAAACTGAGCAATCAAATCTATAATAATGGATTATTTTTTCAAGTATATAGTTGAAATGGATTTTGAATATCTTATATATTTGAATATTGGTCTTTTAATGATCTTTAATAATTCGACCTTTCTCCAGTAATAGTAAAAAAAATATATATAAATTTAAAATCTAAAATGGGATAGTGTAATAACTGTTAATCATGCTAAAAACCTGATGGTAGAGAGCTAACAGTCGATCAACAAGTATAATAATAATTTTAAGTGTTAGGCTTACAGAACTAGTTAATAATAGAGTCAAGTATAATTTTTATTAGCTTTCGTAGAATAGCAAATAAAGAGTATCAAATGTTAGTGGTGATCAAGGAAGCAAAAATAAGAAGATTAAGGCAGTAATATCAATACAAGCACATTGGAGAGGATATATAGTTAGGAAGAATAAAATAAAAAAGTCAATTGGTACTAATGATAATGCAAGTGCTCCTCCAATTGCTAATAAATATTTTAGCAGTGACAAAGATTATGCCCAATAACATAGCAATTCAAAAACAAGAGAATAAAGGCCTCCTTTTAAGTATAAGAGCGGTGCTATATATGAAGGTGAATGGATTGGAAATTCTAGAGATGGGTAAGGCACTTAATTATGGAATGATGGTGCTAAATTTATAGGACAATGGAAAAATAATATGGCTCATGGCAAAGGAAAATTTTATCATGTAGATGGAGATGTTTTTGAAGGAACCTGGGTAGAAGATAAGGCTTGTGGATTTGGTATATATACCCATGCTAATGGAGCAAAGTATGAAGGAGAATGGCTAAATGATTTACAACATGGATTTGGAGTAGAAACTTGTAATCTATGATTAGATTATGATTATAGGGGCAGATGGTTCTAAATACGAAGGTTAGTATTATCAGGGAAAGAAACATGGTAAAGGAAAGTATATCTGGAATGACGGAAGTTTCTATGAAGGAGATTGGGATAATAATCAGATTAGTGGAAAGGGTGTATATTAATGGAGTGATGGAAGAAGGTATGAAGGGGAGTGGTTGAATAATAATATGCATGGATAAGGACATTATACATGGCAAGATGGTAGATCTTATAAAGGAGGATACATAAATGATAAGAAACATGGTTATGGTATTTATACTTGGGCTGATGGCAGAAAATATGAAGGAGAATGGATAAACGGAAAATAACATGGCAGAGGGCAATATATTTTATTAGATGGATCAGTAAAAAAAGGAGAATGGATAGAAGGGAAAAAGATAAAAAACATCTAAAATTGACTTATATATTAATTTTAAATGTATATAAATATTCTCAATTTTAAATGAAATTAAATTCTTGATGAGGGATTAAAAAAATTAATAATCATTAAATTTATTTATAATTAATCAATTATGATAAATCATTTGATCTTTCTAATTTATTTGATGTATATTTGCTTTCTAAATAATTTCTCAATATAAATAATGATTATTCATCAAACATATCATAACCTTTAATCTATTTATTTGAATTCATATTAAATTTCTTACCAATATCAAATCGGTCTTTTGGTAATTAATCTGAATCCTTCTCTTTTTATTATATGAATTATTCTATTATGCTCTAATTATCTTTTTATTAATTTATCTTCAATTAAGAACTAAAAAAATTTTTGTTCTAATTTGAATTAGGAGTTTTGGATCCTTGTGATTATGGAGAGTATAACTACGATTTATTTATTCTTAACTCACTGTTACTCTTTAAATTAATCGAATTCATCTCTGATAAATTATGTATTTAATTTTATTATGAAGGGATACAAGAATCAGAATCAGGTGTTATGATAATTGAATAATTTTACTCAAATTTTTTGGATTATTTAGTATTTTTTGTTTATTAATTGAGATTATTGGTATCTATTTTAGCAGGCTCATTTTCATCTTCAAAATCAAATGATAATTTTCTATTATTTTTATAAAAATTTTCGAATTCAATACCATATTTTTTCTAAAATTTGGTTAAATAAATATCTCTAAGAACTTATAAATTAAATAGATCAAGTATAATTGGACTTACTTATTATTAAGTCGATTAGATTTTGAAATTTAAGAGGTTATCGATTTATTTCTTTAATATTTATAAATCTCCATAATTAACTAATTTTTATTGTATATATTCTAATGTTATTATTAGATTTCCCAAAAAATCTTCTAACTAGTCTTAATTATTATCATTTTTCAAAAATATCTTCTCAAAAAGTTAAAGAATTTTTTCTACCAGCCTAATTCTATCAATTTGTTTTAATATACTTTCTTAAATAATTATGCAAAAGGTAGTTTCTAAAATGAATGATCAATTAATTTATTTAGTTTGATAAGTTTTAGTCCTCTAATTCATACTCATTTCCCATATTATACTCTTCAACCAGAATTAATTCTTTTGATTTCAGATTTTCTAATTCTGAAGAGACATAGTTTGTACTAATTTAAATAACTATTTGGCACTAATTAGTAAATAATTTCATAGATCTAAGATAATTTATATAATAAAATGAATATAGTATTTTCCAAATTATTTTAATATTTTTTGTTTAGCTACATAGTAAATCATTTGAATTATATATGAATTCTAATTTAAGATGATTTGGTTTTAATAATTGCTATAAAGTTAGGGAGCAGGATTATAAAATTTGTTTTTTTAGTATTATTGAGTATTGATATTCAGAAGATGATAAATAACGTTATTAAGGAGTAAATCAAACTTTATTTTTAAGAATACTTTCAATATTTTATTTATATTGTCTTTGACTTTTCTTGATTAAGTATTATTTACAAATTAATTTATATTATAGTTTTGGTTAAGAATTAGGATAGTATTAGGAGGAATTAATGACAAAAATAAAACTTTATCCATAACAAGGAAGAAATTTAAACTTGTTTTTTTTAATGATTTATAAAAAATTCAGTTTTATTAGATTGTGATTAATATCAATAAATTTTAGATAGTATTAATATTAAATTCTTTTTATCACATAAAGAGGTTTTATCTTTTTCTATATGTTAATTGTAACATTAAATAATAACTTATTGATTAAGAGTTATACTTTTATAATTATAAAATTTGAGATCAAAATTCAATTTCAGCATATCTTTCTATAATCTTTAATATATTTGTTTAAAATAATTCAAAAAATTAATTTTGAATCTTTTTTTAATAGTACTTCCATATATAATAAATAAATTCTTCTGTAATTTTTCTTATCTATCCTTTTTCTAATTCATAGAGTTTCTTTTAGATAATTTAAATAAATTCACTTTAAATATCTATTTCCATAGACTTTTTTAGTTCATTCTAAATTCTTTCAATTTATAACTATTATTCTAAAATTTCTTTGAATTAACTTTCATAAAATTATTTTAATAAATTTATCTCATAGATTAAATCACTTTATAATTTAGATTGAACTTCTTGATATATTTTAATATTCATATCTAATCTTTTTAGTATTGAAGATAATTAAGATTCTGTATTTTTAAATTCTTAAGTATAACAATAATAATATTGCCAAATTAAAACTTTACTAAAATTACTGTTATCAATTTCCTTTAGCTTTTCTTAAAAAATTTAATAAACTTTTTCAATATACTCTAATTTAGATGGGTTAATCAATCTTTAAATTTTATCCTTATTATAGTTCATTTTCTTTATTTAATCCGTCAAAATTTATTCCAAAGATTTCAAATTCTTCACTTATAAAAATTTTCTCTATATAAATATGTTATTTATCTTTTCATTTACTATTAATATTTCATTTATTAATGAATAAATTTATTAAAGATCACTACTTTTATTAGGTGAATTATCTTAAAAATTATAAAATTTGATTTAAATCTAGTTGAATTTAAGATTTGTAATTGGAAAACAATCTTTTTGAAAAATAAAAATATTATGCAATTCTAAATTATTATGATATAATTTTTTATCTTATAATTTTTTGTATTCTTTAATTATTAATAAGATCATTGTTATTATTAAATAATATATATTCTCTAATTAATTATTTGATTAATTAAAAGCAATTATATTAATAAATGATTTTAAGTTGATGCAGTATAAAGGATTAAAGATGATATAAGAAAAATAAGATCCTTGTAATGTTGATAAAATAATTCTTTAATCTTCAACTAAATATGAAAATATATTATTAATCCTATCTAAGTTACTCTGAGATATAAATTATGAACCTAATAGTAAATTCATTTGTTGTTGTTTACTTTTTAATTTAATTTAAATAATATAAAATAATAGAATTAGATAAAATAAAATAACACTCTTACTACTCATCATAATCATTTATAATTATATTTCATTTCTCAATTTATTTGATGCAAATTCAAGTTTTATCTCTATGTTAAGAGATAACATTTATTTTCTTTATAATATTAGAAAGTGTTATTTAATTATGACTATTATTATTTCTATTTTCAATTTGATTATTTATTTATTCATTCTTATAAGGTTTAAAAATTATTTGTAAGACTTATATTGATTTTATCTAATTTTTATGTTTAATAAATGATTAATTAATTTATCCAAACTTCTTGTTTTTATTTTCATATATTTATACATTACAATCTTTATCTTATTTTATATTTATCTTAATGAAAATTTAAGGCAATTAAAATTCTATAATTATAGGAAAATTAAGGCTTGTTTTTATTTAATTTAATATTAAAAATAAATATCTATTAAAAAGTGATAATATATTTCTAATCTAAATGCATCAAGAATAAAGAGATAAATAAACATTAAAAAGAATGATGAGAAAAATAAATCTACATTAATAATATTTAATTCAAAAATTGTTCTAAGTATTTATTATTGTATTTAATTATTGGTTTACCAAGTCTAAAAATAATGTACTTATGATATTATCTTCATTTACTAAATTATTTTAATTTTTCATCATATAAGATTAATATTACTTAAAATAGTCTTTAGCTAGTGTGCCATTATCAACTTAGAAATGCTATTTTAAAGTATCAAGTCCACTCTTAAGAGATTACACTCTCTCTTTGTAAGTTTATAATTAAATTATAGTTTAATGAAACAAATTCTTATTAATTATCTTACACTTTTTACTCTAAAGGATTTTTGTTTGTATAATAAGAAATTAATTTAGTATTTCTTAATCTGATATTATTTTACCAGACCATTCATGCTTAAATATAGCTAATCTTTCATTAGTATATGAAAACATTAATTTAATTTAATTTTCCAAGTCTGCTAGTGATTTTTTTTAATTTAAAATTACTAAATAAATCATAATTTTATCATATGGAATGATTTATTAATTTTCTTCTTAAATACAGTTATATATTTACTCTCTTAGATAATGTTTAATAATTTTTATAATTTAATTATTATCATCATAATTTTTGAGGAAGAATTCATCAAATAGATTATACTTCTAAATTAATTTTGTAATAATAAATTCTAATTTTTCCTCAGATCCATTTTTATTATTAATAATTTCTTGTAATTAATTTAAAAGCTTTACTGGATCATTTTATTTTTATATTGGTTTTAGTTATTCAATTATCTTAGTAATTTATTTTTTAGAATTTTACACAATAAATTAAAAATAGTCTTTAAACTCTATTTTTCTATTTAAATCTGAAATGCCTAAATATAATGAGTTTACTGCTTTATTTAAGTAATTCATCTCTAGAGTCCTAATTGAATATGGTTGTTATTTAATAGATTCATAATCTTGGTTCATTTTTTAAACATCATTTTTATTTGCTTTTGTTTTTTTCTTTCCCTCAAGTTTTATTTATAATAAATAATCAAAGTAATTTAATATATCTTCTATAGTCTTGCCATCATTTGCAAAAGGCACAAAATTTAGTATATATACATCTATAACACTCTTTTTGTTAAATTCAAACCAAATTTTTGAGGAATCTAAATTCTTTATAGACAAAGTATTATGTAAATCATTATCTTAAAATTTTTTATTTTGTAATTTTAGTATTTCTTAACTCTAATTTATATAGTACTTAAATTCTTTTTAATCTGAATATTCATAAAGCTCTTATAAAGACATATGTAAATCTCTCTGTAAATTATAAGTAATGAATTAAAATTCTTTATCATATTGAATAAAATCAGATAGAGCGATTTTACGACCATCTCTTAATGCACCAGTAACCTTAAAGAATTTTGATATCGAATCAAAAGTAGAATCTGAATTACACTAATGGTGAATTTATGCCTTAATTTAGAATTCTAGCATTTTTTTATATTTATTAAAAATTAATTGCTATTCATATTCTTTAATTTATAAATTAAATTTTATCAATTTTTGATTATTTCATACCAAATACCATTAAATTGTTAGATTTAATAAAAAATTTTGTATGATAGATTATTTTAAATATAAATATTAATTTTTCTGTTTAAATAAATAATATTATGATACAATTTCAGATCATAAATAGATAAGATAAATAGAATTCAAAAATAAGATTTTTTGTATTTTTATTGATTGAATTTAAAAAATAATAGATATGCTTTGTATAATGATTTCGATAGAAGATAAATTTAAATCATAAATTCAAATTTAGAAAGTAATTAATATTAGAATTGTATTATGAAAATAGTTAAATGAAAATTATAATTTAAGAAAGTATTTTGAAAAAAGTTGTAATTTATTTCTTAATTAAATTTATGTAATTAAAAAAAAAAATAGATTAATTCTAATTTTGATTCTTATTTTAAGAACATTTTTTGAATGAATTTCTATGTCTTTATATCTTATTTTCAATAAAATAAATATATAATTTCTCTTTTTGTTCTACTATTCACTAAGAGTCAAATGATTAATTAATAGTAATAATAATTAAATTAATCTAAAAATTAAAAGCTTATATTAAAAAAAAATTAATATTCTCAATTTAATCCAGCATATCTAATTACTATTATATTGATGTAGAAATATTTAATACTTAGTGTTTTTAAAGTAACAAAATTTTACATTTTTTGATAATTTATTATCTATATCTTTTTACAAATGAACAATATTGTGTATTATAAGGGATCACTTTTGAGAAAATAAAATAATGACTATGAACGTAGGTACGTATACTTGTTTGAGAATTTTCTTATAATCAATAAGGTATAGCCTTCAAATTATAATTTCTTAGAAAGAGGATCATAATTTGATAGATAGGAAATTTGATTTGACTTCTATGGATTGCCAAATCAAATGGCATTATGAGTACCAAGCCAAATAATATTTAGGGATAATTTAATCAAAGAAATGATGGTGTATAACACAAAACAAAATTAAAGAATTGTATATTGTGAAAAGCATGAGATTTTATTAGACTTACAAAATAAACTTGATGGAAAAGCCTACTATAGAAATTTTAAATCATTTTACCAGAAATTAGAGATAATTAGATCTCATAAAAATGTCGAAGTAATCTCAATCATTCCTATATAGATTATGATATGTAAAAATATATTAACAGAAGAGATTGTTATAGCTAAATAAGTGAAGTTTCCTAAAAATAAACTTGCTGACTTAGATCCTAATGTAATAATTCCAACAAATTTAGTCTTTTGTAATGAGTGAGGCTAAGATATATATGAAATTATCTTACAATCCCCATTAATATCTTTTAGGAGCCAGCTAAATTTTCACTTGTGATCAGTCAGTCATTTATATAATGCATAATTGCAAAGGAGGAACACTTTATGAATATCTAATTGAGAATGATTTAAATTTGCCAGAATTAGTGACTTAAGAGATAATGAAAAAGTTACTTATGGGTCTTAATCATCTCCATAAACTTGGAATTATGCACAGAGATTTAAAATTAGACAATATCATGTTACTGAGAAAAAATGATCCAAACTCAATTCGTATTATGGATTTTGGTTATTCAACTTTTATTGATGATAAGAGTTTATCAAATTAAAGATGTGGTACTCCTGGATATATTGCTCCAGAAATTTTAAATATGAATCACTATAATGAATTATGTGATATTTATAGTTTAGGGTGTGTGTTCCATGCTTTATTAACTGGAAGAAAATTATATCAAACACCAAAGTCCACTAAAGCTTCAGAATTATTAATAATGAATAAAAATAGCACTATTTCATTGTCCTAAATTTGTAATCTCAATGCCCTTGAATTATTATAATCAATGATATCAGTCGCTAAGTAAAGACCCAGTGCTGCAGTCTGTTTGCAGCATTTATATTTTGAAGAAGAATAATTTTAGATAGAAGATCTAAGCACACAGTAAATTATTTTTAATATTGTAGATTGAGACAATTAGATTTTCCTTAACTCAGAAATCCATTTAGATCTTGAATGAATACTTTTCTTTGTTTATTTTATTCAGATATATGCTTTAACTTTATTATATTCATATATATTATTCATCATAATTTTATTATGATCATGATCACCTTCAATCTCTTAATATAAATTAATTAATTTTTCCTTTTTTAAGAATTAATTTTTATTTATTTAACTCTACATTACTTTTAAATATTCAACACTCTAGTATACAATATTGAATGTAAATAAGAAGATTTTTCATTTAGTAATTAAACTCATTATCTACAATATACTTAATAGTATCAACTCTAATTTTTTCTAATTTATTAATTTATGCTATTACATTTAAAATAAATTAAAGTCAATGCTTTTATTTTCTTTGAAAATCAATAATTATCAAATAAAATTACAATAAATTCAGTGTTTTTACAATCAAATAAGGCTATAATTTATTGGAAAATTGGATAAATTTCATATGCATAACTTTGATAGAGAACAAAATATTAAAATTTGATCACATACAAAATATTAATAAAAATAAACAAATTTAAAAATTCAAAATTTTATTATATATAATAAATAGATAGTCAAAATTATTAATAGATTAAATAGATAAATAATGATATTACTAGAATTAATTTTTGAAGGTTATTATTGAAAAAGAAACAAAAAATTTTGAATTCAAAGATTTAATTAAATTTTTATGAATTTAATAAAGAAATTCAAAAGAAAATAAAAATATAAATTGATAATTATAAATTTTTATTGGTTTTCTAATGATATTTCTGATCAAAATTTTGAAATTTATATTAATTGATGTATATTCAATAATTAAATGTAAAGACTGTAAGGAAGAATTAATTAAATATGAGTAATAAACAAAATGAATTAAATTCAATAGGATTGAATATTTTTTGGTATTTCAAAGGGTTCTTTATCAAAAGAAGAGCAATTTACTTATTATGAATATCGACTACATTTTTAATGTTATTAATCGAATTCTTAAATAGTCTTACTTTCAAGCTTAATGCGTATGATAAAATAAACTAAAGGTTCGCTATTTACGAATTCTTTTATGCTAAAAATATCATTTAGATATCTTTCTAATTAATTTTATCTTTCTTGAATTTCATCTGGATTATCAGAAGTTTATCCAATAAGTTTTCTTTTAGGAAATGGAGGAAGCTAATTTTTAAATTACTTATTTTCTAATAAAGAATGGTAATCTTTGAGCTTGCTGTATCGAGTATTAAATAAATATTGAACATTCTTTTTTGAGTCAGTTAAAGTAATAAAATATAAAACAAAGTCTTGTTGTTTCACATATTCTCCAGATTAAAAATAGTATCTTTATTTATATCCGTTTGATTTTTTGGTTTAACTTTTTGATGGAGAAGAACTTACATCGTGACGTTACAAATATTATTGCTTTAATTCTTACATCTATGGCCAACAAACATCTTTAGTATATTAATGACTTGTGTTTATTTGCTTAATTGACTCTTCAAATTCTTCATCAAGAGGTTAAAGGTCTCTGATAAAAGAGAATGTCCATAGCATAGAAATATTCAAGATGATTTCCAAGTATTACTATAACTCTAATCCCTAAAGTATTCTTAATAATTATTACTCTTGTTACAATATCAGACTCAGAATGCTTAGTTCTTCCGAATAATTTTTTTTTTGGGAANATAGTCAAAATTATTAATAGATTAAATAGATAAATAATGATATTACTAGAATTAATTTTTGAAGGTTATTATTGAAAAAGAAACAAAAAATTTTGAATTCAAAGATTTAATTAAATTTTTATGAATTTAATAAAGAAATTCAAAAGAAAATAAAAATATAAATTGATAATTATAAATTTTTATTGGTTTTCTAATGATATTTCTGATCAAAATTTTGAAATTTATATTAATTGATGTATATTCAATAATTAAATGTAAAGACTGTAAGGAAGAATTAATTAAATATGAGTAATAAACAAAATGAATTAAATTCAATAGGATTGAATATTTTTTGGTATTTCAAAGGGTTCTTTATCAAAAGAAGAGCAATTTACTTATTATGAATATCGACTACATTTTTAATGTTATTAATCGAATTCTTAAATAGTCTTACTTTCAAGCTTAATGCGTATGATAAAATAAACTAAAGGTTCGCTATTTACGAATTCTTTTATGCTAAAAATATCATTTAGATATCTTTCTAATTAATTTTATCTTTCTTGAATTTCATCTGGATTATCAGAAGTTTATCCAATAAGTTTTCTTTTAGGAAATGGAGGAAGCTAATTTTTAAATTACTTATTTTCTAATAAAGAATGGTAATCTTTGAGCTTGCTGTATCGAGTATTAAATAAATATTGAACATTCTTTTTTGAGTCAGTTAAAGTAATAAAATATAAAACAAAGTCTTGTTGTTTCACATATTCTCCAGATTAAAAATAGTATCTTTATTTATATCCGTTTGATTTTTTGGTTTAACTTTTTGATGGAGAAGAACTTACATCGTGACGTTACAAATATTATTGCTTTAATTCTTACATCTATGGCCAACAAACATCTTTAGTATATTAATGACTTGTGTTTATTTGCTTAATTGACTCTTCAAATTCTTCATCAAGAGGTTAAAGGTCTCTGATAAAAGAGAATGTCCATAGCATAGAAATATTCAAGATGATTTCCAAGTATTACTATAACTCTAATCCCTAAAGTATTCTTAATAATTATTACTCTTGTTACAATATCAGACTCAGAATGCTTAGTTCTTCCGAATAATTTTTTTTTTGGGAATTTAGGTAGATTCAATTTAAGTTTGAATTCACGATTCTTTTATATAAGTTGCTCATTTAAAGCTCGTAAATCTGAGTATCTTTTATAAATCACTTTAGAGTGATGCAATCCATTGATAGTGATTTTATAAAATATTATATCGTTTCTTGTTTCAAAACCAGATATGGTTACTAAATACTTCATCATTTTAGCAATAGGTATTGTATTTTATATCAATAAAAAAATAATTATATGTATATAATTACTTATAAATTAAATAAAATCGAAAGAACAAATAATAAGTTGAATGAATCCTGTTAAATCAAAAGTTACTCGATCTTGTAAAAATTAGATCTGGTTATATATAAAAGGATTTAAATTTATATAGAAATAATATCCAATAATTATATTTCATTTTCTATTTGACTATATTGTATTAGAGATTTTAGTATATTAACTAGATTCTTAAATGAATTAAGAAACTTAATAATTCAATTTCAATTCATACAGGATTAAGGAGATTAGAAAACTTATAATTATTATTCTCTTTAATTAATTTGGAATTTTTAATTTAAAATTTCAAACAAGTAATCCAAAATTTATAGGATTTACTTTAATATAGTATATTTACTAATCTACAACTTCAGCCTATTCATATCAATCAAAATTAATAATTAATAAATGCTTTTTATAAATTAAAGCTGAAAAATCAAAACTATTTTAATCTTTCTTAGTATTGGAGCTGATGCATTAACTCATAATATTTTTCATAAATAAAATCATTTAGCAATTAATAGTCAGATTAAATGCAAAACAACAACATTATCAAAGATCAATATATTTATATATAAAACCTCAATACTTTTTTTTGTGATGATGTTTCTTCTTCTTTTTGTTTCTGCTTCTACTTCTAGAACTTGAACTGGAACTTGAACTTGAACTCGAACTTGAACTCGAATGTAAACGAGCCAATTTCATTTCTTCCTGTTTCTTTTTGAACTCTTAAATCTTATAATAAGTGGTTTCATTTAAATTAGGTCTTCCCATTTGCATAGTAAAGTCAGAATTTTAATTGATTTAACATTAAACTTTTTATATTTCTATATTGCAAGGCAATTTTAAGTCAATCACTGATTATTCATTATGCATAATTATACAATATTTGGTTTCACTATTTAATTTGTAAATATATATAAATAATTACCTAATTTAATGAAATAATACACCTCCTATTGAATTCATATGAGCATAGACTTATGATAGATTTACTTTGCCATTTAAGATCACCTAATAAGGTTTTAATACTTCATTAAAAGGATCTGATCGCTTCTTCTTTTATATGCATAATAAAGAAATATTCTTTAATACTAATGGCTACTTCTTTAGAATCTATTAACAAGGTATCCTTTCCACTTACAATTCCAAATATTCAAATAATATGTCTCCACTCTTTTCAGATCTAAAGATTCCTTCAGGTTTAACCACTAAGTCATACACCTACTTAATTTCGGATATGCATTCTTCTATAGTAAATTCTTTAGGAATTCCAAAGATGTATAATTATTCCTTCGATATATTATCTAAATTTGTTATATTGATACAGTTATATGTTGGTAAGTATTACTATGGTTTCTCCTTTTCACGGGACAATTCTTTTTATTGGGACTTACGAAAATCACTCTATTATTCTTTTATCATATTTCCTTATTCTTTGAGCATTTCGGTGTACACTTTAGATACGATTGGGGTAAGCTTATCTTTTGTTTTTACAGAGACCTTTCCCTAATAAACTTTGAGTGCATCGTCATCGTATTTGAATCCCACAGCTACATCAATTGTTTATGTTTCCTTATTAATTGAACTAATTTGTAACAAATCGCATGGACCCTCTTTTAGAAAGAGAGATTCTTACAGCCTTTTATATTCTTCCATGTAAATAAAACAAAAATTCATCTTCTCGCAATCCTCCAATGTACAAATCTTTGAAGTAGAAATGTATCCGAATTTCAGACTATTTTTCTTCCTTATACTTGTCACATTAGTTTATAAAGATCTTTTTCTCTGGAGAGGAAGATGAAGACGATGATGATGATGAAGATGAGCTATTCTTTCTTCTCTTAGACATTAATTTAAATAAATTATATAAAATTTTAATTAATAAATAATTGAATTAAGAATCATTTGTATTATTTATCAATTACTAAAAATATATTCTGAATACATAGAAACTAATTAACTAAAAATTATATACAATTAAATAACATCTAATATAATTTGAAGTTTAATTTAAATATTTATTTTTTATAGTTCTATGATAATTTATTTAATTTAATAATTTCATAGATTATGAAAAAATACTTTAAATATGATATGGATATTTAAGAATTATAAATAAAGGATTTATAAATTTATAAAAAATAATTGTCTATAATACATAATTATTGGAAACTAATTAAAATTCTTTAATATATAATTTGATATTAATTTTAAAGAGAGTAATAATAATTATATTTAAGTTATATGTATATATATTGTATATAGTAATAGAATTAGTATAAAATATGAAATGAATATATTAATTAAATAATATTGCTTAGATCTTTAATGAAAAAGGTAGGATATAATCTTAAAATTAGAATGATAATAAATATAATTAATTTAATTTATTTTTAATGAGTTCTTCATCTAGTTCTTCATCATCGATATCTTCATCAAGATCATCTTCTTCAAGTTCATCATCTTCATCAAGATACTCTCACAAAAAACAACAGAAAAGAAAAAACAAAAAAAAAGAGGATTAAGATGCTGGCCATTTTGAATATCAAATAGGCATGAAAATAAAAGCAGGATAATTTGTAATTACAAGATTTTTAGGAGATGGTACCTTTGGTCGTGTTTTAGAAGTTAAAACATGTAATAATACTTGTAATAATTATTATGCCATGAAAGTAATATTATTTGGATTTATAAGTGTATAAGGGCTGTAGAAAGGTACATAGAATCGGCAAAAATAGAAACCAAAATTTTGTGGTATATTTAAGATAAGGATAAGAGTGGTGCATTTAATATTGTTAGACTTTTTACATCCTTTGAAAGATATGACAATTATTTCATGGTATTTGAGAGGGTATTTCTAAAATAATCATTAAGTTAGGGAAATCATTATATGATATAATAAAATAGAATAATTTCATTGGTTTCCCAATGAAATATGTTTAATCATTTGCTAAATAGATTATCATCTCTGTTGCTTTTCTTCATTAAAATTAACTCACTCATACAGACCTTAAACCTGAAAATATCTTAACTACCAATTGTGAATATAAACTTGTTCCTTTTAAAGGAAAACAGTATTAATTTATATTACATTTTATTTAGAATTTGGGTTCCTGAAAGAGAAATTCTTAAAATAATCGATTTTGGAGGAGCTACCTTTGATTATGAATATCATAGTACAGTAATTAACACAAGATAATATCGTGCTCCTGAAGTCATTATGGGTTATCCTAAATGGAATGAAAATAGTGACATTTGGTGTATAGCATGTGTCTTACTTGAATTATATACTGGTATTATATAATTTTTAATTACTTTTTAGGTGAATTGTATTTCTAAAATAAAGATGATTTAGAACATATAGCCATGATTGAAAAAGCTATTGGACCTATGAATTACCGTCATTTCAAGAATTCCAAATATAAAACATCTTTCAATTATGATTAAAAGTACACTTATTGAAATTAGAGGTACTTTGATTAGCATCGATCCTATTTCAAATGGAATTCTGTAGCACCAAGTGATTCTGCTATTGAAAGAGTAAAGAAATTGAAAACTTTCGAAGAATTAATACCAGCAAAACATGCCCTTTTTATTGATCTAATTAGAAAGATGCTCTGTATAGATCCTGAAGAAAGAATGCCATTACGAAAATTAATTCATCATCAATTTTTTCAATAGGTATTCTAAGATTGATTATTATCTAAATAAATTGTTCATCTTATAATTAATTATCTTTTATTTTATAATATTGATATTACTCAAAATTAGTTTAGTATTTAAATAAATGTAATAAAAATTGAAATCGTATGAACTAGAATATTTTGATGAGATCCTTGAATAAAATGTTTATTTATGTCCAATAAACAAATCTCATTCACATAAATCTATAGATTAGTTCATCTAACATTTACACACTTGCAGAGAAAATGCTAATTATTAAGTGAAGAAATACATATGTAGATTTAACTAATTTCATTGGTTTAATACTGCTAAAGTATAACAACTAAATTATTAAAATAGGATAGAATTGTTCATGAATTCTTCTATTGTGAAGATAAAGAAACTGTTATGCCTTAAAATGAGGTAATAATAAATCAAATGAATGAAGTATTCTTACCATTAAATGAAGATCATAGTTTTCAACTGAAATAGTATTTCAAAAAAGGTAACTCATAAGCTAGACCTAATTTCAGAAATTTCATTTCAGAATTTCATAGAAGAGATCCTGAAAAAGAGTCTTCTGTGAAAAGAATTAAACTAAATTAATGACTTTGATTATAATTTATATAATCAAAATTATATAATAAATTTTTAAAATACATAAATTACCTCTTTTCTTTTTTGTAATACAATCTAATAATCTTTTATTATTAAGTGCTTTCAAATTTATATTATTACTCTTTTTATAACTATACATTATTTGTATATAATTCATGTATTAAACAATAAATTAATATTTCAAATTAGCTATAATCAATATATTATTATAAATTTCCTATTTATTATTATGAATAATAACTCAGTTTAACAATGGAAGCATAAGTATATCATATAAAATACTAAAAAACAATAGAAATTAGAAAAATAGAAAAATAAGTAATTATTATATTTTCTAACTAATAAATTAGTTCTTTATTAAAAAAATTCAAAGCCAAGTTTCTTACATTTGATTATTGATTTACTGCCACACTTATAATACTGTCTACATCATTTTATTAAAATGCTTGTTGTATTAATCAGTAAATGTTTCATATTCATTTTTAAAGTTTTCTACAAATTTACTCATATTTTTTTAATGATCATTTAATTATGTCTATATTAATGCTTATTATTCAGGCTTATTAAATAATGATAAATAAATACAGTGTATTTAGCACTTGTTAATGCAGCTGCATGATCAGTTATTGATTATTGTAAATCCGCCCTATATTTCACAATATTCAAAACTACTTCCATATCTAATAAGTATTACTAGCCTAATTTTCAATATATTATTACATCAATTGTATATATTATTGGCATAACACTAGCAAATGAGTCTCTTAATGCTATTGATATTGTTTCACATTTTGTATTCATATGCTCTTTATATCCTATATCATTTTAAATTTCATCAAAAAGAGTAGATAATTTCATAAATTATTTGCTCTATTCAAATTTATTGAGAAATGTCTTTTCTAATTAATCCCTAATATTCTTGATTTTAAGTTTCTATATATTGATTTCTTAAACAGCAATTTAACAATATTTTTCCATTTCATTGTCATTATTTTATGGATCTAATTATGGATAATTAAATACTAAAGAATATATTTCCTATTTTTCCAAATGCATTTACAACTATATTTTTACTGACATTTATTAATAGTTTCTATTATTTTTATGTTTAATAGTTCTATACAAGTTTCTTAAAGTCTTAATCCTATAATGTCATAAATTTTTCAATAATTTCGCAATCCTTTAATTAAACATGACTCAAAGTTTTTCGTAAAAATTCTTCAAGACCTTTTTATCTCTATGATCTAATAGAATTAGTATAGCCTGTTATATTGAATTTAGCTAGCATATTCTTTTAAGGAATCGNTCAATATATTATTATAAATTTCCTATTTATTATTATGAATAATAACTCAGTTTAACAATGGAAGCATAAGTATATCATATAAAATACTAAAAAACAATAGAAATTAGAAAAATAGAAAAATAAGTAATTATTATATTTTCTAACTAATAAATTAGTTCTTTATTAAAAAAATTCAAAGCCAAGTTTCTTACATTTGATTATTGATTTACTGCCACACTTATAATACTGTCTACATCATTTTATTAAAATGCTTGTTGTATTAATCAGTAAATGTTTCATATTCATTTTTAAAGTTTTCTACAAATTTACTCATATTTTTTTAATGATCATTTAATTATGTCTATATTAATGCTTATTATTCAGGCTTATTAAATAATGATAAATAAATACAGTGTATTTAGCACTTGTTAATGCAGCTGCATGATCAGTTATTGATTATTGTAAATCCGCCCTATATTTCACAATATTCAAAACTACTTCCATATCTAATAAGTATTACTAGCCTAATTTTCAATATATTATTACATCAATTGTATATATTATTGGCATAACACTAGCAAATGAGTCTCTTAATGCTATTGATATTGTTTCACATTTTGTATTCATATGCTCTTTATATCCTATATCATTTTAAATTTCATCAAAAAGAGTAGATAATTTCATAAATTATTTGCTCTATTCAAATTTATTGAGAAATGTCTTTTCTAATTAATCCCTAATATTCTTGATTTTAAGTTTCTATATATTGATTTCTTAAACAGCAATTTAACAATATTTTTCCATTTCATTGTCATTATTTTATGGATCTAATTATGGATAATTAAATACTAAAGAATATATTTCCTATTTTTCCAAATGCATTTACAACTATATTTTTACTGACATTTATTAATAGTTTCTATTATTTTTATGTTTAATAGTTCTATACAAGTTTCTTAAAGTCTTAATCCTATAATGTCATAAATTTTTCAATAATTTCGCAATCCTTTAATTAAACATGACTCAAAGTTTTTCGTAAAAATTCTTCAAGACCTTTTTATCTCTATGATCTAATAGAATTAGTATAGCCTGTTATATTGAATTTAGCTAGCATATTCTTTTAAGGAATCGAAGGTATTATTATACCTGGAAAGTTTTCAAATAGTTCTTCGAATAGCCATTCAAAATCAGAATATTATCTTGTAACAAGTGCTTTATCATTTTCATCAATATAACTTTCAATTTCATAAAAAACAGTCTCATATTTTAACAACTATTAATTGATTTCAACATTTTTAAAACAAAATTTTCTTTCTATAGCTTTGTTTATCTTTTTTGATAAAGGAGGTAACTACTTAAAATTTAAACAGAATACTTAGACGGGCTGAATCTTTGGTTTAACAATTTATGTACTTTCATATGGCTTAGTATCTATTGAAACTGAGTCCTATTCTTTAGGTGGAATAACAAATTCATCCAGTCCTGAATGGTAAATATTTTGTTAACTGTATTGAGTCTCATTTTTTTCCATTTAAAATTCATCACTTGAATCTAAGACTTCAACATCATCCATTTTTTTAACTGTTTGAAGTTAATTAAGAAACTTTTGATAATCACATTGTGGTTATTCCTCGTCTGACATCCTATAAATTAAATTAATAAAAAAAAAATAAATAACAAAATGAATATATGAAATACATTCTATTCTAAAATATTCTTAATTAGAATATAAATATTATGTTAGTATTCCACTACTCAAATGATTAAATCAAGATGGGTTAAATATTTTTAAGTATTTCTATATTTTATTTATTATAACTCAATATTGTTTCAAATATTAAATTATTTTATTAATATATCTATCTTATATTATTATGTCACCTAAATAATATTGAATTGATTAATAAATTAATATTATATCAAATGATATTAACTAGAATATTGTTTGACATAATTTATGAATTTTTTTTAGTTAAATTAAAGAATATTAAAAAAAATGATTCAAATTTCCAATTATATCAGTAAATAAATGTTATTCTATTTATTTAATCTAAGATTAATTCCTTTTTTATATTCATATTTAATCATTAGTTTTGTAAGAGTGATACCAAATAGATTTATGCAGGCAGCTAAAATGTTATCAAAATTAATTAATATTACATTAATATCATGCATAAAATATTCCTTTAATTTAAATCAATAAATTGGATAATGAGCATTTATAATTTTGTATTACCAATTTGATCACAAAAATATTATACTATTGATTCTTCAGATTTAAATTTGAAGGGAATTTTAGAATCTTTATTATAAATCATTTTAATTAAATATTAAATTTATAAAAGAATTCTATTGCTTTCTTTGTTAGAATATAGATTAAAAATCTTTAATTCAAAACACTAAATTAAAAGGATTATAAATATATTATAAATTAAAAAATACAGAATCCTCAATTAATTAGCATAATGATAATGATATATACTAAAATTCTAAGAAATATATTATATGTTTGAAACTATATTTAAACATATAAAAATAGACCAATATTATTCAAATTAATGTAAAAAAGTGATACTTTAGAATTACAACAATTTAAGTAAATATTAAGAACATTTTATTAATTGATAATTATTTTTATGCTATTTTCAGTCATCCAATTGTGTAAGTAGAGCTACACCTCTTTTAACCCAGAATCTCTCAGGTTTAGAAGTATATAATCTCACAAACATTACAAAGTTAGTAGAATGACCAGTTGTAGATAACACTCCTCTTCTAGCACTTGTTTTGTAAAGTGGGCAATTATAAGTAGGAGGAGGATTAATTTTAGATATATGCATAGGACATAATTGAATTGTTGGACATTTAGTGAATAAAACCTATTTTAATATTTAATAATACTTTTGGATCTGATTCATCTAGTTCCATGGTATTGAAGTTCCATTTAGCACCTTCTATATACAAACCCCAAACATAAGCTCCATCATCCGGTCTGGATTCAATATGCTCATCAATTGATTGATCCATAATCTAAAAATATTATAATAGGATTACCTTATATTCAAATTTAATTTCATCAATAGGGATTATGTATTTTCTAGCAAAGTTTTAAAGGACACCTGTAAGATAACTTTAGGTGAAGAAAAATCCAGATAACCAATAATTATAAGGAATACCATTATCTAACCATTTCTAAAAGAAGTTTAATCTTGCTTTCAAATCAATTACATAACTTCCTAATGGTTTTAAAGAAGGATAAGACTTTTCCATCCAAAGATCAGGTACTTTGCCATCAAATAATTATCTACTAGCTCTTTCAAGTTATGGACTCATTAAGATCTTACCCATAAGTGCAAGTTTAAGATCATCCATACTTTTTCTTATAATATTGATCAACTTATTAAATCTGGTTAATTCTTATGTTAATACTGTATTCATGGATTCTTTAGGATTAAATGGATATTTTTCAGTAGCTTATTCATAATTAAATTCATCTGGAAAATCTGTCATAATGGTTTTAACTAATTATTCTAGTACTTATTCAAATGATTATCCACTGGAACTACTACCTTAAGCAGAACATAATAATAAAGACTCTAAAATTAGATTTGTTTCATTCATATCTTTAGTGATATCTGCATTTGGATGAAAACCAAATATTTGAGGTGGAGTCAAAAGTGGAAGTTATTTAATATGATCCAAATATTCTTCTCTTGTTTCATAATGAGGAGCATTGTATTATTCATAACCAAAATTGTATTTCTAATCTTCATCAATTACTTATGGACAATAATAATCTTCTAGTAAAATTTTAATAAGATTTCTATCTTTATCATCTGTTACTCTACCACCATAATTACATTCTGCAGTTAAATATCTTAATGCTTCAAAAGGTACTTGATCATTTTCATCTAAGAACATTCTTAGTTATCTTACACATATACGTAAATCTGATTCATTAAATTCATAAGGAATATTCCATCCAAGAGGTCCATACTTTCTACGTTCTTAAATAACTGCATGGAAGAAACATAAACCAAATAATAATCTTTTAAACCATTCAGGTTTGTTACATCCTGAAAAGAATTCATCATTTGAAATAGGATCTGTCAAAAAAGATCCTTATAAGTTAGCTTTTAATCCTTTTGGAGGTTCATTAGTCATTTTAATACCAGCTTATAATATAGCAGTAGGAAATTATGGACTTGGATAACTTGTTAACCATAATCTAAATTCAGGATGAGTTTGCTTTGGATCTGGTGATAATTCTTCACAGATCTTCTCTAGAGTATTCATCCAAGAAACTGCCAAATGACAATTTTACAAGACTACCCAACTTCCATTAATTACTCCTTCTGATATTAATTTTTATGCTAAAGGTCCTTAACCTTAACCCAAAGAAATTTGAGCAAAAGATTTATTCTTAGTATTAGCAAATACACTTAATGAAGCAAATGGATCTGATCCTGGAGATAAAACAAATATAAGTGGAGTTACTGAAGAACTATCTTCATAGATTTCAGCCAAATTAAAAGCTGGTGGGAAAATGAATTCTTCTCCTAAATATCCATGAACAAAGATTTAAATAGCAGGAATCAATTTATCTGGTCTTATACATCTTAATACACATAATTTTATTAATGGATTTGTATATTTATCTTTTAATTCTCCAGGTAAATCTTCAGATTATGGTTATAATGAATCATATATTCGTTTAAATCCATTTAAATATTCATCTTTATAAAAGTATTCATGAAATCCTTAAGTTGTTGGCAATAGACTCAATCTTGTTATTTCACCCCAATTCCTAGGTAATACCCAGTCTGCTTTAGGTTAATCTGGCATCTTATCTTATAATGACAAACCTCCTGTCATTAAAAATCTAAAAGCTTCTTAATCTAATTGTTTACGAAATTCCATCACTCTTGTTGCTAGAAGAAATGAGAATAACAATTTATCCTTTTCAAATAATGATCTACAAATATTTCTATATAATGAGAGTAGGAAATAGTTTTTAAGATTTTCCAATCTTATTCCAATATTATCAGACTTATCTGATTTTACAATAGATTGAGTGAAAAGATCAATAAAATAAACAAGTGAATATTGATACATGGGATCAATATTGTTTAGATCAGAAATAACAAAAAATAAACAAGACGCTTATTATGCAACAGAGACGTATTCTTATCTAGCTGTATCGATATTTTTTTCTGTTTATTCTGCAATAATTTATTTTTCACTAATTTCATTTGATTTTAATTTAGATGCTGTTAAGATCTCTATTGCAGTTTCATCTGTTAAAATATTCTTATTTCCAGATAACACTTCCAAAATCTTTTATTCAATTTCTGCTAATTACTTTTTATTACTAGCACCTTCCATAATAAGTCTTTCCTTTTCTCTTTCTAGATCAGGTCTCTCTTTTTTAACTAAAATACCTAATAATTAATCACTTAATCCTTCATATGTAATCATAAAATTAAGTAAGGTAACTTTAGTTGATATTTCAGGTAAATAGTGAGGATTTCTTAATTTAGTTGTTATATAAAATTAGAATTGATTTGAATATTCAATTGTGTTTTCTCCTAATTTAATATAAGTTGTATTGCCTTTAGTGAATACTTATTTTAAGAGAATAGGAGTTAGTGAAGCATCTAATTCTTCAAGAACATTCTCTAATAATACTGGTTTTCCAAATTAAATGGCATTCTCCAATTATCTTAAGAAATCAGAGTCTGATAATTTTATAATAGCAATTTTTCTTTATTATTCCATCTTTTTAATCCATTTATTAGCTTATCCTTATGGATCAATACAAAGTGGCCATCTTCTAGCTTTGAATAAGATAATACTGTTTTCAATAGAAAATTGATCAGAAGGTAATCCATCAATATTCCAAGCTCTGATTTTAACAGGTTCTCCTAAAACTGTCAATAATGAGAATATCTAAGAAGATGGAATACTTTTTTCAACGCATTTAGCTACCCATTCTTTAACAATTTCAATTCTAAATGCTTAGGTAAAAGCACCTGAATAGGCAATCATTCCTGCTGATGTTAATACATCACCTGTCAAAGTAATATAATTTGCTTCTAATTGCTCAGCAAAGGAACCCCATCTACCTTTTTCTCCTCCTAATGATTCAATAAGCTTTTTTGCTCTTTCTAATTATTTAGAACATTCATCATATTCATTTTCTAATCTATTTTTATTATCTACAGTTAATTGTAATTCTTTATTTAATTTACTAACTTTTTCATTTGCATCATTTAATTCTTTCTATTTTACAGCTAATTTAGAATTCAAACCATCCACTTAAGCTTAAGATTCTGCCAAAGCAATCTTCTTAGGTTTAACCTTTTTATTAACAAAATAAAAGTTATAAACACCATTAATCCACATCATAATAACTTTACAAGCAGGTGATGCATTTTCAGCTGCAGATAATTCTAACGAATCTTTGTATTCAGGATCTTACATATATTTACCCAAACTAACTATGACTTTTTCTTCAACTGTATCAGTATTAAAACTGACCATTTCTTCTAGAAGAGTTGATCTACCTAAGACCTTTAATGAAGCTGTCCACCAATCTGTCACCAATCTAATACCATCCTTATCCTTGATCTTTTCAGTTGGATTGGGATATAATAGAAGACATAAAGCTCTTAAGATATTCCTAATAGTCATTGAAGGAGCTTTCATTTATTTCAAGAATTCAATTTGCTTTTTATCTAATACATTTAAGGCATCTTAGGCAGCTTTGAGTGCTGGCATAGCTTCAGATAACTCAGCTTCACATTCTTCTTTGATAGCATTAGCTTTGTCGACTGCTTCTTATACAACTGCTTCTTCAGATTGTATAACAGTTTTAAGTGAATCAGCTTGTATCTTTTCTTTTTGTACTTCATCCATTTTTATTTTAGTTTTTTCAGCAGCATCTTTTAATTAAGGTTGTAATTGAATTAAATTAGTTTTCATACCTTCCACATTATTTTCAGTGGTTGTAATCTTACTTAAACCATTTCTATATTTATTAATCTAAGCAGTAACTTCATTTCTCTTTTCATACAATAAAGATTTGAATGTTACTATTAATTCTAAATAACTGGTTGGAGTGACATAATATTTACGTTTCAAATCATCATAAAATTTCTTAGCCCAATGCATAGTACTTTAATGAAAGAATTAAACCATATCTATACATTCCTATTTGATTCTTTCATCCATTTCAACTGGTTTAAGGAATCTTGTAGCCACACTTACTAAGGCATCTTAAGGCCATTCATTAAACCAATCAATTGTACAACAATTAACTAAAGATGGGAACATTCTTACTCTTGTTCTAAAGGCATCTCCAATAGGTGACATACATAAAATAATATGAAGATTCTTTTTAACTCTTTCCAAGAAGAATGCATATAATTAATTTAAAGTTGCCTCTCCCTCCTTATAAACAGATTGATAAGCTGGTCTAACCATTTCAGTGACTTCAGTCTTCTCTTCAGTTGGAAATATGTTGGGAACTTCAGAAGTATTTAATAAATTATTCACATCTTCAACAAATGATTCTAATTTGATTTAATTATCAGTGAATAAAAATGTAGATGCATCATTTTTACCTCCACATTATTTTAATAATTTCTTAATATCTTCATGCCATTCTGTTTTTCCATAAGATTTTGAAATTTCAATTTAAACTACTTTAAAATCACCTATAGAAGATGCTAATCTTGCTAATGATTGTCTTCCAGAACCACCTACTCCAACAAGTAATGCATTACCACCAGGTTATTTCATTATACGTGTTATTACTAACAAATGCTCAATGGCAAATTAAAATAATACTAAATCCATAGGTTTATCACCTAAATCATTATAATTTTGCAATTACTAATCAACAGCATTAGCTAATTTTGCTTGATCAATTACTTCTTCATAAAATCTCTTAGGAGCCCCCATTGGAGTCATAACATCAGTAAATATTAGACCTCTAATCTCATCTAATTAATCAATCTTATTGTCTTTCTTGCCATCAACATCAGGCTTATCTAAATGTTCAAATATTGTATCAAAATTTAATCCAAATGATTTTCTCATAATTTCCCTTACTGATCTCAACATCAATAAACGATCATCATCATTAATTAATCTATCTGCAAAAACTCTCCAAACTTCATGTGTCCAAAGTCTAGCCATTACATCAGTAGTATTTATTTTGTCCTTATCTGCTAAACATATTCCCAATATCACCTTTGCAAAATCTCTTAAATTAAACAAGTAATGACTTTTCGTTGGAGTAGGCAACAATTCTCTCATTGCTAATTTATATATTTCTAATGTTCCATTTACTATTTTTGATTCCATCTTTAAAATATCTTAAGGGAAATTCTAATTAGTAAAAAACCATTTCAAAATTGATCCAAATATACGATTTAATGTCTCATCATCAAAAGCAGCTAATGAAATTAAACTTAAATGTCTCAAAATTCTAGGAGTAACAAATGTTCTTCCTCCTCCTGGTGGACCCATAGCTGTAACAAACACACAATTTATAATACTCTTGAACATTTTCTCTTTATCACCATTATCATACCATCCACCTTAATCTAAGAATTATCTTAAAATTTCTATCGGAGGTTAGGCACCCCACTTCTCTTTTGCTGGCATATTCAAATCATCAACAAATAATACATAATTACCTATTCTAGGTCCATAAAATCCTTTCCTGATTCTTTCTAATTTTTAATCAATAATAAATTATGTTTATGTTGAAGTAGTTTATGCAGAAAATCCTAATTCAATTGCAGAGTATTATCCTTTAGGTAATTCTGCAAGTACATTTTTAATATAAACACTCTTACCTGTACCAGTAGGACCACAGAATATTGTGGCAGTACCTGAAAATATATTCTTCAATAACCAATATGAATAACGTACTGTATCAGTTGTTTTGACTAGAATTTCATGTGGTTATAGTTTTGGAGAAATTTATTCATTCTTATCTATTAATTAAGTCCATAAAACCCATTCACCATCACTCTTATTCTGTTTCAATTCAAAAATATAATCAAAAAGACTGCCTCTATCAGGTATTGCTACTTTCTTTTTTGGAGCATCACTTTTAGTGTGGATATCTCCTCCACACAATCTTTTCATAAATTGATCAAATGGCTTTCTAAAGTCAGTACTAACACTAGCTCCAAAAGACCAAATCAAAGCAAATACAAATAACTATTGTATTAATCCTTATCTTATTTTTGAATCTAGTGCCTTCAATTATTCATCATCAAATACTTAAAGTAAAGATTTAAACAATTTTGTATGACTTACAAGCAAGTTAGCATTCTAACATGGAGATATTTCATATTTTTCTGATGCCATTCTTTAATGAGTATGGAATTCCATTAAAGGTTCCATCATGGCATCATAAAGTTCTTAAATTTCTTCTAAATCTTCTTTCAATAATACTTTTGGTAATGTATTCATCCATGATTTTTATAATGGATTCCAACCAACAATTTATGGTTCCATATAAATCATACCACATCTGGATACTGTAGCAGGAGATGCAGCTTATAAATCCATTGGTTCAAATATCATATTCATAGCTTTACTCATAGCTATGATTTCACCTGAATTTAAACATAATTTTTTATTATCATCCAAAACTGTGTTCATATTTTCTATCCAAACAGCATCTATAGGTCCATCAAATATTAACCATTTTCTATCATCATCTTCACCTTTAGCAAATTATCTAAATTTAACAGCTAATACTCCATCATACCATTCATGAGATACTTCATCAAATTTACCATATAATTCCTTCATTGTAACAGATTTAGGATTCAATGTAATTATTTATACTTTCTTCTCATTCATTTAATTTCTTTCATTTAATAAGGTTAAAGCTCCTGCTAAAACTTTAATTGCACTAGTTTTACCACCAAAAGGTAATCCTACAACCATCAAACCATGTCTTACTAAAATCATTTCATATAATTAAATAACTTTAACTATAAAATCTGGTACCTTTTATAAATTTAATTTATCAATTTCTATGTTTATACATTCATACATATTTTTATAATCTATTTCTGGCAATTTAATTCCTGGGAACAAATCATTAGTAATACCTTAAAATAAGGGTAAATCAAAGGATAAAAATTTAGCTAAATTGACATCATTAATAGCTCTAAGCATCAAAATGAATTCATCCTCACTTTAAAACTTTCTCTTTAAATTACCTGCAGCAGTTAAAACTGATTTAACAGCTCTCATACCATAATCATAATGATCTTATGATGACAATTATTCTGAACATAATTAATATGTTGTAACAATCTTTCTTGCTAAATCTCTTGCTTAACTAAATCCGTAAGAATACAATGAAATTTCTGCAATCATTTCGTAATTTGGAACCATCATAGCTACTGATCTAAACAAAGCTTTTAAATTATCTGGTAATTCTGATCTTCCTGCATAACCAGGATTCATTGTAATAAAGCAATTACATGTTTAAATTAATCTAATATCAGATCCTTCAAAAGTAAAACTAGATTTATTGGATGCTCTAGCTATTTGAATAGTGAGTATTTATTAAGCAACAACTGATAAGACTTCTAAATCAATACGATTGAATTCATCAAAACATGACCAAGCACCAGAACTTGCAAGTCCCTTAAAGAATTTACCCATAGCTTTATAATCTAGACCATCAGAACAATTGAACACAACACATTATCTAGCCAAAGCCTTAGCTAAATCCTTGACAGTTTCAGTTTTACCTGTACCTGCAGGTCCTTCTGGTGCACCACCATAATTTAGATGAATTGCACCACATAATGTTCTATAACATCTATCTGTTAATGGTGTAATAACCAATCTTGCAGAATTTCCCAAATATTCATAATTATATTCACAAATAGCATTAATAATTCTAACAGTTGTATTATTGTCAATCCAATAATAACGTAATTAAGCTTACCATGAGAATTCATTTACTTTTTCTACATTTTCCTTAAATAATTAATTTAAAACATCTCTATTATGGACATCTAACACAATCATAGCTTCTAATGTACATCTATCTAATACAGATATTTCAGTACGAACCAAGGCTACAATTTCGTATAATTATTATGTGCAAACTGCTGCATATTAACCAACACCTTCATTTCCTTTTTCCAACATATTTCTTTCAGTTTCACTTGTCCAAAATGTCATATCCATATTCAAAACAGCCATACCACATCTATTTATAACCCAACTTTTTCTATTTGAATCACTATATTCTTTATATGCTTTTTCTGTTTAATAACGAATACACTCTATCATTTTTTTTTCAACTTCTACTAACCATTCATCCACATTTCCTCTTGCTGCATTTGTATCAACAATATTTTAAAATTATACATATTCTGATTCTGAAGAATACATTCCATGAATCTTTTTTTCTCCATCAATTTTTAATTTTTAAATACCTTCAAAACATTTCTTCAAATGAGGTTACACTCTTTAAGGATCCTTTGTTTCTGATAAAATTTCCAATAATTCATCATTTGAAAGAAAATAAAATCTGGGGAAATTTGTTCTTTTACCTTCCAAATATGAATTTAAACCTTTTTGACATACTTCTAATGATGCATTACATTCTTTTAATATATCCAACATTTTTCTATTCTTTGTGTATTCAATAACTTTAGGATTTGAATTAACTTTATTGATAATTGATTTCCAACTTGCATCAACTTCTTTAAATCTTGTTCCTTCTGTAGCAAGATGTTTTAGAATGTCTGGACTTGTAAATACTGGTTCCAAATACATCCAAACTCCTTAGACTTTAAGCCAATAATCAAATAAAGATTAAGTGTAATATAGAAATGCTTCCCATTCAGCAATTCTACTTTCAAAATTTCTTGCATAAGGAGAACCCTTCATTGTGATAGTCTTAACAATTTGATCATCTAATAATGTTTAAACTTCATCATTTGATGCACCAGATACTATAAAGGTACCAGTATCTTTCCATGGTTTAAGTTCAGTAATTACATTATCCCAATCTTCTTGCATTTTATTTAAAATCTTTTCTAAATTATATTCCTTGGTAGCTGAATCAGATATTTCTTCAAATTTAACAAAATGTTATTTCAAATCTAATTCAATTAATTTAGAAAGTTATTATTCTTTATCTGGTCTAACTGGGAATCCCATAATTTAAGAAATCTCTTCCCAATGTCTTTCTTTCATACCTGGATTAGAGAATACTCTAATCATAGGCAATTATACTTAGAAATCATTTATTTTATCTGACAATTATTTGATTAATTATAATGTACCTTAAGGAGTAGTGTTCTTTGGAAATTAATAAGTTAATTTTTTAGCTTAAGTTAACATAGTTTTAACATCTTTTTCAATTGATTCTGCATCTAATCTGAAGATAAATTTAGCTTTTGTCCAATTCATTGAATTTTATTCCCAATCTCTTAATTAATGCCATAATTCTTCATACGGTTTAATACTATTTTAAGCATCTTATAGTTTAACAAATTCAGTAGGTTACCATCCTAATTATTCTTCTCTCATTTAAATATCTTACATTTCAGCTACATATTCTTATAATCTTTTAATATGATTATCAACAATATCATTAGCTTCTTTAACTTAATAAGCAGATGTATAAGATGTTTTTAATCTAGTGATATTCTGAGTAATTTCATCAAGATTATGTTAAAATTTCTCTCTTCTTTCTCTAATAAATTATTCTAATTAATCTCTATCTTTTTGAATACGAATTTCTTCTTAATCAACTTTAAACATCAAAGAATGTACAAGTCTGGATGTATTAGAAATTTAGATTAAATCATCTTCATTAATTTAATAATTAGTTGTATATAATTAATACAACCACTTTTGTAAATCTATAAAATCGTTTTATACTTTTTTATTTTCTGTTTTTCTAATTTTCTCTAAAGCTGCTTCTAATTCAACCAATCTTTCAGTAGTATCTGCTCTACCTTAAATATTATCTTAAAGTGCTTATATTTCTTTACTAATTCTTTAATTTGTAGTCATTATATAATCATGAATATTTCTTTCTAATAATTAAATAATCTCTTAAATGATATCCAAATACTTTTTCTTTACTTCACATCCATCAACCAAAATCATATTAACACGTACAAAAAATGGAATTGCTTCATTTACTTATTCATATAATTATGAATAATTATTAAATGCTTAAATAAATTCATTTCTTGCTCTAGGAACACTTGCCCATTATGTTGCTTTTTCTGTTTCTTTTAATAAGAATGAATACTTTTCATAAATTTCTAAAGTACTCTCTACATTCTTTAAATTAATATCCAAAATTTCATTAATAGTTTTATATGTTGAAACAAAGGTATCATCATCTTCAGGTATTTTCCAAAGTGATGTTTTTTCACTTCTTGATATAGTATTTTCAGGTCTTTAGAAATTCTCAGAACATTTATATATATCATCAATTAATTTCAAAATCCCATTTTTAATACTCATTTAAAGATGATCAGCAAATTCAATTTTATTACCATCATGTTTAAGTTTAACAGTTAGAAATACATCTTCAATAGGTTTATCAAAATCATCTTCTTCAGCTATAACTTATTAAGGTATTCTCAATATTTTCTTATCAAATCTCTTAAAGAAATTTCTATACGATATTAAACTCTCATTAATTTAAGTTCTCAACAAATTACTCATTAATGTAGCAGTACTTTCAAAAAATAACATAGCATGTCTTTTATTTCTATTTGCTACATGTAATTCTTTCTAATAAAGATCAGCTACTTCTTTATGCCATTCATTTTATAAATGATTCTTCACTTCCTAAATTCTATCCTATTAAACTTTAGTAAAATAATTAATATTCATGGGTTAATCTTTAGCAGATGATAAAACTAAAAAATTCATTTTTGAATATTTAGCATACCAACTTTTCAATAATTAGAGAGTTGTTTAACTATTAATTACCAAATTCTACACCATAGCATCTCTAGCTTCATTCACTTTCTTTTTCCATTCTTCACTAGGTTCTATTCCTTTATAGACAGCAGATCCATATTCTGGAATTTCATCAATTATTTCTACTATACCTACTCTTAATCTTTCTTCATCATCTTTTAATACATAATCCAAAATGGCTTTTTTCATACTCAAATTATAATCATGTGTTATTTCATTCATCATCTCTTCTACATATTTTTGACTTAATTAATCTCCCAATTTCTTTAAATCTCTTGGTAATAATTCTATAATATCTTATACCCATTATTATTTGATTTCTGCTATAAATTCTTATGGTATTTCATTATTAATATAAGCTTAATATCTTGCATAACAATTATTCTTAGCTTCTAATTTCTCTTTCAATTCTTTTGTTCTTAATTTACCTGTAACATACAATAATTCTTCTTCTAAACTTGCTGGCTTTTATAATAACTCTGGATTTGCAGTAAAATTCACTTTTGATTCAAATGCTCTTAATATTCTTACACCCTTTGACTCACTATCGAAATAAAATCTTTTGGCTCCAGGATTATAATTGGATGCGATTCTACCTACTACACTACTATTGTATTTCATTCCTGAAATTGGAGCTGCTAATGTTCTAGCAAACTTATCCAATATTGGTGGAAAACGAATCTTAGCATTTTATGGTTTAATAAATTATTAACTCATTAAAGCAAAAGGATTCTCAACCAATTTTGAAAAATCTTGGTTCTTAGCTAAGGGATCAGTACCAGCACCCAACATTTCAGACATGACTGGAATACTTATACATAAATATAAATCAATTACTGTTCTAGTTTTCCAATTCTTCTTGTTGGAGTTTACATCATCTTTTATTAAGAATTTTCACTAAAAATTTCAAAGGCTGCCTTTTTTGTTTGAATTATTTAACTTTATTCTATTGACTATTAAATAACTAAAAAATATTAAAGAATTATTTACTTTCATTTTGTTATTATAACATTGAATTTTTATTCATTTAAAAATTTGTTATTTATCCTCTTGTTTATAAGGCAATAGCATTTTTTGATTATTCAATCAAATTTCTTACAGTCTTTTTTGTTTATGATCCTTATTTGATTTGTGATTAAACTTTAGATTTCAAAAGTGGTTCATATGTAAATGTAAAATCAAATCTTAAAAATTTTCCAAAATAACCTAAATCAACCTCAATTTATGTTTTTGTTTTTATTTTTTAAATTAAAGATGAGAATACTCCTTCCACAATTGCTTGAATCAAAGATCTGTCAACTCCCATCTATTTAGTAAACACAAGTTATTTATCATTTATTTTTTGTGTCTATTATACTTAAGTCTCAATTCCTCCACATAATTTAGCAATTTAATGATAACTGATTTTGATGGTTGGAGTTGGTGTTTCTATTTCTCCCTATAAATATTAAAAATTCAAAATATACTCTATAGCGTAGATTAGAACTATTCAAAAAATTCTCATTAGGATAGAATAGCACACTCTTCTCTTTATCTAATGTCATTTCTTCTCCTTAAATATGAGGTAACCTAAATGCAAAGTTACCTAGTTTATATATTAACTATCCTTTACCTAAATGAGGTATATTTATTGTCCTCTCAACATCAAAATTCATTTTACTCCATTTAATAAATGCATTCCAAATATCTGCTACCTTATCTAATGGCTCACCATTCAATCTTTTTTTTTGTTTAATGAAATTTATACTCCAATTCTGTCAACAGGCGCTCTATATTGTAATGCTCAATTTGCAATTCTGCCATTTAAAACAGTTTTGCTTTATTTAATAATAATAATTAGGAAGGACTAAATAGAAATTGTTTAAATATTAATCCGCCAGAGTGTTATATATTTAGAATGGTAGCATTAAGTTTTAGATAATCGAAAATCAAATCTATTTTTATATATATTTTATTAAATAAATATTGATTAATATTAATGAGCAAACCTGGATTAGGTCTAAATTCATTTCACTTAGTTTTCATTCAAAAATCATACGGAGATATTGATGAAGGAAATTATCAGTGTCTTTATTCTGATAATACTATAATAAACAAAGTGAGATTTGATGAAGAAATTATGATCTGCTTTTTTCATCAAAAAGAAAAAGTTACTTAAATTGTAGATAATAAAAAGACAACTATAAAGTAATGCTTAAAATGAAGGAATTCTAAATAATGACTTTATAATATTCTTTATATTCTGTTCTTACTTAAGTACTTTCATTTACAAATTTAATGCAATCAAATACAATTTACACTTTATAATATATTATAATGATGCAAATTTTATATTTCTATTTATTCCTCATTAATAACCATTGTTCCTCTACTTTTTCAATTCATATTTTATATGCCTCCATCCAAAAATAATTTATTAATCTAAAATAACCATATACATTATTACTATAAATAGATAGTCTCATTAACATATCATATTTCATTTTTAAAGAGTTCTCCAAAGAAATAATTAGTCTTTTTTCTCAATTTAAAAATCTACATAAGTTCTCTTTTAGCTTTTATTAAGAAATTTAATCATACCACTAAATTCTTAGTTAGATTCAAATTTTAAATAAAATTCCTTTTCTCTTGAGTCATACCCTTATCAAAAATTTATTTAGCTTATTCTTATTATAAATCATTTAATTCTTAAATATAGACAAAAAACTTAAATATTAAAATCTCTTATGATTTCCTCTATGTTTTTAATATCCAAATAAAGATATTACAAATCTATTCCTAAAAATAAAGTAAGATACATTACATTATAAGTAAAGATCCTTCAAAATGTATTATAATTCCTCTAAAAATTGATTAATATATTTTAATTTAACACATTTATTGATTCTTAGTAGATAGATTAGATAATCCAAAGATATCTACACTAATAAATCCATAATTTAGATATTTTAATTCTTATTGAATATATTCAGAAATATTTACAATTAATACCTAAAATTATATAGTAACTGACTTTAGGTACTATTTAGAATCGATTATAAGTATTTATCTGAGATTATCATAAAGATATGTTCTTTAGAATATCACTTCAGCAAATTTCTAAATAATTAAAACTATTTAAATAAATAATAATTATTAGAACAAATCAAATATATATTATTTTTTAATTATTCCTCCAAGCATTATGTTTAATAAAGTTATCAAATCATCAGACTATAATAATATTTTTTTAAAAAGATAAAAATTGAATTATAACAATAATTTATCTTTCTTAAAAAACTAATTAAATTTATTAAGTTGTTCATTTTACTTTTATTAATAAACTCTAATTTTAATCCCAATTGATAAACAAAAAATTTATCCTTTTTAAATTTTAAGTCTAAAATTATAATGAATTAATAATAGATAAGTATTTTTAAAAAGGTATAGCTGGTTTAAAATATGGGACAGTATAATTTATGTATAATAATTGATTTTTAACTATAAAACAAACTTTTTGTAGCAAAAATATTTTAGATCTTGCTCTTGCTCTTGAAATCCTTTATTTTTCAATTCATATATAATTTTGATATTGAAATAAAATTATTATATTAAATGAAGATATTTAATAGAAATAAAATGAAATTTTAATAGATATTGATTATAGTTTCTTATGTAGAGAAGGGATAGTAAAGCTAATTTTTAATTTTTAAACCCAAGAATAAGGATTAAATTTAATATGAAGAGCACTTTAAATTTCAATCAATATTAGTGTATTAAATAAATATAATATATTTTCTTTTATCACAAAATTAATAAAAATAATCTGATTGTTTCAATATATATATGAAAGAATCATTTTCTAATCATGGATACTTTCTCAATAGAAAATTATTTTAGAGAACATAAAAATAAATCATTTATTAATTAAATTGATCTGAGTATTTGTAAGAATATTGGAATTTTGATAAATTAGAAAAAAAATAGAATAGGAGATTCATTTTTATTAGTTAATTAGAATTTTTCTTTAATAATGGGTTATAAATTTAATACTCTACATTAATTAAAAAATATGAATGTGTTTACTTAGGGATGGTATTTTAAGAAGAATTTAATAGATTTAAATAATTTTATTTTTTTTCAATTAGAAAGTAATTAACATTCTGCAATTGAAATTTGAATATTAAATTTGAATACTATTGTTTTGGGTTTGATATATTAAATTTTATGTGATTTGAATGATATAAAATATAATAATAAAATGAATAACTAATCTGTGAATATACATTACAATGACTAGATAAAAATGAAGGTATCAGAAGTATTTTAAAGTCATTATATTAATACATAAACATCTAAATAGGAATAAACTATTGTAATTTGTTTAATAGTATTTGGGAATATAATTTGGAATGTGATTGCCAATTTTTAAAATACTGAATTAAGTGATTATCGTTAAGAATTAACAATTAAAATTATTGAGACTCTTTGGATTGTATTTCATTATTTGAAGAAAAAGTAAACATTTGTAAAAATATTAGAACTACTTAGACTCCTGAGTCTCTTTTGAATTTAGGTTTAATAATTTTATTGATAAATGGTCTAATCACAATATTAACTATAGAAGAGTAAAATCTATTATATGTTTTTTAGTATACATAGAAGATCAGAATAAGTATTAGATCAATTTACTTTTTTCATATTAATCAACCAATATATCTACAATCGATTTTCTTTGAAATTACATTATATGCATTAAGTAATTGGAATAAGTAGTGTTTTGGTATTTTAGAGTATTTGGGGAGATCATTTTGTTAGTACAATAAAATTGATAACAGTATAATTAGTTTTTATTTTATCAAAATAATTACGATAATAAAGACTGTTGAATGAGACATCAAATAAAATAAAGTAATTCAATTAAGAATTGGATTAAATGAAGTAGTAATAATAATAATAGATAAATAAATATCAAGAGGAAATAGATTAAAAATCATAATTATAATTATAATCAAGAGCTAATGACTTAGTGAATAAATTAAAATTAATAAAATTTAAGTAATAATGTGAAATAAAAAATCAGATGTTAAAAAATGTTGGATAATAATAAGAAAAATTATAATCAATGGTGTCAATAACAGAAGTATTAGGTAAAGATGAAATTGATGAAGTTACAAATTAACATAATTAATCTACTTCACCTAAATTAGAGAATTTTAAAAGAAGAGCAAGCAGAACTTTATCATAAAATTCAGATTTAAAAGGTAAAAACTTTTTGTTTGATCAATAATAATCTCATTCTGATTAAGATATAGTTTAAGGAGATAATTATATTACAATAGATGAAATAGATGATCTATTGAATTTGTTGACAGGTAAAAAAGATAATATTTGGTTACCAAAATTTTTAAGAAGTCATCGTTAATTAGATTGTTAAAATAGTAATAATAGTATTTAATAAACATCAAAAGAAGATTAATTTAGTTAAGATGCAAAAAAGTAAATATTTAATATTTATATTTAGATTTATACTTTCACATTTTACTTAAAGAGAAGCTTCATTTTAATATATTGATGATATATAAGATGATGTGGATGATATTGCTGAGAAAACTCTAATTGATTTTAACATCAATTATTTATAATAAGATTATACATTAAATAATTTAGATTAATCATAAAGAATGATGTTTATAGAAGGTTCTATTAATTTATTTAAGATTTTTAAGGTTATCTAAACATTGAAAATTACTAATTTAGAAACACTTGGAGAATTTAGTGTTAAAATAGAATCTTTATATTAAAATAATTTTTATCATAATTCAATGCATGCTATAGATGTTGCTAATTCAACAGCATTTTTTTTATAAAATGGATTATCTACTTTAATAGATGATTTTTAAGCTACTTGTTTATTAATATCATCATTAGCACATGATATTGGACATCCAGGATTAAATAATGGATTTATGACAGCAAATAGATGTAGATTAGCCTTATTATTTAATGATTAAAGTGTTTTAGAGAATTATCATTCATTTCTATTATTTTAAGTTCTTACTTAAAGTAATTGTAATATCATAGAGAATCTAAGTTCTAATGAAATAAAAGGATTCAGAAAGTATTGTTTAAATTTAATTCTTGATACTGATCTTACTAGACATTTTTAATTAATGAACAAATTCTAAAATTATTTAAATGTAAATGAATCTCCAGCTATAGATTAATAATTAATTATGTCAATTGGTATTAAATGTGCTGGTAATTATTATTTAATATAATTATTTTAGATGTTGGACATGGAGCAAAAGAATTAAAATTGCACAAATTATGGAGTAGAAGAATTGTTGAAGAATTCTTTTTATAAGGAGATTTAGAACATTACTTAAAAGTACCTATATCACCAATGTGTGATAGAAATTAGAATGTTTCTAAATCTCAGGAAGGTTTTTTAAAAGCTATAGTATTACCTATGTTTGAGGCATTTTCAACTATATTGAAAAAGTATATTAGTTTATATGATTAATAGTGAAAATATCCAAAAAACTTGTGTTGATTAAGTAAAATAAAATATAGAATATTGGTAAAAATAGGAGACAGATTAAAAGTTTATGGAAGAAACTATTTTTGATACTAATTCAGGATTAGAAACTCTTTAAAAGTTTCTAAATGAGCCTCTTCATATTGAGATTTGATTTATATGTAATAGATAATTTAATATTAATTATTTAGAAAAAAACACTAATATAAGAATAATTATCATATTTTTTTCAATATTATTTAAATAAATTCTGCTTCCGAAATTTTACCATCTTTATCATCATCACATTCTTCTAAAAATTCACCCCATATAACATCATCTACTCCTTCCATTGCTCTTTAAAATTCTGCTTTTGATATATATTTATCTCCATCCTTAAATAATATATGAAATATTTAAATACAATATCTAATATTTTAAATGTTTATTTGATCTTCTCTTCTGTTATTAAACGTTATTGTTATAAACTTGCAATTATAAATTCAGTATAATCTATTTTACCAGATTAATTAATATCTATTTATTAAATCAGATTTTCTATCTTTTCTTCAATGGATTCAACAAAATAATCTTTATTCATTATTTTATCTTAAAATGCTTTCTTTAATTCATCCTTTGATACTGTTCCATCACTATTAGTATCTAATTCTTTAAATAATTTTTGTAAATCTTCTACTTCATGTTATTAAATCATTTAACATGCCATAAAAGTTAGAAGTGCTTATTTTAATTTACTTTTTGCACTAAATTCTGATAGATTTTTTAAGAATTATTAATCAACTAAATTAGTTTAATTATGTTCTATCATCCAAGGATCATCTAAGGCATCTTTTGCACTTATTCTTTATTCTGCATCTTTACAAAGCATTTTTAAAATTAATGATTTTGCTTAATCACTTACTTTAGACCATTCTTCAGCTATATATTTAATATAAATATGTAATACTATAAAATGGTACATTAGCTTTTACTATCTTTTAATAAATATCAATATCCTTTTTACCATAGAAAGGAGGATAACCAGCTAATAAAATATACAAAATGACTCCACATGACCATACATCACATTTTTCATTATATTTTTTAAGAAGTACTTCAGGAGCTATATAATAGGGCTATGATGAGATTAATAAATTACTGTTCCAAGTCTTTTGGTCATCTTTTTATCTTATTCAAATCTTCTAGAAGTTCCAAAATCAATGATTTTTAATTAGGCATCATCATCAGTAGAAGTAAAAATGATATTTTCAGGTTTAAGATCTCTATGTACAATTTATTTAGTATGACAATAAGCAACAGCAGATAATATTTGTTTCATGATATTAGCTGCATCTCTTTCGCTGAATGTTTTGGCTTTTTGTATTCGATCGAATAACTCACCTCCATTAAGATATCTAATATAAAAGGATATTTGGTACTCAGTTATAAGATAATAACACTTTTCATCTTAGAATAATTCACAAAGCTTAACAATATTTGGATGATCAAGGTTCTTTAAAATGTGCATCTCTTAAAATAATCTTTATTCTTCTTCTTCGAATAAACAATCTTTTTTTATTGCCTTCATTGCTCTAACAATTTCTAACATAATAAAATATAATTGTTTACCAGTTCTTTTATTGGTTACTAATGACACTTAACCATAAGCACCTAAGAAAATCTAACTTAATAGTACCTTCTCCAAGAGCTTTGCCTATTGAATATTGACTAAAAATATCCTCTCTCTTCATATGTATAAAGAGATCTGGGCTGAGTTTCAGATAGGTAGACTTCTCTAAAGTTAAAAATAGGAACATTGTTTTACTTGTTGCTTAAGTGCTTAATTACTTATCATTATTATTGAGCTCTTTTGGTCTAATTTCAATTTCAGGAGTATTAGCTTAAATTAAATACTCAATAATACATATTACATCTTGTGAACAACAAGTATTTCCCATTTAAATTGTAAATGATTAAATAAAAATATTACTTAAATAGAAAGTAAAAGGATTTCAAAATAATAATATTGTAGTTTAAATGAAACAGATTAAGGATAAAGAAATATATGTTATATTAAAATTCGATTATAAAACAATTTAAATTCATGAAAATAGACATAACTATTCTTCTGATTCTTGTATCAATAACTGTAAACATTAAATTAATAAAAGTAGAATGAGGAATCTTAAGAGTTCATAACAGGTTGTTAGACTGTATAGAATCCTTGTTTAAAAAAATGTGAAGAAGGATATTAGCTATGTGAAGATAACAATAATATAAGATGTGAGTATGGCTATTTTAAATTAAATATTAAGAATGAGAATTATTGTGTGAGATGGTATTGAATATGATTTTAAAATAAAAAGTCCATTATCAAATGTGGATGAAATGATGTACTTATGTATGGATTGCCGAGAGAATTCAGAAACTTGGTAAAATTCAAGATAATGCACATACAATTATGCTATAACAGATGGGGATAAATATGGGGCATTTAGAAAGATTAAAATACTTGAAACTTAAATTTTTAATATACATGAAGTATTATCAGAAGGAGTAAAGAATAGTTATGAAACTGAATTATGTGTAGGATGTTTAGCATTTTGTGATGAGTAAAATAATGAAGATGAAGAAGAAGAATGTAATATCTTATCAGATCAGGATGATATTATACATATTGGAGTAATATGTTCTGATGGTTATTATTTTGAAAATAATCTGTGTATAACTTGTCCATTTGATAAATGCAAATTATGTGATAATTAAGCATGTTTTGAATGCTTTGAAGGTTATACAATTGATTACACTTAAAAATGCATACCATGTTTTTAAGGTTGTGCAAAATGTGAGTATTATAATGGAATTATATGTTTAGAGTGTATTAAAGAGTAAGATAATTATTTAGTATTGATATAGGGTGGACTAGATTGTTCATAATGTGATTATTAATGTATAAGATGTTAAGTTATATATGTGAATGGAATAGAATAAAAACGATGTACTCAATGTAAAAAAGGTTATATTGTAAATAATCAAGGATCTTAATGTGAATACTAATAAAATAATGATTGTGAAATAGGATACTATGAATATTCAAAAGATGGAATCAATAAATTATAGACATATAATTTAGACTTTGAAATTGTTGTAGATTATTCATCTAAATAAAAATGTTATAAATGTAAATCAGGATATAAATTAACAGATGGACAAATTTGTACTATATATATAGATCCTGATTGTAGTACTCTTGATTAAGATAAAAATTTATGTTTAGAATGCAAAGATAATAAAGTACTTAAATATGAAAATGGAATTACTTTATCTAATTCTTGTATTACAGATTAATATTGCAATAAAAAGATTAAATATTGTATATAATGCATTTCATATATTATCAATTCCATTCAATAATATTAATGTATTAAATGTCAAAAAGGATATTATCCTGATATCTTTACTAATCTATGTTTACAATGTTAATCTAGATGTGATGAATGTTGGTAATATACTAATAGTTATAATATAACTGCATATTTACAATTACAATTAGCTGGAATAGATTATGATTAATTTAAATAAGATTTAGAACTTATTAAAATTGAAAAACTTAATGATCCCTTATGTTCAATTTGTCAATTAGGATTCAATTTATACAACAATTAATGTAAAGGTTGTACTGATAGTTGTGTTCCTGAAAGTTTTTAAGAATATAACTCTTAATGCATATATTTAGATGATACTGCTTATTGTGCAAAATGTCCTATACCTTCATTATAATAATCATTAATTACTGACAATAGTGAATGTAATGAATGTCCTAATAATTGTATTGCTTGCAGAGAAAGAATGTAGGATGAAATTAATAGAGTTAATCCCTTTTTTAATCCTGATTTTGAATAATTTAAAAAATACAGTAATTATTGCTATAAAACAATTTAACCATAAATTAATCAAAAGATTTATATTGATTCATTTTTTGGAGTTCCTATTACTTGTGTTAATGATCCTAATTCTAAAGGATGTGATAAAAAAATAGTTAAAACATTTAATGTATATTGTGGAGATAAAAATGATATCCTTTAACCAAATGAAATATAATTGAAGGATGTATATAAAAAATAGAAAAATAAAATTGTTACTTTATATCTTTAAGGATTAGAAAATGCATAAATTTATAATGAATACAATTAGTTAACAATTAACTAAATAGATATTAATATTAATTTTATTTCTGATAATAATGGTATTTGTAACTTTGATAAACCTATATAAATTAAATCAAGTTTTTAAAAGAATATTTTTACTTTATAAAAATTGTCAATTATTATAAATGGTCAAAATTCAATATTTAAACAAAATGGAAGAATGATACTCTTAGATTATTCTTATGTCTAAATTTCAAATGTCAACTTCAAAGATAAAACATCTAGTATATTTGGATTAGAGATTTTAGGTAAGATGACTATGTTAACTATGATAAACTGTAAAATTGTTAAAGAAAATGTTGCAAGTTCATTTAATATTGTATTATAAAATACTATATTCCTCAAATTATAATAAGTTGAATTTGAAAAACTTAAAAATGAAAATTTCCTTAAGTAAACTTCAACTAATTAATTTAAAGAATAAGGTCAATATATATTAGAAGATGTTCATGTAAAAGATAGTGAAATAAATGATATTCTTATTACTATTAATTAAATAGGAGCTAATAATATTATATAAATCAATTCTCTAAAGTTCTCAAATACTAACATTACTAATACAGCTGTATTTTCAGATTTAATTACAACTCCTAGTTACAGTGTAATAATAAATGATCTTAAATTGATCAAATGTACAATAACAAATGGAAGCATCTTTAATTTAGCTTTGGTTAAATCATTCCAAGCATAAAATTTAGAAAGTATATTGACTTTATACTAAAAATGGTCTAATTTTATTATAAGTACTACATTCACAATTGAAAAACTGTTTTGTTATCATTCCTTATTTACTAATCACTCTGAACTTATTTCTTCAAACAATTAAATTTATAATTCAGATCAGAAATCTAGTATTTTATTATTCACTTTCAAATTGATTACATTTAGTAATAATATTTGTTAAAATATTAATTGTTTAATAATTATTTCCACTCCTTTAAATAATTATGGTATAAGTTCCAATATTTAAATTGAATAATTAATAATATAAGAATTGCAAATCTAATCTATAAGTTAAAAGAATATTGAAAGAGTTTCATCAGCCTTGATTTCTCTTTAAAATGTTGGAAATATCACTATGAATGAATTAACAATTAAAAATACATAAGGTTTATCTATATTTTTTATTGGATAATCATAATCCATAGAGATTAATAATGTATACTATTATTTGGAAATGTCAAATGATTTATTGTATGAATATGATGAATAAATAATAGAGAATTTTGAAATTGATCCTAATTTAGGTAATTATATTATTGTAACCAATCCAGTCAATAATTTATTACCTAATTCACCTGATTGTGCTAATAGGAAACGAACAGCACATTAATTTAATTCTTATCTTATATACATTGAAGGATTTCAAGGATCTATTGTAATAGATAATATTGAAATTTTTAATTTATTATTTATAGATAGATCTGCTATATTTATTAAATCTTATTAAAACTTATTATAAATGTAAATGGAAACTATTTTGCTTTAAAATTTAAGTTTTGATAATAATAGACTTGCATCAACATTAAATGGAGAAGAGATGAGTTTAATAATAATTGATTCATAATAAAATTAAAACATCACTATAATAAATGCTTAATATAATGAAAATCATTTACACTAAATAACTGATTCATAAACATCCCAAACACCAGCACTTATATTAATTATATCTCCAAATTCCATACTTAATTTATAGAATTCTTATTTTAATTATAATCGTATTTCTAAATCAACAAATGGATTAATTTGGATTAAAGTAGATTAAATTATTCTTAATAATTGTTATTTTTAAAATACAAATATTTTAGATATTTAATGGTTAGATTATTTAGAAGAATAATAATTAACAAAAAGTGATCCATAAACAACCTTTATAAATCTAAGTAATATAAATATTGATAATTTTAGAATAATATTTTTACATTTTATCTAAAGGATCAAATTTATATATAATAGGTAAATTTATATATATTGATAACATATAAATTATTGAATCTTATGGATAATCTGCTGCTGGAATTTTCCTTGAATTATTAGATGGAATTGTCATCATCAAATAATCAAACTTTAAAAATATCTAAAGTAGTTTACAGTAAATTGATAATACAGAAGGAGGATGTTTAACAATAAATTCAGATAGTTCTTAAATGTAATTGGAATTACATTCAGTAATTATGAATAATTGTACTGCAAGAATTAGAGGAGGATGCATTCATTTATATCCTACAAAATTTAAATAAAGCATTTTATTAAAAGATTCATAATTTTAACTTTGCCAATCTTTGGGATATTCCTTTTTCAGTAATCCCTATTTAGAATCTACTGATCAACCAATAATTGAATTTTTGAACATTTATGTAGAAGATAATAATTACAATAACTTTATTTAAAATTTACCAGATTTATCATTATTAGAATAATTGTAATTAACTAAGAATTCTGGAATTTATTATTAACATACAGGAAAATTAATAATTAGAAATTCTATCTTTACTAATATTAAATATTTAAGTATCATTAAAGCAATTGCTATGACTGATATATTTATATCTCAATGTGTATTTACTAAAAATATTCTCTTTTTAATGCCTCTTTTAGATCTCTAAATGACACCAACTGTCTCGAATCAAATATAAATTATTGCATCTGAATTTATAGATAATTGGTCTATAAATATCAATCCAATTGTAAATAAATGTGATGGATTTATTAGAAAAGGTCTCAATTCAACCTTAGATTAATAAACTTGTGATTAAATTATGTACATTATTGATTTTTAGAATTTTGTAAATTAAGATTAAATAATTTGGAATAGTGATGAATATTTAGAATATTATTATTATCTAACTGAATAAGATAAGTATGGATCTATCTATTCATATAATTTTTATTATGCTAAAATTATTCAAATTGTTTAAAGATTCAATTCAACACCCAACAATACTTTAATCAATTGTATTCTCCAAAATATGTTAAAGTATTATATTATAATATATATTTAGTTTAACATTAGAAGCTAATTAAGATATAACCACTTCTATAATTACTATAACTAACCTATTTAGTAATTCCTAATTAAAATTTGAAAAAATTAGTATCATTTAAAATAGATGTTTAAGATGTTATGGAGGTTTAGTTTAAATATTGGGAATTAATATTGGAATCCAAAAAGATACTAAATTATTTTTAACTCATATTAACTGTAAAGATAATCTCATAGGTTATTATGGATGTTTATTAATTTAATAATCATAAACTATAAATACCTTTATACCAAATTAGAATTTGATAGATTTGAATGTTACCTAATTTTCTAACAGATTGTTGTAATTAAGTTAAGAATAAACTGTATAAATAGATTTATCGATTTTTTCATCCAATCGAGCTAGTATTGGAACTGCCATTAGTTTATTAGGGTTGAATGCTTTAATAAAAAATAGCATATTCTCGGATAATAGTGCAAGTCTTGTTGGAGCTGGTGTTTATTATATGAACATTGGTGGAGATTTAGAAACTTCATTATATGTCTACAATTTATCATTTTAAAGTAATAAAGCATAAGTTGGAGCAGCATTCTACTTAATTAATAAAGAATTAGCAAATGTAAATTCCTTATTAATTAAATTTGAATACAATAATGCAACAATATAAGCAAATAATATTCATGAGAATTCAAGAAGATAAACTCTTTAAATGAATGAGAATTCTTATTTTTAGATTCAGATATATCTAAATCTAAGTGGAGATGAGAATCTTGATGGAAACATAGATAGTATTAATAACATTATAAGGGAAAACATAACTTTTGATTATCNTGTACATTATTGATTTTTAGAATTTTGTAAATTAAGATTAAATAATTTGGAATAGTGATGAATATTTAGAATATTATTATTATCTAACTGAATAAGATAAGTATGGATCTATCTATTCATATAATTTTTATTATGCTAAAATTATTCAAATTGTTTAAAGATTCAATTCAACACCCAACAATACTTTAATCAATTGTATTCTCCAAAATATGTTAAAGTATTATATTATAATATATATTTAGTTTAACATTAGAAGCTAATTAAGATATAACCACTTCTATAATTACTATAACTAACCTATTTAGTAATTCCTAATTAAAATTTGAAAAAATTAGTATCATTTAAAATAGATGTTTAAGATGTTATGGAGGTTTAGTTTAAATATTGGGAATTAATATTGGAATCCAAAAAGATACTAAATTATTTTTAACTCATATTAACTGTAAAGATAATCTCATAGGTTATTATGGATGTTTATTAATTTAATAATCATAAACTATAAATACCTTTATACCAAATTAGAATTTGATAGATTTGAATGTTACCTAATTTTCTAACAGATTGTTGTAATTAAGTTAAGAATAAACTGTATAAATAGATTTATCGATTTTTTCATCCAATCGAGCTAGTATTGGAACTGCCATTAGTTTATTAGGGTTGAATGCTTTAATAAAAAATAGCATATTCTCGGATAATAGTGCAAGTCTTGTTGGAGCTGGTGTTTATTATATGAACATTGGTGGAGATTTAGAAACTTCATTATATGTCTACAATTTATCATTTTAAAGTAATAAAGCATAAGTTGGAGCAGCATTCTACTTAATTAATAAAGAATTAGCAAATGTAAATTCCTTATTAATTAAATTTGAATACAATAATGCAACAATATAAGCAAATAATATTCATGAGAATTCAAGAAGATAAACTCTTTAAATGAATGAGAATTCTTATTTTTAGATTCAGATATATCTAAATCTAAGTGGAGATGAGAATCTTGATGGAAACATAGATAGTATTAATAACATTATAAGGGAAAACATAACTTTTGATTATCATATGATTGGTAACTATCCTGAAAAGACTAATCTACTTATCTTACCTTCAGGATAATCTATTAATACATATGAATATTTTTTTGAAGATACCTAAGAATACATACCTTATGAATGGATATTTAGAGTGATTAATTTGAATAGATTCAATGAACCTGTAGTTAATGATGAAGATGGGGATAAGTGTTATATATTTGGTAGAATACAAAAGTTCTAGAATTATTCTGAGAGTATATCTTTTACTAATAACTTCACAATTCCTAATGAAATGCATTATAACCAAAATTTAAAAGGATATGTATTAGATGATATGTAATTGTCTTTTGATCCATATTTTGATAAAGATTTTTATTTGGAATTAAAAAGTAATAATATTTTATCATAAATTAGTTAAATGTGATAAAATGGCTATTCCAATATATGCTAATCCTCCAGATTCTAAAATTCTTGGTTACAATAAAAAATATGAATTAATTTTGAATGTGAGAACATTTCCCTGCTAAAAAGGTGAAGTCTATTAACTTGGTCGTTGTATACCATGTAGTCCAAAATTAAATTAATATTCTGTTACTATTGGATCTGTTTTATGTTCTTAATTTAATTCTGACTACATGATAGCCATAAAAAAATCATCAATTTAGTTGAAACCTGGATATTGGAGACCTGATTATAATAATGACTAATCTTTGTATTGTGAAAATTTAGATTCTAATTGCAATGGTGGTTGGGTTCCTGGTAATCCTTCTTGTTATACTGGACATATAGGAGCATTATGTGAATCATGTGATCTCTATTAGATATATAATTACGAAAGTTATACTTAAACTTCATCATATAAATGTGCAAAATGTGGACCAACTATGTAATTAAATTATATAGTTTTGGTGGTTACATCTATAATATCCTTTATTTCAATGGTTTTAGCAGTAAAAGGTAGTTATGAATCATCAATGTAATTTATTATTGAAGAAATTTTTGAAATATGGGGAGTATTATTAAAAAGTTCTGAGAGTAATTTAGCTGTTTTGATGAAAGTTCTGACTAATTATTTTTAAATCATTTAGTTTATTGCTTCATTTTAGATATCTATTCCTGATCTACTTAAATAAACAACCAAGACTGGAGGCAATCCTACTGAAAGTACTAACACAGCTATGGATTGTCTCTATGTAACAATGTCTGATTTAGATGTTTTATATTTTAGAATGGTTTGGGCATTCATATAACCATTAATATATTTGATAGGTTTTTATATCATCTATTTTGTTGGAATTGCAACTAAAAGGTTTCCATACAAAATTAATATTATTACTACAGCACTTATCTATTAATTCCTTTATTTATAGCCCACTTATGTTGAAGGATTTATTGTCTTAGCATCCTCTAGAACCATAAGTGGTATACCATATGTATAGAGAGATGTTGCATATAAATATGATAGTGCAATACATTAATATTATCTCCTAAGATTTATTATACCTATGTTAATTATTTGGGTCTTATTGTTACCTTTATTATTTATGTTTTTGGTTTACAAGAATAGAGCCACAATTAACACCAAATAAACCAAATTAATTTATGGATTCTTCTATCTAGAATACTAATTAAATAGTTATCTATGGGAATTTGTTAAATTATTTCAAAAGGAATTCATGGTTATTATTCTAGTTTATTATGAAGATCAAGTTACTGTTAAAGGTTTGTTACTAGTAGTAGTAATGTTTCTCTATGGGTTTTACTAAATTCAAATATCACCTTACAGTAATAAGAGACTCAATATGTTAGATAGATATTCAACTATCATTTTGTCAATCTCTTTAGCTATGGGAGTTTTATTGAAATCATGTTAAGATTCACAATTTGGATATTTAGTTATAATAGTATCTATTTTATTAATCTTAATAAATGTTCCATTCCTATTGACAATTATATATTACATTTTTGAAGGATATATTATTAAATTGTCCCCAATCCTCGATAAAATAAGGGATTTCCTCAATTAAAAATATCCAAATTTAAGTAAAACGTATCCTTGGTTAAGACCCTACTTATATAATAAAGCTTAAATGACTATCAGAGTTAAGGCATATTGGGACATCCTAAGAAATGCTGTAAAAGACACCAATCAATTTTGTAAAGAACATGATTTAAAATTTAAAAAGGTCTTCCCTCCTTATGCAAAAATAGAAGAAAATGAGGGTAATACCTTTGTGAATATTTCAATTGAAACTAAGCCAAACTTAATTGAAGATAAATAACCTTTAATAATTTAAGATTCCTTTATTCAAATAAATTAAGACAATTCATAAAATTAACTACCAAGTGCAATGAGAACCTAAAATATGCAAACCAATGGAGTAGTGTAGTTAGGTTAATTTTTTACTTCATCATTCATGATTAACGAATCTTAAGAACCTATACCCATTACAGGCTAAGGTTTTGAACAATGGCCAGATTAAACTTAGTATTAAGGATTAATTGTTAATGGTAAAAAATAAGGAAAAGGAGTTTTAATTTGGCCATTCAAAGAAAATGAAAAGTAATAAGAATAGTATGAGGGCGAATTCTTTAATAATCTATTCGATGGTTATGGGGTATATAAATGGAGTGATGGTAAAGTATATGAAGGAGGATGGAAAGAAGGCAAGAGACATGGGTATGGAAAATATCAAGGGATAAATTAATAGTATGAAGGAGAGTTTTAGAATGATTAATATTAAGGATACGGAAATTTGAGCATTGGAGATAAGATAATTTCAGGATAATTTGTTAAAGGTAAAATGGATGGAGAAATGAATGTTATAATTGGCAAAAAGAAAAGGAGAGGAATTTGGAGAGATGGAGTGTTTGAGAAGTGGATTAATTGAAATTGTTTATATTTAATATGGATATAAAACTAATTCAACTTAAAATTATCAGAATAAATTTATAATACATTCTTTTAACCAAAACTTCATCTAAAAGAATCAAATATAATATATATAATATTCAATAACAATATAAAAATTAGAATTTTTTAGAGAATAATATCAATTATTTTCAAAATAGAATATTGCAATATTGTTTCAAATTTTAACTGAACCATTAATAATATACACAGAAATAAATTAAGATATCAAAATATTAAATTTCTAATAATAATATGATGTATATAGATTTAACTTAATTATGGCATCATAAAGCTTTATCAAGATCTCTTAATCTTGCTTCCAAATCATCAAGAGCTTGGGAGTTTGGATTGTTATTCTTTTATTATTGACCAGAAAATTATTGTGGTGGTATTACTGGCTGAACCTATGGTTAAAATGGTTATTAAGGATTTTAATATTACTATGGAACTTTCATACTTTAGCTAGCCATTATTTGAGGGCCTTAAAATTAAAAATAATAAAATACCTTAATTTAAACAGGAATATGGATTTGAAGACCCATTTGCTTAACCATTACCTCCAGTTGTTCCAAGACCTCCAGCAGGAGGATTCCCAAATTAATTACTTGATTAATTATATAAGCCATTTTATTAAGGTTAAGTTCCAAAACCTCCTTATGCTCCAAAGTTTCCTTAAGTTTAATTACCAAAACCTCCTGGTTATGATTAACCAAATCCTCCTGGTTATGATTAACCAAATCCTCCTGTACCTGGATTTCCAAAACCTCCTTAAGGTGGGTTTCCAAAACCACCAATAGGTGGTTGACCAAAGCCTCCTTGAGGTGGATTTCCAAAACCTCCAGTAGGTGGTTAACCAAAACCTCCAGTAGGTGGTTGACCAAAACCTCCAATAGGTGGTTAACCAAAACCTCCTTAAGGTGGATTTCCAAAACCTCCAATTGGTGGTTAACCAAAGCCTCCTTGTGTTCCAAAATCTCCAAATCCTTGATTACCTGGCTATGAGAATGATTCTGGATGAGAACCAAAAGGTACTCCAAATCCTTAATTTGAATATGGCATAAATTATTATTATCCTAATGCTTATTAATCAACTAAAATGCCTCCTTGAGCAGGTTTTAAAATTTTTGAGCTAAATTAATGTCCTGAAGCATTTAATTGTTCTTCACTGAATCCATATTTTTCTGCAAATTTTAATGCAAATTCATTGACTTCGTATGCATCAGGTAAAGGAGTTTTATAGAGTTTTTTCAAATCTTGATCGACATTGATTAATTTATTAGTGTCATTGAAGCCAGGTCCAAAATAGTATATCATAAGATCTTTAAATTCCATTACTTATTCTAAGTTCAAATTATCTGCTGCAAAGAGGATACTTTCTATATATGGCATAAGATCTGCTATTTTAGAATGATCTCCTCCACATCTAAAGATTCTTATTGATTAATCTTTAACAATATCACAATATCTAAGTTAATGTGAGATTAGTATACCTTAGTACTATGTTGCATGTCTCAATGAATCGAACATCTTGAACTAGTTGTTGAAATTTTTGATACTCTTCAACCATTACTCTAGATGGACTACGTAACATTTCATTTAAAGCTTTCTCTTTCATTAATGCTTAATTAGTTCTTCTATCTCTATTCAATTCCACATAGCCTTTAACCTAAAATTATGGAAAAAGACATACTTTTAAGCAAGCAATTTCAATTTAAAATTGAGTAATCTATTTAGTTTGAGGTGCTTTTTGTTATTAAGTTCCCATGAATATGGATTTATTTTGTTTAAAATATTAATATTATCATTTAATCATTCAATATTTTAATTAAAACAGTATGTTTCCATATTTATTTTAAAATGTATAACAGTATATAAACATGTAGAAAGTTCCATACTCTAAAAGAAAAATAATAATTATTTTGATTTTAAGTAATCAAACTTAATTTAATAATAGAAACCAGAACCAAAGCAAGAGGAAATCATATATTATTTATAAATTTCATTGAGATAAAGAATCTCAATTTTCATTAAAATAGAATCTATTTTGATGATATTTGAAATGAAACTCTATATTAGGTATATATATTATGCATGTTAATAAATTTATTAGATTTGGTATAAAATTATCCAATCATAATAAAAAATCTTCAATTTTATCGAGGATTAAATGGAATAAAGATACACTATAATCTATAAAATAAAAATAATCATATTAAATATAGATGATTGTTAAATAACCTAGATTGAAACGAAAAAAAAATATCATAATTTATATAATACTTGATATAGATACCTAATCTAAAGATAATTCTAAAATATTGGATTGGATGAAAGTTTAAAGATAAAACTATTTTAGATTGAAATCATTTTCTAAATTTACAAAATAGAATAATTAATTCAAGTATAAAATACTTTAATGAAATTAATTAATAATTATTTTACAAAAAAAGAATGATAAAATTTAATTAGAGAGATATATAAATATAATTAATGGTTTTTTGTTTTTGATCCTTAAAATAGTAATTTAGAATATATATAATTGTGTGTGTAATTATAAGTTAATCAATTAAAATTTAGATTATAGAGATGGATTTTAATACTTTAATAGGCTATGAATTTGATTAAGAAATATAATAAGAGTTTTTTAATTAGGTAATTTTTTTAAGGGATAATGTAGAATAAATAATATAATTAATTTTATACCTTAAAAATTTCACATTAAGAAATTAATCAGATTTATTAATATATTTATATATATATGAGCATTTATTAGAAATTAAGATCTGCTTCAAATGAATTTTTGAGAGATTTAAAGATAAATGATAATCATTAATCTTTTGTTATAGGAATGGTTTGTGGATATTTTTTATAAAATAATTCAGATTGCTCGATTATAGCATTAAAAGATTAAATTAAAGCTGTTCAAGAAATGATTACAAATGGATTAGTTAAAGGAAATTATTTTGATGATTTTGCACAATCTCTAATAAGCAATCTTGAAAAACCTAGAAATTATAATTTCTAATAATAAGATGGTGGTGGTGGTACACCTGTTTTGTAAAATGAAGATTAAGATTAAAAATAAAAATATTAATATGAAGATCCAAATGAAGAGGCTACAATGGCATTAATAAAGAAATTACAAGAGGAAGATTAGAAATTTGCATAAAAAAAATAAATAGAAATTGAATAAGTGGATTGTCCTATTTGTTTTTCAAATCTTATGGAAGAAGATGTAATACCATTAGAATCTTGTGTTCATATTTTCCATATAAATTGTCTAAAAGAATTATTATTATAGTGTATAAAAGAGAAGAGGAATTAAATAACATGTCCTGAATAGAAATGTGGAAAAGATATTGCTATAAATGATATATCACATATTATAGGAAAAGAGAAGAAGGATGAATATCTTAATTATACACTTAATAAATTTGTTGATGATCATGGTGCTGATATGTCTTGGTGTCCAACTCCTGATTGTTAATATGCTTTTGTATTAGGAGATGAAGATGATAATAATCAATTTGAATGTCCATTATGTAAAAAATCATATTGTTTGAATTGCAGAGTCACTTTTCATAAAGGATAAACTTGTAAAGAGTATTCAATTACAAATACAAGAGATTAAAATGATGAGAAATTTGAAAAGTTTGTTAAAGGTCATAAATTTAAGATGTGTACAAAATGTAAATTCTGGGTTGAAAAGAATTAAGGATGTAATCATATGACATGTAGATGTGGATATTAATTTTGTTATGTTTGTGGAGGAAAATATTTATAATGCGAATGTGTTGAAAAATAAAAATAATAATAATAGGAATTTTTAAGAAAATCATAATTAGCCATTTAATAACAAAGATAATTAAAAAAACAATCAAAAAAATCTAGTAAAGGTAGAAGATGATTAACTCAATTTAAAATTAACAAATCATTTAATCTGATCTCTATAGTATAAATCCAATTTCATTATGATAAATTCCAAATCTTAGTATTATCTATTATTTCTCTAAGACGAATAGATTATGATTTTAGGTTCTTTTAGTATATTTATATAATTATTATTTTCAAATATAATATAATAATATAATAATAACTAAAACAAAATGCATACTCTAATATTTAGAAATGAAAATTGATGATTGAAGAATGCATTAAATCTATTCATAGATATAATTTAAAATATATAGCTAACAATAGAATTAACTTAATATTAAAGATAAATTAATAATAAAATAATGATTTAATTTATAAGACATAAATGAAAATAACTAAGCAATAATCTAGTAATTCCAAAAATTAAAATTTTTAATACTATATTTAATTTAAAACTTATTGGAATTAATAATTATTCTGATTCATAATATGTGAAATATGATTTTATAAGATATCCAAAAGAATATAAGAATTAATATATTAAAGATTTTACTAAATAACATGAAAATACATAATTCTATTTATATAAACATATTGAATTTATTATTATTGAATCTTGATAGTAAAATATATTTATATATAAAATAAAGTCTGAGATATAAAATCTACATTGATATCAATACCTCAATAAGATTAAAGTTATTTAAAATGTCATATTATTTCAATACAGAGTATGAATATCATTGTTTATTAAAATTTAAATTAATTTATTTATTATCTTACTACAAATGAAACAACCAGTCTCACTTTTCGCTTAAAATTCTTTTTCAAGAAAAATAAATTAAGAAGATGTTCAAGAAATTTAAGATAGATCAGGTTTTGAAATTTTAAATATGGATGGTTAAAAGAGAAGAAGAGATAAACTATCTCCAGTTGCTCGATCAAATTCTGGACATCATGAATAACTTATTTTATAATACCATAATCCATAATAACTCATTACTCCTAAAAATGAGAACATTACTGAAAGACTTTAAACATTTGCTTAGACAGAGTAATTCAAATAATCAAAATCATTTCGAAAATTGATTGTTTATTTTCATCAAAAAGACTTTATAAAAATACTATTGGCTCCATACAAATTAACAACATCTTTTACTCTAAAACATTTCAATTTAGTCAATGATTTAGGAGCCTCTTTTAAATATTAAGTTGGCAGATTTAATGAAAATTAAAAGAGTTTGATTCATTAATATATCTCTCTTATTGATATAAGAATTCAATTAAGATTAAAATTTAGAACAATAAAAACAAAATGCAAACATTACTTACAACATATTCATAATTAAATTCCATTAATTGAACCAATGAGTAATCTAAAATTTTGTTGGGATTTGATGTGCTTTGGTATTAGAATATATTTAATTGTGGTAATACCAATATTGATGGCATTCCACAATTAAAACTTCATTGATAAACAATAAATTCCGTTAATTTTATTTTCTATTGCTTTAATTTATGATATTATTTTAAGAGCATTTACTGTAACATATGATTAAGGATTACCTGTAAGAGATAGATATTTATTATATAAAAAATAACTAAACTTTTCAACATTATTGGAATTATTTAGTTTTATTTATACAATAATAATATGTTTATAATCAGATAACATTATTGATAAAAATATAATTGGAGATGGTTGGCCAAAATTTATATTAGTTTTATTATATATATAAGTGGCCAATATATTAAAGTTTATAGATATTTCTTAATACTCTTTCAAACTCAGTAGAATGTCAACATCAATTGTAGAATTAATTAAATTAATAACATTAATACTTTTAGTTTAACATGTATTCAGTTGTGTATGGCTTGTTTTTGGTATTTAATGTTAGGATACATAATAATAGTCTTGGTTAGATAAATTTGAACATGATTAATGGTCATATTAATTTCTATAATCCTTTTATTTTATTTGTGTTACTACATTTACAGTAGGATATGGTGATTTGACACCAAAAAGTAATAATATTTCTATATTTTAGATCCACCTGAATAAATTTTTACTATTTTTTATATGTTTTTATGTATGTTATTATTTTCATACACTGTAAATACTATAGGAAGTATACTTACATAAATAAAAGAAAGTAGTGATAAAATAAAAACTAAACTTACAGCCATTAATTAATATATGCACAATAAATAAATTAGTCCAACATTATAATTTAAGTAAAATAAATTAAATATTATAGAGTTCGAGAATAATTGTATTTTTATCTTAAATAAGAAGTTGTTTAATAAGTAAATGAATAATCAGAAATTATATCAATGCTTCCAGAAGAATTATAACATAGTTTAAGGATAGAAGCTGCAAAATCTTTAATAAATAAATGCCCTTTTTTTAGTGAGAACTTTTCAAATGAAATATTGAATTAACTATTGGAAGAAGTCAATTTCTAAATATTTTAACCAGGAGCAACAATTTAATCAAAAGATGAATTCTTCATTCATATAATTGAATAAGGATAAGTTGAAGTTTTGTATAAAAAAGTATTATTATTATAAATATTATTATTAGAAAATTATATAAACACTTGAAAGATTTGATTATTTTGGACTTGAAGAATTTGTTAATTAATAATACAATCCAAATTTTATATACAAAAGCAATGCTTTTACTAGTGTACTTTCTATTCCATATACTTATTTTCATAAAATATTATCTCAAAATGATTTAGAAAACTAAAAATTTCATAATCTACTAACATCCTAATCTTGTATATCAAAATTTTGTTTTATTTGTAAAAACAAAAGGCATTCAACCTAGTGCTGTTCTTTAGTTCATTTTATACCAAATAGAGAGGTAGTCTTAAAAAGATACCTTTATAGAAAAAAATAAAAAAAAAGAATCAAGTAAGAGAGAAGAATTAGATAGTTATCAATAAATGAAATGAATTTAATAGATGGATAAAATTAAATTAAATAAATTTAATTTAAAAATGCATGTTATAATTAAAAAATGATAGAATCAACTGTTAATAAATTTTAAATTGAAAATCAAATTGCTTTAGAAACACTATTTCCTACAATTGAATAACCAATAAGTGTGGATAGTTAAAGTGAATCTGAAAATGATGATCCTGATGAAATTAAAGATTAGAGTTTTTCATAATAAAATCAGAATTCAAGAAGAGGTAGTAAATAAATTCCTTGTATTTCTTCTAAAAATTTATTTTAATATTAAATTTTAGATAAAATTAAGAAAGAAAGATAGAATAGGTTAATCTAACCTTTATAACCATAATTCTTAATGTCTTAATATGGATAACTTAATGTAAATCCTAATCCTAATCCTAATCCCAATATTAATATTAATACTAATACAAAGTAATAACTTAAAAAACTTCTATTATCTAAACCTGGCCAACCTGATTATGATGAATAAATAACATAAATTCAAGAATTAAACTTTTTTAATGATTTAAGATAGAAAATGAATAATTTACTTTTATTTCCAAAAACAGAATAAGAATAAATTGAATTTTTATATAAAAAAATTTTAAATTTGAAAGAAGATTTAAGTGAAATGTCAGATTTTGAAATATTAAAAAATTATGAAGTCTTTAATAGATAATGGAATGCTGACTAAGTAGTTAAGAAATTAGTTTAAAAATAAAAAAAATTTAGAGGATTTAAAAAACTTAAAAGATTTTTGTTATTCCCATTTCTTTATGTAAATAAATATCTGGACAAAAAGGATTAAGGTGATCTATTTAAGCCAACTGAAAAACCAAAAAAGAAAAGTAAGCATTAAATTTATAATTAGGACCTACAAGACCAAAAGTAATTAAAAAAACCAGGGTTAGTCCTAAAATATGAAAATTATTTGTATACCAATCTATTTCATATTAAATATGATAATTAATAGTTTATACTCCAAAAATAGAGATTTGAATATTTTTTTAATTTCAAAATTATTTCTCCTTCTTATGCTTGATCCACTTTTTTTGAAACTATTTATTTTTGTCTAGTAATTTCAATATTTTTGTTTTATTAGCTAAAAAGGATCCATATTATTTTGTTAAAAAATCTTATTAAAGAAGAATTATAGTGATTATCAGAATTAGAATTATTCAATTTCTTTATTTGATATGAAATAGATAATGAATAAACGTATGAAAATTTTGAAGACTTTCTTAAACAAAGAAAAAAATGATTATAAATTAGTTACAAAAAATATGTTAGAAATCATTTTTAATTCATAAATTAAAATTAATTAATCACTCTAGTTAGTTTTCTCATTTTTTTTATAAATTAAAGGATTACTTTTTTAAGCATTTTAAAAAGTGAGATATTGACTCTAAATTAGGTCTTTCTTCTTTTTGAGGTAAAAGACCTAATTTATTAATTATAATACATTTAAAAATTAAGATATTCAAATTTAATAATATTAATCTAGGACCATTGTGGGCATTTAAACCTTTTGAATCATCTAATCTAAGATCAAAGTCTTTAAAAAATGATAAGTATTTTTCTTTATTTAGAATAGGCTTATTATTTAAATAATTATTTTACTATTGGTAGTTTTCCAAATATTAATTCATAGGCTAGAGTACCAAAAGAATACACATCTGCTTTTTCTGATAAAAATTAAGTTTTATGTTTTAGAAGTTCTGGTGCACCATAGGGTACCGAGAATTTGATGCAATCTCTTTGTAATTGATAATTAGGATGATAAGCTTCACCAAAATCACAAATTTTAGCATTACCATTTTTACTTATCTTAACATTATATTATAATTAATACCAAAATATTATCTGCCTTTATGTCTAAATGTAAAATATTCTGCTAATGTAAATGTAAAATACCTTCAGCTATCTATGTTAATATTTACAATTTTCTTCTTAATGAAATGACAAATTAATATTTTTTTATATAATCTCTTAAACTTTTGAAATGATAATACTTTAATAAGTAATAATTATAAATATTTTCTTTTATGTAAATCTAAGCAATATATTTTGAATAACTTTTTGATAAAAATCTATTTATAAATTCGATTTCCTTTCTTAATTTATTACTTGATTAATTTTTAACAGCTAATTCTAATGTTTTATTATTTTCAATGTTTAAACTAACTTTATAAATTTTATGAAATCCACCTTAATCTACCAAATTTGTTTCATTTAATCCAGAAATTTTGTTATTAATTTCATAGACTAATTTTTCTACTTAATTTTTTTTTTTTTTAGATTTTTTATCCAAAGAACACATTTAATAACAATTACCTAAATCTTATACAGAACTTTAAAACTATTAATTAATTTATTATGATTTTTTAGAAAATTCTTTTTCAAATTCATTATCTAATTCAGGGTTGATCTAACCTTATGAATTGTCATTATCCTCTCTTGCTAATATTATTGAATTAGTAAAATTTTCTTAATTAGATTATTTTTTCGAATACTAAGATATTCTAAAATATTAATCATTAAAATTAGTATTACAAAATTACATTTTGTATTTTAATGGGAAAATGAATTAATTAACTATTATATGAAATCGTTTGATTGCATTTTCAATTATACTCTGAATTTGAGTTATTTTTTTTGTAAGTTTCAATTATTTAATTTCATAAATAATCTATGACACTTAACTTAAATAAACAAAAGATCCTATTTTCAATTAAAAATTTTGATTTAAGCATATATTATTTATAGTAAATGTTTAGTCTTTTTTAAATAAATTAAATACCTTATATAACAAGTGAATTCGATTAATTCACTAATATGCTCATTTAAATATAGATTATATCGTCACTATCATTTTTAGAGGCTAATATTAAATAATTTTAAATTTCTTTTGAATTTTCAAAAGATAAATCAATATTTGAGAAATCAGTCCTCCATTGACAAACCTTCGTATCGTTTTTTTTAATTGATAAGAAAAATTCCATTAATTTTTTAAAATCATTTTTAATAATTTGGTATGTTTCCATTTACCTTGATTCATCTTATATTAAACTTGAATCATAATTCTATATAGATTATGATAATTCGGAAAAAGACCTTGATATTTGACTTGAATGTTATTCTTCTTGGTTTTCTATATCTTATTTAATATTTTGCTATTTATTATTTTCAATTTATTCATAAACTAATTTGATCTTTTGCTAGTTATCATTTTTAATTAATTCATGATCTTAATTAATATTTTGCTAGTTATTATTTTCAATTAATTCATGATTTTATTGGTTATTTTCTTCTATATTATCTGTTTTTTGTGTATTAGTTTCAAAATTAGTTTCTTAATTCTCTTAAATTTCTTCTTGATATAACGATTTATATTTATCATCCAATTAATCAAGGACATCATTTAAATTGCAACCTTAATTAACGTAATCATTAGTTTTTTCTACTTTGCAATTTAATGGTTAATCCATAAAAATTTAATAATAAAAAAAAATATTTTAATTTTAGAGTAAAATTTTTAATAAAATCTTTGATCAATTATTATCTTTTATTGAGAAAGGGAGATTATATAAATTAATTTTATATTTTTTCCTCTCTCAAATATAGAATTTCTTTAATAGTTTTTATGATAATAATAATATCTATGAATTTTTATATTCAAATTATTTCCTCTTCTATAAAATGTACCTGATGATCTAATATAGCTATACTATTTTCTTAGGTTTCTTGATTACTCTTTATAGATAAATAATGTTTATTGCTATGCTTTAAGAATTAAATATCAATTAATGAACCAAGTTTTTCTTAAAATAGTGTGACTTGTTTGTTTTAATCTATTCTAAAAATCTAAATTTTATTATAATTTAATTAGAATGCAAATAATTATCGACTTATCAAATGAGCTTTAATGGCTTATTTGCTTATCTCTTAATCCCCAAATATTTTTTCAAAATATGGTTGTTCATTTAATAATTCTTTCTATTTTATTTAATAAACTTCATAATATTAATTTTCCTAATGAAAGAATTAATTTTTTACTTACATGTTCATCAAATCTTTTAAAAAGCATAACAATATATTCACCATCTTATATTATTTGCTTTAAAAATCCTTCAAATGGAACCCAAACCCATAGTAATTCATCAATATTATTAGCATTGTAAACTTTAATTTTACAATAGGAATCTCCTAAAATGATAACTTTTTGATCATTAATTTCTAAATATTTAAAGCATTTAGGAATGGCAAGATTAGTTTAAATTGGTGTTTACTCTTTCGTAATTGATTATATTCCTTCCTATCCTAATTGAAATTACCACATGTCTCCATGTTTATCACAAACATAAACAGTATCATTGCTTTCATTAACAGTGATTCTCTTAACCTTTTTGAGAAGCTTTAGAGTGTAAGTCAATTAAAGGTTTTTATAAACTTTGACTGTCTTATCCAAACATGCCACAATAATAAAATCCTTATAAGTTATGACTTCTCTTCCCTTTATGTCTATGATTTCATTTTATAAATCTTTCTAAAAAACAGCAATATTATCAGACAATCTTAATCCGAACATTAAATTTAATATACAATTTAATTATCAAATTTAAAAAGAAAAAATATAAAAATTCTTATTTAAAATCTCTTAGTTTAGAGATACAAAATTTTGTATTTATTAGATAATTAAATTCTATATTATATTAATAAAAATGGGTTAGTGTATTACAAAAGAAGCAGATGAACAAAGAAGCATATAAAGAAACTCATAAAAACCTACAATATAACCATTGAATAGGACATATAGCTCTAAACTCTTAAATCCCAACATTACAGATTGTGTTATATTAGAAGAAGAGTCATATTTGTAATAAAGTTCTTTATACTCCATATATACAATTATGGAAGAAAACTAAGTTAAGAGATCAACTCTTGCTAATGCAGTATCTAAAGTGAAACCTTTAGGTAATGCTATTACATCAGGAATATCAGTTCAATTCATCAATATTAGTAATGGTAGAAAATTACATTCTCATGCTATTAAGTAAGACAAAGGCTTAAAATAACATGAAGTAAGTCTATGTAATGAAATTGAAAAGAACGCTTATGATGAATGGTTAATATTAACTAATCATAATGAGCCTGTTAAAGATGGAGATGTAGTGGCAGTATTTAAATTATATATTTTCAGGTTCAACATAAAATTACAAAATGTATTCTCAGATCTAGTAATGACATATTGACTAAATCAAAATTATAATAAGTGTCTTGTGTTGATATCATATAAGATTTGACAGAAGATGATTATTGGATCATAGAGATTATTAATGACACTAAATAAATTAACAAATTGCATAGCAATAATTTAATAAGTAAAAATTTAAATTTTACTTAAATAAGGAATTAAACATGCTCACACTAACACATATTTATCTGGAACCAAAAATAAAGCTGTACTTAAAGGCCACATGGAAGTTTGTGTTACCTAATAACCTGGCCATGACATATGGGTTGTAGAAGATACATTTTGATAGTAAAAATTACTATTTCTTTTTTATTTATTTATATTATTGGATATATATATATTAATTTTATTTTATGAAAATATAGCACCTTCTCATTCAATTGTTAATATTTACAACTGTCTAAACAATTTGTATTTAGCTTTTATTTGATCCTTGGTCATAAGAAAGATTTGAAAGAATGTCAAGAGAAAATGCAAGATTATTTAATCCATTATTATAAATATTGAATAGAATTGATTTCATAAGAGAAGCAATCTCTATTTTAGGAATTTTAAGTTCCTTAATGTATTTATTCGGGTATAAAATATCTAACTATATGAAGATCAAAGTTCTTTGGGCAAATGACTATTTTATGGCTAGTTTTTTATTGGGCAATATTCTTTAATTTCAATATCATAAGAAGTGAAAGATTTTTTGCTTATGTATTACCTGGAACATTTGGAATATGTGCATTTTCAAATACACTTCTAAAAACATTATGATAAATTAATATATAACGTTAAAATAATTAGAAATATTTTTAAATTTTATGATCCCTCGCAAGTCATCCATGTCTAAGAAAACTATTGGTTAACCTAAATTCATTTTAAAAGACGACAATACTTTGGATTCATCATATTTGGAGATGTATCAATAAAATAAAAATCATAATTCTGGTTAAAGATTACAATAAATACTACAAAAATAAATAAATCAATCATAAAAGAATAAATCTGTTGAAGAAGATAGATTAACAAGATAATAATTTATTAATAGAAGTTAATAAGTAGTACGTTAAGATTTAGGATCATATACTCCTTAAAATATTTCTTATGAAGATTTAGATTTAAGAGAAGAGAATAAATAGTTAAAATGTATTCTAATATTAATATATTATAGAATAAATAAGAAAATTACAATTAGAATTGCAATAGAGTAAACATTAAAATTAATTATTGATTCAAGATTTCGAATAATTAAGAGATCAATTAGAAAAATAATCAGAAGAATTTAATTAAGCTTTCGAATTGATAAATGATGAAAAATTATTAATTCAATAAGAAATTGATTAAAAAGATTAAATAATTGCTTAATTAAGATAATAATTAGCTCCTCCAAGTAAAACATAAATGCAGATAGATGAAATCAAAAACAGAATCTTAGCTCGTAAATCTGTTCATAGAAGTTCAAGAGAAAATATCACACAATTAATGAATGATATGGACCAATCTGCTAGATAAGATCTTAAAGAGAATTTCATGGATTACAATAATAGAATAATACTATAGAAATCAATTAAATGAATTAATTAATTAATATCAATCTATATATAATTATAAATACTCCATTTTTGTTATTTATTGTAAATTAATATAAAAATAATCAACTGATTTAAAGAGTCTAATGTTCAAGCTTTATCTCTTAGTAAAATTCCCATTACTTATTTTTCACTCATCTATAAAACTAATTAATATTAATGTATTTCGCCATATAATTTAATGGCCAATGTTTTTGGACGAGGAATTTCATTAAAAATAGTAGGTTAATTCATATCAATATATCCAATACATTATTATTGATCACATTGAACCGAAAACAATTTCCATTCTTTGTTTATCTCTTTATTCATCCATGGATTTAAATCAGACAATCTAAATGTGAAATGTGTAATTAAAGGTAAAACTTATACATCTAAATTTTGTTATCTCAATTTTGACATAAATTATGGAGATTAATTATCATCAAATTCTGGAATAGTAAATTCTAAATATGTTTCTTCCATTTTCATCATTAATATTTATTAATCTTAATTCATAAGATTATCTTTTATTATAATTTCCAATCTCTCAAGTTCTTTTGACCAAAATAGATAATTAGATAAATTAAATCTACTATTAATATGAAATTTTAATAATGAAATTTTTCCACTACAATAATGCAGTTCCTATAAACCCAATGTTTTTCTTAGATTTTTAGTATTTTATGGGATTCCTGCAAAGTTACCATCTTCATCCAGAATACAATCTTATTAAATGATTGTTTTGATATTTTTTTTATTCAATGCTTCTTTTAAAACACAAAATAATCCAAAATCATTTACATATTTGCCAGCACATAATGCATTTTATATTAACAACTCATTTGATTACTATAATTCTTAAAAATCTAAAGGTTCCATAGTTTTTAAATAGAAACCCAAATCTTTATGAAATTTTTAACCTAATAATAAAATTCCTTTTTTAATGGTTTTTATTTTATTTGTTGGTGGTACTTTGGGAGTTTTAAGATTTTCCTCATTCTATTTATCTAAGGGGGCTAAATCTTTTAAAAGATGATTGGTAATGATTCTTTCTTTCTGAGATTGAGAGGCCTCTATATTTTTTGGGAGCTCCATAGTAAATTGTTTACTCTATTATTCTAAGAAATTATAAAGTGAATAGGAAACTTTTTGATTCTTCCAATAGTTTGGACTGATGAACAGAAATACTCATCTTTCGTTTGCTGATCTCAAGTGAATTTAATATTTGTTGGAATTAATCATTCTCATCACTTTATGACATAATTATTATATAATCATTTTTATAATGGTATACCTTATATTAAAAAATGACTTCTACTTCTTTAGATAATAAACAAATTAAATCTCTAAATTTAATTTCTTGAAGTTTAGAAAGAATGAAAAATTATATGCTATTCTTTATAAAATTTGAAAATTAAATAGATTATCAAATGCTATTCTTCTTAAGTGTATTTATTTCTTAAATTCATTTTCTTTTCAGAATTAATTCCCAAATATTTCATACTTCATTAAAGTTGTTTTAAATTCATAAGAATTTAATTGAATCAATTATTTCCTCTTCTTATTATAAGGTATTCTTTTTAATACAACTAGTGTTAATAAAGATAGGTTTTAACATATTGATATTAATAATAAATATTCTTTGAATTCTACTTGAATTTTTATATATTAACTTATTTTATCTAAACTAATTGAATAAATATAATAAATACTTTATTTAAAATTGGATAGATATTTTTTAATACTATACATTTACATGGTCTACACAATTTAATAATTTATCTTTATTTAAAAATAGTATAAATCTACAATTAAAGATATTCAAATTTAATTATGCTCTAAATTTCTTTCAAAATTATCTATATATTTATATACTATCTTCTAATCCTTAACCTTCTTAAATTAATAATAATATGAATATTAATAATCATATGTTATCATATTTATATATGAATATTTAGTATAATTCACATATTTTAATTCTTAAGAAATTATGATAACTTTTGAAATAAAATTAAATAAAATTCTTAAAATTTTAGGAATTCTTTTTGTATCAAAGTTAGACACAATAAATTATTAAAATAGATTTGATCTTTTTTATTTAGAATTTAAATCTAATATAATAAAAAGATTAGGATTGGAGAAGTAGAATTTTGTTATCTTTCTAGTAATCTAATGATGATAAAATTAATTGAAAAAATTTGATGTGAATTATATTTTATTCATTTATATTAATTAATACTGTCATTTTTGTATTATTTAATATTTATAGAAGTTTGATCTATTTTTGTTTTCATTAACAGTATTTAAACAAATAAAGTACAGAATTACTGCTTTTATCAAATGTTTAATTGCCTGAATCTCTTCTTCGAAGTATTGGTGATTTATTGGATGCTACCGAACTCATATATGATTAAACTACTCCTTTTCTAATTTAAGAATGATCTAATTGATATTCTATTGAGGCTTTATCATTTTTCTTAACTGTAGATTAATATTATTAATAAGGATTGATTTATTTAGGTGAATTAATTTTTGTACAACTAGATTTTTGAGATTTACTATTAGATTTGATGTTATCTAGAAACCATGGATGCAAGAGAATCTAAATAAAATTGAAATATACTTCTGCTGCAGAAATGCGATTTTCTGGATCGAATTATAACATTTAATATAATAGATCTTGTAAATAGTGATCATTAATAGAATGGAAATTAATTTTGCATTACATAATCAATTGAAATAATTCTTTATCATTTGAACCTTTAAATGGGAAATAACCTTGAGTTAAATAATATATAACAATCCCAAAAGCCCAAATATCAGCAGGTGGTCCTCTATAATATTATTTAGTAACAATTTCTGGAGCCATATAACTAGGAGTTCCACAATATATCTTTTTTTTTATGGAATTGGAAAAAAGAGTAGAAAAACCAAAATCAATTAATTTGACTTATCCATCTGAATAAAGTATATTTTCAATTTTTATATCTCTATGAGTAATGTGTCGAGCATGTAAATAATTTAATGCTGATGCTATTTAATATAAAGCTTATTTTAAATTATATCCTTTTAAAGTATTTAATTATTTTCCATCTATATATTCCAAGAGTAAATTGATATGATTATTAGTTTCAATTACATTGTAAATATTAATAATATTAGGATGTTTGATCATTTGAAGTATGCGAATTTCACGAAGTATAGACTTTTAACGACTTGAAGAAATATTAGATTTATTGTAAATTTTAAGTGCATAAGATTTAAGTGTTAATTTATCTGCACATAATCTAACACTAGCATATGAACCTGAACCTATTTATTTCCCAACCATATATATTTCTTTAAATGCTATTGTTCTATCTATTATAGATTCTTTAAATAGTTTAAAAGTTAAATCTTATGTATTGATTTTCCATAGTGTTTCATCAAAAAGGGGATCCAATGTCTTTAACTTTGGTTATTTTGGTATTTGATAATTTTCAATTATTGTGAGTTAAGATGAGTTGTCATGGTATCGATTTGAAATTTTGCTATCTCTTCTTCTAGTTATAACCTCTTTGATAACAAAATATGTACAACCTGTTAATTTAAGTTCTCCTTATTCTGTGGTGAAATAGATCTCCTTGAGAATTATTTCCAAAGCATACTTTCTGTTAATGATTAAATAATTTATATAATACAATATATATATATGTATATATCATCTCAAATATTATGATTGTAAAGCAAAATAAATTTATTAGTGGTGCTAAATTTAATGCTAAGAACACTAAGATAGTTTAGTTCAATTTTCCATAGAGTTCCTTTAAGATCATTTTCAGGTGCAGTTGAAGTTACTCCTAAAGATGTACTAATATATATAGATAGCTTTATAGGAAATATTAAAAATTTTGCATTCAGAATCTAGAGACATTTTTAGAAATGTGGCCATCATAGCACATGTTGACCATGGAAAAACAGTAAATTATTGATTCTATTTTAAAAAAAGACTCTTGTTGATGCTTTATTAAGAGCTAGTGGTTGTGCAAATGAATATGATTCAATGGATAGCAATGCATTAGAAAAAGAAAAAGGAATTACTATTCTATCTAAAGTGACTGGTGTTACTTTTGGAGGAAACAAAATAAATATTGTAGATACACCAGGACATTAAGATTTTGGAGGAGAAGTAGAGAGAATTATGTCAATGGTTGATGGTGTATGTTTATTAGTTTGTGCAACTGAAGGACCTATGGCTTAAACTAGATTTGTTTTATAAAAGGCATTACAATCAAATTTGAAACCAATAGTTATCATTAATAAAGTAGATAGACCATCCGCTAGACCTGTAGAAGTTGAGCATGAAATTTTCAATTTGTTTTGTGATTTAGAAGCTCCAAGTGAATCACTTGAATATCCTTTGTATTTTTGTTCTGGCAAAGAAGGTTGGGTTAGAAAAGGTTCTATGGAAGCAGAAAAATAAGGATTAGAAGATGTATTGGAAACTATTGTAGAAACAATCCCACCTCCATAAATTGGTACAGAAAGCAGTTTTAAAATGTTGGTTTCATAATAAGAAAGTCATCCATACTATGGTAAAATAGTTATAGGTAAAATACATTAAGGTGAAATCAAACTTAATGATAAAATATTAGCAGTTGATTAATAAGGAAAATTGGTTGAAACAGCTAAAGTATTGAAAATTTTAAGAAGATATGGAATGTAACAATTAGAAATGGCAAGAGCTGTTGCTGGAGATATTGTCTAAGTTGCAGGATTCACTAATGCAATTGTTACTAATACTTTAAATGAAATGGGAAAAAATGATGTGATTCCATCAATACCCATAGATCCTCCTATGATTTCAGTCTCTATTGGTGTTAATACTGGTCCTTTGGCAGGAAAAGAAGGAACAAAACTGAATGCTTAATAAATTAAAGAAAGATTAATGAGAGAAGGATAAAGTGATGTTGCATTATAAGTTATGGTTAAAGATAAATCAGATGATAGTGCTTGTGTATAATTGTTAGGTAGAGGAGATCTCCATTTAGCCATATTACTTGAAAATATGAGAAGAGAAGGATTTGAAATGCAAGTATCACCACCATAAATTGTTACTAAGAAATGTCCAGATACTGGCAAAACATTAGAACCAATGGAAAAGGTGACTATTGAAATTGATTAACAATATATGACTGGTTTAATTGATAAAATGTCATAAAGAAAAGCTATTTATGAGGATTGCATTAATATTGATAAAACTAGAGTTAAATTAATATTCTCAGCACCAACTAGAGGTTTAGTAGGTTTAAGAGCAGAATTAATTAATGACACCAGAGGAACAGCTATTATGTAACAACAATTCCTAGGATATTAAGAATATAGAGGAACTTTGAAAAAGAATTTAAAGGGTGCAATCATTTCTATGGCTGCAGGAGTATGTTAAGGTTATGCTCTTGAAGATATTCAAAAATTTGGACCATTATTTGTTAAACCAGGATCCAAAGTATATGTTGGTTAAGTTATTGGAGAACATAAATTAGAATAAGATATTGAAGTTAATCCTATTAGAGAAAAGAAATTAACTAATGTTAGAACAGTATTAGCTGATGAAAAGATAAGTTTATTTCCTCCAAAAGTCTTTACTTTAGAAGATGTAATTGCTTATATTAGAGATGATGAATTAGTTGAAGTTACTCCAAAAGATCTCAGAATTAGAAAGAAAGAATTAGATTCAACCCTTAGAAAAACTCAGCGTAAAAACCAATCAAAATGATTAATAATGCGTATTATAATTAAATTTTAAATAAGATGGGTATTTGTGCATCGAAAAAATAGAAAGATGATTTGGCATTAAAACCAAAACACTGGCCTAGTAGTCCAGGTAGAAGACACACTGGAAATAGTTTTAAATATGGAACTGATCTTTACATCAATTTAAAAAATGGTTAGATTGATAATTTTTACATTTTGGGGGATGTTCTTGGAGTTGGAGCATTTGGATAAGTTGTCAAAGCTACTCATAAACAAAGTGGATAAATGAGAGCATTGAAAACTTTGGCAAAAAAAAAAATAATTAATGAAGAAAAAGAAAAAATGTTTGCAGAAGTCAATATTCTTCGTAAATTAGACCATCCAAACATAGTAAAACTTTTTGAAATATTCGAGGATGCTTAAAATTATTATTTAATTACTGAGTATTGAAATTTTTATATTGTTAGACTTATTTAAGGAGGTGAACTTATAAAAAAAATACAGGCATAAAATACATTTTCTGAAGCAGAAGCTGCATACTATATGAGATAACTATTATCTGCCTTGCAATATTGTCATAAAGCAAAGATAGTTCATCGTGATTTAAAATTAGATAACCTTATGCTTAATGTAGAATCAGAGAAACCAATTTTAAAGGTTATAGATTTTGGTACATCTCGTAAGATTATCCAAGAAAAATATCTGACCTCTAAATTAGGAACAGTACTAATATATTCTAATTGTTTTATAGCCTCATTACACTGCCCCAGAAGTATTTAAATAATAGTACACAGAAAAATGTGACATTTGGTCCTGTGGTGTTATCCTTTATACATTATTGTGTGGATATCTACCCTTTAATGGAAGTGATGCAAGAGCCACATAGATATTGATAGAATGTGATAGGTGGACCTTTGATAAGAATGACTGGGCTAAGATTTCTTCAGAAGCTAAAAGATTTGTTAAAAAACTTATGACATATAATCCAGATAAAAGAATATCAGCAGAAGAAGCATATTTAGATCCTTGGCTATAAGGACATATAAATAATATAATAGATTCAAGAGCTTTAAATCGCTTATAACAATTTTATGTAATTAATTTGAAATCTATTTTTAGTAATCTCATGTAATATAAGAATTAATTAAATAATATATAACTTTTTAAGTTCTAACACCTGAAGATAAGGCAAAAATTTTAGGAAATTTCTAATCTTTAGATAAGGATGGAGATGGTAGAATAAATAGAGAAGATTTAATATATGGTTTGAAGTAATCAAAACTAGATGAGACTGAGATTGAGAAATAAATAGATAGAATAATGGAGTAATGTGACTTTAATAAAACTGGATCTATTGAATACAATGCATTTCTTAGAATAATGATAGGATAAGAATTATCAGAAAAAACAAACCTATTGGAAGAAGCTTTTAGATAGTTTGATATTGATAAAGATGGTTTGATAAAAAAATAAAATTTAGAGGATGTTTTAGGAGGAATAATAATAGATGAAACTCATTGGGAAGAAATACTCAAAAAATGCGATTCTGATTAAAAAGGTATGATTGACAAAGAGAATTTTATAAAACTAATGTAATAATTTTGATTTAATCAATTTACTAAAGTATAAAAATATAATTAGTTATTATTTTAAATATATATTACTCTTTATAATCATAAAAAAAAGTATCAAAAATGATTTAACCATATTCTGATACTTTTCAAAAAATAAGAATATTATACTTTCTAGAATTTTAACTAAATTTCTTCAATTTTTAATTAATGATTTAAGATTATGAATTTTTATGAAGGTCATAATGATTAATTGTACTCTTTCTTATCTTGTTCATTAATTAATGATTTCAATTTGTAAAGCATATTATTTTGCATTTATAAACTTTCAATTCGAATAGACTTGTTTAATTATTAAGGTTGATGTTTTTTAAAGAAAAAGTTAAAAGTATAATTAAAATGATTGAATATTATAATAATCAAAATAAAGTAAATAATAATTTAGAAACACTATTATAATTGATATTAATAAAACTAATATTGAAATTGATAAGTTAATGTTAAGAATTGTGTTCGAAATGAATTGGCCAATATGAAGAGAACAAATCCTAAAAATCATATTATTATGTAATATTAATATATAAATATATTAAATAGCTGATTCTGTAAGAAATGCAAAAGTTGGTAATAAATATATCTTTCATGATTAACAAAACTACAGTTCATTTTTTTATTTTGGAATCATCCTTAGATAATGTAATTGAATTATTCTTTGAACTTGTCACAATAATTATTTTTAATAATATTATTCAAAGTAAGAAATTACAAGCATTAAATATGAGAAAAAAGACTAAATTCTTAATGAATTTAATTTGTTATTTCTATTAAGTAATACATTATTATGAGTAAACATAGCCAAATATCGTTGATTCATATCGTTTAGCTGATATTATTAATATTATTATACAGGTAGTTTCTGTAAATTGAGATGATTTTCTCTTTTTATTAAGTTATAGTCTTATATTCGATTGAGCAAATAGGAAAGTAGGAGCTAGATTAATAGAATCTGAGTTATTAAAATATGCATTATGTATATTATGTTTATTTTCGTTATTTAAATTTGAATGAAGCAACCATTACAAAATCGATTAATAATTCAAGATGCAAGGAGAAAGAATTTAAGTGCAATTGCTTTTTTAGATCCTTCACCAAAGTAAGTCACTATAAGGAAGGCATCTATAGGGGCATTCAAAAATAAAGAAAATATTAATATTAATGAAACACAAAAGAGTAAAACTCCTCAAAATGCTAATACAGAAGATATTAGAAAATAAATTAGTTAACTCATTAAAAGAACAACTCAATAACAAAGAACTAAATTAAAAAAAATAGACATTGTATGTGAAGAATAAATAGAAATAAATGATAATCAAGATAGCATTTTTGATGAACTTACTCTCAGATTTTTATATCAAAAGGAATAAGAATATCGAATAAATCCATCTTTTTTTGATCATTAAACAAATATAACTCCAATTATGAGATCTATCTTATTTGATTGGATTAGTGAAGTTTGCAAAGAATTCACTTTAAAAAGAGAAACCTTTCATCTTTGTGTACATAATTTAGATAGATATATGTCCAAAATTTAAATCTCTAAATAAGAACTTCAATTATTAGGTTTAGCAAGTTTATCTATTGCATGTAAAATAGAAGTATTGTATCAATCTATATTAGGAAATCTATCCTCCAAAAATTAATGATTTCTCTTAAGCCAGTAATTATAGCTTTACAGAATAATAAATCCTTGAGAAAGAATAACATATGCTCACATAATTAAAATGGTTGATAAATCCACCTACACTTTATCTTTGGAGCACATGGTATTTGTCTTAATGGGATATTTATTATCCTTAACCAAAATTTTAGATTAAATAACCTACATAGGCTTCATATACATTATTTAGACATTATATGGCATTTATTGATTGTGCAATTTTAGATATTAAATTATATTAATTTTCAAATAGAGAGATAGTAGCATCTCTACTTTATTTAGTTTTACTTAAATAATTTAGTGGAAGTACTTATTAAAGAATAGTTGATAATAAACTCTAAGAAAGAGATATATTAGATTTTCAAAATATTTATAAACCATTTATTGAATTAGTTTTTGGATTTTAATTCACTTAATTGGCTAGATGTATAAAATATTTAACAAAATTTTTAACTCTTGATATTATTGTTGATTAACATGGATAATTCAAAGTTACTGCAGAAAAGGAATTAGAAGAAGCTTACGAGTATTTTCTATCAATTTAAACACATAATCAAGCTAATCTTTAATTCATTAGAAAATGATACATTTAATATACTTTAATAGTTGTTTATAATCAAATTATAATATAAATACTCATCAAAATTAATATAAATATTCCAATTATTAGATGTAGTATATATTCTTATTATTATTTTGGTTTACTTTATTCAATTTCAACTTGAGGTTTCTTAATAAGAGAAAGAAAGGTTTTTATATCTGGTATAGGTTTACTAGGTCTACTGTCTAATATTTTCTTAATAAGTATTTCTTGTTCTTTAAGTTTATCTTAAGCTAAACTTTATTTATAAAAATTACATAAATATCCGAAATGACATACTTCTTTCTATTTTTTAAACAGATCCAAAAATTCTTCATTAAATTTTAATGAATCTAGACTACTTTGTGTATGAAAATATGCTGACTATTTTATTTCATTTTAAATTTTTAATATTTAAGGTTCACCAATTTAAAGTATTTTTTCATTTATGTTACAATCCTTTTATGTTGATTCAAGTTTTTCTTACATTTTTGTTGATATATCTTCTTCACTTTTAGATTCTGATAAAGATTAAGTATATTAAGAATGATATCTAAGATGTTCAAATCTTTTATTTGTAAATAATAGACTTGGTTATTGAGATCTAGATTTTTTCATTCTAACACTTTCTTCTTATAAATTCAATAAGGGTTATTGACATCTTTTAATAATAATTTTTTAAAGTTTATTGATTGCTAAACTCCAATGGTATCTTAAAACCATTAACTTAAATTAGGTTGAAGGTTTTTATTTCTATTTAATGTTTAATTAACAACAATTCATTTTATCTAATAGTATTCTGGCTTGAGATTTCATTATTACTTTAATATTATAAATGGATTTGGTTAATTAAGCATTTAAATAGTTATACATTCAAGATGAATGTTATGAAAATATCAAAGATAAAGTAGATTAATTCCCTTATGATGAAGTATATAGTCTAATGGAATTCTATGTTTAAAATTATTTAGATGTAATAATTTGTTAGCATTTAGAGAGTACAAAACAATTTATACTCATATAGTTATAATGATTATGATTCTGCAAAATTTTATATGGAGTAAGTTAATAGTTATTGGATGAGAATTTAAAATATCGCATTAGAATTAGGAAAGTATTATCAAATGAGTAATAGTTTTAAGGTATTATTAATAATAATATATTAGATACTAGAATACCATCGACTAAAATTTTAAGATAGAATATTTTAAGATAATAAGATAAATTTACCATTAAAGAGAAATATGTAGAATCTACAAATTTAATCAATCAATTGAACCTTACTTTTGTTCTTCAATATTTTAATACTTTAAACCAAAAATTACAACTCACTAAGACTTGATGACTAATTGGCTTACTTATAGTTAATATGAATAAGGAGTAGATGAAATTAAGGATTTTGAAAAAAGATTAGAATTTGCAATGACAAATCTCCCTGATTATGAAAAAAAAATAATAACCAAAATTACCTCAAAATTGGGAAAAAATATTATTAATCTAATGAAGAAAAAAAAGAAAAAATTATGATTCCAATTTATCATTCATTTAATTTTAATCAACTAAATTTGTTATTTAGGTGTATTTATGTAAAAATATTGATAAAAAAGCATTTTTAATAATGTCTAATTTATCTCTTAAATTTCATATCTAGAAGACATCAGCCTCTAACTTTAAAAATAGATAGATACCATAATCAGTTGAATAAAGTTATATCCGATTCATTATTCAACTAAAATATAATTTTTTATTCCTTAGAATTTCTCAATATAAAAGTAACCATTTAATACATATAAAATTATTTTAAACAATCTCCCTATTCTTATTCTATTTATATAATTATATATTTTTATTTACATAAATAATTGCTTATTTAAAAAATACTAAATAAATGGCCTCAAAGATCTAATTTAAAGAGAAATTAAATTAAATCTAAGTAAATCAATCTAATCATGATATTTAACAGATACAGATAATTTAATTTTAATCAGAATTCAAATCTCATTTATTAAAATTATTTAATAAGAATGTTGAATTTTGATAATGTTTTCTTATAATAATAAAACTCTTTGTAAGATATATGAAATAACTTTACTCAGATTGATTAAGACTGATAATTTTCTTAATTTCAATTATTCAAATTGAAATACTGGTTTATAAGTAAATAAAAATATAGGTTATCTTTAGAAGTATTAAAAACATAATTTTTTCCATTATCTAAATTTTCTATATCAATAATATTTTAGCAATATAACTCTAATTTAGGGATTTTTATTCAAATTTGGACAATATTTTGCTTTTAAACTTAAATGATTAATAATAATATAAATCTAATAGGATCTATTTTAATTTCCAACTTACTTAATGATTAGTAAAATGAGATTTATAGATTTTTAATTAAAAAATCTTAAAATAATTTATCCTGTCCATTCATAGATTACATAGAATCTTCATGGATTTCAAGAATTTAAAGATTTACTTTATTAATCTACTGGATAAATTTTAATCTATTATCGACTTCTTATTTAATAATATAAAACATGTTGAATACTATATCCAAATATTTTGTTTATTATTCATTAAGACTTTTGTATTTTTTACATCTATTATAATTTTTAATGGCCAAATACTAATATAGATGTATATTTAAGTAAGGATATAAAGATTATTAAACAAATCTTAAAAATATTTAAGTTGTAAAACTTAATTAATTATCCAATTTCAATTAATTTATATATATATATTAATTTGATTATATAAGTAATTAATTTATTGTGATTATTATAACATTTTATTATTATTATTATTTTATTAATATTATAATGGGGATATGCACATCAAAAAAAAAAGTGGATGAGAACATTTAAATAGTACCCTACAAGTAAAATTATATAAATGATGTATTTTGATAGAGTTTGTATAACTGCGTTCATTTGGAATAAAGAAAGTCATAATTTATTTGATTTTGAGAGTAATTAGGCTGCTAAAAAGGAAATAGAATTAGATTTTTCAGGTAGTTATGAATCAAATAATTAGCAACACTTTCAATGGTGGATAACTAAATTATCGCATTAACAGATAATGTATAAAATTCTCACAATTATAAAACAGGAATATGTAAATAAATAGATCCAATTACTCAGAGTTGATTGCTAATAAGAATATATGATGTTGTCAGGTATGAGTTAAAAATCAGATTAAAGAGTTTGGGCTATTTTATGTAATAGACCAGATTTTGAATCATTGAATGTATATTATAAACTATAATAAGGAATGGGAACTCTAAAAAGGTGATATGATAAAATTAGGAAGAATGAAATTATAACTTTTAGATTTTAATTATGAAATTGATGCTCTTTAATAATAAAAAGAATAAGTAGAAAATGATGATGAATTATAATCTAAAGATTTAGAACTTGAAGCTAGTTAATGCAGAATTTGTTTCTCTAAGAGTGGTTCTCTATCTAACCCACTCTTTAGTCCTTGTAAATGTAATCTAAATCATTATTTTAATTAGGTATTGGCTCTATGAAATATGTCCATCTTAATTGTCTATAAATTTGGATTCAGTAATAAATTAAAATTAAAAACCAGCAGTCATCAATTCAATATATATGGAAGAAAATGGAATGTGAAATTTGTAAAATGTCTCTTTAAAGTACTTACACATATTAAGGTTAAATATTTTGCATTATGCAAATATAAAAACCTGTTGTTCCTTATATGATATGGAAAATAACATCTGATGATAAATCAAAAGAAGGAATTATCTAAGTTATGGAATTGCTTGATAAATCTGAAATCAAAATAGGCAGAGTCCCTGATTGTGACATTAAATTAAAGGATATTTCTGTCTCTAGAAGCCATGCTATTATTAAAGTGATAAAATAAGAAGATAATAAATATAAATTGATTTTGTAGGATAATAATTCTAAATTTGGAACTTTGTTATATGCATAATCAGATAAATTATTAAGATATGAATTATAATATCAATAAAAGGTTCTCTATTAAATTGGGAGAGTTCTCCTTTATGTATAATTAAAAGAAAAAGGCAAATCTTATAACAAATAGTATTCCTAATTTTCTATTTTTAGATTTACTTGTTATAGACATCCAAATTAAATTCAAGTCTTTCCCAAAAAAACCATTAATGAATAAGCTACAATTGTTCCAAATTTTGAAAAAGACAAAGATAACCAACTATCATTTTAAACACATAATGAATTAAATCAGGATGACATAGTTATTAATGTTAAATAAATATGATCATCTGTTGACTATTATATTATTGTATAAATTAAAATATTAGATCCGTTCTGGGTTTTCTTATAATCTATTTTAATTCTACTTTCTTAAATTAATATTTTGATGCCATCAAAATTATAAATAATTATAAATTAAATAAATTTATATATATAAATATATATTAAATATTTAAGGGAATTACTGTAAATAGTTATATAATATAAAAAACTTTTATCAAAATTTTTTATGCATTTTTATTAAAGAATGAATATCATCTAATACTCTTAATTTATTTTATGTTGTAAATTGATCTTATTTATTTAAAAGATCTTATTTTTATTTAACTTCTCTTTCATTTTCATAAATTTTAACTTTTTCTTCTATCTATAATAATAATAATAAATATTCATTACTTATTTAAGTGAATATTAACTTTGTTCTATTTATTATTTATATTTTGAAGATTTTTGTGTTAATTTAAGTATTTCTTCATCTTAAAGTTTTATTTTTTACTTATATTCATTTTCTCGAGTTTTAAATTATATTACTTCTTCTTTTGATGAAGCCAATGATTTTACTAGATGATCAATCTTAATTTCGATTTCATCCATAGTTTAATCATTTTCATGTTATTTTAATTGTAACATGTTCTCTAGATCTCTACATTGTTATTAAAACATTCTTAATTGTTCTTATAAATTTAAGACCTAATGTTTGAGCTAGAAGAAATCACTAAATATATTACTTATTCAATAGTTCTAAAATCTTATCTGGTTATAAGTTCAAGCTCTTCAGCTTTTAATTTTTTTTATTACATAATAGATTTTTGATCACAAATCTCTTAAGTTAGATCTTATATTTTATTTTCAGCATTTACTAACTTAATTTATAAATTATCATTTAAATTATTCATTTCACTATTAAGATCTTGTAATTTTTTTAAATCTTATAAATACACATTACTATTTTTCTCTTCATTATCTAATATTCTTTAAAATTCTTTAATTCTAATATGTAAATTATCTATTAAGGCTTTTTATTCAATAATTTTTTATTTTTTTTTTTCTAAGAGATTACTTTGCTGAGATAATCTTTTTTCAATCTCTGCTTCTTAATTTTAATATATTCGTTATTGATGTTTTTCAGCTTTTGATAGCTAATTTTAATATTCTTCACATTTTTAATTAGCTTGATCTAATTAAGATTTTAAGTAATTTAGTTATTAATTCAAACTTTCTATTTATTATTATTGATCATAATCTCTATAACGTACATCTTAGAATAACTATTCAAAATATCTAATTTGTTCATCTCTATTAGCTAATTCACTTTTAGATTGGTCTAATTCTGCCTCCAATCCTCTATTTTATTATTCTTAATTCTTTCTAATATTATTAATATTATAATTACATTTCATTTGAAAATTCTTCACATAACTATTATACTCTTTCAAGTTCTTTTCCAAAATTTTACCCTTATTATTCAAATATTGTTTCTCCTTATTTCAATTATTCTCTTAATGTAGCTAATTTTTATTTTTTAACTTGCAATTTTTATCTAAGAACATGATTTTGCTATTATATTTCTTCAAGATATTTCTCTTGAGTGTCAACTTTAACCTTGACCTCTTTAGTGATATAATCCCCTTTATTTAATTAATCTTGCATCAATCTATTTTCTGATTCTAAAGATTTAATTTATTTTTCTTTAATCTGTAATTTATTTTCTAATTCTTTATTGATATTCATATAATCCTTTAAGGTTATCTAATTAATATGAATATTAATTTACTTTCAATTCCTAATTTAATATCCTAATTCTTTCATATTTTTCTTTTTCTTGAAGTTCCTTAGCATTCAATGTATCTCGTAATCTACTAATCTATTCTAAAGAACCACTTTGTCTACGTCTTTCTTTTGAAGAATCCTCACTAAATGTAGAAAAAAAAGAATGTTTACTCATCATCTTTAATCCTACTTGGTCTAGATCTTCCAGTAAAATAAGTAGCAGGCTACTGAGGAATTGGATCATATTGCATAATTTAATCAATCTATTATGTTGTTTTTTTGTATCGATCAATAAGTTTGTTTACATTTTTCTCTAATCGGTTATCCATTATTTAAATTCAAAATTATTATAAATCAGGTTAACTTTATTTTCTTAAATCTTACGAATCAATCATTTTCAAATCTGGATCTTCATTTTGGACATCTTAGAAAGGGTTTTTATCGTCATCTGGTAATTGTTCTTCACCATTAGATAGTTCTTACTTTTAATCTTTATCATCTTCCTTATTTTTCATTAAACTATTTTTATTATCAATTTCATCTTCATCCTCAATTAAATTAATTAATTCTGATTCTTATCTGTTATGAATAGTAATAATTTTATTTTAAGATTATTGATCATTTTTTGAAATATCATGATTGATATCATTTATTTATAATTATTCATCTTGATCATCTTCTTATTCATTTTAATTGATATCAAAAGGAGAATGAATTTATTAGAGTAAAATCCTTTGTTGTCTATTTTATTTAGTTATGAGAGCATAGAAATGATCAATTTCTAATTTACTTAAAGTAATTTCAACTTATTATAAGACTTCTAAATAAATCTAATAATATTTTAAACATTTTACATCAATATTAATATATCCATTTGTATATGTTTCTGGATATTTCTTGATTAGAATATCAGAAATTTCATTTTTCTTCTTCATAATTTATTAATTGATATTATTTAATTATTATGATGTCAATATTTAATAGTTTTCCATTAGAGTTTTAAAAATACTTCTAACTCGTGCACTAGTAGTAGTTTCATTTTCATTTTCAACATCAGCTAAATAGATAGCAGCCATTTCAATTTATTCAAGAAATTAGAGACCGAAAATTCTATTGGATAAATTTTATTTGAGTTAATGTTAAGTTAAAGTATCATGAGTTAAGAGATATTATTCAACTTATTATAAAGAGATCTTTAATCCAATTAGATTTAATTTAACTTATCTAGCTATAGTTAAAATCTAATTTTTTTCAACATTGATTATCTTCTTCTTTTATAATTCATTTTCCTCTTATTATTAAACTTATTCTTCTGGTTATTAAGGTCCATTATTCTTTATTAGTATTGTTCTTTTAGATTAATACTTTTAGATTTTTTCTAAATCATATTCTCTTTATAATGTTTCATATTATCTCTTTTAATCAGATAATTTTTTTTCGAGATTATCTATTTATTCTTGATTTTCAGCTTACATTTTCTACATCATATTTTCCAAGTATTTAATTTTCTACCTTTCATTTCTTAGATCTACTAGTGCTTAATCAAAATCTAACTATAACTATTCTTCAACCTTTTTATTGTCTTTTTATTATGGTCTTTCAAGAAATAAAGTATCCTTTTTCTTTAATTCTGCTATTTCTAAAAGTAATTAAGCATTAAGATTTTTCAATTATTTATATTTATTTAATATTGCATTATATTTGACATTCATCTTATTGTATTGACTCTAAATTTAATTTATTTTAATACTTAAGCTTGATTTACTGATTATTCTTGTTATTAAATCATTTGAGCTAATTTCATATTATCCTCACTCAATGACATACATAAGTTTTCAACATTGTTTTTATTTAATGGACTTTATAGTTATCCAATATATTATTGTTATTCTGCCAATTATTATTGTAATTTGATATTTTCTTCCTATAATTGATATATAATAACATACTTCAAGTCGTGTGATTTTTTCTAAATAACCTTATTTTAATCTTGGATAACTTTTAGTAGGAGTTCCTTCATCTTTCGAGATTGATTAGACTTCTCTTTTAAAATATTATATTTATGATTGAAATTATCTCAATGTTAACTTTAATTGATTGTTCTCTTATTTCAATTTCTGTATTTCCTCATATAAACTTTCCTTATCATGTATAATATATTTAGCTCTTAATTTATTTGCTTCTACATTATCAAGGGTTCTGTTTCTAGAATATAAGTTTTATCTATGTAATTTCTATTGAGAATGCACTTATAAGGATTTTTATGTTTGAGAAATTGATAGCATGTTTTTTATAATTAATAATAAAATGCAATCATTAATCTAAGCTTTTCAGCAAAAAATATCCTTGTCTGCTTCATTTGTTAAATAATCTACTCCATAAATATTGTTTGGCATAAGTCTACTTTCTTGTTTATACCTTTTAAATTAATAATAAAAAGAGGAAAAACAAGTTGAACCTGAAAAGACTGAAAAAAAATTAAAAAAAAAAGCATCCAGCTAAAAAAATCTGGATGATAATAAGCCACAATATATGGATGTTATATCAGATCTGGTATGAATAGTTTAATTTAAAAGAAAAAAAGCTAAAAGAAATTAAACAAAAAAATTAATAAGTAATTTGATGATTCAATTGACAACACTGAAGAAAATATACCTAGATCACCTGATTACAGTGTGGTTTCAGAAATAGATTAGAAATACTTTTAAGAGTTGATTCAAAATTAAAAAAAAACTAAAAGAGCTTACTAAACTGATTGTGAATCAACACCTATTATATCATTAAGAGGGTATGTTATATAAAAAGAGTTTTTAGATTTAGAAGAAATTAATAATTGATAGGAGAAGAAGATAAAAAAGGAGAAGATCGTTTGTTTTATATTCTCAAATAACGTGTAATTGAATAAGAGGAAAAAGAAAATGAAATTGATGAAGATGATATTTGATATAATTAGTCAAACATTATGATTAAAATCAAATAAATACAATATCTCATGTAATTCTACACCATATTACAAATCTCATTTAATAATAATATCATTGTTCTGTCAATCTCATCTCTTTTTATACTTTTTCTTCAGTCAATTAAAAATTTAGAATATCATTTATCTCTTAAATAATAACATCTATTTAGTTCTAAGATTCTGATCTTTATACATTTCCTTAATTAAATGTTTCCTATACTGAAAATACTTATTCTAACAAATTCTTAATATTTCATTTCTCAATCAATCAATCATATTCTAATCATTTATCTCTCTTTTCATTCATTATATCCTAACTTAGATTTTCGATTTTATATTCCATTTCTTGTTTTATTGTTCTGTAGTCTCTTTTACAGATTATGGTTATTTAGTCAATTCTATTCACATTTTGTAAGATTATTGATCCATCAAATTTGTCAATCTCATCTCAAATGCTTTGTGATTAATTAAATCCTTTTTAACACTCTGTTACAAATTCTTTTCATGTTTTTTTTATGTTTTTTTATGAAAATTTTTAGTATTAATCTATTTATAAATTTTATTTTACATTTCTAATAATTTCTTCATTTCATTATGTTTCTTTGATTTTATTAAGTTTCTCTTATTACTATTTTAGTCTACTATTTTTAATAGAGAATTTGAACCTTTTAATTTATTAAATTCAATTTAATTTCATATATTTCCTTTTTCTAGGGTCTATCCTCATCTATAAATAATTAAGATAGTTTCTCCCTCAATTAGATGACACTAGACTTATTTAATGATATTACTTGTATATTTTTATGGTATATATGTAGTTCCAATTAATTAGGATATCATCATGTATGAACTTTTATGATGTTATATAATTAAAGAAGAATATAATTGAACTATTTAACATATAATTAATAAAATATATAAAATAAAATGAATAGAACTCCTCATATGGATTAATTGATCTCTAAAATCTATAGATAACGTAAAAATGTAAGTCTAATATGTTAAAAAAAAGTAAACTCCAAATGATTATTCTAGGGAGATGTACTCTCATCCAAATAGCCATCAAACATCTAACAAAGACCTTTTGAATTTAACTAGCAAATAAAAATTAAATAAATCATGTAACTATAATTCAAATTTACATCAACGACTCTAATCCAAAGCAGGAGCAGATATAAAATAAAAATTATTAGATGAAAGTAAATGTATGTAATTACTTTCACAGTTTTAAGAGGATCACATTCTAACATATCTACTAGTTATTTAATTAGTACACTAAAAGAAAAGGTTAGTGAAAAGGTCAATTAAAAAGTTTAAAAATACAACACTTGTTAAGAAGCTTCATCATTCACAATCCCTGAAAAAGAGTTATCCCCTAAACCTATGTTTAAAATTCTTGAAAACTTTCTCTTTGCTGAATGTTAAAATCTTAAAAATCAAGTTTCACTTAATTCATTTCAAGAACTACTTGATAAAATGGAAATAAAAGAGTAATCCTTAAAAATATCAATTTTTGCAGATTTAAAAAAACTTTTCATTATATTAGCTTAATCTATTCGAAATGATATTTAAACATAAAAGAAAGAAATCGAATCTCTTCTTCGATAAAATAATTCATTCAAATCCTAAATCTAAGAAATGAATTCTCAGTTAGATAAATTCAAATCTGTTATTGAAGATTAACAGAAATAAATCAAAATTAAAAATGAAGAAAACTTTATTTCAATAATGAATACACTTAGATCTCATGGTGTTGATCCTCGAAAAATGTTAAAAAAATGTTAAGATAATGTTGAAACTTGTAAACTCAAATAAGAATAATCTGAATTTATAGATGAATCATAAAAATATAGTTCAGATGATTCTATTCCATTTGGTAATTATAATTATTTATTATATTAGTTGATCCTCAAACAATAATAAAAAATGAAAAAAAAGTAATAGGACTTGCACTAAATTTAAATCCATTAAAAGATCCTAAAAAAGCACCCATTGGATATCAAGATGAATTTATGGCTAATATTAATGAATTCAGCGAAAGTTGGAGATAATAAGCTTTAGCTGAAAAAAGATTTTGACTTTTTTATTTAATTATTTTTTATATTAATTAAGTAGGATATAGATTAAACATTCTTGATGAGATTATTATAAGTATTTCAAGGTATATTAATTATAATAATTTTAAGACAATTATTTTTGTTTCATTGAATTTCATCACAGAATACATAAATATTATTACGTCAACAATAATCCACATAAATATTCAATATAAATAAAATCAAATTACTCCTAAAAATACAGGAAATGAGACCAAACAAACCTTCATAAGATGCCTTTGATGAAGTATAAGGATCATATTCAATGGATGATCAATTTAATGTATAGGAAGGATATAGAAATTCAATTGATGAAATTCCAGCTAATTAACTTAGGTACTATTTAAATTTTATTTTATAGTGGAGATGAAGCATTAGAAAAGAGTTTTATGTAATCAACAGGACAATCATCAATATGGTAAAAAAAAGGATAAAAAACTTCAATTCCAATGACATCTGTAATTGTAATGAAGAGTATGGTTGGAGTAGGAATTCTAGGAATAGTAATTAATATGATTTTAAATTAGCCTTATGTTGCATCTAATTTTGGAGCTATATTAACAATTTTGATTTTAATGATAATATTTTTTTTGGGAATACTTTCATCTAATTTATTGTTAAAGTCTAAAAATCTATCAAAAAGAAGTAATTTTTCAACAATTGGATTTTATATCTTTAAACATAAATGGATTATTATAGTAGTGAATGTGATGATAATTTTATCAAATTTAGGAGTATGTTTAAGCGAATTAATGTAATTAATATTATAATTTTAGTATTTTTGGAGATACAGCAAGTAATCTTATAAATTATTTTACTAATAGAGATACAGATGATTAACCATTCTATTTAACAAGACCTGTTTTTTTAATAGTAATAAGTATAATATTACTTCCTTTTTTACTTGTTAAATCTATAGAGAAATTGAGATTTGTAAGTTTATTTGCTATTTTATCAATCAGTTCATTTTCATGTCTTGTAATCTATAATTTTTTCAGAATTGATTAAACTAATAGTTAATTTTCATGGTGGATTCCAGATAATTTTAATATTAATAGAGCTTTAGCATCTATGCCAACATTAATATTAGCATTTAATTGGCAATTTAATTTATTTCCTATTTTTAAAGGAATGGCATAACCAACTGATTAAAATTTAATCACATCTACAATTCTCGGATTTTGTTAAGGATCTCTTTTATATTTGATAGTAGGATTGCTAGGATATGCAACTTATGGAACAAATGTAATAAATATAAATAAATTATAGATTGAACCAAACTTTTTATTAAGTATTGATGAAAAAGATGTTGGTCCTGTTTTATTTGTTATTTTAAATTTAACCTTTGTATTTTCTACAACTCTTACATTACCAGTCATATTTTTTGGAGGAAGAAACAATTTTATTTAAATGATTAAACAATTCACAGTAATTATTATTATATATAATATAGGAAAATAAAAAAGTTAATATATAGGCCAAAAAGAAATTATTAGATAATTAATAAACTGAATAATATTACAAAGATCTGTTGTAATTTAGAAAAAAATCTTAAGCTATCCGATTTTATGGAATCAGTATTACTTTATTCATTTTATTGGCTATTGGAGCTGTTTTCATTAAAAATTTAGGAACTGTCTATAATTTATTAGGAGCAATAGCATGTAATGCAATTTAATTAGGACTTCCTACATTATTCTATGTATTTTTAGTAAAACAAGTTAAGAAAATGAAATTTCGAAATAATTTGAATAGAATATTTTATTTTTTTGTTTGTGGCCTTTTGGGTGTAAGCATAATTCTAACATTTTTATGTGTGACTTGTGAATTTATAAAACCAGAAAAAGAAGTTGTTGATAATTGATATTTGTATAACTATTTATAAATGATTCATAAATTACTAGTATGATTTTTATATATTAAAATAAATTATGGATTAATAAAATTCAGCCAATCGAGAAGAGAATTCAGTTTAGGCAAGACTTAGAAGAAGAAGAAATGATTCTAATAATAGAGACTATTCTTGTGGTTGTGGTAAAAGTTATTTAAGTTATGCCGCCTTATATACTCATTTAAAGTATTCTGCTTATATAATAGAAAGATAGAAACATGATTCTATAGCTCCAGATGGAACTCAATTACCTAATAATGCAAATTAAAGACCAGGAAGAGGTAGACCAAGAAGAGTAATAAAATCATAATATAATATTAGTAAGATGACTAAGATAGAAAAAGTGCTAAATCTGATGATGGATAATCTGAAAGTGTAAATGAACCAGATGAGACTATAGAAGAACTTTTAACTTTTTTGGATAGTTTAGGTAATTTTAGATAAACTGAAAAATTTTCAAATGATGTAGAAATATAGGTTTTTCTCCTTTAAAATTTTCCTTGTAATGTGTTTTCAAATTGTTCTGAATATTAGGGAATATATGATTTATTAAAAGATCTGACAAATGAGAAAGTAGACTATATTTTTCTATTAAAGATTAAAATTTAAGATATTGATCTTCTTGCTAATGAACTTTTAGATAAAGATACATCTTTACGTAAAACAAATATTACTAAAATAATGGCATATTTTTTGACATAAATAGGTCCAAAGTTATGTGTTGAAGCATATAAAGAAGTAATTAGGAATATATATATACTTTTATAGATGGTTATATTCATAGTTTTTTATTAGAAATGTTTGAATATATTGGGTTATTAAGCAATATAAAAATATAATTAAGAATTAAGAAAAGGAGATAATAAATTTTTGGATATCAAAGAAGGTTTTATTTCAAATATATAAATTAGAGGTCACTCAAAACTAAGAATTTTGTGATGTTTAAAATGGAGAACATATGCTTTTGATTGCTAATGATTTTATATTATCATTTTTACCTTAGTCCTATTTAGGATTAGAGGCAATTGAAAAGAATTTCAAAATATTTGGTAGTTGTGCTGAAAAATTAAAAAATGCTGTTTATGTTACATAACATTTCTCTTATTGGTTATATTCTTTAAAATTTACAAATTCTAGATTAGATTTTTATACTGATGATGATTGATCATTTTTAATTATAAATGTGTGTTTAAATAAATAGACATAAATTATTAATTAAATAAATGAGTGAGTTGGAATATGTGAATCTTGAAAAATAATCAAAAGGAAATAAAAACAGAAATAATAATTAATTCAACAGAAGAGGCAGAAGAGGAGATAGAAACTAATCAAACAGAAGAATTAGACCTGTATGGAAATAAAGATAAATACAATAAAGATAATAATAATAGCAAGTACATCTTTTTGAAAACATTACAGGGATAATAAAGATCAAATAGATTTAGAAGAATACCAACTGGATAAGCTAGAAGATAAAGAATAAATCGAATCTAAAATAGGCCTAGATAATAGTAAAGAGAAAGAGAAAGAGGAAGAGATAGAGTGAGAGAAACAGATAGAGATAGAGATGATGATAGAGAAAGATAAAGAGATAGAGATAGAAATAGGGAAGAATAGAGATATAATAATAGAGATAGAGATAGAGAAGTTAATTCTAAAGGACCTAGACCTAATGTTATTGTTAGAGGATTAGATCCACATTAAACAGAAACTGGACTTAGAGTAAATATCTTAATTTAATATTTTAGGAATTTTGTTCATAATATGGACCAATGGAAATGTGCAAATTGGAGAGAGACAATTTTGGAAATGTTAGGGTATTATATTTAAATATTTGAATCTAGCCTGAAGGAATTGGTTTGATTAGATTTTTTAAATAAGAAAATGCTGAATTATTTGTTTCAAAAGTTGATGGTGAAGTAGTCAATGTTAATGGAGATGATAAGAGCGTAAATATTTTATATAATTGGTAGTTGAGAAGACTTTCTGCTAAAATAGTTGGGCAGAATAATAAAAATAATAATGATAGATAAACTAGTGGAATACTTAAGATAAGTAGAGGTCCTATTCAAAAGTAATTATAATCTAACATTATTAGATCATGGAGAAGATGAAATGGTGATATATGAATTAATAATATTTTAAACAAATCCTAAATATTTAGCATTAACTATGGTAAATAGCTTTATGGAGAAGTCTTTATAAGGATGTATTGTATTTAGATAATAATAAACATACTCTTTAGACTTTATCTATAAACTACTATCTTCACAATATATTATCTATAATTATACACAGTTACCATACGAATAATATGAATACAATCATTTAATTTATTGCATTACTTTTAGGACATCTACCTTTGATTTAGGTTCTCTGATTTTCTTTGGTTCTTGCAAACAATATTTGATCATAAAGTATTTTAATGGATCAATCACTATTAAATCTAATAGTAAACTAGGTAGATATTCAATAAACCATTATAAATTATCAAAACTTAGAAACATTATGAGCCATATTATTATTCCAATACTTGAAATCCAAACCATTATTAAAGCATATTTCAACTTTTAATGATGATGAACAATGCATTTAATTGAATAATAATCACTTATTTTTAATAGGAAACAACAGCTTATTGTAATTCCTATAATGATCCAAAAATTGAAATTTGGTAAATAATTTATGAGGAGTCCTGACACATCCATACATATTATTTATCGAAAATATATTGTAAGGATCATAAATATTCTTGAAATCCCTTCTTTATGGGAATAAAATATTTTACTAAATTAATGACATTTCTATTTTTATTTTAATTTATACATAAAAATCATTTTCTGGTTTTGGTATTAAATAATTTGGATCCTATTTGATTGCTTCAACCCTTCCAAAATTACTAAATTGTGATATTCTTGGTTGATTTTATTAATATTTTTAATTATTTGATCTAGGTGTAAAATCTCCTATACTACTTCTATCACTTTGTATTTATGATAATCTTTTTCCAGGAGTCCTTAAACTTCTTCTATTTGTAGTCTATACAGTATCAATTCCTTCAAAAGTACCAATTGTAGGTTTTCTCAAAATTGTCCTTCTTAAAGTATTAGATCTTTAAGGTGTTCTATTAATTCTTGGAGATGACACTTATTTTGGGTCAACAGTGAAACGAATAGGAGAATGTTATTCTGAAATATTTCTTTCCCCATTACTATATAATTAATCATCTTAATTCAAATTAGGTGAATTATCTCCTTGATTATTAAAAAAATCTTCTAATTCATTGTTATCTAATCTAGTTATTTGTTGGATTCTAGTTTGACTCTATATCTTAGATGTAATTGGTAAAATTCCAAAAGTAGTTTCACCAGGGTTTTTATTATTATTAATTTGAGGAGATATTGATGCTAATTTATACTATTTATCTAAAAGATATCCAATCAATATTATCAAAATAATGAATAATGTCCATGATCCTAAATATACTAAAATTATAAAGTTAGTAATCATAAATTTATTTTATAAAATTTCATTCAAAAATTCTATCTTGATTGCAGTTATACAAAACTTTAGAATTTTGATATGCATGTACTTATAAAATAATAATTATCAAATCCTTGTTGGTATATTAAAATAATAATATATATTAATTTATTAATTAAATATCATGGAAGATCATTTATATCTAAAATAATATTCAAATTTTTGTTAAAATATTTTCATAAATAGATTTCTGTAATCTTAAATGACAAATAATTAATAAAATTTAATTTTGATTATCTTTTTGTTATTCAATTTTTGAGTTATTTTAACATTTAAGTAGTTTGATATTTAAAAAATGGTAAATATATGAAAATAAAAAGTAAAAAATTAAAGAAGAATGAAAATACATTATTTATATAAGATTTATAATTTATTTATACATAAAAATAGATTATATTTAATTATTTTCAAAATGATTCTAGAATTTTAGAGTGAAAATATTTGAGTTTATTTTAAATATTTATTGTTGTCATATATAATATAACTCTATCTATTTTAGTTTTTTTATCATTTATCTCTACCCATACATGAAAATAAACTGACAATTCTTTTAAAGACATTTCTATCTTCTTAATGATTTTTTGGAGCAATTTATTATTGTTGATAACTTGCTTATGTTTCATAAGAATATGAATTTGAATTTTCTTCATTTTTTAAATTGTTTTAAGATTCTCTAGTAATATATGGATGTTATATTATCTCATTTAATGTGATTCTTTTATTAGGTTCAGGAACAAGCATTTTGATTATTAAATCCTTTGCATATTGATCAGTCATAGTAAATTTGGGTTCAGTGAAATTTAAGATTTGTTCAATCATCTCTTCTTCAGTACCTATAGATTTTATTATATTCTAAAATACCAGAAAGAATAGGTTTTTTTTCTATCATCCAATATAAAAGACATCCTAAACTCCAAATATCTACAGAATATGATTGTGGATAATTCTTTAAAATTTCAGGTGCCATAAATTCATAAGTACCAGAAAAGTTACTAATGACATCTTTTTGTGTAGCTAAACCAAAATCACATAATTTAACATTATTTTTATCACTTAATAATACATTTGTTGGTTTGATGTCTCTATGAATTATTCCTTTATTATGAAGATATTATAATGCATTGCATAATTGAATTATTATCTATTTTGGATCTATTTACATACTAGTTGTTAAATGACCATTTTCTAAAAATATTGTATAATTGATACTTGCATATTCTTAAATCAAATATAAATGATCATCTTTATCTATGAATTATAATAGTTAGATAATGTATTTATGCTTTAGTTATTTATGTATTTTAAGTTCTCTGTAAGCTATATTTTTATTTATTTTTTTTATCGCAAAATTATATCCATTCAGTTATTTTAAGTACACCATTCCAAAACTACCTTTACCTATTAGATTCATTCCATAATCCAATTAACTGTAAGTTAATTTTGGAACTATTTCAAATAAACCATTGCAAACCAATTAATGATATCCTTCCCTATACAAAATGTAATTATTAAATACCAATCGAAATCTCTACATTTAGTTGAACAATAGAATGCATTAGAACAATTATCACAAGTTATCTAGGTACCACTTATAATAGAATTGTATTATATCTGTTCATTGCATTTAGAATTTTAGCAATTCATGTATAGGTTTCAGAAATGGAAAATTTATTAAACTAAAATAACAAATACATTTAATTTGTATTATTATATGTGTATTAACTTAAAATCAATTATAGCTATATGGTACAACAATTTCTTCTTACTAAATAATTAATAACTTAATTTTACATGATGTAAAGGAACCAAATCAATCCAATCAGCACTATTTAATGGAAGTAAACCAATATTGTATAATTTATAAAGTACTACTCCTAATTACAATAATCCAGCAGATAAATAAATTAATTTATATAAAAACAACGATATTCCTCTATTCTCTAATGCTGAAAATGCTTAATCCATTTTTGCAATTGTGGATATAGCTTACCATAAAAATTATCCAATGATCACAATTGTAAATATATTCATCATATTTCCTGTCATATACAAAGTGAACATTATCATAAATATATTTCCAAATCCCCCCTTAGCTATACCCATAGCTTTCTAATTTTTTATGTTAATAACATTACTTTCTCTAAATCATCCCTCAATTCTTATCCTTAACAATCATCATATGCTTTTTTATATCCAACTGGATCAGGTAAACTTTTTTCTCTTTTTATTTTGATTTCCCACATATAAAATATATATATATATATATTGTTATTATATAAAATTATTTCATCGTAATTTTGATTATCCAATTTCAACTTTATAAAGTTCCTTATAGATTTCTGAAATTGATTTATCAAGAGTAGAAATTAGATGTCCAGAACCAGAATGAACTACAGGAGCCTAATAAGATTAATATGTTTTTTACTTTAATATTTCTTTCTTTAATTATATTGCATTTCTTTAATATTTATTTAGAAGTTTCAACAGGATTGAATGTCTCTGTTTCATTACCTTATTTTGGTTAAGTTCCATTATCATCTTACTTATTTAAATTATCATTTGGAATAGTTTTTTATTTTTCTTGAGATGTTGGAGGTTTTCTTCTGCTATCTTCTTATGTATGAACTTAAGGAAGTGATCTTGCATGTTCCATTAAAGTTACTTAGTATTTTTATATATGTTTTACATGGTAAATTATTGTACATTGTTTATGCTGCTTAAAAATGAGTTTTATTATGTAATGATGGTAATAAATTCTTTGCTATCAATCTTGATAAATATGCCTTTCTTTCTAAAGAAGACATACCTTCTGAAAAATGTTCTAAATTAAGAATCTTTTTATGATCAAGTTTCATGTTTTCTACTTGAGATTGTGTATGATCTTTTAAAAATTATTCAATTCTTGCTAAAGCAGTTTTATCTCTATATCTAAAAACATCTCTTTTTATATCTTTAGAGGGATCTCTTTCTCTAAAACAATATTTTCCTACTTTTAAATTTGGTAAGAAATCTAAATTATTATTTTTTTCTTATGCTTCTTGAATTCTATCTTTTTCATGCTTAAATCCTTTAACATATATCTGTGGATCTCCAAGATTCTTTGTTGGATCTTCATCTCTAAATTAATATGCTTCAGGTGGCTTGTATTCATTACATACAATTGGGTTCTCCAACATATTAATAACAAAATTTTCTATTCTTTTCTTATAATTTTTAGATAATCTTTGATTGAGTTCTAATTTAATTTTAAGAATACCTTTACGATTCTCTCTTTATTTTAAATAGTCCTTTTTTATTTTGTCTATTTCTTTTGTGAATGCCAATTACTTATCGTACTGGTAACTATTAAACATATGAACTTAATTTTACTCTCCTTTATAATAATAAATTATATTTATATAAAATAATAAATTAGTAGTTATTGTATAATTGTTTAGAAATGATAATGCAATTCAAACTTAATGATTTTTTATTATTCCAAATAAAATTCAACATAATATTCAATTGACTTTTTATTTATTTATATATTTCTTATAAATATATGTTTTTTATCTCTTCTCACCCTCTTAATATAGAATTTTAGATACTAATATTATTCACAATAAAAATTGGAATCTATCTATTGTTTGTTTATAATAAATATAAGAATTATTCTATTAGAATATTCCACTCAACTCAAAAGATTAAATTATGAAAAAGAGCATCTTTTTAATGTATTGAAATCAACTAAAGAAAACTTTAATATATATGTAATTATTCTATATATTCAACCAACTCAATTAAAATAATAATTGCTTAAATTTATACTCTATTCTATAATGAATCATCTCCATTATATATAAATTGTAAGATATACTAAAGTATTTGAAGATAGTCTCTAAACAAATAAATATTTTATCTGATCATTGTAATTAATTTATTGAGATATAGTAATATCAATATTTGTGTTTTGTATATAAAAATAATTCAAGATTAAAGAAGACATTTACTTCTTCAATCAACTTACTAATGAGACACAAAAACTAATTTTAGTTGAAGAATGGAAAAACTTAAAGTATATATTCAACTGAATCTACAATTCAAACTCCTTCTAGATAATTATCACCAAAATCACCATAGATTTGGACCTCATCTGCTTTATCCAATACAAGTATTATGTATTCATTATTAAATAGATCTGCCAGCGTAATCTGATTTATAATATTAGGTGAAAATCAAAGAACTTTTAGAAGAAAATTAAATGTTGATTCATAAAAGCTCCATGCAAGATTTAATCATTAATAGATTATAATAAATAGAAGAATTGGAACCAATACGATCCTGCAGAGTAAATACTTTAAATAATGTTCGAAAAAATGATAAGAAACAAATCAATAAAATTTAAAAATCTGTTTACACAAGGGAAATAGAGAGCAAAGATGATAAAATGTTATTTACTTTCTTTAGTCCAGAACCAAATAAGAAAACTAGTGTATGCAAACTTCCAAAAGTGTTTTAAGTGATTCCAAAGAAAAAAAAATATTTTATATGACCAACTGTTATTATTTGATAACATCGTTAACTTATTATTTGTATTTGATTTTAAAAATAAAGGATTTATCTTATTTCTTGTTAAATAAATAGATTGTTATGAAAACAGTAGAGATCGGATAATTTAATTTTTACATTATTCAAAATGATATTTTTGTTTTTAGATTTATTTTTCATTTGATATTTTATATTTTATTAAAATAAATTCTTATATATCTCTATAATTTTAATAAATTCAATAGTTAAAGGTTCACACACATGAGAAAAAATTGAAAATCCATATCAAATTAGTCTATTAACCTTATTAATTACATGAATTGATCAAACATCTTTCTAGTATTATAATATTAAATTCTAACATATTTTATCATAATACATTTTTATTTCAAATCATACCTCTATTATAAAACAATATTCAACCTTATTAATAATATTTATCAGAAAGTCTTATATCATTATTTTAAGATAAGTATGTTCTCAATTAATAACTGTTATACAAAAATATAAATTTAAAAGAGTAAAATGATGAGAAGTATAGACTCATAATAATAATAATAATCATTTTAAACTTATGAATACTTAAAAATTAAGAATAAATATTTATTAATATATTTTATGACTTTTGTCCTCAGTATTAATGATTAATAAAATTAGAGTGATTATTATAAGGATAGATGCTTTTCAGATTTCAAATGATAATTTGGAGATGAAAATGATATAATATAGATCCTTAATATTGCTAATATTTTGATAAAGGACTAAATTTATATATTCAGAATTTAATATTATTATTTTCTACATTATGAAGTTTCATTGATTGAGAAAAACAAAATAAGGATTAACTTAATGACACATTCATATGTTTTAAATTCTAATTAAAACATATGAAATATAGTCATTAGAAAAATGATAATGTGGGAATTATTAAAACAGCCAGAATTTAAATTATTGTAAAATGAAGATTATTTTTACTTATGGTGAATTGAATTATAATCAAGAAGAATCAATTAACATAGAAATTCATTTATGGAATGAGTTATAATAAAAAAAAGTACTGGAATTATTTAATAATAAATAGTATATCATTTGTTACTTATTAGAATAGATATATATACAAAATTATATTCAATAACATGATTTTCATTTTGAGAGTTTTTCATAGACTTGTAGATATTTTCTAAGATGAGAGAGCGAATTATTACATATGTAAATTAACTATGAATATAATTAAAATGTATACCCCATATTTTTGAATAAATATTTGAATAAGTTGAAGCAATCTTTGAGTGAAATTCTCTTATTTAAAGTGATAAAGATTGACTATCATATGTAAACAATCATCCTTCTAAAGTTAATGTTCCAATAAGCTCTTCTCTTAAGTATTACAAAATTCTACTATTGTCTTTAAATTAAACTTCTTCAAAGTTCTATAATCATCCTTTGATTAAGGTACATATCCATAACAGATATTTTTATTTAATTAGAATATCATCTATTTTAAATTTGCTAGATTATCTGAATATATTAGTAAAGCATCTTTATAATATGATTCTAAAATTAATTAACAATACTGTTTACATTCAGATTCTAAATCCAGTTTATATACAGGACTTGAATATTCACTTTTAGTTAGAAAATGATATTAGTATTGTATTTAAGCATCATTAATATCTAAGAGACAAGTATATTATGAAATTCCATCTTTATTTTTCATTCTAATTCTTTTTTTAAATTTGCCTAGGGTTTCAGGAGATCCAGAAATATATATTAAGCAATTTGATGGATTTAAACATTAAAAACAAACTTTTCTATGGTTCCACACATCAAATATATGTTTAGTAGTTACTCTATTGGGTCCAGATTCCCAAAAAACTGTTTAAACACTCTCATATTGAGAAATAAAATATTTATATTCAATTTCATGGTAGGCTACTTCCACTTCCCAAATATCATTCTAAAGCTTGAATTAATAAATACTTCTGTCCAATTCATTCGAATGGCTTATTTTGGATTCCATTATCCTAAATACTTTGAATTTCCAGAAATATACACAGCCTAACCGAATTCTGTTTTGAATTGGATTTTTAAATGAATCATTTCACCAAAGAGAGTCAATAAATAATTAATTTCAAAGGATTTATTTGAGATGCTTATGATGCTTTTTTTAATACGTAAGAATTTTAATATAAATTAGAAATTTATGATTAAGTATAAATTTCACTTCAAAATATCAATTATTATCATAAATTAGCTTACTTAATATCTAATTAAGACATTTATATAACATAATACAACAAAAGAATTTAAACTTATTTTTATTTATAAAAATCAAATATTTCATCAAATTACTTATTAATGTATAAATAAGTTGTAAACAATAATAAAGATATATTATAGAAAGTATGAATATTTTTAATATGAATATATAAAAAATAATAAAATAGATTCTATTCAAATTTAAAATAAATGATGTTAAACCACTCATATATATATAAATTATGTTATTTAAAAATTATAATGAATATATTAAGAACAATAAATTAATTAATATCTTAAATTTTTTAATGTATATTTCAAATCTCTAATTCTTAAATATAACTTTTAATTTATGGATTAAGTCTAGTAGTGAATATCTCAATACATTCATTTATGATATTTAATTCATTAAATCTGAAAAATTAATATATATAAATATTACTTTATTTATCTTAAATTTTGATTAGCTCTTAAATCATCATCACATGTTTTTTTCCAATCATTATATTCTTAATTTTTTACAGTTAAAAGTTATTCTTTTGATTCAATATCATTTTGAAATTCAAGTAATTTCTATTTTTATTTTTCTGCCTCTGCTTATAATGATGCTATATTTGTATTTAAAGTTTATAATTCTAAATTATATCTATTTTTTTATAATTAATATAATTCTTCCTTTTATTCATCTCCAGATCTATCAACAGAAAGCAAATGTTACAAAGACTATTTATAATTAATAATTAAATTACTTCAACTAATTCATCAATTATTTATATGATTTTTGGTACATTATCATCACCTGCAGCAGCAATCAATATTTTTACTAATCCATGATAAGGACTAGTCTTATTTAATGATTCAAGATGTTTATGTAATTTAGCTCTTACATCACCAACTTATAAAAATGAACTTTTAAGTTAAGATAGAATAGCTTTTGCTTTTTTTAATCCTGATATAAAATCTAATGTTTCTTATTATTTTTATTAGAAATCTTTCTAATTTATATATGACATATACCTTTTCCTCTGATCTTGAAAATTCTGCTCCATTTCTTCTATCTTAAATTCTCTTTTATTAATCAAGTTTGTCTTTAATTTAATATGTAATTATATTTAATTCTTCTTATTTGAAAGGTAAAGTTCTTTCATTATCAGATTTTTTATTTTAAGCATTTTCAATAACAATTTACAATTCATTAAATCTTAAATTGCAAGATTCTTAACTTTGTTTAATAGATTATGAATTATCATCTAGATCATTTTAAGTAGCTTTTTACATAGCCTTAAGTTAATTTACTACTCCATCAACAGATGCACTTAAAATGAATGAAATTTTACTCTTCACTTGCAAGTGTAATTTACATTGTTGCTATAATAGTTTTTCCAAATTCATAATTCTATAGTTATGCTAATAATTCATAATCATTTGCTGCAACAATAACGATAACAAAGAATATCAAGGATAAATTCATATTTATTAATAAAATAAAAACGATATTATAAATATAGATAAGTACTTATATTTTAGATAATCAAAAATGTTTATATTTTAATGATCTATTCTTATTTAAAAACATATACATATAAAGTATATAAAGTTTAAAAAGTTTAAAATGTTAAATTTATTCTTGTATATTAAAAAGAAACTTAAAGTCATTCCTTTCAAACTTAAATGTTACTAAAGTCAGCACTTTAAACTACTGACAATGCTTGTTCACTAATTCCAAGCTCTCTAGTAAACTCATTCTTTAAGTTGGTGTAGGTATCGGTTTCTTCAGCATAAGTGTTATTTTCTAATTCAAGTTCTGCAGTGTATTATTTTCTATCAGCTTCTCTTTAATCTCTAAAGTCACTTAATTAATCGATTTTTTCTAAATTTATTAATATATTTTAATACCATTTGTTGCAGTCAAATCTACATTAACTCTATTTATTTATCTTTAGAATTCAGCATATTCAGCATCCAATTATTCAAGATATTCTTCATGTTCAGTTTAAGCATCAGCTTCAGCAGCTGTTTAAGCATTGATTGAATCAACAATAGCATTTCTAAATTCATTAAGAGCATTAACAATTTAACCAATAATTCCTTAATCTGAGAAATTTTAGTTTGAAGCTAATGTTATAAGTGCCTTAATCATTGGAGCCATTCTTGATCTTGATTTAATTTTTTATTCAATATTTTTTAAAGAATTTTAGAATCTCTTAATCTAAAGAAGTGATGGATTTGTTAATGAAGAAAGGAGGGCAAGTGCATCATCAACTGCTGCAGTGGCATCATTCAATTCTGCAATTTAGAATTCAAAATCTTCATGTTCTTATTCTCTTGTAAGAACAGCTTCATCATAATTTTTTCTATTTGCCTCTTAATTTTCTTAAATTTATTCAATTCTCACTTGGAGTTGTTCTCTTCTTGGGAATAATAAATTGTCTAAGGTATCTTATGTATTGTTAACATCTAAGAATTTATAATTAAAATACCGATTACAGCATCTTAAATATCTTATTCAAATCCTATGACTAATGAATTATGTTAATTAGTTCTTTATTAGAAATTGAATTCTAGTTCTTCCAACTCCTCTTCAAGATCATTAATTAATTCTTCAATGGCATCAATCAACTCTTAGACAGGGCCACCAGCCATAGAATGAAGTTCAACTAAATGAAGAAGTGCACTTCCATATGTGCTCTTTTTCAAATCTGTTGTTATTTTAGATAGACTTCTTTCTTAGACTCTAGCTGTGAATGCAATAGCAATCAAGGCAATGAGGAACAATGTTTTCATTAAAATTAATAATATGAAAAATGAACACAAAAAAAAAGCTTAGATTACAACAAAAACGACTAGTCTTATTAATTAATTTATCAATTAAAACAACTATCAGATTCTGTATCTGCAGCTAAATACTCGCTATTCCAATTCATTTACTTCTTCTACTCTAATTTCAAAAGTTTCCTACTAACCTCTCTGCAAAATTCTAATTAGTATTATTATTATAAAATTTAAAATGGTTGCATTTCACTTTTATTATTTTTTTTATTGCTCGAAGAATTAGTTTTTCGTAGAACTTTTATCTCACTCCCTAACTTAATAATAAATAAGTAATATATACTTTGTATTTTCCATTAATACCACCATTTATAGTTCTTTTACTTAAAGATGGACGACTTAAAGTAGATTCTGTAGTATTTACAAATTTTGTATTTTCTTTTTATTTTAATACATCTTAAAATGAAAAAAATGATTGTTCTTATTTAGGTTATTTAACATTCATTATCATTTATAATCTTTTATCTTTTATTCTAAAATCATTTTATTCAAAAAATGAATTTGAGCATTCTCCTTTAGATTCTTATTTAATTGTATCAATTTAACGTCGTTTTTCAATGATTTACTCTTATTATTTTTTTTTTAATTGTAATTTTAATTTTCTTAATGATGATATACAATTTCTTAATTAAAATTATTCACTCCATTTTATCAAACACTTATAAAATAGAACAGATCTAGATTTCAATTTTTAAAACATCTCTAAAAATTACATATCCAATTAATTTGCTTAATTAGTTCTTAAAATTAAAAAACCCTTAACTAAATCGTTGTTAAATCTAAAATATTATTAAATTATTACATACTTTTCAATATAATCATCATCAAAATTATCATGATATTTTTTTGATTCAAATTAAATCATAATACAAAGCATTCTGAGTATTATTTGAAATACATACACATCCTATAAGGATAGTAGATATGTATTATTTTTTTCAGCATCTTTTATTGGATATATTTGATGATTCAATAATTTTGTCAATATCAATAATTATTTTTGTGCTTACAATCGATTACATAATTTCCGACAAAATTCAATCTATTCACATATCATCTCAACACACATTATTATGTTTTAATTATTACTCAATTATACAAAGCATTCCTCTAATTTCTTATGAACATAATTTGGCAAAGTCTATTCAACATAATAAGAGAAGATGCTGCAATTCATTGATTTGTTTGAATTTAAATAAAAAATAATAACTAAAATAAACAAGATCAAAATGTTACTATAACATTTATAAATAATTAAACTAATCACAAATAAAGCATTATAAATATAAAATCTAGATTAAAATTAAGAAAAACATAAAGATTTTAGATATTTACAATTGATTATAATAAATTATAATATTTAAAATAATAATTTATTTATTATTTTCTATTCTTAATCAAATTTTTCCTCATTAATAATCATTCTAATATTAACTTTGGAAACAAGACTTTATTTTCATATTGATATATTATAATAATTTATATTCATCAAATTTTTATTTAAGAATTCTATATGTTTGTATATAATGGAGGTTGAATTTTTATAGAATATATCATATATGTTTAATTTAGAAAAAAGGAATGTATATTTGAGTTTCAATAATTAAATTAAATTTAAGATTTAAAACCCAATTTGATAAATTTGATTTTATATCTCATTAGTTATATTTATCTCTTATACTTTTAGAACATATTTTACTATAATAAATTTAATATATTTTCTGAATATAATCTCTAAATCAGAAATTTTATTTTATTTAATTTAATTTGATCTATTTTTCTTTTAATATTTATGAATAATAAATATATTTACTTGTAAATATTATTATTAAAAATTAATTATAAAGTCAATCAGCCTAAGTATTATTGAATACGTTTCAATATTTTTTAAGTTGACTCTTTACAAGGAACAGATAAAAAATGTTAAGCTGTAGTAGGTTTTTAATTTTGTTATTAATAAGGTCTAATTTTACCTTTTTTTAGTAATTCTCTTAGATTATTACTTTGTTATTTATCTAGATTCATTAACATAGGTAGAATATCAATATCATTACTAAAATCTTTAGAAAAACTTGGTTAAGATAAAGGTTGTTTGAGTTACTTAGTCTTTATTCTTTGTCTACTTTAATTTCTATATTAGCAACGATATGACATTATTTCTTAATATTAGTTTTTATCAAATATATTCTATGATTAAGTAGGTCTGTGAGTTTTGATTTATTATTATTGAGTATTCTATATTTTATTAATTTAGACATGAAATTAAAACTTAAGACTAGTGGATTCTATTCGTTTTCTATTCTATTAATCAATAAGTCTACTATTTAACCAATTTGATTTGATTTACTTTTTGTTTAATAATTATTATTTAAACCAATAGTATCGTTAACATAATATGTTTATATCAGTAATTTTAACACCATATAATTTACATTTAGTTGTTGTAACACATTTATATTAATATTGATGACTATCAAATGATTCTTCTCCTAATAAACATCCTTAATTGACACGAGCCAAAGCATTATGATCATCATTAATTTGACATTCTCCTGAAACGAGAACATAAATATATGTCAATTATTATCCTTTTTAATAAATTGTATTATTAGGATTATATTTAAATTTTATAAATTTACTCATTAGAGTTTTTACTAATTAATGCATTTCAGTTTCTGATTCAGTAATTTCACTTACAAAACCAGCTTCTAATTATCTATATATTTTTGATTATTTTTATATTTTTATTTGATTTTCTACATTTTAATAATCACTTAAATTCATCTAAATTATTACACAATCTGATAAAGCAAGAAGCAAAGTGTTGTGTTTTTTCAATACAAGATCATTATTTAAGAGTTCCCCTTCTTGAAATAAATAAGTTTATTTAGTACTACAAACACACTAACTTAATAAATATTAAAAATATGATTCATTGTGTAGTTTAATTCCTTTTAACAGTTAATCTAATTCTACATTTAAAGACTATAAATATAAAGGTGGTAATTGAGGAAAACGATTATGCCTTATACTATTTGTTCTTTTTAATTCTACCTTTTATGGTATTTCACAAACTTATGCTCTACGTAATCTTGGTTAATCATTTATTGCAAAAGTTAATAAACCATTTTGCTAGTATGTTGCAGTAACTCTTCTACCTGGTCTTTCAATAAAAATATCAGATTTGTATTATTTTGTAAGTAATTTTCTTTTTTCTTCTAATTCACCTTCTGAGATTTCTTAATACTATTATATTGAACCTTAATATAGGATCATAATTTTATCTTATCTATCATTAAATTTCCAAATCAATGAACCTTTAAAATAAATGTATAATAAATACCAGACTCATAATTTGTCAATACTGCATTTTGGGCCATTACTCGAAGCAAGGCTTTATAAAGCTTAGTTTTTGTTTGGTTATGCAAAATATCAAAATATTACAAGCAAATCAATTGATCTTCAATGGCTTGTTGATCTTTACGACATCTTTCTTCTGGGTCTTTTTGTAATAAATATATTAACATATAATTAATCAATGTAAAGTAACTTATATTATTATAGAGAAAATATATTTAATATTACTTAAATTCTTACTTATAAGATTATCTCAATGGCTAAGTGTTAATCTATAATTAGTAAATATTTAAATTTAAATTATTTTCAAAGTTTTTTTAGATAATAAAATTAATTTTCGTAGTTTATATGATTGTTTTAGATAGTATTTTAGAATGATTCTTTAAATATTTTTAAAATAATCTTTTAGGTTTTTATGATCAGATTAAGGATCTCTTAATCATCCATAATCTTAAGTAACCATCCTAATATCTATTTCTAAATTAATAATTTATAGTTTAAAGGTTAGTTTTCTATAAGGATTGAAGAGTTGAAAAATTTAAAAGAATTTTCATAATGAAATATTTAGAATATTTTAATGATTTATTAATCTAATTAGAATGATTTCTTTAATGAATAATATCGAATATAAGAGAGTATTTAAAATAAAAAAAATAATTATATAAAGTATAAGTTTCTTTTTTGTTTGAGTTTTGTATATATTACTTATTGATTTGATTTATTTTGAAGAAATCATATAATTATTTATTAATTATTTATTTATGCCTATTGTATAAGGAAAAGCAAAATTGTGGCATCCAACATAAGAAGAATAAGTAGATTATTGTTATATATTAAAAGGATGCATATGATGACAAAATGATTGCCAACATTGAATTGAAATCATTAGATTTTGATGATGAAAACTTTTCCCCTGTATTTAATAGAAGCAAAAAAGAATTCTTCTTATAGGCAAGTGAAAGATATAAGAAGGATTTGTCTAAAGTAATAATGAATATTAAAAAATTAAATAGTTAGCCAGACCATTTTAATCATATACATGCGAAGAGTTTGTTAATAAATACATTTTCATTAAACCAAATCACACTTATTGGAGAGAATGGACAGTTACTAAATGGATGTCAGGATTCGGTTTAGGATATTTGGTTTTAAGAGAAGTATAAAAATAATTTGAATTTAGTTACCACTACGTAATTTTTATGCAAGAGTTTTTGTTATGTGGATCTTTTTAGCAAAATTAAGTGATCACTTTACTTCAATTCTACCATATCATGGTAAAATAGTGATATCTACATAATCTGATAGATTTACTAAGTATATAATAAATAAATATCTTATAGTAAAGATATCAATCAATATCACAATGTTTGCAGTGCATTAAACTTTTTAGAAATGCCAACATTTTAGAATAGAATTTCAGAATCTCTTGCTTGGAGAGCTAAATAACCAGCTCATTTATTATATAATGATACAAATTGGTGTTTACATATTCTTAAAAAATGGCATGGTCGTCCAACACATATTGCTCATTGGGTATTCATATAATTATTATATAATAGGATGGTACATTCAATCAACCCTTAGAAAGATTAGCAGATCCATACCATAAAGATGCCCACTTCATCCATTGGATTTGAGAGTATATGCATAGAAATAAATACAATTATTATTGTCATTATTATTTATTATAATGAGTGCTAGTGTTGCAGATGATCTATCAGATAGAGAAATGATTGAATTTTCAGAAGATGAATAATTGACATTCTTTTTTAATATAGATCAAGTACTTTATTCAATAACTTTAAGGTTTATAGTGAAATCCCAGGAGTTATATAAAATTATGGTACTTTTGCATAATCACTTTAAATTTGTCGCTAGCTTTCCAATCTCATTATAAAAAACTCTATAGCTGATGCATAAGAGAGAGTAAGATTCTAAATTTATAATAAAGTTTATCCTAAGAAATATACCTATTAATGCTATTAATGAAATTGAAGCTGAAACCAAACTTTTGTTGAATGCTAAATTAAATGATGGTGGAATAGAAGTTGAATCATGTGATTTAATTGAAGATCAAGAACCAGTATTTAATTATTTTATATAAAAGGACCCTATTTTTTGTGATAGATGGAGAAGAAACAGAATTTAAATGATGATTGGTATTTTATATCTAATTAAATCATATAGAAGAGGAAACTCATGAAAATGATTAAAATGATGAAAAATTAACAACTGATCCCAATAAAATTGTATCTAAATCTAGACTCTATGATACTAAGAAAACAACTATTAGACTTCCAACTACACCATAACCAAAAAATTAGATTGAAGCTAGATTAATCTAAATATTTTAAGAAGAATATGAAGATGAATTTGAAGATAAGTTAAGAAATGCTAAATTATATGAAATGAAAAAGAAAAATGAAATTGAATAAAAGAAAAAAGAAGATAAATTACAAAGTTAGGTAATTATTTATATATATTTAATTCAGATTGAAAAAAAAGATGGAGGAACACAAAAATATACTTATGATTTTGATGGTAAAATTCTTTTAGCTAGGGCTGTTAAAATGGATAAATTATAACCAACTAATCAAAAATTAAAAGTTGAATTTAAAGAACCTTCAAAATCTGATCAATAATAATAACCAATAAAAAAAGGAGGAAAGAGGGATTCTACCAAAATTAATAAGCCATAATGTCCTGAATAGGAGATACCAAATAGAGTATATTATTAACACATAAGGTTTTATAAGAACGCAAAGATGCTACAAAAGAAGTTATAGGAGATAAAGCATTAAGAATTGACAAAACATCATAATTTCCTTATGAAGTCTTTACAATGAATAATGGAGTTAAATTGTACTATGAACATAAAATGAAGGAAGGAGTAAGACATTAAATAAGTGATTCTGCAGAACATTTATAATACAAATTATCAGGCTCAAATCTACTCTCTGGAGATGATGCTTCTTAATTTGCCTCTTAAATTAGATTAACTAGAGCTGAATATTAATTGATAACAGATGCCTAAACTTTATAGGCAACAAAATCTTAGTTTATGCCTAGTGAAAATATTCATGTACCAGATCATGATTAATAAAATACTCAATAATCAATTCTATTAAAAAAAAAATTAGGTGAAATTGGAAAAACAGAACTTCCTTAAGATAGCAAATAAGTTTAGTTTAACACTGGATCTAATTTATCAAAACCTTTAAAAAAAGAAGTTCCTTCCTAACAAACTTCTCAAACAGAAAGAATTCAATTAAAGAATGTCAAAATGATAGAAAATTTAATAGTAACTGCACTGCCTGATACTCCTAAATCATCTAAATAAGAATTACCTTTACCATAAATTCCAGATGGAGTCTCAAAGTAAATTCAATACTAATCTAACTAGGAATCCTATTGATATTTTCAATTAATAGTTATTAACTTAGAAAGAATGGGGTAAACAAACAGGAGGTAAAACTACATACTTTCCTCCAGTTCGGCAACAAAAAAGATCTTTAGAGACCAAAGCATATAAAGGAACTTTAGAATAAATGTAATATCTATTTATTAATATTGTAAAGGTATAAAATGCCAAGAGAAAGACTTGTAGCTTAAACAGGCAGAACAGCTATGAACTTTTATAAATCTAATTAGGACGGTAATTAATATATTATATTTCTAGGATAAAAGAATATAACCAAATCTCTTAGTGAGGGATTAATGTAAACATTTTATACAACTCATTCTAAATTTAGTGATAAACTTAGATAATGATTTTATTATATTTTTATCATTATTGATATAAAAACCTTAATTTACTATTCAAAGTATACAAAATGGACATTTTTCTTTATTTAAATGATTTATACAATCCAACCAAATAATAAAATTAAGACAAAGTTCCAATATGACGCTTTTTGTTTTTAATTACAAAAATATCTTAATTATTTTAGCTAGTTAAAAAAGTTTAATAGAGTTTCTTAATAATTTTTTAAGGAATTGATCTATTCAGATATTTTAATCTTGTTTTTATTACCATTATTATATTAAATAATAGATTAATTGTATGTAAATTAAGGATCTCATTGTAATTTTTTTTAGAATTTTTATTAGAGAGACATTATACAATCAATTTAAATTATCTCCATTTATTTTTGACTTAATATATTTTAACTATTTTAAACTTTTTATTTAACTAAGGATTTTATGTAAAAATCTAAAGTGAAATCAATTTTCTTTTTTAATAATATAGAACATTCTTATTAATACAATTAAGTCTTGTTTAGTCAATTATTTCAAGTAGCTATATACTATTTTATATATTTTCTTTTGCTTTTTGATAAATTATAAATTTATACTTGTTTTAAATATCTAGCAATTAGTATTCATTTACTTTACATCCTTATTTTTTCTTAAAAATAACCTTAAATTTGAAGAAATCTAATTTATTGTTGATCTATTTAGAAAATATTTCTTGGAAATTATAATAAATATTTAGATTATGGATTATTTAGTAATTATTCTTTTGATAAGTCTAAAGTGAGAGAGGTATTGTGTATTTACTCTTTAATAAATATAAAATAGTATCTTAAGAATTTGTTAAAAAGTTCATAAAATCCATAGACTTCATTAGAAAAACAACTAAATTTTTTAATTCATTATAATAAAATGAATTTGTAATAATTAATGGAAATTGAAAGTAAATTTGAGCAACTCTCTATTATTCCAATTTTTGATGAAATCCTTAAGTACACATTAAAATTAATAAGTGGTGGAATATAAACTGGTATATTGACAGAATTATATGGTGAAGCAGGCTGTGGTAAAACACATGTTTGCATGACATTGATGATTAATACTATAATAAATTATAAAACTTCGAGAGTGATTTACATTAGTACAGCTAAATAATTACAACAAGATCGTTTTAATCAGCTATTATGTAAAATTAGTTATGTTATTTGGAATTAGAATATCGTGTAGGTAAGAAATCTAAAGATAAGTTTACTAATTTATTTAACAAATGTATTATACAACATTTAAACAATACTAAATTTATGGATGAATATATATATGAGCAATTGCCAACTTTATTGGAATAATATTAATTCAAATTAATTATTATTGACAATATAACAACTTATTTGTAGGAATTGTAATTGACCTTAAATTAGATGTAAAAAACATCAATACTAAAGAAATTCTCAAATCATTTGAGAAGACTAGCTAAAAAACACAATATTGCTGTTTTATTTGTGAATAATGTTGTGGCTTCAACTTAGAATAATAAATTATATCCAGCCTTAGGGATAAAATGGTCTGAGATGATTGATGAAAGAATATAAGTAGAAAAAAAAGGAATGATTCGGTATTTTAGAATTGATATTTCTCATCGTGTAGCTTTAGATGATGCTACATTTACCATATAAGAAAGTGGAATATATCCTTAAGTTGATTGATTTAAACTTTTTCCAATTAAGTTAAACTTATCTACTTGTTTTTATTTTTAATTCTAGATTAATTATTTAGAATAATTAGCATATATTTATATAAAATAATTTTATACTATTACATTTGAAATTTTTAATCTATTATCTCTTTCAAAATATGGCATTTTTTAATTTTTATATACAATTAAACTTGAATTTTATAGAAACTTAATTAAATATTAATTATTATATTTAAATGTAAAAGCTATTTTCAAGTGATTATTTAGTTAAAATTTAACAAATAAATGCAATTATCTAATTTTAGATGCACATGAACAATTTTGTTTTTCAATTAATAATAAAAAAGCATAAATTCAGATATTCTTCTTAGATTAGATAATCTATCATAAAATTATATACATTATTTTTGATATCTTATAAAGGTTACATTGATTTTTTTTATATTCAGGTAAATATTTAAATAACGTTAATAAATTTGAATAAATATATTTTATAATTCATTTATTCATATTTTTTTGATAATATAATTAATGAAAACATTAAGATACTATTTCCTTTTTTAGCATAATTTCATACTTTTATAATAATAAGCTAATTATTTATAGAAAGGAAAAATAGATATTTTATAATTGAAAGATACTCTATTAAGAAGAGAAATTAAATTTATAGATGACTATTTAATCATCTAATAAATTTAGAGACTAGATTAATAGCTTCATAGAATGGATGAAGAATTAAAGATATTAAGCATTATTATCCTTTTTATATAATTGATTTGATAATTTTAATATTGTAATTAATAATATTAGGAATAAATTTGAAATTAAAAGTCTTATTAAAATAGTTTAGTAATGACTTATAAACATTAATGTATTAATTTATGGAATAATATGTAATAGATTTTATCTCAATCTCTATTTGCTATTAAATTCAAATAATGATCAACTTGTTCATTTGTTAATTTATGGAACTTCTTATCTTATTTAGTCACAATACCTACTTCAATGTCAGTTGGCTTAAAGTCTTATGAAATTACCTATAATATAAAATAAAGTTTACATTTTATAATGTTTATATAGCAAGCATAATGGTTTCATCATAATTTAAATCTGCTTTTTTTTTGATTTATTTTTCTAAATAGTTGATTGACTCTTATTCTTTTACACCACTAGCAGTTGCCTTATAACCACTATAATGTCCTGATGGATCAAGTTTATATAATAATGGACCCAATTCATCATCATATTAACATAAAATAGTCTCAACACCATATGATCTCATTTAATAATATTGAGTATTGGTTTATGCTAAATCAGCCATTCTCTTTGATAATACATCAACTGGACAATAGTAACCTAAAAATATGAATAATAATAACAATACCATTTTTTAATCTGAATTCTCCTGCTTCATATCTCATTCTTGTAACAAGAGCTCTAGCATCTGATGGAATGCCTGTAGTTAAGGCACCAATTTTTTCTGATACATTATATAGATTTGTGACAGATTTCTCGTCAATTAATTTATCTGGCACTCTTTTTTCTGTAATCAAACAAACTGTATCAGTGCCTTTGACTCCTATTGATGTCAATCCACTTGTTTTCACTGCTTTGAAGGCATATTCAACCTAATATAATCTACCTTCTGGTGAAAAGAGTGTTATATAGAATTCATGACCTTGGCTTCCTCTACTCATTTTAATTAAATTATCCTAATCTCAAAAATTAAATAATAATCATTTTTTAGTTTATGCACCTCCTTTTTTTTGAGAAGAATTAAAAGTGTTTGAATTGTAAATGATATTTAAATTTTAAATCTTAATTGATTAGGGTTGTTTAGCTATAGCAAATTATTATTGACTAAATTAAGAACCTGAAATTTTAATTTTATTTGTATCTGAAACAAAACCTACTTTTGTATCTTTATACTATGGTATCAATTTATCGATCGACTGCTAACACTTAAACTAAATATAATACCGTTTTCTTCATACTTTATTATTAATATTATTATGTTTATTATTGTTATCCTTATTCTTATTACTATATATTGTAAGCATAAGCTGTACTTTACATATTCAATTATTGTCCCAAATAATTAGGTACTTTAAATGATGTCTATTTAATTATATATCTAAATATACTTTAGTTCTTATCACATTTTATTAACTGGTTGGTGATTATGCTGTTCTATTTACTCCAGCACTTACTTATCTTTTTTCTTATTCATTTTATAGATTCAATTCTTTCATGAATTCAATTGCCTCTGGTAAATCTTCAAAATATTAATGTTTTAAAGCTTATCTGCATGTTAATCTCTCTGATGGTTCCATCTTTAATAATCCCTTTACAAAATTTATTGCTCTTTTAGGTAATTTACATAAATATCTATACAATTCATTAAAAATAATAACCTTTATTCTAAGGTTTCAGGTTTAGAGATTTCAGGAAATTTCATTCCTAAAAATCTTGGGTTCTTTGAAAATGTTTCTTATTAACTAGGAGTTAAAGGTCCAAGCATTTTTTAGATTAAATATAGTTAATCCATCTCATTCTCTCCTGGAAATAATGGATTTCCATCTGTTAATTCACATAATAAACATCCAATAGCCCTTTAATTATATTAATTATTACCACATATCAACACCTTTATCATAAATAGAATAACTTAATAATAATTCAGGGGCTCTATACCATCTAGTTGCTACATAATCAGTAAGATCCTAAGTTTATGCTGTCAATGACTTAAAATTGATATCAATTTTACTCTGGCAAATCCAAAATCACATAATTTCAATACATTAGCATTACTTATAAGTAAATTTTCAGGTTTAATGTCTCTATGAACTATATCATGTTAATGACAACAGTATATAGCTTTTAGAAGTTAAAAGATAGTTTTTTTAATATACAAAGGCTAAACTTTAATATAATAACATACTTCTAATCCAGAAGGTGATGCTTCCAATACTTCCAATAAATTTCTTTCTACATACTCAAATACTAAATAAATTCTTCCCTTTCTAATAATTATTATACTAATTTTGAACCTTTTAAATGCTTCCTTTAATTCTACAATATTTACATGTCTCAATAATCTCAACACCTTTACTTCTCTTTAAATGCTCTTCTTAACAATCTCATTATCTTCTGTTTCCTTAAATTTCTTTATTGCCACTTTTATTATATACATAAATGTACCTATTTCATTTGTTTCCTTGTTTTTGCATTTTAAAACTACTCCATAAGCACCTTCCCCTACAACTCCTAAAACTTCATATTTATTCATTTATATTATTATTAATTGTTTTATTTAAAGGAAATAATAATCAATTGATTTCGTATGAGAAACAGAAGTAAATCCAATGTATTCCAAAAATATATCTATTTCAAAACTGAAAAGTATTATATGTAATCAAGAAATCTCATTTAAAAATATAAACAAAACTTTGACATAAAGAATTAATAATGAACACTTAGTATAATGTTATTAAAATCTAAATATATAACCATAGATATTAAATTTTCATATAACATTATATGTATAAATTATGATTTTTACCAAAAACCAAAATTTATAAGATTGTGATGATGGATCAAAACTTTTGTAAATTAAGAACGTACTGATGTTTTAATTCATATATAAAGAGATAGTTTCCTATTTAAATTACTAATTTAATATGAATTTTGTTGATTGTAATGAGAAATGTGGAAGTGAATTTATGATATAACTTCAAATGATTATACATCCGCATGATTATTTAGTTTCTTGAGCTGGTGTTTCTATATTATAATTCTTCCAATTTTCTACTTCATGCACTTAAACAAGAGAGTGTTTTTTATCAATCTCATCAATAAATGAAATTCTATGTTTCTTGGATCCTTAGATAATATTACTTTTAAATTTATCTTATCTTTGAATTACTAATTCTTATTTAGATCCTTTCATAATACCATATTTTTTTGTATCCATCAAATTATTAATATTAATATAAATGATCTAATTTTTAATATATAATCATCAGAATGTATTTTAGTTTTATAATTTTTTTCGCAACTTCCTCAAAGTGTTTTACAATTCTTCTAATAATTATATTTGATAACTGTAAAGTATCATTTTCTCTAAAATTTCACAATATTTAAACATGACATACTTTGATAATTTAATGAATATTTTATTATTACTTAAATAAATAATTATATATATATATATATAAATGTTTACATAAACTCAATTTATATAAAATATTAAAGTATGCGATAATACTTTTTAAAGTAGTTTGTAATTTTTGAATTATTTTATATGTAAAAATAATCAATTAGCTTTAAAGATATTAATTTAATAATTTAATAAATTAATAATTAAAAAATTGCTTGAATTAAAACTATCTTATAAATAATCAAAATTCTTCATAATCTTCTACTTCTAATAATTAACCACTTTCTCTTTGATCATATTCATAAAATGCTTTAGCATCTATTAACATACTAATGATAATGTCTCCTTGACCACAATTTTATAAATCTGTTAAGGTGATAGCAGTTGAAATAGCTGGTTTAGCCATATCAAATATTTCATCTTTAACATCTTCAACATTAAAACCAAATTTATCCTTTTATAAAATATTAAATGTTTACTTTATGCTCTAATTTTTAAATAATTGGCCTAAAAAACATATTGATGACAAAAGAATCTATTGCTGGTTTATGATAAACATTTAATATTCTCCAGAAATATTATATTGCTTATTGACTTTTCTTATTTTCCATAGCAAGTACAAAATCTATTTTTATAAATATTATTAATACCTAAAAATGTTTTGTAATCCATTTCACCCTCAAATGTTTAATATTCTTCAAATACTCTATCAATAAATATATCTGTTAATCCCCATGAATATTTAGATAATTCTAATTTTGATAATAAACCATTATGATCATTATCCAATTTCAAATATCTTTCATAGACTTTTAAGGCAGATTATTTTGAAAACCAATTTTAACCTAATTCTTCTAAGGTTAATTTTTCTTATCTTAATTCATATAATTCAGCTAAGATTGGAGATGTTAACATATCTTTAATATATATTCTGCCTGTTCTTTTAGAATCCAAAAAGAAAAAGAATTTTCTTACAGCTGTAATCACATAAAAAGGATAAAAGTTTTACTAAATGTTAAAATAACACTTGATCTTACATCTAATTTTTCTAATTAAGGAAATGTAGGTATTAATTCAAAAATATAATTCTCAAGATCTTTTTCTCTTAAATATCCATTTCTATATATATAATATACAATAAAATACCCAATAGAATCATACAAACTAATTTATATTCTTGTTTAAAATAGATTAACTTTTCTAACTATTGAATGAAAGAATGCAACAATATCTATTCTACCATATTCATCCCTGTCAAATTTTAAAAAAGTAGATGCACTAAAAAAATGTCTACATTTAATAGGTAGTAATGAAGCAATTGTTAAAAATGAATTATAATTAATTCTTTCCTTCTTATCATCTGGTGGTGATATATTATTTTTAAGTTCTGTCCATAATTTTTCTAAATCTTCTTTATCTAATATTTCACCAGTTTTATGATTCAAAAATCTTGTTCTTGCTTCTTATCTCACTCTGAAACTTAATTAATTTTCATTTGTAACTGAAGCTTTTTAGAAAAACTTAGGTATCTTCTTATAACTTGGATCTTCTTCTTATTCCTATTAAATTAGACTGTTAATAATACTTTCTTTCTTGCCTATTCAATATAATCTAAAAACTATTGATCAGTTTCATCATCTATTTCTTATGCAGTTCTTTATTGTTTAGAATCAACAAACTTTTTCAAAGTGTTTACCCAATCAATACCCTTTTTAGACATATTTATTTGAATTTTTAGTTAAAATATTATATATATATTATTGAGGTTTTCATTTAAATATTTAATCAGAAATATTTCTCCTTCCTCCTTAAAACTCAAATTCATTATTGGATTCAACTACTTAACCAGATTCAGGATAAACATTTCTATATTTTGGTCCTGTTTATGGTTCATTTTGAACTTCCTAATTATTTATCACCTTCTTCATTCCAAATACAAGACCTATTCAAATATTAAATAATATATTAACCATATAATAGAGGAGTTTATTTAGAATTATTATCTTCTACAATTTTCAATTTTTTTGTAATGAATCCTCTATCAAGCATTTCTTAAGGCATTCCTGCTTCTGAACTAAAAACACTTGTAGTTTAACTATAATGATTATATTCCATGTATTCTCTAATTAAATCATTAATTATCATATTTTCTAATTCAAAATCCAAATATACCCATGGAAAGTTTAGGTTTGTCTTCTGGGTCTTCATTCAAAGCATTAAATATCTCTGCTCTTATTCTTGCTCTTAATTGAGATAAAACTCCTCTTGATTCAAGAGTTTCTTTCAGAGCATCTTTCATTTCATTTATTGTTGTCATAATTTTAATTAATAATATGAGAAAGCAATTCTCATTCAAGCCCCTATCAACTCATAACGATAATTAAAATTTATAAACAAAATCAGACTCAATAGGTAGATTTCGCTCTATAATCCCTATTCGTAAAATATAAGCCACCTGCTAATTTCTAAAAATGAAACAAGATTTAGAACTTGAATTTCCACAAATCCCAATACAATTCAAGAATCAAATTCCAAAAACGAAAATCTTTACAACAAAACCTCATTTCAATACTCATTTCCCTATCAAAGAAGATCTAAGTTAATTTTCAAAAAAGATCTAATAAACAATCAAAACAAGCTTTAAGAAATGTTTATATTAGAATAAATCAAATAAAGTAATTTATTCAAATGAACTTTCTACTGTCCTTTATTTCAATGTAACTGTTACATATGAAGAATAAGAAACATTTTATTAATTTATTCGCCGTTTGGGAAATATAGAAAAAACCTAATAGGATAGTAGTAAATAATTTAAAGCGAAAAATCTTCTAAAAATTGTAGGAGTTTTTGAAAAATATGATACAAGACAGATTTTCACTTTTAAGGTATTTATGCTATGATTTAAGATTAGAAGTTTTTATAAAATGTATTTACAAAATTAAATTGAATGGAACTATCAACATTTTTATGATCTTTATCCAAATTCATAGTTTGTAGATAATATTTGTGATAAAAAGAATAAATTAATCTCTCGATTAACATTCTAATTTGATTAAAAAAATGAATTATTTAAATTACACTAATAATTTTGTGGAATTTTAAGTTTAGAAATAATAAATAATTAACAATTAAACTTTATAATTGAAAATGACTATGAAGATGATCAAAATCAAACTTGTATTAAATTAATTTAATGCAATAAGAAAATTAAACTATTTAAATCTCATCTTTAATGTATAGTAAATAGATTAGATAATGAGACATAAAATAATTTACTTACTGAATAGGAAGAGCACTCTTTTACACTTTCATATTAAAATCCTTAACATTTTATTCGACATTTGTAATTCAAAGTTCCAGATTAAAATAGTATTGCAATTAGATTTTATAATAATTATTATGAAATATTAAATGGTATATTTGAGGATACTCATGAAATATTAAATTTATAAGATAATATTACAATGCTTGAATTTGAAGAACCTTAAGAAAATCATAAGACTACTAAAATGCTCTAATCAGTATAATAATAATAAATTCAACCAAAAAAATTGAATTTTGAATCAATAATGAAAAAATCTAAACATCAACCTTCTATTACATAAGAAATATCACCAAGAAGTGATCATTCTTAGATAAGTTCTATGAGAACTCCTAGAGAAGGTTAATTATTACCAGTTTTAATGAAACCTTAACTTGAAAATAATAAAATTAAATTAAGAACTAGTCCTCCATCTTATGATGACAATATTAGCAATTCTAATAATAATCAACAATATTCTACTCATCATTCCAAAACCGTTTCGTAAACAGACATGGTCTCTATTAATACACCAAGATCATAAAGAACTTCTTTAGCTATTAATTTATCTCTTAGAACATCAATGACTAAAAATTCCCTTAAAACTAGAACATTAGTAGTGGAACAATTTAAGAAGTCATAATAAAAAGCAAATCAATTAGCTGGATTATTAATTTAAGAAAATAAATACAATGAAGTATAATTTAAATTAATTATTATTAGCTTGTTGAATTATTTAATAATAATCCTAATTTAAGAATAGATGAAAGAATATCTAATGGAAATACTTATTTAATGTTAGCTGCTTAAGGAGGCAATTTAGACATCTGTGAATTAATTCTGTCTAAAGGAGCCTCTGTAAATTTATAAAATGTATTATTATCAATAGTAATTATTAAAGTTACAAGGAGACACTGCTCTACATAAGGCTTTCCAATATGGCAATTTCAGTGTTGCTGATCTTTTAGTATCTTATGGAGCATAAGTAATGGTAAATTACAAAGGTAAGACTCCTTGGTAATTGTGAATAATTTACTTTTATTCATTATTAAATACAATATAACTTAATGCTATGATGACTACTCTTAAAAACAATAAATTTTAATAATCTTCTTATAGAGTAAGTTAATTTTAAATCTTAAAGTTCAAAATATGGTTGTAATTAAGATTATAATAAAATTAATAAATGAATCAACAATTTAGAGTGGAATACTTGAGAATCAAACCTTATCGGTACCGTAGATTACCCTCACTTAATGCCACAGGCAGTCAAATTTTCAAGTACAGAGAGAGTTATAGGTTAGTCTCTCTTAAGAAATGGTTACATCGAGAACTAAGAAGAATTTAGTAAAACCGATGCTGGTATACATGCTAATTATTCTCTAAGTAAGCTCTGTCACACAAAAAAGAGGATAGCAAGAACTTCTATCATCATTCTACTATCTACAATGTAAAAGAGTTTAAGGAATTGAGCAAACTTTAAGAGTAACTATATATTATGATATTTAGTTATCAAGAACCTAATCTTACTAAATACACAGAATTGTAGACTAAAATTATGGTTGCTGATTTCAAAAAGAAAGTAGATGCATTCCTATAAAAAAACAATTACAAGACAAATATGATTGGTAGTAAAATAACTTCTTCATTACATGAATTGGAATCATTTCAATCTACAAATAATGAAGAATAGCTTAATAAATCTCTTTGTTCTAATAAATATACAATTAGAACTGAATGTAATTAATCCTAATTATTTTAGATAAATCCATGAAAGCAACTGAAATACTTGTAATTAGTAATAATAAGGTTGTCTCGAGATAGATTATATCAAGTGAATTAATTTAACAAAGACTGCTTAAATAAATGGAAAAATTTCTTAAAGATGATAGATTTAATTATGATCTAAAGTACCCATATATTTTTATTAGAATGCAAACTATGATAGATTAATATGAAGATATTGTCAATAAAATTAGACAGTAGGCATATACAATTAAAATTCCATAGAGTTATGAAATTTAAATGAGTGACTACAATGAGTTTTATTATAAAAAAGAAGAACCTTAGATTCCATCTTTAAATGATAAATTGGAACTCTTGGCTGATTAGATCATACAAGAAATCTAACAATCAAGACAATCTACACCATAAATGTAAAATCAAATTAATGAAGAGCAACAGGAAGATAGTTCACCATATATTGATGAGGTAGTTAAAACTGAACCTGTTTATTCAAAAGAAGAAGAAATTGCAAATTTAAATAATGAATAAGTTTGTGAAAGAAAGATATCACATAGAAAAGGAAAGCCAAGAAAAAAATAATAATAATAATAATAATAATAATAACAATAAAAATAATAAAATGAATCTACATCTGATAATAATAATTAAAAATCTTAATAATCTAGCTAATCAGAATTACCTGATATTTCTACTTCTTAATAATTTCATCATTAAAGAGAAATAAGAGAAAAAAAAAATAATTAATAAATTTAATAACCAATTTAAATTTAATAATAAATTAATGTTAATACTGAAATTGAATATTAACATGAAAATTAACAAACACAAAATCAACATATTGTTTAGAATAATAATAAAAAGCATCAAACAATAGATAAATAAAAAGGAAAGGTTCACTCAAGAAAAATAACAGGAGATACTGTTGGTTAAAGATAAGTCCCTATATTTTTAGAAGTTCCAAAAGAATAAATTTTAGAGACCTTAAGTGAAAAGTCATAAGATGAAACTTAATAATTTGAAGAAGTTTAAAATAAAAAACAGTAATCACCAAAATAAGAGCATAAAGAGATTAAATAATAAGTAGAAAATTAAAAATTAGATGTTTAAGACCTTTAAAATGATTAAGAAGAAGTAAATTAATAAATTGATCCCCCTGTAATATAACCAATTATTCAACCAATCTCAAATAATAAACCACTACGCAACCAAGAATAAAGAGATGCTGTTGATATTTGGGATAATAGTATACCTTCAGTAATCAAACCTGCTCCTAAACCTAAACCAGTTTAATAAGAGATTAAAAAAATAGAATAGAAATAAGAGGAAAATAATGATGTAAATTAGTAATAAAAAGAAGATATAGTCTTAAATTAACGAAAAGACTCAATAAATTCAGAAAAATCATAAATACAATAAGAAAATATTAATGAATAAACTTTAAAACCTAATCCAAGTTTAGATATATCATAACCTTAATAAATTAAGGAAGATTCTTAAACTAAATCTATAATATAAGAAAATAAGTCAATTGTTAAAAAGAAAGTTTAAGATTAAAAAGAAATAAACTCTATTAAAATATAAAAGTAGATTGTTGAATAAAAAGAATAATAAGTAGATGATCATAGTAAAATTGATTACTAATAGATTATTAATGAAAAAATGAAATTAATTGAATAAAAACTACAATAACCTTGTCTTGATATCATAGATATTTTATTAGCTTCGGATTTAGTATATAATGTAAATATTGAAAATTATAAAATCTCCAAAACATATAAAAAGTAAGTAAATCATCCAAAATTTATTTTTGAATAGAAGGATGAAGAAGAAGTTTTTTCTCATTAGTAAATTCATTATTTAATTTAGGGTAATTTGGAGACATGAATTATAAGAAGTAATACCAAAATTGTAAAATTTAAATAAACAAATTGAGATTCTAATTGATGAAAATGATGACTATAAAGAAAATAATTGTTAAAAAATAGAAGAAGAAAATGATGAATCTGATAATTGATTATTATGACTAAATATCTATTGTTATTAATTCGATATCATTTTTAAATGTGCTCATACATATTCCATATGAATTTATACTTTGATTTAAACAAGTTTAATATTTTAATGCTTATATTGAAGTATGCATAAATATAAAAAGAATTTTTGAACATATTTATTAATAATTCTGATTAATTATTATTTTCAGAGTCTTTAGATTATGAGTTATTAATATCTACTTTAGATTAATCAGAATCCTAGTCATCCTCTTACCTTTCAATTTGATTATTTAAATCAATTTTTATTGTATTGTTTATATCCAAAAATTATAGATCTTGCATAATTATTTAATAAATATATAATCATAAAAATAATTAAAATAAAGTCTAAATATAATAAAGGAAGTTTTATTAAATAATATATAGTTTTAGAAACAAATTTATTATTTAGATTTAGATTTATTTCTCAAATCAATATTAATAAATTTATTGTTAAGAGATATAAATTATATCAATAATAACATAAAAAGTGATCGTATTAAAATATTCATAATTATATAAATATTATATTTTCCTAAACATTATCAACAATTTACTTTTATAGTAAACAGAATAGTTAGATATTTGGAAGTATGAGACTATTTATTACTTAAATATAGGATATTATAATTTTTTTTATAAAATGTAAAACTAATATAATTTTAAATACAAAAAATTTTGAACAACTAAATATTCTTAGGGAGAGCACAATTAATTGAATAAGTTTAGAAATTAATCAAATATTGATAATTTAGAATATCTTTAAATTGATATATAGATAAATAATACTATAAAAAGGTTAAAAAAAAAATAGTAAAATTGCATGTTAATAATTGAGAGATCGTTTAAAATAAAATAAAAAATATAGAAATGATTTTACAGCAAGAATAAGAGGAAGAAAAGAAAAGATAAGCATATGAATAGTTAGGAGATAATCCTACTGAAGTTGATATAAAATATGTTAGCTATTTATTAAAAATTCCATTACTTACAATACGATAATGGCTAGATGAAAAAGTAGGACTTGATGTTCAAATAGAAATTCAACCTGAAGAAGAGAAGGATGTGTAAATAATTGGTATTGCAAAAAAAAAATTAAAATTGTAAAGTCTTCAAAATCTATAAATGAAGGAAGAGGAAAATTCATAATAATAATAAATATCTGATTTGCAAAAAAAAAAAAATAAAACTCCAGAATCTAAAGATAAACTAAAATAAAATAAAAAGAAAGAAGTTAATAAGTCATCCCTAACAAACAAAAAGATCTAAAAATTAAATTCTAAAAATTAAAATACTTAAAATCCTCAAACATAAGAAAAACAACAATAAGATAATAATAGTAGGAATTAAAATCAAAAATAATAATAAAATCATAATTCATTAAAATAATTCAATTAGATTTAAGTTAATTAAGCTGAAATTGTATAAGATGACATTAATTTAAATTAATCTTAAAATGATGCACTCTAAAATCAAAATAATAAGTAAGATTAATAAATAGTAAATTAAAATGCTGAAATCTAATAGTAAAATAAATAAATAGAGTAAGTATCAAAACCACTAAGAATATGCATTTATAATTAAGATCAACTTAAAAAATAATCTTAATAAAAAAATAATGAAAAACTTTAAGCATTATCTTAATCAAATTAAGCTTAATTAAATTCATCCACATAATCTGATATGAACTCAAATTTGCAATAGTAATAATAACTTTAAAAATAATTTTTGTAGTCAAATTCTTAAAAAACAAATACAATTTAATAACCAAATAATTAATAAAAATAACTTATAAATCAATAAACTAATTTTTAAAATAGTGATAAAATAAAGCAAATTATTGTATTAGATGATGATAATACTATGAGCTAAAGCAGTAATAGTAAAAACAAATAGGTATAATAATTTAAGTAATAATAATAACAAAAAGATTAAAATTAATAAAAGTTGACTTTAAACCATAATCTCAATTAAAAATTAACAAAAAATGATTCTAATAATCAAAATTAAAAAAATCAACTTTCTACTTCAAGTTAATAAAATATTACTCAAAAATTAAATGAAATACACTTTAGCAATAATTCTGGATAAAATAAGATTTAATAATTAAACAATTCGTTAGAAGTTCAAGTGCCTGTTCATGAGTAATAGTAAAATTATAAAAATCAGATTTAAAAAGAAATATTTAGTAATTCTAATAATTCCTAATAATAATAATAAGAATTATTAAAATAAACTCCTGTATTTGATTCTAATAATTTTTCTAATGTATAATAGGTATAAAAAATATCATAAATAACTTTTAATTAGTAAGATTAATAATAAAATCTTAGTGATATTTAATAAAATTAAAATATTTAATAAATTATAGAATAAAAATAATCAATTAATTGGTAACAATAAAACTTAAATTAGAATTAAAATGATTATCCTGAAATTCAATAAAAAATTTAAACATAAAGATTTGCAGGTTTAACTTCACCTCAATCAAATTATTTAAATCCAAACAATCAAAACTTAATTATTCCTTAGAAAAATTAAAATATAGAATATTTGATAACTAAACAAGCTTCAGTTACTTCTGAACTTAATTTAATTCAATAATAACTAAATTAAGCTTTGCATCAACCAAATTAATAAAATTACGAAGTTAAATAAAAATATTATGGTTCTTATGATATTATTTCAATATTAAATTAGCATTCTTAAACTTTAACATAAGTAGTTTAAATGTTATCAACAATTGGAAATTTTTAGTTTTCTTTGATGGAAAGATTAAATCTGGTTTATAATTCAGTCAGCAAAAGTTGAGCAATAATATACATATACATATATTTAATTATTAATTATAATACAACATAGTGTGATTAAGATTAATTGAAGACTAATTTGATTTATTTATGAAAGTTTTTTTATTAAGATAATATTTATATATTTATTTTGAGAAGATTAATTATATATTAAGATTAGAAAGTTATTAGACTTAATTTACACTTATTCTTTAAAGTGAAATATATAGAAAATGAAATTATCATACTGGAATAAGATTCTTCTTTTCTATAATATATATGTTAAGCAATTTAATGTATGATATTTATATGTGTACGTCATGATCAATGAATATTTTTATTTCCTTTTCTTTTGGCTAATCTTGTTTCAAGACTCTTATTCTTTTTAATGGAAGGATCATTCTTAATAGCAAATCTTCTATTTTTGGCGAATCTTTAATTGCACTTTGATTAAAATTAACAATTACTCCTTTTAATGTGCTATATCTTTGATTTGGAAGCTTTTTAATACCATTTTTGTGATGTTTACGGGCATTATGATGAGAGGTAGCATTCTTAGACTTAGCCATTGATAATTTATTATTATTTAAAATATTTATTTAGATATTTCAATATTTTTAAATTCCTAAATTTTTTGTATACACCTATTACTCTATCCATTAAGCATCCTTATATGCTTGATTTTTTTGTTCTATTGTTCTCTCTAATTCTTTGTAAAGACTTTATATTCTCTTAGTTTTGAAATCATTTGGTTCTGTTTTCATAATATTTATTTTTTCTTATTTCTTTTTATTTTAAATTGGTTTCTAAATTAGAATTTATTAAGAATTATCAATATTTTATTATGTTTATTATTATGGAATATTTGAATCTACTTTCAATAAGTGTTATTTGCACTAAAAAATCAATAAAATTATAAAATACTTATCGATCATCTTCCCATAATAAATGTTTTTTGACTCCTTCAATTTTTTTAAGTTATTTAATTACATTTTGTATTTCATTTTTAAGTTATTATTCTACATCTGGTTCATCATTATTAATTTTTTAAGCAATTAAAGTCAAATTAGGAGAATCTTAAGATTTAACATGAATTTCTTTTTTAATTTATTATCTAGGAGAAATAACTGGTGGTGGAGACTTAATTTATTTTGTTATATTTTAAGAATTTGATAAATCTTTATCTTTTTAACAACTTTTAGAATTACTAATTGATTAATTCATAGGTTGAAAACTCTTTGCACTTCCATTTTCTTAGAAATTTTGGCATTCATTAGTTAAATTAAGTGATTCTTATTGATTTGATTAGATTGGAGATTTATATAAAGAAGAAAACTTTTTTAATGTATGATATCTAGATGAGGATGGACTTATTGATATTTTAGGATTACTTGATATATTTTTAGAAAATTAATTGAAATCTTTAAATCGATTTAACATTTTTAAAGGTGTTTGATTTGTAGTAGATTAAATTTATTATTTATCTTCTAATTAAATTTATGTACGTTCATCCAATATTTCTTCTGAATCTTCTTAATTAAAATTACTACTTAATTTTGCTAACATATAAGTTTTTAATTGATCTTTGTTATTTTTTTGTGGAGTTCTTTATTGTAATTCATAGGTTTTATTAATTTTTAAGATTTTATGGAATTTATCATAATAATCAATGACGAATTTTAGAATTTATTATAGTTTTTCTGTTACAGTTTATGGATCATCTATATTAACATTTTGAGTATAATATTTCATTGCTTCTTTGATATTAGTTACATTTATTTTCTTTTTGAGAGTATTTTATTAGATATTTATGAGTATTTAATAAATTGATTCATAATTCTTACAAAATAAACTTTAACTTGGTACCCATTCCCTTATTTATAAGAACAAATAATCTGTTGATATGGCTTTATCTAGACCTGCTACAATACAAAGTAAACCACATATACAATTATATAGTTATTAAGTTGGTTTAAGTATAAAGAAGAAATCCTAAAAGTAATTGAATATTATTACTTATATTTCTTTGTTTTGTATTGAATTTAGAGTAACGATGATATTTTAATGTAGTAATTCTGTATCTTGAATAAGCTTTTAGTAATCAGAAGTTTAGATTGAATTCTATGTAATCTAAAGTTTTGTTCTTTCTATGAGTTCTTACATATATAAATTATATTATCATATTTAATAAAATCAACTAACTTGTATTCCTACTTTACACTCTTTTTTTCCTTAATTAATTAATTCAAATGGTTTTATTATATTACATGGTTATTTTAAAGGTATTTCATTAATACTGTGTTCTGTTTTACAAATTAATTTTCCCTCCCCTAATCCTAAGATCTCTTAATTAGTAACTCATACCACTTAGAAATTGTGTCTAAGTTCGAATTTTAATGATGTTTTAGCAGGTAATATAACTTTGAAACTTACACGACCATTTTATTTCTTTACCAATTCAAAATTTGAACTCTATATTTCATATGCATTTTCAAAATAAGGAGATAATATAGACTATTTTATACTAGATAATGGCCATTGTGGTAATGTAGGTTCATCAAATTAATATGGTTCTAATTATTTCATAAGAGAATTGAATATGCCATGATTTGGACTATACATATTATTTATAAATATAATATAAATATTTTGATCTATTCAATAATTATATTCATAAATAGAAATATATAGTGTTTAAATCAATAATTTTGATTTCTTGGATATCTTTTCTTTAATTCTTCATAATCTATTTAGTAATTGTTTTCAATATGATATTTATTATAAACAGATTCAATAAATGACTTTTATTTCTATTCTCTTTCTCTAATCTTTTCTAATCTACTAAGTTCCTTCACTTCTACATTTCTTAAATGTTTCCCTTCTTTTGGAGGTTAACCAAGATAAATATCTAAATTGAGTGATTACTCATAAATCAATAGTTATTAAAAGAACTCTATTTAAATTCAAATAATACAATGTCTAACTTATGCAAAAGGATTCTAAATTTTTACAATTTCCCAAGCTCTCTCAACTGTAAACCCATTTTTTTATAACATATATGCAATTACAAATACTGGACTTATTGTAACACAATCTTAACAATGTATTAAAACATTTCCATAAGAGATTCCATTTTCAATAAACATGTAGGAATCATAAAAAGCTTTAAATAAATCACCACAATTTTCTATATCAATAGGAATAACCTTATGAAATAAGATTTATTCGCTTCCTTAGAATTTAACTGAGCATTTCTATTATACAGTCAATACACATTTAATATTATATCGAAGATGTAATTTAGTATCTGTTGCAGCATATATATTGCCAATGTAGATTCCACTTCTTCCTTCTTTTGGTAATATGATTGCATGAATGTTATCATCAGGATAAGTATCCCAATAAGTTGAACCATAAAATTTCTGTTATTCAAGTAAGGATAACATTATTTTATAAAATTTATGAATAATAATCATTATTATCGTCCAACATTAACAGGTAATAAGAATAGAAGAAGAGTCCAAGAAACTAATTTTGCTGCTATATTAAAAATGCACTCAAACAAAAATGCTAATTTAAAAAGTTCTTTGCTCTTTCATAGTAACTATAACAAAATAGCTAAATATATTAGATCCTAAAGATATTGATACATAGTTTAATTTAATTAATAGATCAATTGATGTACCTCGTTTAAAAGACAGATCAGCTTCAAAATAAAGGGTCAAAACTGAAATAGTTAAACCAAATATAGATGGTCAATTTTAAAATCAAAAAATTGATTATACTACAGCATATTTTCCAAGATTGAAAGAACGTATAGCTTAATCATAAAAAAAAATATTTTAACAAGTAATTAAAAATATAAATAGAAAGCCCAAAATGATGAAATTGAAGATTCTCCAATACAAGATTTACAGAAGTCACTTGATTACTCAAATTAAGCATATAAGATAAGAAATCTTACTCCAATATAATAAAGAACTTTAGATATACCAAAATTTCAAAGTAAATCAGATCATTTGAATTAAGAAGAAATTATGCAATTCTCTTTTGGACTTCAATATAATAGGTAGAGTATTGAGAAATAAAAACCAAGATTTCCAAAAGATATTTTTCTTGGGGATGTTAGAAAAGTAAAAAGAATTTTTTAATAATAATGAATTATGTAAAATCTTAATAATCATTCATTATATTTGTATAATATTCTTTACTTGTAAAGTATCAGCATTTATTTGTATAAATTCAATTTTTTTTTCTTCTGAATTAAATAAATAAATCTATTATTTAAAGATCTAAAAAATGATATATAAATATTTTACTATTGGCTATGTGCAGTTTACATTTAATATTTTTTAAATATTATTATAATTATTTTTTTATACTGTTTTTAAGAGGATGTTGATCAACTAAGAACCACATTCATTACCAAATTGATTTTATCCACCCATTACTAATATTTCTTAATTAGAAATTGGTAAAGCATAACCAAGTAATTGAGGAACATAGGACTAATTAATATGAGTAATAAATACTAATTAATTAATCAATTCGAAAGATTCAACAAATTTCATAAGTATGGAATCATATATCTCAATTAATCCATTTGCAACATATTAATTCATCATTCCACCAATTAAATAAATTTTATGATCTAATAGACAACATTATCCTTATATTCTTGGATATTTCATTGATTCAATCTATTCCCATTTATCATATTCTATTGAATATCTACATAAAATTATAGTATACATGAATCCTTTTTTGCTGCCTAATTATAAATTCTCCAATTACACATAACCACCCCAATAATATATTGATTTACCATATTTAAGTGCTTATCCTCCATAAGATTTATATGGTAAATCTTATAATTTTTATAATTTATTATTGACTTTATCATATTTATTAAATAAATCAGTTATTATTTTTGATGAAGTCTCAGAATCTTGAAATACTTAACCTATAAAATATAAATATTAATTTGTATTAATGATTGTAACATAATCTAATTTAGATTAATTTTAAGAAAGTATTAACTATTATTCTAATACTTTATCTATTTCATCTATATTAGATGAATAAAGTATATTATTTCTAAATGAATAAATAGTATTTTGTATTTCTTATAATTTAAATTTATTAGCTTTATTTTTTAAAGTTACTAAATTCTTTTTTTATTATTTGAATCCACTAAAGTAATTAGGAATAATTTTAAATTCATCTTAAAATAAAAATATATAAAATACCTTTAAATTTCAAAGATATCAATTTTTATAATGAATCTTTAATATCATACAATGATTTATTATTAATTTAGAGAGTAATATCTTTAGGTAAGTTATTCTTAATTAAATTAAATTCTTCATTTATAATATTTTATCTATTAAATACTTCTTATAATTAAGATTCATCATAATTATGTAATTCATTTCTCAGATTAAATATTAATCTTTTAAGTGGCTACAATGATATTTATAATAAATCATCTGTAATAACTTAATATTATTAGATTAGATTAATGAAATATTTATCAATCACCTATGAAATAACTTTTTTTATTGATTTGATCTTTTAGATTGATTTTTAATAAGTTGTTGAATCAAAGATTTTCAAATTGTTAATTTATACATTTAATTATTCTAAGTCTTTATCAACTTAAGCTATCTTTGGACATCTATGTGGAGTTAATATAAGATTGAGTTATTCTATCAATAATTATTTTTAATCTTCCTCTTATTAACTCTCAAGATTTAATTCTATTTTTTGCTTCTTCTATGTAAAAATGAGATCTGAATCATAATTAGAATGAAATGATATTTATTTTTCATCAAGACTTAAATCTTCTGATAAGAAACTGGCATCATTGAAACTCGAATTATTTTAATTATTCATTTTAATTAATGTATCAATGAATAGTAACTACACTACCAGACTCCATTGGATTATTAACTTAAGACAAATTCTCTGGAATTTATGACTCCTCTTAACGAATTAAACTTTCATCAACAGATTTACTTCCTCTTTTTTGATTCTCAATACTATCTTATTGTTCTTTTGCAGTAGTTCCAAAAGGATTAGGATTTTACACATTAGCCCAAGAATGTAACATACCTTAATTATGTTATGATGCTCCAAATTAACTAGTTCCCAATTTTTCTAATTGTTATCCTTGTTTCTCACTTTCATTAACTTAAATAAACATACATTCCAAAATTTGGAGCCTAAGAATTACTTTGACTAGCTTCCATTGGATTAACAACTGAACTTAGACTTTTTACTGAATGTCTAACACCTTATTTCAATGGTTATTAATTTTAGATGCCTGCACTATCTAATTTAATTAATTTAATATGATTACACATATTATTATGTTAATTATTCTTTTCAATAAGTTCTTAATATTTAATAGCTTCTTTAAAATAACGCACCTCTTAATAAATCACAAATAAGAATGATATGAAGTTAATTGGTGCAACATATTTCTAAAATTAAAATATGAAACTCAAACACTAACATTCTTCTTCAATTATACCATTTGTCTTTATAAAAACCAAAACATATTAAACAATATGAACTAAAAATAACACTGTCAAAAGCAAACTAATTTTTATATAAATACAATTACTCAGCAAAGTTTCTTAATTCTTTTTAAGATCTATTTTAATTAAACAGAATCAAAGTGAATATTAGATTAAAAATAGAAGTTAGAACATTTGTTAGTAAAAGTGATAAAAGAACCATTGAGTATTTGTTTTAGCATTCATAATTGTCTCCATGAGATAAAATCATCATACCAATTATACATGAAGTAAAACAATTAACTGATCTATTCGTTAATTCAAGTGGAAATATTTTGATTATTAATATTTCAATTTCCTATCATTTATAATATTAATTAACATACTTTCCCTAACAATATCATGATATATGTTTTTATATACATTTAAAGTAAATGATCTTACTCTTTTTTTTAAATAAAGTAATTGAGTGAATATACAAGTAGAGTAATAAACATAAATACATTCATTGTATATATTAGGAAATATTCCACTTTAGGAAATTCTCTCTTGAAACAAAGTAAAAATATTGCTGCAACACAATTAAATAAAAACATTATGATTGTTAAATACAAGGTAATTGACATAAAAAATGTATCGTTTTCTTAAACTCTTAAAAGTGCATTCATTATGAAAATTATAAATGCTTATTTAGTATGTTATCCAAATATATTAACTAGTTTGTTTTATTGTATTTTTTATTCCTCATTTAGATTTATCATCTCTTTAACTTAAATTAAAATAACTATAATTTCTTATAAACAATCAATAATTTAAAATAGATATCACATTGTCTATACTCTTTTTATTATTATATATATATAGTTATAAATATTTATCAACATAACAATAGTTATTATATTATTTAATTAAATCAACAATTCATTGATAATTATCTTGTTTGTACATCATACCCTCTACATAAAGGACATTTATTATTTATATCTAACAATCCAACACATGTTGAATGAAGACGATGCTTATTTAAACAAGTAATTATTATAATTTCATCTTAATCTACCAATTTATTCATACATATTGCACATTCATTATTATTCTCTATAATATAGAATAAACAATAAGATTACCTTCATTAGTTTCTTATAAACTTAATGTAGAATCCTTGAACTAATCATTGATTTTCATTTTTTCTTTTCTTTTAATACAATAATTATTTAAACAGTCATAAAAATTAATAGGGAGTAATATAAAAAATAGAAATACTTTAATGTAAAAATTAAAATATTATATTATTCCAAGAAATACAACCTTTCATTTACTAATAATATTACCCAAAATAAATATATTCTGTAAAAGGTATATATTTCCAAGACCTAATTGGAATTAACGCAATGGAAATAGAATATCAACCCCCATAGTAATATAAATTAGAATAAAATAAAGCATCCTTTTCCTAATAAATATAGGAACTTTTCAGTTTATAAGATTATTTTCTTATATAAATAGAATATTAACTTTGATTTCTTTTGCAATAAGAACTTTTATTGATTATTCAATTCGCCCCTCTACCATATATCGTTATAACATTCCCTAATTCAATATTTCAACTTAATCTTTAATATAAGACTATTTTTCCTCGTAACTATAAGTTTCAGGAATTTTTATCAAGATTAATTGCCCAATTTTTTCAGCCACCTAAATACACAAGATTTCATTATCAATCTTCTTTAATAATTGATTGCAATAAATAAATTCAAATAGACTATGAATACCTAAATTTGAATAAAATAGATACATGATATATAAATCCAAATTTCCAAATATGCATCATCAAAAATTTTATTGTAATTCTTTTGTAGTATTTAATCCCTATAAAGAGTTACTTTTAAAATAATCTATTATAATTAATTGTTTATACTAAAGTTAATGCAGCTATAAATTTAAGAACTGTATGAATTGCTAATAACTAATGATGCTGTTATAAGAATTCTTTTCCAATTTAAAATAATACAGTTGGTTATTTATGATGATCCAAATTCTCTTTTATCATAAATTCATCTAATTATTTTAATCCTATTTTTACCATCATCTTAATTATGTTATTTAAGTAGATCTTATTGAATTTAATCTTGCATTTTTGAATTAATAATTAAATATGTCTTTATATAAATAATGTCAATAATAATAATAATTAGTAAATCTTTTATCAAAATTGATATAAAATCTTTAAGTATTTGTAAAGATTTAAAAGTTCTGAAAATTAATGATATAATAAATTAGTTTTTATGATTGTAAAATTTTGATGAATAAATTATATATATAAATATTTATTTGTTAAACATACTTATGGATTAAAGTTAATAATACTTAATTGAAGTTCTTGCTAGAAAAGTAACATTAGAATTATTGAATCCTCTTTAGAATAGGTAAAAGATTAAGTTTATTTAGAATCTTAAATTTGTAACAAGATTATACCAATATTGATACAGTAATCAGCAAACATACTTAAGCCATTTCAATTATTAATTAATAATAATAGTAAAGATAGTTGTAGGATTCAATGTACTTAAAAAACATTAATGAACTACATTAAACAATAAATTCTTTGGTATCACTTTAAAATAATTAAGGAAGAAAAACAAACTTTAGCAATTTAAACTTAAAATTAAACATTTACTAATCTTATGGATAGAATAGAACATTACAGTCAATAATTGAATGAAAGATCAGAAAAACTAAAAGAGTTACAATAATAATATTAATAGTTGAAAGGAGATTAAGCTTTTGTTCATTAGACTTATATTACAAATATTGATAATATATAAAAGAGAGTTAATTAATTGATTGTTTCTTCAAGAGAGGAGACTGATGGGAATAGATTCTCTGTAGAAAAAATAGATTCTAAAATGTAAGATATGACAGAAAAATTAAATAAAATATCAGAAAAGGCTGATTAATATTAATAAACTTTTTAGTAATAAAAAGATCTAAGTATTTAAGTATAAGAAATGGTTGAATAATTAGAATTATTTAAAGATTAAACTATACATAAAGAGGATTATGAAAAATCTGTTAAATAATAGAATGATCAGATAAAAAGTGAATTAAATACTATTTAATTTAAATACCAATAAATATTGAGTTAAAATAATAGAAATATAACATAAATGTAATAATAAATTGATAGCTTTTAATATTAAAGGGAGGATAATTAAAGATAATTTTAAACTTGTTTTGGATAAATTAGAGATTTAAGAGTAGAATTTGAAGCTAAAAATTAAGAAGTATTAAAATCTATAAATAATTTAAAATCATAATTTGAATAAAGATATGAGGATTGGAGTGAAACATTTCATATTGTTTAAAAAGCAGTTGAATAATTTAAATTTGATTTTGCTAGTATGAAGTAGAATTATAAAAAGAATCTATTGAAATATGAAGAAATATTTGAATAATATAAAGAAAAATGTGATAATGATATTATGTCAATGTTAAATAGAAACACAAATATATAAAAATAATATTTAGATGAATAAATATAAATAATGGATAATCATTTTATGGAAGAATTATAATCTTTATAAAATTAATTAGTTCCTAATATTATATAAAATATTACATCACTTGATAATGAAGGAAAATAAAATTAATTAAATTAAAAATATATCAAATAAGATGTTGATGATATTTAATCTAAATAAAATAAACTTTAAGTTCCATAAAATTACAATCCTTAAAGAAAAAGTAAAGTTCTTAAAGATAAAATAGAAACTGAATCACCATTAGGAATTAATATAACTAGTGTTTATGTTTCAGCTAATAATAAATCAATTAGATCAAATAGTAGAGTTGATGGTTAAATTGAATATTAATCATATCAAAAGAAGTAATCAGTATCAAAAGTTATTGATAATTTAGAATTAATAGAAGTAAAATAATAGATAGAAAAAGTACTTGAATCTTAAAAAAATTGTTAAATTCAATATTAATAATTAGATAAAGATTTCAAATAATTAAATGATAAAGTTAAAAAATAACATGAAAGATTAGAATTCTTTTTCTTATAAACTAAAACTTAATTAAATAAATACAATTCTAAAATTGATACTATTTAAAATGATACTAAATAAGTATAACCAGATAAAGAATTTGTAGATTTAAATTATATTAAAAGAGATATTGAATCATTATAAGGTTAAATTACTAAAATGAAATCTGATATTTAAAATGATGCTACATTTGCATAATAATAAATTAAAAATCTTTAAAAAATTAGAGATTAAATTTTACCAAAGTAATTAGAATAATAAACTAAAATGGATTAATTAGATGAATGTTAGAAATTGATGATTATTTTATAACTATAAAATGAATTAGTATAAATTAGTCATGAAGATGGTTTATATAGAGTAGATTAAAATCTTAATAATTTACATTTTGAATTTCAACCAGGATTAAAAGATGAAAATACTCATATTACATATAGATAATAAAGAATATCTAAAGTAGATTTTATATTGAATTAAATATTACCAATAAAAAAGATTAGTTTATCTACTAGCAGAATAGATTAATCTTTAAATTTATCATAATCATAAACACTAAGAAAATAATAAACAAATAGAAATTTAAATAAAAATAGTAAAACAAATAATTCTGTAATAGTAGGTAAGAATTCTAAATTAAATGAATCAACTAGATTAACCATGAGAAATACAATGACTGTAGAAATGAGTCAAAAATATATGAATAGAAGTTAAAGATAAAAAGATACATTTAATTAAGCTAGAATATCATTATCAAATTAGAAATTAAACTATACTTTAACTGATGAAACAATTTGATCTATTATTTAAAAAGATGTTTCTAATTATATATAATAAATTAAATACTTAATATAATTAATGATAATTTTCATTTTATTCACCACTATACTATGCTATAGACCAATTCCTTAGAATTAGTATATAATTTTGTCAACTTCCAAATTTTGGTTCAATTATAGACAAGCCATAAACTCTCTATTAATCTATTAATAATTAAAAGATTGGAATATAAATGATGATCAAATTTCATTAATGATTCCTGAAGATACAGCTTGTAATAGAAAGAATAATGTCCCTGGAGTGGCTTGTGCATATGATGGATAAAGAGAGCCAAATTTACATAAAAATGTAAATTGGGACTTTAAAAGAAATGATGTTAATATTAAATATTGGATAGATGTTATGCGTAATAAATATAATAGATATGTAAATTAAATCATAATATATTAAGACTCCTTAATCAAGAAGATTAACATTATCAAAAGAATAAAAACTATTAATGTTTATGAATGGACATGGTGGAGATGGATATACAAAAATGTAGGATACAACTTATTTATTGGATTTTGAAATGGAAAAAATAACTAAAGAAATGGAATTTTTAGAAATTTATTAAGAAGCATTTATGATATCTGATTCATGTGGGGCAATCACTTTATTTGAAACAGTGAAAGCCAAAAATATGATATTATTAGGATCAAGTTCATTGGGAGAAAAAGCATATTCTCATGGTAGATGTTCAATTTTATCTATTCCTAAAACAGATAAATTTTCATTAACTACTCATTATTGGTTAAAAAATGAATTAGATAAAAAACCAAATTTAACATTACTTGATTAAATGAAAAAATATGATTATGCATATCATAAAGCCAATTCAAAATTGATTATTAATATAGAAAATAAAGAAGCTAAAGATGTAAAAATTAAAATATATAAATTATTTAGATTAAAGCAGCTGATTATTGGAAACCAAAACAACCAATTTTAAATTAGATTATTTTAAAAAATGATTAAGATATTTTGGCTTAATATGAGTTTTTAGAGTTAATGAAATCATGATTTTGGATAATCATTTTTTATTATTTTATGTGCAATTATATTTTCATTCACCTTTTTCGAATTTCTTAAGTTCTTCTGGAGTTAATTCTCTTTTTAGACCATATAATTTATGTCCTTCCTTTATACCTCTCTTAAACCATGTTTATGTCACATTATTAGCTATTAAACCTTTTTCATATGCTTAATCAAGTGATACTTAATCAGATGGTTTTTCCTTTTTATTCTTAAATTATGAATACTTTCATGCTATTTTATATTTTGACTTCATCTACAACAGCTTTAAAAGAAAATGGTTCATTAATAGCAAGATTAGCTAAAATTTTTCTATCTAATTATATATTAGAATGATTTAATCCAAAAATAAATTGACTATAACTTATTCTATGTTCTCTCACTCCAGCATTAATAGCTTAAATCCACTCACGTCCTATTCATGATAATAGACTTACTTAAAATTCTTGGTCTAAGTCTTCTACTCACATAAGCATATTGCAAGGATTTCTATACTCTAATCATCATAATTTTAGAAGTATTTCTGGCACGTCCTTAGAAGCCCTTGGCCAATTCTAAATACTTTTTTAAACTCCAATTAGCCATAATTAATTAAATATATAATCTATAAATTTATGTATTTGTATATTATTTTTGTTATTTGGATCATCAATTACTTATATATATATATATGTTAATATCTTAAATATTATAATTGAGTGTAAGTTATAATGTTAGAAAATAATGAAAAATAAGCTATTGAATGATTAATTCTTAACAATATTAATTTAGATTATTATTTTATAAATGGATTAGAGATAAGAAAATTATAAAGAAGTTATAATAGATTGGATGTAAGAGAAACATAAATTATATATAGTTATAACTTGAAATACATTTTAAATGCATATTTAAATAACAAAAACGTCCCTTCAGGTCATCCAATTTATATTTTAGGACATCGTATTGATATTGATAATAATGATATTGATGTAAATTATATTATAACATTAGGATCGTATCAATAAAATAAAGTAGTTAGTTTAAGATACCATTTGGATAACATATAGAAGAAATTTCCCACCTTTATATTGTAATTTAAGTGATTATTATTTAAGAATCAAATTATATCTCAGATACCGGTTGGGGATGTATGCTTAGAGTAGGATAAATGGCTATGGCTTAAATGCTTAAGAAACATCTAAAAAATCATGGTGATAAAAGAGATGAAGATTATGATAACATTTTATTAGCCTTTGCTGATAATGATTCATAAGAATATAAGGAATTTATTGAATTCTCAAATAAAAATGATAAATCAAAAGTCCATAATTTTATTTGTCCATTTAGCATTTAAAAAATAGCTTATTTAGCTAAAAAAGAATTCAATCTAGATCCAGGTGAATGGTATAAACCTAATTATATACTATTTCTACTTGAAGAATTGCACAATACTATACCTATTAGAGGTTAATATATTCATTAATTAAATTTAGCATCTGAGAATCTGAAATTGTGTGTATTTAATGATTCTTGTCTCTTTCTTGATTAATTGATGAATAGAATGTTTGAAATTAAATTTGAAACTGATAAAGATCTAGAAGAACAATTAGAAAAAACTTAATTCAAAAGCAAAAATAGTTTAGCAATATTTGTCTTAACTAGAATTGGTTTAGATGAACCTAATTAAAAATATCTAAAAGTTTTAGATGAATTAATGGAATTACCATATTTCTAAGGTATTGTTGGAGGTACACCAAAAAGAGCATTTTATATACTTGGAAGAATTAATGATCATTATATTTATTTAGATCCACATTATGTATAGGAAGCTGAAAACAAAGATTAAATTATTGAAAATAAAATGTTCAATCGAACTTCTTATAGTTGCAAATATATTCACTTATTAAATTAAAAGCATGTAGATACATCTATGGGATTATCATTTTATATTCGTAATAAAAGTGAATTACTACAATTTTGGAGAGATGTAAATTATTTTAATATTATTTAGATGAAACAAATAAAACAAAAATCAGAAGATTTCTTTGTTTTCCTCTCAGATTTTACACCTGAATATGTTGATTATAGTAATTAACTAGAGGAAAGTAATAACAAACTTAATGATGATGATGTTGTATTTTTATAATGAAATACAACTACCTTTAATTTTAAATATTTTTATACAATCTATTCTATCAAATTGATCACTTTATAGACAATTTAGTGATATTTGATGATTTAATTTAAGAAAGCAATTTAAAACTTAATTTAAATCTTGTAATATATTAATATTAAAAATAAATAAATAATGAGAGAAAAGTGGCGAAAGAAGAGAATGCGAAGACTTAAGAGAAAGAGACGTAAGGCACGTAAGTGATTTACATTATTTGCACATATTCTAGATATATATATTCATTTTATATTTCAACCTCATTTTCCATTTCCTCTTCTAGTTGTTATTATTTATAGCTTCTTGTATAAGCTTAATATGTTTGAACATTCATCTATAGATGTATGTAATATTCATATTTGATTTGAATATATTTAAGGCAAATAAGAGTTAGATCATTAGAATTAGTCAATTTGTAAAAATATTGTCAAAATATTATAAATGATTGCTAAACTCATAAAATTATAGCATTTAAATAAATAATGGCTATTTAAACAGTTGAATGTTATTATATTTGCAATTATACATATTTTCCAGATTATTCATTCAATTAATAAAGTAAATCATTATTGAAAGATATAAAGGAAGTCTAAATAAATTATTAATTGATGGTTTCTAAGTAGAGTTACTTATCAGCTTATGAGTTTGCTACCATACATTTATCAATAATATTTTATTTTAACATTTATTTGTTAATTAATAATCGTTTAATGACTTTTAATAAAATATATTATATATGCCTTGGTAGAATATTAAATATTAAGATAATATCAAAAATAATATGTCTTATAGTTTGTAATGATTTCAATTATTGTATGAAATAACAAGATAAAATTATTAATAACAATTTAAGGTTTGATTCAAAAAATATATTAATATATTTTTGATATATAATGATGTAAAACAATATTCTTATTTAATTGAATTGTTTTAAGATGAAAATATTAAATGAGGAATTTTATAGTAATTTATAATAATAAATTTTGATAGTTTTTTAAGAAATATGTCGAACAATGAATTAACAAAATAAGTTTAAAATTATGTTTTAGGTATAATTATAATAATTTTAGAGATCGGACACTTGGAAAAGGAACTTTTGGTAAAGTAAAATTAGGTTATCATACAATTTGTGATGAATATGTAAAATTGAATTAGAATTTGAGGTAGCTGTAAAGATTTTGGAGAAAAGGAAAATTGAAAATGATGCTGATTTTATAAGAGTATAAAGGGAAATTGCTATATTGCATAAAGTAGAACATTAAAATGTAATCAAACTCTATGAGGTATTTATGAAATATATTAGTAGATAATAGAATCAGAAACAAATTTATATTTAGTAATGGAATATGCAAAAGGAGGAGAATTATTCGATTATATAGTGAAGAAGAATCAGTAAAGTTAAATGATTAATCAGGTTATCCGAATTAGCAGCCACTAAATATTTTATTCAGTTGATCGATGCAGTGGAATATCTACATTAATAGAAGATTGTCCATAGAGATTTAAAACCTGAGAATTTATTATTGGATGAATAAAGGAATTTAAAGGTGGCTGATTTTGGATTGAGTAATATTTACAAAGATAACGATTAAGTTAAAACTGCATGTGGATCTCCTTGTTATGCTGCACCTGAAATGTTATGTATTAAGATTTATATAAGTAGATGGTAAAATATATGGAGGATAAAAAAGTGATATTTGGAGTTGTGGTATCATTTTATATGCTATGCTTTGTGGTTACTTACCATTTGAACATGATAATACAAAGAAATTATATGAGATGATCAAATATGAAGATTATGAAAAACCAAAAAACATATCATCTATAGCATAAGATCTATTAAAATAATTATTGACAAAAGATCCTTCTTTGAGAATAGGGTTCAATGAAATTAAACAGCATCCATTCTATAAGAAAATGATTATCTAACCATAGTAAGGATTATTAAACAAGGATCAAGTAGTTTTCAAGAAATTATCAGAATTGGGTTATGACGTCAGTAACTTAATAGAACAGATTAAAAAAAAGAAACACAATTCTTAAACTGCTGCTTATTGGTTAATTATGAAAAAAATTTCATCTAATTAATAACCTATTGGAAAATAGACTACCCAATAATCTTAGTAAACTTAATAATAAATAAAATAAAATTAAATTTAATAATAAATTAAATAATTACAAAGTTTTACAGGAGGATAAAATAGTAAAGAAAAAATATAATAGTAAAGATAATTGAGATATTCTGTGCCTCATAATAAATATAGAATTGATTATTCATAATTTTAAGATGTAGATACTGGAATCCAAAATAAACTAAATAATATCTAAAAGTTAAGAAAATAAACTACTGGCAATATTATTGATTATGTGAGATAAAAAACTTACTCAGTATAGGAAAAAAAATATTGCCATACTCCAGAATAGGTTGATTTAGTTATAAAATAACCTAGTAAGAAAATACAATTACTTATGTAAAGAAAAAAGAATCCTACAGAATAAATAGAGAAGTTAGAGCAAACAGATAATGGATTAAAGGAGAAAATTAAAGATTAAGCAAAAAAATCAAGGCATAAAACTTAACCTCTAAAAAAAATAAATGAAAAAATGGAGAGATATTCTAATAATTATCCTCAATAATTAATAAAATAAAACAGTCCATAGGATAGTTTTATTTCTAAATATTATAATCGATTTATTAGAGTTAGACATAGCAGCAACCATGATAATACTTTAAAGCAAATTAAATAACTTACTCATAATTTTATGTGAAAAATAAATTGATATTTTTTTTGTTTATTTAAATTATAACATTTATAATTAATAATCAACAGTAAAAAAATAATTTCAAATTATTACAAATGCCTCCTAAAGTAACACCAAAATCTAATACCATTAAATATAGGCAGAACAATTAAAAACTAAAAGGATAAGGAAGAAATATAGACTATAAAAAGTTCCCTTAGCATACAAATAAATCTAAATTAATTTCTAATGGAGATATTAGAAGATTAGCTAGAAGAGGAGGAGTCAAAAGAATTAGTTCAGATGTCTATGAACTGTCTAAATTATATATGAAATTGTACATTTCTAATATTCTTCGTGATTCTATGATATATGCTAATTATTCAGGTAGAGCTACCATTTTGGCAGATGATATTTGCAGAGCTGCTAAAAGAGCTGGATAAACAGCTATTGGATTTACTCATTGAAACTTTTGTTTATATATTTGAATTTTAGAAATTTCATTAATAAATGAATTTTATAAAGTCAATTTTCTCAAAACCATCATTAACCATATAACAATAGAAACCAAAGAATTAGAATTCTGATTTTTCAATACTTGATCCACAATTTACATAAGTAAGATTAAGGGATGCAAAATTATTAATAAAAGATATGAAGAAATTAGAATAAGTTGTTAATTATCAACCTGAATCAATTAATGAACAATTAAAAAAATGTTATGCTTTACATATTATTTTGAGCAGTGATTAATATTAAGCTATAGACAAAGTAGTGATGTGTTGTGAAAAAAATCATGTAAATAATATAATAAAATAGAGATCAAACCAGTTGTATAAAATACATAAGCTAAAACAGCAGTTACTACTAATATTAATTAAACTTGTTAAATTATGTCAGATTAATAAATGATTGCTACATAATTTTAGAATTCTATGTACCTTAATGTATCTGATGTAATCAATAATTTATATTTATTTAGTAATTATAACATTATGAGCAAATTCATTAAAATGAATCTGAATTTATGAACATCTATTTCAATTACATATAAAGAGTTACTCAAAATTCAGATGTCTATAATTCTTGTAAATTCCATTAATACCCATATTAAGATGAAACTTTTAATAGAAAATTGTAATTTGTTTGGCTTTTTAAAATAATAAATATGCTTAATTTTAAATTTGGTTTTTTACCATATCTACAATTCTCATTTAATCATAAAACATAGAATTCATTCATTATCAGAGATATTGCCTATTTAATCTATAAAGATTGTTTATTGGAATATGGTTTTTTAAGAAATGAAATCACAGATATGATTGAATCATATTCATAATTTTAGGTTAGAGATTGTAAATCTAATATAATTTATTTTAGCTCTACAATTTTATGAATTAATAGTGATCATGCTTGAAATTAATAAAAAAATGAAAATATTCTATGAAATGAGATAATAATTTGCATTAAATTCTTCATCTGTAAGAGATGTTAAATGGTTTGTTATTGAAAAAAAACAATTAATTGAAATAGAAAATTTTATTTCCAAAGTTAAATTGCTAAACACTGCTTAATTCAAAAAAAGTTTAATGGTGCCAACTTAAAAAAATGTTATGGAGAATCTACAAAAAGTTATGATGGATCCATCACTAATGGAAAATTCATTTCTTAAAGTATTTATAATTTATTATTTTATAGGAACCAACAACTGCTAAAAATATTAAAAAAATAAATGAGCTCCTTTATTCCCCCTTAAATTCTAAATAAATCAAAATATCAAATCATTCGAGATAATTATCAAAAAATTGATTAATTTTATCTCAAAACTATTATATCCATATGATTTCAAAAGCATATATATATATATATATATCAAAAGTTTTAAGTAGATTAAATTTATCTTAGGAACTTCATTTCATATTTATCATTATTCTTATACTTTATAAAATCTAAATAAATAATAATAAATGTAGATTTATTAAGATTATAATTTTATTATTATTTAAGAGTTCTGCTTGATGAATTGTCAATCAATAATTCTTATTTAATTAACCTATTTTATGAATGTCTAAGACATTAATCAGATTTTTTATATATTAACAGATAATTTGATTGTTTTATAGTTTTTCAATATATTAATCATCTTCCAGACCAAGAGGCAACTTATTTCTTGAACATGATGATGACTTCTTACAAGATGGCATTTTCTTCATCTCTTTTAGCTTTAGCTTCTTCATAATCAGCTCTCTTATTTTCCAAATCAGATTAGGCTTAATCAAGAGCATCTTATGATTCTTATAGGATAATCTTTGATTTTGCTTATTAAGCTAAGGCAGCTTGAATTTACTAAATGATAAATAAAATTAAAATACAGTTGCAAGTCTGTCAGCATAAACTTATTTTCTTTCATATTCAACTTTAAGGTTTGCAATTTCAGCTTCACTCAAAGAGACCCATCCTGCTAATTCCCATGAGGCATTAATTTCATTGACTTCCAAAGCCTCAAGAGAAGCTTAGAGATTTGCTTCAAGGGATTCCAAAACTGCCAAGACTCTTTCAGCTAATGTGGCACCTCTACTAACCTAAAGAATAGAATTAGGATTAATACAGATCCATCTTCTTATTTATTAGCTAAACTAAGGAAAGATTTGACTTCTTATTCATTGAAAAGGTTGCTGTATGCTTTTAATTTTTCAGCAACACTTGTGGCTTTTTCTTAGACTAATTCAAATGAATCTCCATTAATAATGTAACCAGCAACATCTTATTTAAGAACTCTGACAACTTCAAGTGCTTCTCTATTTTATTTGATTGATCTAACAAAAAGTTAATTGCTTAAACACTATTCATCTAATAAGACTTAAATCTTTCTTTCAATTTCATCTTATCTTTATTCATTCCATGCCAAATAATTCTTTGTGTCTGAAAGTTCTTATTCAAATTAGACTCTGTTTTCAATTGATTATTAGAAAAGCTTTTAGTTCAAGGACTTGATTTTAGTGAATTGTTCAATAGTTCTAGAATTAGATCATGATATTTTACTATGCACCAATCCATTCATCTGTTTCATTCTTTTAATCAGCAGCAAATTGAGCATCCTTATTTGATTAAATGAGGTCATTCAATAAACCAAAGACTGTATCAATGGCATCCATAGCTTTTGTTCCTGTTTAAAGTAATGCCATAATTTAATCATGAGTTGAAGTTGCTGAGGCAATGCTCACCAATAAAAGGATTGCAATTGTAGCTTTCATCTCTAAAATAAATAATATTAATCAACCATCTCTCTAACTATGTTAAATAACAAATACTTTCAATTCATCTAATTTTCAAAAACGGGTATTCTAAAATTAATATAGATCAATCACTTATTTATAATATAATATTAAATACATACAAATTTTACATAATCATTGATCCAAATATCTGTTGAATAGAAAACACAAGAAAATAATATAATATTAAACATATCTATAATACATATATATCATTAGTTAAAATAATTCATAAGTTCCTTTCCAAAACATTCACATACTCTTTTATGTGCATAACCCAATTAATGAGATGATCTTTTTGCATAAATACTAACAATAATATACTAAATTCTTTTTAAGTCAATATTTGAATCAATAAATTAAGGATTATTTATAAATTCCCTATTAATTTATTATTCAATACTAAGAATCAATCTAATATAAGGAGTTCCAGGAATTATCAATTAAATTTTACCGAAATTAGAATATAATTCCTGATTCCTATACTCTGATTCAGCAGAACTTATTTCATAACGATATAATTTGTAATGTTAACAAAATTGAATTACTTTCTCAAAATTAAATCTTTCTATTCTTTGTTCAAACACAACTACATACTTTTAAATTCCATTATCTATTAATTTTTATATGCTCTTTAATGTAAGAGCAGATAATTATATTAACTTTAATTCATTATTACAAATAGTAAATCGAAAAACTTTACTATCAATAATTAATTTAATGGCTAACTTTTCATTCCATGAATCACTCTATTCAAATTAATGTTGATGACTTATTTCAAGATTCTGACCAATAAACATCTATTTGTTGACCAATTTAATATCTCTTTATAACAATTAACCACTATAGTAAGTTTTAATCTACATTTCCTCAATTACACAATTTTATAGACAATCTAATATAAATGTATGAACTCCAATAATCTTATTTCCAATATTATTTCTTTTTAATATTTTCTAATCTACTTCATGTCCACCATTATAGACTTTTACATTAAATTTAAATTTCAAAAGAATTTTATTCAATTGAATTTGTCCACTATCAATGAACTAGGTAATTTCATAACTTTGAGATCTCTTTATTAAAATAAGATCTTTTAAGATTTAATTATTAATTATAAGATGATCATCTTTTAAAAAATCAGTACTTGTATTATGACTATTAAATTGAGACATTTACTATTTAGTATGATTAATATTTGAGATTTAAGAAGTCAACATAAATTTAGATTATTATTAAACAGTTTAGTTTATTTATTATGATAAATCTAATTATAATGTAACAGATTGTAATTCGATATTTGTTTATAAATTTATATTTTGTTCATTCTATTTTATCTTTTTAATAACAACATTATTGTCTTTAGATTTTACAATAATTATCTATAATATTGTAATTATTATATTCAATATGAAATATATTGATAACAATATCAATACAATAAAGCCAAATTCATAATTTTCTTATTAAACTAAAACATAAGATGTGATAAGTAAACAGTATGATATTATGTTTGTTATATTTATTAACTTATTCTTTATATTTTTAGATTTTAATAACATTAAAAATTGTAATACTATCAATATTCCATTAATTCCTATTTCTAAATAGAATATTATCAAAAATTTATTTATCGCTATTGGAATTATACCCATCAAAAGCTCATTTAATATAAAAATAAAATAATGAATCAAATACATCCTCCTATTTTATTAATCAATAGTGATTTTTGTAAAATAATTCAAGAAATCCTTTTTAGATTCATTTCTTATTGCTATCAACGGTCTCATAATAAAGATAAGATAAAATAATAGTAGAATACCTCCAATTATACAAAAAATGATATTTAAAGGATCTTTTGATTAATTTTGAATAGTTTATGTTATCTACCCAACACTACCAAAGGATATTTCGAAAATACTCCCTTCCAAATAATAGATAGTTAGTTCTTGGAAGAATTTAGGCCATTTTTCTGTGAACAATTTAGGAATGCATAGTAGAAGTAAAAGTAATAGGACAAAAAGGGTAAAATCACAATCATGTAATAACATAGAAGTATAATTCGAATTTAAGTAATATTAATTTTCAACCTTGATATTTGAGTTAGTTCCAAAGAGATAATAATACTTACCATTAGTTTAATCTGTTTAATCATAAGGTATTTGAGTACCTTCTGTTCCAAATCTGAGATAAGCAAATAAGGCAACTCCACAAAAATAATATAAATTCATCATATATGGTTTGAACATGATAATCAATTTAAATGGTAAGAGGTTAGTAAGTAATACATTTGAAATCTCAAAATAAAAAAATATTGTACTATTCTAATAGATCTTATGACTATAAAGAATATTCCTATTTATTCAAGAGAATAAATAGTTTAATTGTAGTTATAGAGCGTTTGAGTCTAGTCTTAATAATTTTAAGGAATGTCTGATAGCATTTTTATTTTGAATTTATGTTAATATTTTTAAGTTTATAATTATATATTCATACTAAAAGTAATTATTATGTATTAAGATTATATAATGGTTGTTCATAAAATTTGAAAAAAATCAATTTCTTTTTGAATAATTAGTTCATTTTAAACAGTTTTGTAAATTTTATCCAAATTTTAAAAGTTATAAAGAAAAATTCTTTTTCTATTGAATAATTCTTAATTTAACTCCTTCAATGATAGTATTGGCATTATTTTTACAAATAATATCAAATAATTTTTATATATTTGATTTTTATTGCATAATTTTGAGATATTTAAAAGTAGTTAATTTTTTATGTTATTCTGTTATAATTGAGTTCAAAAATTGGTTAATAATTCTGAAAATCTTTTTAGAAAACTTTAAAAGTAGTTTAACCTTTTATAGATATAGAAAAGATAAAATATAATTCTTAATAATTACTTAATTAAAATTAATCATATAACTATTAGAAAAAGATTTCAGCTGATTTATTATTTCAATGTACAACCCAATAAGACATTTATTCATTCTTCTTATATTATTAGTAATCTTATTTTTTTCTAATTTAATAATTTTTTATCTTCAATAATCACCCTAAATACATTTATATTTGGTCTAATATTTATTAATCATGAAAAACATGCTAGATAGCATTTTATTATTGAATATAAATGTCTTTTTTGCCATTTGATTTTTTTCTAATCCTCAATTTCATTTTAAGAATTTCTTTGATAGGTTTAATATGAAAATTTATTTCCCTCATTAAAAATAAGCATAATTTTAAGTATCCTTTGCTACAAATTCTACCTGTTTCTATACTCAAAATATATTTCATCTTTTGAACATTTCTGGTGATATATATTTCTCTAAAATCCCTCTGTTACAATATTCAATTATTAGATATAAATTGTTTATTTTTTTAAATTTAACAATATTCTAACTTATATTTTTCTTATTCATGAAATTTCAAACATAACTATTTTCTAACTTTTCTCAATCTCTTTTTCATTCTATTTATATAATGCAATTTGTTTGATTGCAATAAAGAGATAGCTATTTTAAGTCTTAAATTAAATATAAATCTCCATAGGCATGTGAATTTGGTAAAGTCCTATTTTTTGTATATATTAATTTATAAATGATTATTTATACAACAATTTTCTTATATTTTGTGTAAACTTTGGCTAATTACTATGGAACAGCCTAACCAGATATCTAATAAATAATTAAACTGAACTTTACTTAAAAAGTGAACAGTCTAATAATCAAATTCTATAAAAGAGAAAATGATGTACTTTGTTTGGTGTCTCCTAATGATTTGGATCAAACTAAATTAAGTGATATAGACTTAACCTATAATCCAAAAGGATTTGAAGTTTATGATTATTAAAGTTATTAAGCCAACAGTGAGAATCAACTAATTTAAATAGTATATATGGCAATGATCTACATGAAATGTTTTCAATTAAATTAAAATCAACAATAACCTATAAGTATAGAAATCTATTATTCTGAAAATTAATTTGTTTAAGGATGTATAAATGATTGTAATGGATACAATTATCCTGAAATTATTGATTCTATTTGCGTATCTTAATAATGTCATTGTTTAGAAGGTACATTTGGATAATATTGTTAATTTTAATCTGTATAAATATCAAGCAATATTCTTACTACCTTTACATTAGATGCTCATAAATGGAAATATTTTCAATATCAGTTTAGTTCTAGTGACATAAATCTATTTTGTTAAAACTAAGAAGAAGAATTATGTATTTAATTTTCTTATATATATATATATAGATTATAGCTTTGTATTAAAATAAAATCCTTAATTGAACATCCCAAATCTAAAAGAAAGCTAAAAATTAATGTCACTCAATAATATTTAATAAGAATTAAAAAAAAAATAAACTAATGTTTATGTTGATATAATTTATATAGGATTGTACAATAATCAATCTAAATCCATCAATATTTAATTTAAGATTATCAATACTGAAATAGAAGAAGAAAGCACTTTTGAAAAAAATAAAATAGTTATTATTGTTACTGGATGTGTTGTAGGATCATTACTATTATTTGCTTTTGGATTATCAGCTCTCAAATCTCGATAATAAAGATAATTTCAATAATAAATATAGGAGGCCATTAGAAGAAATCTAAACTAAGTACATAATATGGAATAAGCTTAAAGTCCTGAACGTTAACTTGTTTAAACTAATCATAAAGGTAATACTTAAGCAACTTATGAGGTTTTTCGTTAAGGTTTATTAAAGATCATTTTAAAGGACATGCTTATGAAAAAATAATTAAAGCATATCCAGGTTTGTCCCAATTTGAAGAATGTGTTGTTTGTTTAGAATAAATGAAGAAAGCTACTACAAAATAATAAAAGATTTGTTCAGTTACTCCTTGTTTTCATATTTTTCATTGTATGTGTTTAGAAGAATGGTTATTAAGATAAAAAAATTGTCCTTTTTGTAGAACTGAATACACTAGAAAGAAAATAATTAAAGATTATCCTTGGTTGGAAGTTAATACGATTAGAGTTAATAATACAGATTCTACTTATTTAAGTAGGATGAAAAATAACTAAGAAAATATAAATGAAAGTTAAATTGAATTTGTAAAATAGTAACCTAGTGAATAATTATAATCAAATTAAATTGAAGAATGAATAATAAAGCTTATCAAATTTTATAGTTTATATTTAAATCTAAAAGAATTATTATTTTTTAATAAATTATTAATATATAAAGAATTTATAATATTATCAATTGATTTTTTATTCTTTATAATAAAATCAATCTAAATCTAATTACATCTCTGTTTATCTTGTATCTATATATTATTCTAAAGGTGCTTAAATAAAACTTGAATCTAATATTTCTTTTTATGTTTCTAAAAACTTTTTATGTTATCTTCTAGAATATAATCTATAAAAATCCCAAATAGCATAGACTCCTAAAACTATAAGTACTCTCCCAATAATTGCTTTAGATGTTAATTCATCAACAAATTAATATGTTTATTCTTCATGTTATGTTTCATAAGAAGGTTTTCTAAAATTGTACCATTTATTTTAATAGTATTCCCTTTTATTTGTGCTATAAAAATAAGAATCAGGATTCACATCATTAGCTGAATGTGCTTCTCCAGATTATTCAAAATTTAAAGCATCAGAATCATAGAGTTATCTTTTGATTGGATCCTTAAGTACTTGATAAGCTTTAGATATTTCTTTGAATTTCTCTTCTGATCCAGATTCACCATTATCAGGATGATACAATTTCACCAATTTAATATATTACAATTTAATTTCTTTAGTTGTTGCTTTTGGTGTAACTTCTAATACTTCATAATATGTCTTAGGTATTTTGTTTGTGAAAATAGAAAAGTAATTTATTGATTTTCTTAATAACATTAATTTATTATGTCAGATTAAGAAGAAGAGTCACCAAGATAAGATGAATTTGGATAAAGAATTATAAAATTAAAGGAGTTAACTCCCCTTGAAAAAGAATATTTTGAAAAGGCTCGCTAAAGACACAAAGAAAATATTTATAAAGATTAAATAGTACAAGGTAGAAAATTTGAAGGAGTAGCTTTTATATCTAAACCTGCAGAGATAATTTTCAAAGTATTATGAACATTCTTATTATAGGATTTTGATGTTGGTAAACCACATACAATAATTATGTAACTTACAAATGTTTCTTACACTTTCAATTCATTCAAAATACTTCCATTGCCTGAAGCTGTTAGAGTATTAAATAAATTTGAAATAAGGATTTTTTTGAATTGATATATACACCACCTGGTAGAGTTTCAGCAGGCATGTCTTGTCCAATAACAGTTAGATTTACTCCATAATTAAATGATGATATAGATGTTTAATTATAATGTCAAGCAGAGACAGGACCCTTTTAAATTCATATTTTATGCACAAGCAAGAAAGCAATTGCAAAAGTAGAATAACCAGTTATTGATTTTGGCAAAGTAATTTTAGGAGAAGATTCAACTCTCATTCTTAAAATTCAAAATTTAGGAGCTCTAGACACAGATGTTATCATAAGAAGTGCAAAAGGCATAGATTTATAAACTATAGCTACTGAATCAGTTTCTTAAAAATCTAATAGAGATCGACCTTTTGATGAAGAAGGTATTTTACCTTACTTAAAGTAACTTAAATTCTAAAGATAACATATATTATAAGGATATTCTATGCTTAAAATACCAATTCAATATATTCCAGCAGAAGTTGGTCCCTTTTCATTACCTCTAACATTGTATTATGAAAATTTCTTACATTCTCCACCTTGTTAAATTGAAATTAGAGGATATTGTACTGAAGTACCAATTTATGTAGAAAAATAAATTTATAATTTTTAAATTTGTTTATTCAATCATATATATAGAGAAAAGATTGTGTTTTTTAATAGAAGTTAGAATGCAATGAAAATTTAAATTTAAACTCCAAAAGAGACTAAAGATTTCTTTGAATTTAATCCAAAATTAGGATACATATAGGGAAATTCTAAATTTGAGATTTGGGTTAAATTTAATGCAGAAAGACAATTACAAACAATATGTTAAAGATTTTTCAAGGATAATGTAATAGACGTTCCTTTTAAATTAATTGGAGCTGATTAAAAAATGCCTGTCCCCTTTAATATAGTTGCTTAGATGACTATGGCTACTCTTTAAATTACACCTGCTAGATTAGACTTTGGAAAATTGTTTGATGGATAAGGTGCAAAAAGAGCTATCACATTTGAGAATTTAAGTGATTTACCTTAAGAATTGGCAATCTACCCTTTACCAAAAGAGATATCAATCACAACTGACTTAGTACCATTACGTTTACTTCCTAAATAAAAATTTACAACAGATATAATATATAGAACTCAGAAAGTAATTGGAATTAGTGATAGATAAGATGAAGGAATTTTAAAATGTAAAATAGTTTCAGGTACTATATCAACAAAAGAAATAAGAATACCTTATACTTGTGAAATTTCTAAATGTCCTTTAGAATTTTCAGGAATTAAATTTGATATTCCAGTTTAATAAATTGAAGAAAAATATTCAACTACAATTGATATCAAAAATATATCTTAAAGAGATATAATAATTGAATTTTTTTTACCTTTTTATGAATTATGTGGTCTTAAAATGGCTCCAATGGTTCAATAAATTTAAAGGGATTAATTAATATAAGTACATTTGGAATATGATTCTTTCTTTAAAAAATTAGGTGCTTATACTCTTTAAGAATTAAAAGAAAAATATGAAAATGATCCAAATAATAATTTTGAATTAAGATTAAAAATTAGATATGAAGAAGAAGAAAGAAAAAAAAGAGAATAAGAAGAATTAAAAAAAGAAGAAGAAATGGCAGCTAAAGGTAAGGGTGCCAAAAAAGAAGTTAAAAAAGATTAAAAAAAACCAGAAAAATTAACAAAAGCTTAATAATAATAATAAGAAGAAGAAGAAAGAAGATAAGCAGAATTAGAAAAATTAAAATAGGAAGAAGAAAGACTTAAAAGAGAAGAATTTGAAAAATAGTTTGATAGTGCAAAAGAATTAAGAAATCTAGGAGGTATTCTTGTTGAATTCAATAAACCTGAAGATTTAAGTATTATATTATAATATTATATAAGATTATTCATAACACTATTCTTGGTTAATTCCTTGTTATTTTAAATACACTGATATGCCAGATAATGCAAAATAAGTAATATATTTATAGATTTCAACTGTCACTGTATAAAAAAGCTTGCTCTTAAGTAAAACCATAATAGATTTTGGTGAAGTTGCAGTTGGAATAAGGTAAACCAAAGAACTTACAGTGTTCAATCAAACTCCATTTAAAGCTGAATTAAAAATGCAAATGTTACCAATCTCTTGTGGTTTTACAATTTTAAATGCTCTGAGAACAATAGAACCTAGTAATAAGAAGTCTTTAATTGTTTAATTTTAACCAACTGAAGATTAGCCATTTGAGGAGACTTTATAATTATATTGTGATCATGCAGCAGTTTCAGCAAAATTAAAAGGAATAGGTGTCAGACCAGAAGTAAAGGTTGTACCAGAAAATGGATTAATATCTGTAGGAGGTGTAGTATTAGGAGAATATACAGAAAGAACATTCAAAATAACAAATGTTTCAAATTTTCCAATAAAATTTTAATTAATAAGTAAAGCTAGGGGAGTTTAAAATTCTTGTGGAACTGAAGTGTTTTAATTTATACCTTAAGAGGCAATTGTAAATGCTTAATAAGAAATAACTTGTAAGGTGATTTTTAAACCTGATCGAGTTTCAGATAAATTTTATGATCTAATATCAGTTTATGTACCAAATTAGAAATCTGAAAAGAGAGTTTTTATTTGGGGATATTGTTATAATCGTTAAGCTTATGTAAATGTTTATTAACCTTATAATTTAATACCTTAAATTAATGAAATTAATAAGAAAATTGAATTTCCTTTTGATTAATTGAAATTAAAGGATGAAGAAAAAGTGTATACATATTTAAACAATAAAATTATGCTTGAATTTGAGAAATTGAAAGAAGAAGATAATTCTAGAAAGATTGTTATTGGTAGTTGTAAACTTTTGGATCCTAAAATGGAGAAACCTGTGAATTATGAAGTAATATTATCTGTAATTTATATATCTTATAAATTTGATAGAAAGATGAAAAATACTTTGTTTGTGATAATTAAAAAGGTGCCATATAACCAGGAAATGAAGTTGTAATAACTTTTACATTTAAACCTCCTCAACCAGATTAATTTATAGCCTCTATAGAAGCTTTAAAGAAGATAGGATAATGGAAGGAAACTAAAATTGAATTAAAAATATCAGGTGGATTTTTAAAACCAGGAGTATAAGATAATTTAAGCTATGAATTGATTCTGAAAGCATTCATTAATTAGATTTGATTTCTATTAAAAAAAGTTCATTTTGCAATTAAATATATGATTTAAGTGTCTGAAGTTACTTTACAAGAAGCATAGGCAAAAAAAGAAGAGGGCAATAAGTTCTTTGCTGAAAAGAAGTATGATGAAGCTATTAAATGCTATTCTGAAGCTGTTGGTATTTTGTATGAATTATCTATGACTAGATCATAATCCTAATGAACCTATATTTTATTCCAATAGGGCTGCTTGTTATTTAGCATTAAAAAAATACAAGTAAGCTTTAGATGACACAGAATAAGCATTAAAAAGGGATTCAAATAACGTAAAAACATTGAGAAGAAAAGCAATTGCTCTTTAAAATTTGGGAAGATTGGAAGAAAGTGTAAATTCACTTAATGCAGCTTTGTAAATTACTCCAAGTGATTAATCATTGAAATAAGAGTATTTGACAGCTTAATAAGTAAAATAATAAATTTAAATTAGACTTGTTAAAGCTATTTGGAAGGTTTGAAATAAATTCAAAATGAAGATTATTAAAAGGCCTTATATTAATTTTAATAAGTTATATAAGTTTGTTAACAATCTCTGGAAATTTAGATATTATTTGTTGAATGTTTAGCTAAATGTGGTGAAAATGACAGAGCTAGTAAATGGTTAATGCAAATTTAAAGTGAACATGGAACAACTCCTGATGTTTATTATTTAAAAGGAATTATTGATTTATATAATGGAAATAGTGAAAGAGCAAAGAAAATATTAATTGATGGTATGAAAGTTGATCCAGACAATAAAAAGTGTAGAGAAGCATTAAAGAAAGCAAGAAAATGTGAAGAATTAAAAGAGAAAGGAAATCAATTACTATAAGAAGTCAAATTAAATGATGCCATTGAATGTTATACTGAAGCATTGAGTGTTGATCCATATAATCGTAAAATTAATTCAATTATATATGCCAATAGAGGATTAGGTATAAAATTAAATTCAATTTAGTTAAATAAAAAATGAATTAACATAAAGAGGCTATTGAAGATTTTACTAAATCTATTGAATTGAATCCCTAATACTATAAAGCTTTAATGAGAAGAGCTGAATCATATGATAAATTAGGATAATTTGGAGAATCAGCTCATGATTATTAATAAGTTATATAAATTGAACCATCTTTAGAATAGGAAATGGCATAAAAATTAAGAGAAGCTCAAAAGAAAGAGAAATTAGCAAAAAAGAAAGACTATTATAAAATATTAGAAGTTGGTAGAGATGCAACAGAAAATGAAATTAAAAAATCTTATAGAAGATTGGCTTTATTATGGCATCCTGATAAATTGAAAGATAAAGATGAAGAAACAAAAGTAAAAAAATAATTAATAACAAATTATAGTAAATTGGATAATAGAAGTTTAGAGATATAGCTGAAGCATATGCTGTCTTATCTGATAAGAAAAAGAAGGATCTTTATGATTCAGGAGTTGATCCTAATGATTAAAATGGTGGATTTGATGGAGGTGTTGATCCCTCTTAAGTTTTCTAAATGTTTTTCGGTGGTGGAGGTGGTTTCTAATAATTCCCATTTGGGGGAGGGGGAGTTCGTTTTGAATTTAGATGAAGTCAAAATCTATAATTTTAATGTTAAAAATAAATAATGTCTTCTACTTATAAAAAGTTGGGTATTGAATTTAAAGAATTGCCATAATCTCAAACAGATGAAGCTATCTATTCTATTCAATCTATGAGACTTGAATAAATTTTAATATCAGAAGGAGAAATATTTGATTGGCCAAATCTTTTGAATCGTCCAGATTTAGTTAGTTTAAAGCATCCAGATTAATTAGGAACTTTAATTATGAAGGATGAAAAAGAACCAAGCAGGTCATTCTTTCTTTTTGATATTAATAGTCCATTAAGGAATATAGTGATTGCTACAATAAAGTCAAAGTATGCTTATACTAATATTAAGGAAATATTAATTAACATATTTAATCATAGCAGTAATTGGAATTATACCTTTTTGCATGGAAGATTCAAAAGTTAGTTTAGGAATAGAAATTATTATAAATTTGATATTAGCAATAGATATTATTCTAAAATCAATAGCAAATGGATTTATTTTAAGCAAGAAATCATATCTAAAGAATATTTGGAATATATTAAATTTTATAGCATTTATATTTACATGGTTTTTGTTTTTGAATGATTCAGAAATTTCATAAATAATAAAAACTATAAGGTTTTTAAGAATCTTTAGATTTATAGAAGAGGTATCAATATTAAAAGTACAGTTTAATGCTTATGTTGGAAGCTTTTTAAGAGTAAAATAAGTTTTAATACCTATTTTTTTGGTTATGATTTATTTCTCAATTATTGGTTTACATTTATTTATAGGTTTAACAGAAAGAAGATGTCGTTTAACACAATATCCTATAGATAATATTTGGATAGCAGATCCAAATATTCAAAAATTATGTGGAATTTGGGAATGTCCAGAAAATACTTATTGTGGAAGTCTTTTAGATTATAATCTTCCTAGAAATGAAACTGAAAATGATATAGAAGCATTTAATTGGAATTTTACAAGATTTGATGATTTTTTTCATTCATTGTTAGTTGTCTTTACATTTTTAAATGTTACTGGCTGGTCTGGAACAACATTTATGGTATAATTTAATTAGATATTAGTTTTGGAAAGCCATGACAACATATGTAACAGCAACATATTTTTTAATTATGATTTTATTGATGGCTTTTATACTTTCTAATTTGTTATTAGCATTGTTTTATGAATCATTTATGGAACAATCATCTATAAAAAATACTTAAAAAAAATTAAAATAAGAATAATAATAGATAGAAGAAGAGATTAAAAGAAAAAATCAATAATAACTAATAAATCGTCTTAGTGATATAAGTAAATAAAAAGAAAAAGGAAATTAAACTTCTAATTTTAGTATCTATTTTACAGAAGAATAAAACATTAATATTAAAGAAGTTGAATAAGAGTTATTTATTAACAAACTCTTAAATTCTCCTAAAATCTCAGTATTAAATACTTTATTTATTTTTCTTTCTGCTTTTGTTATTGCCTTTGATTATGATGGTATTTCTAAAAATTATGTTCAAAATTTTTAACTAATTGATTTTGTTTGCATACTTTATACTTTTTTTGAGATAACCATTTAATTTTGTGGAAAAGGTATTAAAGAATTTTTTGAAAAAAGAATTAATGTTTTCGATTTTTTGATAATTTTATCCTAATGGCTTTTAATTTTCTATTTAGTATGTTTTGATTAACCTATAATATATAATAATAGTAGAGACATTATATTTATAAAATCTCTTAAAATTTTAAGAATATTTAAATCATTATTTTTTGCAAAAGTATTTTACACTATTGCAGTATTAATAAGATCTTTAATAAGTACTTTAATAGCACTTAAGAAAATATTGTTTTTATGGATTTGTCTAATATTTTTAATGTCTATATTTGGTAAGCATATATTGTAAAACAAAATGTCTGAATAAAATATGACTATATATTATAATGATCTAGGATCTTCTATAATGGCAGTAGTCAATATATTTTATAATGAAGAATGGCACATAACAATGTATAAATATGGTAGAAACACTGAAGCATCTATTGTATTTTATATTATTTGTGTTATTTTTGGATAAATATTTTTTATTAGATTATTAACAGCTGTCTTTTTAAATGAATTTGGTTAACATATTGTAAGTGTTTAAATAAGTCTAAAACCAATAGATTATAAAAAGCTATTTTCTAAAAAGAAAAAGAAGGTATGAATATTATTAAAGTAAATAGATTGAAAATATAGAAAGCGAATAAAAATTATAGTAGGTTTAATAAGGAAAAAGAAAAGAAAAATAGAGATAACATTCTTATTTGAATAATTGTAAAGTTAAAGGGGAACAGAAGAATATTAATCAATAATAAGGTAAAGCCTCATTTTAAAATATTGATGAATTATTTAACCTTTTTCAAGAGAATTAATAAGAAAGTAAATAATAAATAGTTAAATCTGATGCTGTTATTAAACAATTAGAATAAGAGAATAAAACTTTATTTTTATTTGCTGAAAAAAATCCGTTACGTCTTCGCGTTAAGTCTTTAATTGAAAATTTACCATTTAGAGTATTTCTAATTCTTCTGGTTCTGATATGTGTTGTAAGAACTATGCTGCTGACCCCATTTTTAGATCCAGAATCTGATTTATTTTCAATTTTAAGAACAGTCCATTTAGTAAATACTGTTTTATTTTGCATTTAAATATTTTTTAACATTATTTCTGATGGTTTAATAATTGGAGAGGAATCATATTTATAGAAATCACCTTACAATGCACTTAATTTCATTATTACAACAGTAGATATTATTGCTATTTTTAATTATAATTAATTAATATTTAACCTTTTTTCAAGTTTAAGGATTTTAGAGTTTATCAGAATTGGAGCAGAATTAAATTAAAATATTAATTATGTATCATAAGCATTAATGAAAGCTTTTTAAACTATGATTCAATTAAGTATATTTTGTTTTGTGATTCTACTTGTATATGGAATATTTGCAACAAAACTATTAAAGGGTTGTTTATATTATTGTTCAATATCAAATTAATTATAAGATTAAGTAAATAATAAATGGGATTGTATGGACAATGGTGGTTCATGGGTAAATAAGATATTAGGATTTGATAATATATTTGATAGTGCTTTAACTTTGTTTGTCACTGCAACTACTGAGGCTTGGCTTCCAATCTTAATAGATACATGGAGTTCTAGAGGAAAAGATCTTGCTCCTATTAACAATCATAATAGATGGTGGGCAGTATATTTTTAAGTATTTTTTTTTATTGGAAATATATGTATGCTTAATATGTTTATAAGTTTGGTTGTAAATACATATTAACAAACAAAAATAAAAGCTTAAGGTATGTCAGATTTAAATGGTAATCAAAGAGAATGGTTGTAAATTAAAAATAGTATACATAATCTTACTCCAAGAGTTAATTATGAATTACCTAAAAATAAGGTAATGCTATTATTTTATTATTTTGCTGAGAGTAAGAAATTGAAATACTTTTGGCATTCAATCATTGCATTAAATACAATAATCTTATCATTATTTTATACAAGATAAAATGAGATATTTAGAAATATTCTAATAGAAATTAATTAATATTGTATTTTGATATCTGCAATTGAAATTTCAGTTAGATTTATAGTAAAATAGAGGGGAAAAAGAGATATTTTTCTATTAATAGATTGTTTTGGAATTATCTTAAATCTTTTTGATTTATTCATATTATAGTTATTGTTTGATAATTTTTATATTATCAGATCTTGCAAAGCATTATCAGTAGCATTCCAATTATTAAGAAACTATTATATAATTAGGTAAAAATATATTATTTTTAAGACGCTTTCCAGAGTTAGAGAAATTATTCAATACAATATTTTCAGTTATACCTTCTGCTTTAGCTATGATATTTATTATGGCTTTATTTCTTTTTATATATGCCTCTTTAGGAATGGATTTATTTGGATATTTGAGACCATAAAATTATATTGAAGGTTTTGATCTCCATTTTAAAAAATTTACAACTGCTATGTTTTCCTTAATCAGAGTAGCTAGTTCAGAATAATGGTGGGCTTTATTAGTTGATTCTGTGCATACCAGAACACCAGATTTTGCTTGCATTTACATTAATGATTATTAAGATTATTAAGAACATGGGTATAATGGATGTGGAACATATTGGGCATATGCTTATTATATTTCCTTCCATCTTATATTTTCATTAGTCATACTCAACTTATTTATAGCTTCTATACTTGGTGCATATGAAGAACATGTAAAATCAGAATAGAGTGCAATTTCTAAATATTAATTACATGATGTATTGAATCATTGGGCATAATATGATCCAAAAGGAACAGGATTTCTTAATTATAAGTAGTTTTGGAAGTTATCTTCACAAATAGCTATCTGTTTTGGAGTTCCAGTTAAAGAACTTTTAGATCCTGCAAATAAAACTAATTTTTTAAGAGCATTAAATATTCCACTTTATGAAGATGAATAAGGTCTAATGGGCTATCTATTTCATGATGTAATTGTTAGTTTGACTAAATTATCTGTTGAATTAAAATATGGTGTCAAAGAGTATAAATTGTAATCATTATTAGTTTGGAATCAAGTTCATATAAATGCAAAGAATATTTTCATGATTATTACAAAATATTTAAGATTACACCATATAATAGTGGTTAAATGTCAAGTATTATTTTCATTTAAGGAAAAATCAGAACAATAAGAAATAGAAAAAAAGGAATTAAATTCATTAATATTGAAGCTCTTAAGTAGGAACTTTAAAATTAAAATGATGCTTAATATAATGATAATTGATTTTAATTTAAACTTTGATATATTTATTATTTAAAGTATTCATTTTTTAGAATTTAATATCATAATCAATTTTTATTTAAAATAATTAATTTATTGTGTAAGAAGTATATTAAATATTAATTAAACATAAATTTTATATATGGATTAGCAAGAATTAATTTGCTTCACATGTCATAAAGTATTTAAATTAAAGCGAGCTTTATAAGAACATTAATTAATCCATTCTGGGGAAAAGCCCTATAAATGGTTAGTTTATATAGATAATTTACTAGTGTAACTTGTAATTAATAGTTTCGATAATATTCTTCATTATAAAAGCATGACCGTATTCATACAGGAGAAAAACCATATTCTTGTTAAGAGTGTGATTAATCATTTTCTTAAATATCAAATCTGAAAAGACATTAATTTAAACATAAAGAACAGAAACCATATACTTGTGAAGTTTGTTAAAAACAATTCATTACTAATTAAAATTATTAATAACATTAAAACAAACATAAATAATAAAGATAAAGTTATGTTTGTGAATGTAATCGAACTTTTCTATATAAATGTAGTTTAAAAAAACATTAAAAAATTCATTAGAAATTTGATAATACAGATTAATTCATAAATCTTTAATAAATAAATTAAATTTCAGCAGATCTTAGAATATTTTTTACTGCCTCTCATCCTTAAATTCTTCATTTTAATCATATTGATATATTATTTAATGGAAGATTATATAATTATAATGAATGTAATTATTTATTTACTAATATTAAGAAACTGGTAGGATTGAATTACATGATTTGATTGATTAATAATAATAAAATTGTGATCCAATAAAAGATCATTAACATTTTGATTCATAAACCTAATATGAATTAATTAAATGCATAGATTGTAAATAAGAAAGATGTTGTTGCAAATAAAAATAACTTTTTAATAATTGTTGTTTAGCTTGTAATGGTGGAAATTGTGGTGAAACTCCATTTGCAATATCCTAAATAATACATTTTCATGGTCCAAATTGTGGTCATCCAATTGTTATTCATAATGAACATATCGATTATTTAGTTAATGAAATGCTTCATTATCCTCATGATGGTCATTGTGACAATCATGGAATTTTGAATAGAATTAGAGTGAAATGATAATATATAATTAATATAATTCAAATATAAGATGGATTTGAATTCAGATGAATTTTTTTATGGTATAAATAAGTCTTTGTACTTTAAAACAGAAGAATAAAAGAATGAAATGAAAAAAATGGATCCAGAGTACATTACTAAAACGTATTTTATTATAAAATAATAAAGTGGAACTGATTTTGTATTATTACCCAATTCTCCTGAATTCATTAACCATAATGAACCATTTGAACCTATGTATATACCAAAACAAACAATTCTTGAGGAAAGTTTAAGAAGAGAGATTGAAAGAATATGTTTTGCAGATACTTTGTTAAATAAAGTAGTTTTTGATTGTGCAGATCCTAGTCCATTTAATAAAGTAAAAATAGATAATAAAAGTTAATTATTATAGGATACTGATCCTAATGTCTATGGATTAGAGGTATTACCATATTATATACCTTAAACAAAAGAAGACACAACTTTAGTTTTTGAAAGCAGATTTGAAAGTGGGAATTTGAGAAGAGCAATTTAAATGTAAAAATGAATAAAAGAATGATAGATGTGATTATGAATATAATCTAATTCTGAAGCCAGATTATTATACAACAATGAATACTTAATGGTTTTACTTCTCATTATCAAATACAAGGAAGGATGTCGAATATAGGTTCAATATCATAAATATGATGAAACCTGATTCATTGTATAATTCAGGAATGAAACCATTAATGTATTCAGAATAAGGAGCAAAACATAAAAGTAAATAATTAAATATATATTTAGAAATTGGATGGTTTAGAGATGGACATGAAATATGTTATTATTAAAACAATATGAAACGTAAAAATGGTGGTTATTATTACACTTTAACATTTGCAGTCAAATTCTAATATGATTTTGATTGTATTTATATAGCTCATTGTTATCCTTATACATATACTCATTTATGTAGGTATCTCAAATAATTGGAATCTGATCCAGCAAAAAAAAATAGAGTTAAAAGAAAATAATTATGTTAAACAATAGCTGGAAATACTTGTGATTTTTTAATTATAGGTGATTTTAATAATGGAAAAGAAAAGAAAGGAATTGTTATTACATCAAGAGTTCATCCAGGAGAAACTATGGCTAGTTATGTTATGGAATATATGATAGATTTCTTAACTGGTAATACTCATGAAGCAAGAATATTAAGAGAGAATTTTATATTTAAAATTGTTCCTATGCTTAATATTGATGGAGTTGTAAATGGAAATTATAGATGTAATTTAGCAGGTGTTGATTTAAATAGATAATGGATAGATCCTAATAAAAAATAACATCCAACTATTTATCATACTAAATAATTAGTTAAAAAAACAAAAGAAGAAAGAGATCTAGTGTTATTTTGTGATATTCATGGTCATTCAAGGAAAAAGAATATATTTATGTATGGATGTTCAGGAAAAGATCCAAATAGAAAAGAATTAGTGTTCCCTATGCTTAATAGAAATAATTGTAGTGTTTTCTCATTTAAAGATTGTTGTTTCTTACTCTAAAAAGATAGAGAAGGTTCTGCAAGAGTAATTATGAATTATCATATCATAAGATTGCTTTGTGGAGAGAATTCTCAATAATAAATTGTTATACCCTAGAAATGTCATTTTGTGGAGCTGATTTTGGTAAATATGAATACTTTCATTTTAATTTGGATATATACAAAGAAATTGCATAATCATTTTGTTTGTCTATTATAGATTGTTATGAACCAGAATAAATTAAAGTTAAATAAATGATGGAAGAAATTGAATAAAACAGTCTTAAAAATTAATAAAAAGATGATAAGAATAATTCAGGTGATGAAGGATCTGATTATTCTAATGATGATCCAAAAGAATAAGCTATGCCATAATAAATTCAAGTTTAATCTAATGATTAATGTAAGTATCTATTAATAATAATATAGAGTTAGGTTCATAGACCAAAAAACTTAAAAAAATACCACTTCTACCTCCTAAGAAGAAAAAAGGACTATGAATATACATTAGAATAATTAACTGATTAATTAATTTAAATTTATGAATTTTCCTGCTTGGGGAACTGTCTTGGGATAACCATTTGGTGTTGCAGCTTATTCTAATATTGGATTTGTATTTGACAGAAATAAAATACATGAATATTAAAGTTATTGGCCTAAAGAAGAGACTGGTTTAGCAAGAGATGTTTATATTGGATTTAAGTAAATCTCAATTCTTAAAAAAAAGATATCAATGTGTTGAATATGCTAGAAGATTTCTAACTTTGTATTTCAAAGCTGCTTTTTAAGATGTTCCACATGCACATCACATTTGGGCACTTGATACAATTGAAGATTGTACTAAAGAAGAAGGAACATTCCCATTTATCAATTATCCAAATGGCTCTAAAGAGTTTATTATTTATTTAACTTTAGACCACCTAAAATAGGAGATATAATTATATATCCTTATTCAAAGGAACAAAGATTTGGTCATGTTGGAGTTATTATTAATGTGAATTTGGAAGAAAAGATAGTAGATATTGCTGAATAAAATTATGAGGAGGCTGGATGGGAATGTCCTGAATATGCAAGAAGATTAATTATGAAAATTGAAAATGGATAATATTTCATAACAAATTAAAGAATTGGGTAATATTTGAATTTTATCTTATAGAAAACCTTATGATAATTGGGACATTAAAGAAGAAATTTTTGGATGGAAGAGAATAGACATGAACCCAAAACTATGATTCATATTTGTAATTCACTTTCAAATTATTAATTCAAATTGATTTCAAACAATTTTCATTAATTTTATATAAAATGTTAAATAACTAAAAGTAGTATTTAATAAAGATTAAAAATATTCTTAAAATTCAGTTATATCTTCTTATTATCCATTCTCCTATCTATCATAAATGATCCTTTAATATTTCTTTTTATCAATGATAAGTAAATTATTATCTATTTTATTCAAATAGAAGAAAGCATAAAAGAATATGATCAATAATATTCAATCAACCCATTTAAAATTAGCTACATCGAATATGTTTTCAAAAACATCCTAATCAAAATATTTTGTCAATTTAATCTCTACATAAAAATAAAAATTATGATTTAATTTAATGAATTTGATAGTTTTTAATAATTACTTTGAATTATTTGGAGAATAACTTATAATAAAAATATAATAACCAAAATTAATTAAAAAAAGGTTTCCTTTATCTGATATAATTAAATTAATAATCGTAATCAACATTAAAGTTTATACAATTATTTTTAAAATTATATTAAAAATATATAATTTGATAAAACTACACTTTAAGAAAAACAGAATTATAAATATTATAATATAGAATTAAGCAATAATACTAATAAAAGAATTGAAATTAAGTATTATTTAAATATGTATAGTCAATAGAGAAATAAATAGATAATTTTAAGTTTTAAATTTTAGAATAAGAAATAAATGTAAATAATCATACAATATGAAAGTGAATCTAGAATCAATTAGATATTTAAAACCCGCATTATTTACACTTAGATTGATAAAAGTAATTTTCATTTGCACAAACTCTACATTGTTTCATGAAATCAAAATTTTTATTTACTGTTTCATATTAAGTATATGATAAATTTTCTAAGAAAAGTGCTTGATGAAATGCAGTATGATCTTGTGTATTACTTTCTATACTATCAGCAGTACTATGTCCACTACCTGTGAGATCAGGTTCTTATAATTTTAGTGTTTCTATAATGCTGGGTTATTCAATAGGAATAAATTTAGTGCCTGGAACATCCCTTGTGAATGTGTGGCAACGATTGCAATACTTCCTAAATGAGTAATTGAGGTTTTTGCATCCAATACAAATCCAATCTTGAGGTCTATTTTGCATTTCTATTGAATATATATTTAATTAATTTATTTATTTAATGACAAAACAATTCATTCACATGCAATTTTGTAGTCGAAACTTGTTAATGCAATTTAGAATGCCTATAAAGGAGTAATAGGATATTAGAAATCTAAATTAAAGAGATCATCTCCAACCCTCCCAAATTACAGCAAAATATTGTCCTCCTTATTTTAAACAATAAGTTGAAAATTTTTGACACTTGGCTTATCTACTCTTTAGTAGAAATTAAGAACAAAAGCTTTGTGTTTACTATTCCATTAAGGAGGCCTATTAACATATGTTATAATATGATCCCTATTGTTATTTTAATATTCTTTTAGTATTCCATCCTTAGAATTAGTAGGCTTAAAAACATATATTTATTCTCTTTCATCTAAATTTGGTAATAAAACCTTAATAATTATAATACAATAATACCACCATTTTTCTTGGTCCTTTGGATCCTAGAAGATTGCTTTCATATTAAATGATACCAAGTTGTTATCTAATTTTAGATTGATCTTTTGTTTTTTCAGGATTTAATCCCGCATCATATAAGATGAATTCAGTTCCCATAAAATTGCTTCTTACTTTACCAATAAAATTATTTCCTTTATCTAAGTCCTCTCTTGACATAGAAATTATATAATTGCTTGTGTTATTACAAGCTCTCTTTTTTGCACTCATCAGATACATAAATCCATTTGATATATGAAGATGATATTTAGGATAAAATCTACTCATTCCACTTCTATCTCTCTTGATTGTACATTAAATCATCCCTCCTTTAGGGGCGGGATTTAAAAGGAAATGTTTCTTTCCATTTGGGAATTCTATGGATAGGAGAGGTTTTGGATATGGACAAGTTTATTTAGGTTATTCTTAAGGAACTTATTGGATATCTTGTTTATTGTCTTATTACTCTTTAACTTCATGTGTATCTTGAATTATATCCATCTATATTTTATCATGTTATTATTTCAATTCTTTTCTTATTTCTTATTCTTTTTATTATTAAGACAACAATCCATCATCATCCTCATCCTCATCTTCATCCTCATTCTAATCTTAAACTATTATTTCTTATAATTTCTAATAATTATTATTATCCTATGTTATGTCCTCTTCTTCTTTAATTATCTATTTTTTTATTATAATCTAATCATCTTCAACATTATTTTCTTGAGGTTTGAATTTTAAACTTTCAACAAATTATATTTTATTATTTTGCTTTTAGAGTTAAGGTAAAGAATCATCTTGACTTAATTATAATCCAGGTTCATAATATTGATTATGATTATTTCCAATAATAGAAAACTTAAATATACCTAGATTCTTACTTTTTCAAATTCTAATTCAAAATCTTAACCATATGTAGACTCATTCTGACCAAGTTTTTTTTTGTATTGTTTATTGCTCTATAATACACTTAACTATTAAAATTCTAATGTGCCTTATGATTTTGTATATTATTAAGGCTATAAATAATTTGATTGCTTTACACCTTATGCTCTTCTTATTTATTTTGACTATCTATTAAAGGAGTTGTCTAATTTTTAGTGTCTTATTATTCTGGATCTGAATCAAATTAAACTAAACTTTCAACCATTTCATCATTCTATTTTATTTGAGATTCTGACTATTTCTTTTGTATTTCTATCTCTTTCTGAAACTTATAAATAATAGTTACTTATTAAATTCTACTCAAAGGCTTATTATCTTATTTAGGCTCTTCTTTTGTTTTTGCAGAAAACTTAGTGATATTAGATCGTCCTTTTGGTTATTATCTTTAACTAGATTAAGGATTTTGGTTGACAGGTTCTTAAGTATCATCCTCTATGTGTTAAGGATTAAGGAACATTTAAGACTATATTAATTTATAATATAAATATCATTCATTAAATCAATCAGTAGCTCTAGTTACGAAACATGACATTGCTATCTAAAAGGCCTACAAAGGTAAGATTGGCCATTAGAAATCGAGATTGTATAAGCCTTTTTCAATTTTTCCTAAAAGAAAAAAAACTTTATTATTATCTGATTGACACAATTATAAATTCTTAGATGAAGCTATCAAAGCTCTATTGTAAAATGGTAAAACGAATGTCTTTGCTTCTGTACTATATTCTGCTTCTCTATTCTAAAATTCTTAAAAATGTTTTGGTTTACTCTCAAAGTATTTATACTTTTCTAATCTTAATTCAAACATCTAATTATCTGAGTTTAATTCAGGTAAGTATACCTAATTTTAATAATTAAATTACTCTAATTTTATGAGGTTTCTTCATTCCAGTTTTTTAATAATTAGCTCCTCCAATACATAATCTTTACATACTAACTGTTGAACATTTTTTTGGACTTATTTTGTTATCCAGAAATATAAAATTTTAACCATATTTATCCCATTTCAATTTTCCAGCAAAATAATTCAAACCTGATTACTTAATTATAATTTTCCTATTTTATTTTAGATCATTTATTTCAGCAATCAAAATTGGTAAATCAAAAATTGTTAATTCATATTTTTTATTTTACTTTGAAGATTACATTCTAATTTTACGAATTTGGCATTGTAGAATACCCTCGTTTTTAATTGGCTATAAAATGAACTAAATTTTATCAAATGGAATTCTTATCTGTTCTAATGGGTTTGGATAGACTAGATTTTGGCATTAATTTTAGTTCTTAATTCCCTCTTTTTCATTTTCAAATATTTAATATTGAGTTGACAATTAAACTTTCTCAGATTCTTCATTTTTGTCATAAACTTTACTAATTTCTTTTAACTGAGATTCTGGATCATAAGAATCAAATTTTGAAATAGATATATCATCTTAAAGCTAAAGTTAATAATTGTTTGATTCCCTGAATATCTAAGGAATATTTGATTTATACATAATAAAATTATTGTAGTTTGGTAAGAATTAATGTGAATTATATTATAAATATTTTGCAAAATAAAACATAATAATTTAATTATAATTATCTTAATTCTATATCTTAAATTTTCTTAGAAGTAATCTACTTATACGTTACCCTTTTAAATCAAAAGAAAGATATAAGTTTCTTCTTTGCATCTTAATGTAAAAAAAACATTCATATCGATTTAAATCTCCATTTAAATCATAATTGACACATGTCTTATATATAAAATTATTATTCAAACTAAAAAGCCTTTTTAATGAATTTATTTACTCAATTTATAATTGATGAAAGTTTCTTCTAGCACTTATTTCTTATGCTGTTAACATAATAATATAATGATTTAATTTCATAAACTTCCAACTATAATTCTATAATTGATATTAAATTTCTATTGATCTGGCTATTATTGAATACTTTCTATTGTATTAAATCCAAGCAATCCCAATTTATGATCAGATCAATGTAAATTAATACATATTATCTGTATATATTGACTATGGATGATTAAAGTGTTATGGATTCTATAATAAAATATTAAATTTATAATATTATTTCTTCAATTAAGTTTTTAAATGTTATAAAATAATATTCCACTATATTTAACATTTAGAAAATTCAATTTGAATACTATTTATCAAAAGAATTCTAATTTGAATTAATTTTATTGTACCTTAAGTAATCAATTTACAATAGTTTAAAATGAACAAAATACTAATAATATTATTATTTATTCAAATAATAGATAAACTCAAGAATTTAATTAAATACATTTATATTAATAATAAAATCCTATGTTGCTATATAAATTTATGTAATAATTATAGATGTTTGGTATTTTTGATATCCTATTTCAGAAATATAATATGTCTAATATTATAATTGAATATACTTGTTAATATTTATTATTATATAAATATTATTGTTATGAGCAAAATAAATAACTCTTATTTAGATTTTACAAAGTAATATAGAAATCTTAGTTACAAACCAGTCTAAGAGACTTATGATAGAATTGATAATCCAGTAACTAAATTTGATAATTTCTTGAAAACATCAACTTTTTCTAAAAGACATGAAAAATCTGCATTAAATTAATCAGAATTATATCCAAAAATGAGAGGACCTACAAAACCTGATTACTTTTTTATTGAACATTATCCAAGATTTAAAGAGGATATAAATTGCAATTAAAAGATATTTGGATAAAAGTAAACTCAGTTTCATAGTGATATATTTGATAATATCAGAAATGATTTTAAATAGAAAAATTATTCTTTTCAATATAATGCTGATAAACTAGATTATTCTAAAGATTTAGGATTACCAATAGAACCTAAAGAAAGAATTAAAGAATTATAATTGATTAAAAAGGAATAAGAATTATATAAGTCTCTGAGGTAGGATGTAAATTTCTTAAATAGAAAAAAAAGGATTTTAGATAATTTACATAAGAGTGAAACATCAACTTAATCTAAACATAGAAACCTAAGTTAAGTTTTTTAAATTAATGTTAGGTTATGATAAATATCGTAATTAGAATGAATGTCTTGAGTTCAATAATACAAATGAATTTATTGGAGATCAAATGAATTTATCTTTCCAGCTATCGAAAGATTGGAATAACAAAAAAAGATGTGAAACTTAAAGATTGGATACTTTTGAAAGAGTCATAAGTCAAAAGCCACCAAATCTTAAAGTTAATACAGAAAGAATGAATTTTTTAAAATTCAGAGAAAACTGTGGAAGGGATTACAAAATTGTTAATTTAACAAAAGATGAATGATGATTTTTACTAAATGAAAAATTTATTCACTACATCTTCGAATAAGTTTAGTATATTTTAGCATATAATTGTGTTAGAGAATCTATTTATTTTCTTAATTTCTATTATTCAAATTTTACTTGTTATCTAATTAATATAATTTAAATACAAATATTTTTCTGATTCTTAAATACTTCTCTATTTAAGTAAATCAATTCTTTCTAAGCTTTATAATTGTGCCTTCAATTATTATGTTAACTTCTTGTTCTCATTATCTTTATTAGTTTTTTCCAATTTTTTTAAGAATTATTACATTTTCTCTGTATCCTTTAATTCACTATTTAATTCAGGAACAATCAAACCTGGCTTACTTAATAATGTATTCCAAGAAATTCCTTTGGATTATTAATAAAATACCTTTAAAAAATTAATGATTCTTAATTTCTTCAATGGATTTATGTCCTAAACGATTTTTATAATCAGGTTCTAATAATTTAATCATTAGATCATAAGCCTATTCAGATATACAATCTTCTGCATCACCAATTTATGGCCATTCTATTCTCATATTAAGAATATTATCAAATATTTTATCTACTGTATCATCATTAAAAGGAGCAATTCCACATAATAATTCATACATAATAATTCCTAAACTCCAATAATCACAACTGAAATTACTAGCAGATGTTCCTAAGATTATTTCTGGAGCAATATAATCAGGAGTTCCAACAATTCTAAATTTTTGAAATCAATATACTTTTTAGTTTTGCTTCCTAATTTATCTACTAAAATGGATTCCACTTTTTTTAATTATTTATATACTGTCTCATAACCTTATTGATCAATCATTTTTTCAACACATGTTGGTATTTCAATTGTATTGAATGAATTCATACTATCCTTTAATTTTAATCTACTATTAACACCTTATTCAGATAGACCAAAATCAGCAAGTTTAGCATGTCCTTAACTATCCAATAGAATATTCTCAGGTTTTAAATCTCTATGAACTATATTTTATTGTCTTAAATAATCCAAGGCTAAAATTATTTCTGCCATGTAATGACGAACATAAAATTCATCTAAAGCCTAAGAATATTTAATAAAAATACTGTATATGTTTTTAAAATACTTGCTAGATCTCCACCCATCATATATTCTTAAACGAAACATAAATATTATTCATGTACGAAAGAGAAATATGCTTTGACTACAAAATTACTATTTAAAATTTCAAAGATATTTCTTTCTGCCTTTAATTATTCAAGAAATGCCTCTAAATTCTAAATCAAAATAATAATTTACTCTTTAAGCACAATCAATTATTTTTAATGCATATGAATCTCCAGATCCTTTCTTTTTAACAAGAAATACCCATCCATAAGCACCTTTTCCTAATGGTTTAATGAATTCAAAATCTTAAATTCCAACTTTTGAAGTTTAATTTGATGAAGGAATAACAGTTTTAATTAAATTTGAATCTGAATGATATCCTTTATCAATTTAAATTTCATCCATTCCATAATCAGGAATAATAGCAGGAGATTTACAAATCTAATTTTCATAGAATCTACTTTTTCGATGTTAAATTTTATGACTTTATTACATTTTTTCAATATCTTAAGAATGAAAGGTTTATTTTTTTTTAACTCTTTTTTTACATGATCCTTTTTATGAATTTGGTAGATTAGCATCATTATTAGTTGCTGAATTAGATTTACCAGATTCAAAACTTGATAAATTTGATGAATTTTCTCCTTCTTTAATAGATGGATTTAATGCATCTAAACTAGGACTAATTTCTTATAATGATGGTTATTTTTTGTCAACATTTAGTGGTTAGAGTTATGCTTTGAACGAAGAAAGCTTTTTTAAAGTAGGTGAATATTAATCTAATTCATTTTTAATATCAGTATTTGTATTTTTGAATAATTTATCAATTTTATTATCTGTATTATTAGAATTAATAGATTAATTTGATTCACCATTATGAAAACCACTTGATTTAGATTAATTCATTGGTATTGATATATTTTTTAATGATTTAGGTGATTCTGATCCATCACTTACTTTAAATATAGAAGAATTCATTCTAAATCCTTTTCTTTAAGGTATAATTTTTTAAGAAGTTTTCATTTAAAGTTGAGTAGGTGAATCATCTTCTTCTTGAATTGGATCTGTTGATATCCTTTATGAAGGAGGAGATGGGCTATTCTAAAATCTTGGCATTCTAAATGAAATTGAATTAGATTTAGTAAATGCTCTTCTTATTTTATTTATTTTATCTTCTGATTAATCTTATTGTTATTATTAATTTTTAGCATTTTTATAACCTTCTTGTTTCTTATGATATTCAAGTCTTTCTAATAAACATTTATGAGTAGAATTTATAATATTTAAAGCTTCTTAATTTTCAATATATTCAGTAGAACTTACTAAATCATTTAATAAAACTAAAGTTACTAATTAATTAAGATTTAATAATAAATACATTTAGTATCCTCAATTTCTACCTCATTGTTCAAAGTTTTTTCAGCAAAATTTATTATTTGTGTCATAATATTTGCGATATAATTTTATTCTTACTGGTATTCTCCCTTTTCATCATCTTCCTCATCCTAATCATCTAAAGTTTAAACTCTTCTAAAAATATATTAAGTATTTGTATATTATCTCTATTTATTTTTATCTTTCATTCTTAATATTTATATATATTCTTACTTTTTGATGGCTAACTTAACTTAAACATTTCTTTTTTCTTAATATGCTTAATCGCATAAATTGGCTAATTCTAAGTTCAACTCAATATATCTTTTTTTGCTTTCTGCATTTTTTTCACACTAAATACAATGTTGAGTCATATCAATAGACTATACTTGCTATTCACATATTCTGCAAATAAACAATTTTGATTGGTTTTTTGCTACTCTATTTATATCTTGATTCAATTAACTTATTACTAAAAGGAGATATACCTTTGTATATTCCTAATACATTAACAAGCCCATCTGAGTTGATTAGGAAATGTTTATTTGTTAATCCAAATTTTACTGATAACATCAAAACTTATTCTTAATTTTAAAGATAACAATTTAAAAGATCTATTTATAATAAAAAAACAAAAATAATACTTAGCTAATGATTTCCTAGGGACTGAACGTCTAAATGATATTTTTTTAATTGAATCTCCATCAATTTTTTGAAATTCATCAAGTAAAGTATTTATTTTGTTATTAATTTCTTGTTATCCTTCAAATTTATCAAGTTAGAAAAACTAATAAATGCTTAGCAATTATGATTGCAAGGTTTTTATGGATTCTTTCTATTAAATTTGATAATGTTATATGTTACTGCTTACAATTAATAGTAGTTTTATAAAATATCGGCAGTTAATTTAATAGCTATAGGATGTGGTTTTAATATTTTTATTTATTATTCGATATAAAAATTAGTCACAAATGGTTCATCTTTCTGCATTTACTAATATATTTTATATTAATAAAAAATTGTATTAAATTATTGGATATATTTTATATATTATGTACCATCAATATGGTTTAACAAATCCAGTTGGGAATTCAGTAGCAGTCTTGAATTCCAACATTTCTGGGAATCTATATCCTTTGTGATACAATTCTCTACTTAAAACTGACCATAATCCTGGTTTCATTACAGATAATTAAGTTCTTAATTCATCAATAATTTTATACCTAATGTACTAACCATCAACAGTAGGATCTGCAATGATTTTAGTAAACAATTTATTTGGAATTGGAGCAGTATATGCTCTCCATAATACCAACATATGAACAGATGCAAGGATTGGTCCATAAGCCTTATTTGCACCTTTTCTATTGGCTCCTGCAAATAGCCATTATGTTCCTATAAGTGAGAATGGCAAAAAGGCTAAAGGTGCAGAAACAACGATATCATTCAATACTTGACTGCAGTTTTTGAAATTGAACAACATCTAGAGATTATTAGATAGTCATTCATTACTTCTCTACTTAAATATTAATCCAAAAGGACCTCCATCACTTCAAAGTATGATTCAATACTCATAGCAATGTCTGATCTTGTGCCACCAACATATGAATAGAAGTTGTTCTTGAACATTACTTTATTTTTATTTTATTAATCTCATTTATATGACTATTATAAATCTCATTTTTTGGATTATTTTGTATTTCTAATATAAACTTTGACTCTTCTACAATTATAATATAACTGAGTTTGTGTATCTCTACTATCACAATATATTAATAATATGAATTATTATTTTGTTTAAATAATATGGAGATTTAATTATTAAATCATACAAATTTCATAGGGCCATTGAACAAATTTCATAATAGTTGTTTAGATTATCATAAAAATTGTTTGGCTACTATTAATTTTAATATTCTAAGAGGACTATAATAACATTATGATTTTATTTATATTAATGTAGATAGATACATCGTATCAATATTTAACATTTTTAACTTGCTTTGATATAATTTAAGACAATTTTACTAACTCTTAAACATAATTAGCTGATAGTTAATGAACTTCTGATTAAGTACTATTATCAACTTTACTTCTTAATTCTATCAATTCTTTTAAAGATAATTTATCCAAAAGTGTTCTTCCTGATCCCTTATTAAAAACAGGTTTTTCTGTAATACTATTAGAGAATGTGGTTCTCTTTTTTTAAGATTTAGTTGTTTAATAGAGTGGCTAATTATTAATAAATCTAAAATTTATATAAGGATTACGGTTGAGATAATTTGGTTAGTTAATTAATTTCATTGTTACCTAGACTTTCTATTTTATTTTATAATCCACTCATCTTTCTAGATGAATCATTTATACTTTTTTTTTGATTTGATCCATTCTATAATTATGCAAACCCATTACCATTATTCATAGTTTTAAGTAGTTCATCAAATGATGGAGCACTATTAATAAATATTTAATCCACCTTTTTCTATGATCAGTATAGAGAGAAGATTTAGAGGATTTCTTAACAGAACTATCATCTTTGCGTGTGCTACTAACTTTTAAGGTACTAGGACTGGACATTCTAAGATACAAAGAATCTCGAAATTTATTCAAATTGAAGTCTTCCTCCTTCCCTAATGATTCTTTCTAAGTTAACATTAACGATATAATAAAAATTTAATAATTTTATATAAAACATTTAATCAATCTTAACTTTTTTATATCATATTAATAACCTATTGACCAATATTTGTAGTATGTCTAAATTAATAATATATAATTACTTTAAATAATATTCCCAATATGTTATTTTATTTGTGTTTAATAAATCCAATTCTTAAAAGTATTATCTAGCAATATTTTTATTAGACTACTAACATAATTCTTATTCATCAAAATATCCTTTATTACTTTTATCAATTTTATTATAAATTTATCTATCTTATTTAGGACAAACACTGTCTAAAAATTATCCCATCTCATTAACATCTATAAATCCATCTTTTAGTATATCAACCTAATAGAACATTTCATCTAATTCCTCTTAAGAAGGATCATGTTACAATTATTAAAATACAACCTCCATTTTAAATCTAAAAAATGCTTTGCTTATCTTTTATAAAGATGATTCAGGAAATATCTCATCAAATATCTATTCAGCAGTTAATTGAGATAATAATGAATATTTCCCTTTTTTAGTTGTTTCAACATCCTGACACACCATACTTTGACATGGAACAATAAAATTAAGACTTCTACTATCAGCAAATGATTCAAGTGTTTTCTGAGTTTAACAAGTAGCCATACATTATTTTAAAAAGTCAGGTGCAGTAAACAGATCTGCATATTTTTTCATTATATCATCTTCGGTAATCACAGGTTTATATTAATCCTCATCATTAGTAGCAACATATTATTATGGTTATTATCTTTCATTATTTTAAGTGTTTTAAAATTAAACATATTCATCTTCTTCATATTTTGTTAATATTTTAGATTAATAAATATTATCATTTTATTATTCATATTTTTATTTTATTTCTTATTAATTTTATGTTTATTGCTTTTCTTATTTACAATTTAATATGTCTTAATTTTATTATCCAAAACCACTACCTTAAAAATTATGAGACCCTTAAAGATCAGTTCCAATTTCTTGATATGAATTTTATAAGGGATGTTTTGATTCTTTTTTAGATTATGTTGACAATTTAATTTCTATTATTTCAGTATTATGATGTTAATGAATTCCAATATCTTTGGGCATTGACATGTAAGAATACTACCTTCTATGAAGATTCTATTATTATAAATCATCTTCTTTATCTTTATCTTTATTTTAATCCTTATCAGGTTCTACAAAAACCCAAGCTTAATCTTTTGTAAACTGTAATTAACAATAATTAATATACATTTTAAAAACTAGCTAGAACAATATCATCTCTCTTTTTTGTATATTCTTATTAATCAAATAATTTTTAGAAGTTCTCTCCTTAAGTGTATTACTTCAATTTTTGTTCAAATTATTCCAACTATTATCTTTATTATTCAATTTTATCTGGAGAAACACTTAATAATTAATTCTAATATATTTACAATTAAAATTCTGGAGAATTAGGACTATTTTATTTAATATCTTCATTGAATCTTGGAGAATTTTCTTATTTTGGAATTATTGACTATTTAGTTTATCTGCTTAAAGATCTTTTAGGTGGACTTACAAAATTTCTATTTTTTTAAATACTTGCAGTTTATCTAGAAGGAGTTCGTGAGGTTTTAGATTGAGAAATATTTACTTAATTTTCTTTTGATATTCTAGTATTAAATTAAATCTAAGTTTATTATTATTATTATTATTATTATTATTATTATTATTATTACTATTATTATTTGCCTTTAACTTTATTCAACAATTTCCTTAATTCTTATTATAATAATCTTAAATCTAAAATATTAATTGAATATTTATACCATTCTTCTTCTTATAAGTTGTAACTAATGAAATTATTTCTGAATTACTGTCTTTTATCATTTGTCTAAGAGTCAACCTGTCATCTTTCATAATTTCTAACTTAAAATCATATCATACATGCACATCTATCAATGATAGCCAGCAATTCAGCATTATCATGTTTAATGCGATTTTGAATCCTGAGCATTCTAAATTAATCAATTTTTCTGTTATTAATTATAATATTAAATATATATGATTAATATTAATTACTCATCTAATTAACAACATTTTTTAACTAATTTCTTTATCAATTCTTGGTCTCAATTCTTACTTGAATTTTATTATTAAGATATATGATTATATTAAATTAATATAATCTAAAATGATAATATTAAGATCATTCGAAGAAATTAAGTTTAAATATAAAGATAATATGATTAATCAAGTAATAATTTTATAAATCAGATCAAGTATCTATATTCTAAATGTGAATTATATACAGATTTATAAATATAATTATGAAATTCATATCCAAATAATGTTATGTTAATAATTATTTAATAAAATATCTAAAATGAGTTCAGATTCTGTAATTTAAGAAGCTCTTTCTTAATTTATAATGCTAAGAAGCCCATAAGAATTGGTGCATGAATTTAAGACTTAAACTTTAAATTTAGAATAGATAAGATAACTAGTGTAGGTGTTTGATCCAAATATTCCAAGTGAAGACATAAAACACTTTTATTTGAAAGTTATTACTAAATTCAAAAGTCCTGAAGGAATTACAGCAGATATTTATTAATAAATAGTGGATGATGAAGAATTTACATTGAGAGCTGGATCATCCAATTCTTATGAATCTTTACCTTTATTGAAAAATATTATTAGAGGAGTGCGAGAAAAGAAGGTCCCTATCTAGAGATTGTATAATTTCTATGACAAAAATAAAGATAAAGAACTATAAGATCCTGAATTCAGAAATTTATTAGAATTTTTTTACGTGGCAATTACAGATGCATAATTCAAAAAGCTTAGAGAAGAATTTCCTGATCATCCACTATCTGAGAATGTAATTGTAGGTCTTTTTGAAAAATGGTAAGAAATCGTTTTTGAAAATACTTAAGGTGATCCATAAGTGATTTTGGAAGCTCCATCAAGTATGAATATTTAATTGATTTTAGAAACATAAAATCTATTAACTGTACCTAAACAAAATCAAACAATTACTTTAGAATTAACAAGAGAAGAAGATGAAAGATTTAAAGATTTTATGGGAGTTGATTTTAAAATTCCTGGAGTTAAAGAATTGGCTGATCTTTAAAAAAGATGCTAATAAACATAAGAAATATTTACAGATCCTGATTTCGCTCCAAATGTAAAGAGTTTAGGACCTAAATTCAGTGGAAATAATTGGTAACGTTTATAAGAACTTTTTAAAGGAGAACAAAAAGTTTTTTCATTAGATACTTAACATGATAAAAGTGGTGTTGGTTTAAATAAATGGATATCTCATAGAGATATTTGTTAAGGAGATTTAGGTGATTGCTATTTTATGTCAACTTTAAGTTCTATAGCATGTAAATGGTATATTAGTAAATTAATAATTTTAGGCCTGATTAAATTAAAGATCTATTTCCTATTTAAAGAGCAAATAAATTTGGTGTTTATGGTGTTAAAATGTGTATTAATGGAGAGTGGAAGGTTATCCCTGTTGATGATAATATTCCAGTAAAAAATGGTAAAATTGCATTTACCAAAAATTCTGATAAGGAGATATGGGTATCATTGTTAGAAAAAGCATGGGCAAAAGTAAATGGATCATATACTAATATTGATGCTGGAGATCCTAGAGAAGTTATTAAAACAATAACAGGAGGTCCAGTTTGGTTATTATTAACAAACAAACCTAATTTCAAAGAAAATTTCATTACTTGTGTTAAATAAAAGTGTGTAATGGTAACTGGTACTTATAGTAAAAATGCTGATTATTCTGCCATTGGATTAGAACCAGGACATGCATATTCTATTTTAAATGTTAAGACTGTAAATCATCCATAAAGAGGATAAGTTCATTTATTAAAAATAAGAAATCCATGGGCTCGTAAAGAATGGAAAGGTGATTGGAGTGATGAATCAGAGTTATGGACTCCTGAATTAAAAGAGTAAGCTGGTAATACAGGAAGAGAGAATGATGGAATCTTTTATATGTCATTAGATGATTATACCAAATACTTCTTTTCAGTCTTTTGTGGATATTTCAAAACTGATTACATATACAATTCAATGAGATTTAATATCAAAAGAAACAAGGGAGCATATTTTGGATTTGAAATTAAAAAAGAAGGAGAATATTTCTTTGCCATTCATTAGGAATCTACAAGATTATATAGATCTCAACCAGAATTAAAATATGATTATTCTTATGTTAGGCTATTGTTAGCAAAGGAATTACAACATGGATATGAATATATAGAGGGCAAATTCTATAAAGATATAGAAACACATGTTGGTAGAGTAGGTGTAAATTTCACTCCTGGTAAATACATATTATACATAAAAATTAAATGGCATGTACCATCTTGGAATGAACATTCAGTTGTTTTGAGTACTTATGGAGAACAATATGTTTAATTGAAAGAAGTTCCTAGAGATCCNTTTAGGCCTGATTAAATTAAAGATCTATTTCCAATTTAAAGAGCAAATAAATTTGGTGTTTATGGTGTTAAGATGTGTATTAATGGAGAGTGGAAGGTTATCCCTGTTGATGATAATATACCAGTAAAAAATGGTAAAATTGCATTTACTAAAAATTCTGATAAAGAGATTTGGGTGTCATTATTAGAAAAAACATGGGCAAAAGTAAATGGATCATATACTAATATTGATGCTGGAGATCCTAGAGAAGTTATCAAAACAATAACAGGAGGTCCAGTTTGGTTATTATTAACAAACAAACCTAGTTTCAAAGAAAATTTCATTACTTGTGTTAAATAAAAGTGTGTTATGGTGACTGGTACATATAGTAAAAATGCTGATTATTCTGCCATTGGATTAGAACCAGGACATGCATATTCTATTTTAAATGTTAAGACTGTAAATCATCCATAAAGAGGATAAGTTCATTTATTAAAAATAAGAAATCCATGGGCTCGTAAAGAATGGAAAGGTGATTGGAGTGATGAATCAGAGTTATGGACTCCTGAATTAAAAGAGTAAGCTGGTAATACAGGAAGAGAGAATGATGGAATCTTTTATATGTCATTAGATGATTATACCAAATACTTCTTTTCAGTCTTTTGTGGATATTTCAAAACTGATTACATATACAATTCAATGAGATTTAATATCAAAAGAAACAAGGGAGCATATTTTGGATTTGAAATTAAAAAAGAAGGAGAATATTTCTTTGCCATTCATTAGGAATCTACAAGATTATATAGATCTCAACCAGAATTAAAATATGATTATTCTTATGTTAGACTATTGTTAGCAAAAGAATTACAACATGGATATGAATATATAGAGGGCAAATTCTATAAAGATATAGAAACACACGTTGGTAGAGTAGGTGTAAATTTCACTCCTGGTAAATACATATTATACATAAAAATTAAATGGCATGTACCATCTTGGGATGAACATTCAGTTGTTTTGAGTACTTATGGAGAATAATATGTTTAATTGAAAGAAGTTCCTAGAGATCCAAATCTTGTTCCTTAAACAATGATGCATTAAGTTAGATCCAATAATAAGGTGGAAGAAGTATTACCAGGAGTCATGATGAAGATGGACAATAATGGAAATTTAGGGTTAATTATTATTTACTATTTTTAGAATTGGTTACATATACTATAAGAATGAATCAACTCAATAGGTTAACTTTGAAACAAATTTAGTTAATAAGGGAGGATGTAAATTAACCAAACCTGAAAGAGGTTATTATTTCAAGAGTTTTATTCCACCACAAGGTGAAAGATTAGTCACTTTTACAATCACACCACCAATTACTGAATTGTCCATGCCTACATTAAGTCATAAATTATTATGATCTTTAATATTATTTAATCATCATCAATAATCATGGTTTTTTATTAGTTTATTAATTTAATAACTGATTAAATTAACTTAACAATTATATCCAAATTAAGTCATATGCTGTAATAATATACCATCAGATTTCAAATTAATTAGTAAACTATATTAATTAACAAATTTTAAATTGTGATTTTATCAATTTGAAATTTAATAAATATATATTTAAATATAAAATAACACTCAACTATGGACTGCAATTAACACTTTTTCCAGAGAAAATCAAGTTTAACTCCATCTTCTCCATAAAAAACAAGGTATACTATTCAATATCATTATAGACCTTTACCAAGTCCATCTTTAGAAAGTCTTGAAGAATTCAATTTAAATGACGTATAATCAGATTAAGAAAGCTCAAGAAAATCATCTGGATAAAAATTTGATAAACAAGTGTTAGTGATAGAATATTTGATCGAAAAACTAAGAGTCTATGAATGAGAACCTCATAATAAAATACTAAGTTTAATAAAAAAAACGAGAGAAAAAAAATTACTAATAATTGTATTAAAATCATTTTTTTTTCAATCGTTCTCATCATATTACAAATAAATTTAAGATTCCTTCTCTTTTTCACAAGGGTTAGTATTTGTTATATAAGTAAAAAGTGTAATTTTAGTTATTCCTATTTTTATAATTGTTTTTATTATTTCATTTATAATTATGGTTTGAACTTCTTTTGTAAAGCAAGCTTATTGAAATCTATATTAATATTGTAACATTTTGGAAGTTAAAAATTTGAACGATTACTTGGCGGGTAAGAAGAATTTAATAATTTTATTTGATATTATTATCTAAATTATAACTGATTCTTAAATCATCCTTATAAATAGTCGATCCTGATAGATATTTAATATTTAAATTCATTCAATATTCATTTTATTTGATAAAAATTATTTCTTGCGTTGAACATATGAATTTATCTTTTTACATATTGGTAGTTTAAATATTGAATGTATTTATTCCTTTTTATTTTCATTCCATATCTTTTCAACCTCAGGATCCAAAAATGCTAGTTAAATTAATAAATTACTTTTCGATTAAACTTCTATAACCATTTACTTTGATTACTCAATATCATTTTGTGTTGGAAATAGTTCTTATTTACAATTATCTATTGAACGTTTTATTCTTTCTAAAATTTGTTCTAAAATTTAAACATGCTATATTAATAATAAAATAAACAAATACTTTTTTTCTTTATTCATCCATTTAAGAATCTATTAAAAGTCCTTATTCACAACCGTATTTTTTACATTTTTTCATTTAAAATAAATGAATATCATCCAATTAATATTATTAATTGCAAATACTACAATACTTACTAGTTTAATTCTTTTCTTATTTTTCAACTTCTTTCTTTTCATATTTACACTTTTCTTCTAAAACTCTACATTATCTATCCAAACATTCTACAAAATCCTAATTTATTTGCATATTTTGAAAATGATTATCTCTTTAGAAATTATTTTATTTTCTTTCATCCAACTTTACAATACCAGCATTTTATAAATTCCTTAAATATAATAAATTTTATAAATACATAGCTGCTTGTCTCATATCAGCTAATCCCATTCTATCATATTCTTTAATCACAGCTTATAGATCTTAATCTGCCATTATCCATTTTCTTTTTTATAAGTAGATCATCAATACTACATAATCATTATCATCCATAAATGCTTCACACCACATTAAAGCTAATTCTCCAAACGGACCCCAAATTTTTATATTTTCTTCAAACATTAAATAAAAATATAATAATAATAATAATAAAACATTAATTAATAATACATGAATCCTCTCTAAAAACTTAAATAAATCTCAACTAATATTGATGAATCTTAGAATATGATTGAATAAGAAAATAAAACAACTTAGAATATAATTCAATGTCATTGTTGTAAATAGATTGTTGATTCTAAATATAGTAAACTTAATGCTAAATATATATGCTTCTAATGTTTAGATTAAATCTCTCTCTTAAAAGTCAGATATGATTTATAATCATAATCTAAATTATTTAAAAGTCCTGCTAATAAATACTATTGTAAATTAACTATGACACCTACATCTCAATTTGATTTTACTCTCTCTTAATGCTAAGTATGTTATTAAAATAAAATCTTAATCAAAGTGTGTGATAACAATCACTTTTTTTGTGAAGCATGCCTATAAACATTCATTTAAAATAATTTTTAGAATACTGTAAATTGCATTCAATTTAATTGTAAATCTAATATAAACTATCAACTAATGTATTTATACCTTGAACCTGATTAACTAATAAAATGGATACCTATAACACAATAAATACATTGTATAGGATAGTACTGTTCTGGGATTTGGTCTGTATGGCCTACCTATATCTAAAGTAATGTGGAAATCACTTCCTTTAATTAATGCAAATGTTAATTATGTCATATTTAATTCTGTTTTAAATGCAGAACTGTTCATACTGGTCTTATATGCAACAATGATATCTTATTTGAGAACTATCAAAAATAATAAAAATGTTTTAGATGTTATTGTTGTAACACTTTATGTTAACCTTAATTTTGTCATAAAAATGATGAAATCAAAAAATTTAAGTATCATATTTAATTTTATATTTAGAGAATGGAAATCAAATATTTATGAATGTTATATTTGTAAGAAACAATTTTGTTATGATTGCCAATCTTAAACTAGAATTACATTATTTTCAAATTAATAATGTGATAATTGTTTAAATACTTTTAATATTTAGAGAAAGAAATAAAAAAGAATTCCAATAATCAAGAAAATATTTTAATTTCTATTCACAGCATTAATCTTAGTGTTATTTTCAATATATTCAATGATCTTTATTTAAATTCCTCAAATAATAGATTATTTTGTAAATAAGATTGATCCCATATGCTAAAGTCAAAATCCTGTTAAGATAATTCTATTAATCATTAACATACCTTTTATTATTGTTATATTAGTTCTCGTTTACGCAATTACACTGATCCCATTAGCAATATATAATAGTTTTTAAACTTTTATAGTTAAAAAAGGAATTATTAATTATGATATATGATTGTTATTCAAAATAATTTAAGAATTCAATAAAAATAATATAAATAATTAATGAAAATCATTATTCTTTGTTTATTGTCTTTTAGTGTCTTATCTCAATTATCAAAGTAGACAGTCACACATAAAGTGAAGATTGGTGTAACAATTGATGGTAAGAATGAAGGAGAAATCACTTTGGGTTTGTTTGGAAAAGTTGTACCAAAGACTGTGGAAAATTTCAGAGCTTTATGTACTGGTGAAAAACCAGGTAAAAGCTATGCTGGTTCACCATTCCATAGAATTATTCCAAATTTTATGATATAAGGAGGTGATTTTACAAATGGTAATGGTACTGGTGGAGAATCAATCTATGGAAACAAATTCAATGATGAAAACTTTAATTTGAAACATGAAATCGGATGTATTTCAATGGCTAATGCAGGACCAAATACAAATGGAAGTCAATTCTTTATTACAACTGCTGATACTCATTGGGTAACCATTTTTATATATTCTTTTAGTTAAATGGAAAACACGTAGTCTTTGGAAGAGTCATAGAAAATATGGAATTAGTAAAAAAGATTGAAGCTTAAGGATCATAAAGTGGATAGCCTAAAACCAAAGTCATATTTGCCACTTGCAGTGCTGAAGTTGTCACAGATGAATTATGAGGAATTATAAAAGAGATTTATATTAATTCATTTTATATCTATTAATCATCTATCTATCTTAGGGTTGAATATGTCCATATTCTTGAAGTTTAATATCTCAAACACATAATGTCATAGCCTATCTTTATATTTTATTTGATTATACCAAATAAAGTTTATACACAAAAATCATTAACATTTTTTATAAGTTAATTATTGAGTTTTATTAATGAGTTTCAATCCATAACATAATTCTACAGATAATAAGAATACCCTTATTTTAGGATTCTATTTAGAATAATATTTTCTTTTTGTTTTATATGAACTTTTTTTTACAATTTAACATTCATAATTATTTTTAGTGAATTAAAATAACTTTAATTCTAATATAGACTAATAAATTATTTTGTTTATTAATGATATATGAATTATAAATTATAATATAATCTTAATACTAGAATCTGTTTCAAATTTCACCAATATTATTATTTATTCGTAGTGATTTTAAATATAAATAGAATATTCTAATTTCTCGATAGAAATATTAAAATTAGTATGAATTATATATAAATCAATAAAGGTTTTTTTGATTAATTTCCATTATTAAAATAATACTATTTGTAGGTGTTTAATAAGTTTAATATGGTTTTTTTATGTTGATTATAAATAGATTATATATTATAATATGAATAATAATATAATATAAAATGAATTATATCATAAAAATTAGACATAATTTATTATAAAAAGATTATGCAATTCTAAAATATAACAATATTATCATTTAAAAAAGTACTCATTGTTATTACTTTTATTTTGCGTTTGAAAAGTTTTATTAACCTTATATTTTTTTTATTTCAATAGGAGAATTTTTGGCACTTTGAGATATCTAAACGAAACTTTATTTTTTTTAACGACTTGATTAAATAGATTAGATCTTTGGAGTATCGATTAATGATATCGTAAGTGATTTTGGCAATCTTGCTGTTGATATTTCAATTTTTTCATGCTATTTATGAAATAATAAATGTATCTTTGCTTATTAAGATGTTATTCTACTTTAAGGATTTGAATCTATCATTTTTGATAATAAATCTTAACAATCATTTGTAATGATTAATTTCTTCAAATCTATATTGCTTAACATATTTTATTATAATTAAGTTGCATAATCAATCTTTTCAAATGGAGACTTTCCTCCATTAATTAACATATAAAATACTATACCAACACTATAGACATCTACTTTATAGTCATATATTTTATTCATAATAAGTTCTGGTGCTAAATATCCTGCTGTTCCACATCTAGCAAATAGGTATTGTCCATCTTTTCTATAAAAGTCTGCCAATCCAAAATCAGCTATTACAATATCTTCTATGTTTTATGCATAACGAAATATTAAATTTTCAGGTTTTAAATCTCTATGTATAATGCCTTTTGAATGAATATAAGCCAAAGCATCTATGATTTTATAAATAATTGAAACACACTGGTCTTAATTTAGTTTCTTCTCATTCATTAATTACTTTAATTCTCCACCTTTTAACAATTCATAAACCACANATTATAAATTATAATATAATCTTAATACTAGAATCTGTTTCAAATTTCACCAATATTATTATTTATTCGTAGTGATTTTAAATATAAATAGAATATTCTAATTTCTCGATAGAAATATTAAAATTAGTATGAATTATATATAAATCAATAAAGGTTTTTTTGATTAATTTCCATTATTAAAATAATACTATTTGTAGGTGTTTAATAAGTTTAATATGGTTTTTTTATGTTGATTATAAATAGATTATATATTATAATATGAATAATAATATAATATAAAATGAATTATATCATAAAAATTAGACATAATTTATTATAAAAAGATTATGCAATTCTAAAATATAACAATATTATCATTTAAAAAAGTACTCATTGTTATTACTTTTATTTTGCGTTTGAAAAGTTTTATTAACCTTATATTTTTTTTATTTCAATAGGAGAATTTTTGGCACTTTGAGATATCTAAACGAAACTTTATTTTTTTTAACGACTTGATTAAATAGATTAGATCTTTGGAGTATCGATTAATGATATCGTAAGTGATTTTGGCAATCTTGCTGTTGATATTTCAATTTTTTCATGCTATTTATGAAATAATAAATGTATCTTTGCTTATTAAGATGTTATTCTACTTTAAGGATTTGAATCTATCATTTTTGATAATAAATCTTAACAATCATTTGTAATGATTAATTTCTTCAAATCTATATTGCTTAACATATTTTATTATAATTAAGTTGCATAATCAATCTTTTCAAATGGAGACTTTCCTCCATTAATTAACATATAAAATACTATACCAACACTATAGACATCTACTTTATAGTCATATATTTTATTCATAATAAGTTCTGGTGCTAAATATCCTGCTGTTCCACATCTAGCAAATAGGTATTGTCCATCTTTTCTATAAAAGTCTGCCAATCCAAAATCAGCTATTACAATATCTTCTATGTTTTATGCATAACGAAATATTAAATTTTCAGGTTTTAAATCTCTATGTATAATGCCTTTTGAATGAATATAAGCCAAAGCATCTATGATTTTATAAATAATTGAAACACACTGGTCTTAATTTAGTTTCTTCTCATTCATTAATTACTTTAATTCTCCACCTTTTAACAATTCATAAACCACAAATATATGTGTTTCACTTTCATAAGTTTCCAAAAGTTTAATAACTCTAGGATGTTATACAATTCTAAGAATATCAATCTCTCTTAATATTGCATCAATCTCTATCTATTTTTATAAATTGCTTTTATCAAAAGTTTTAACTGCATATTCACTTTTATTTTATTTTTGAATAGCTTTGTAGACCTTTTAAAATATAAATAATATGTACCTTACCATATGTACCTTTGCCTATTAGGTTTCCAATATTATAATTGTTTAAGAAATCAACTTATATACAATGTAATTTCAATTACTCAAACCATTCTGTAATTTAACCATAGAATTCAAATTGAAAATTACCTGAAGTAATCTAAATCCCATCTCCATTTTAATAATGATGAATTTTTTTTAATACACAATTTTTGACATCCAAATACTTGATTTTGTTCTTCCTATATAAAGAATTATTTTACATTTTTACATTACTTCAGGATTCTTGAGCCAGTTTTTATTAAAGTCTTAAACTGAAATTCCTTCTTCTTATTAGAAAAAACATATAATTACAAAGTCTTAAAATCACTTGAAGGTTTCTCATTCAGTAATTCCCATTTTAGATTGTGATTAAATAAAGAACTCGGTTAAAAATTCATATGAATTAAATTATATAAATTAATACAACATTTATCAAGAGAATGGTTCGAGTTTTGTTTAAGATTGTACAGGTGATAATTATGGAGACCTATGTGAGAATGTTTACATTTTTTAAAATCCTCTTCTAATAGCCTCTTATTTCATATTGTTAATTGGTTTTGATGATAAATTTTATAATTTTGGTGATAATTATAAATATTTATCTAAATTGTTATTTGTATTTATTATAAGTCTTGGAGTTGATATTTTATCAATGCTTTTTGGAGTCTTTTTAATAATAATAGTGCATTTGCTGGCTCTATAATTTCTAAAAACCTAATGATTTAATGCAGCTCTGACTGATATTCTTTTAGTATTATCAGATTCAAGCATGCTTTATAATAAATTATATGCAGCTTCTGAAGCATTTGATACCAAAGAATAATCTATTAAATTTTTATAATTTTGAAACAATCTCTCTTCTGGATCTGTACTATTGAAAGGAGATTTGCCACCACTCAACATCATAAAAAGAATGACACCTGCACTATAAACATCTATTTTGTAATCATATATTTTATCCTATAATATTTCTGGAGCAACATATCCAGGAGTTCCACATCTAGTATAAATATATTTTCCATCAACCCTATAGAATTCTGCCAATCCAAAATCTGCAATGACTATTGATAAAGTGTTTTTATCTCTTAATAGAAGGTTGGAAGGTTTTAAGTCTCTGTGTAATATTCCTTTTGAATGAATATAAAGGAGTGCTTATAATACTTATTTAATTATTAATAAGGATTCCTCTTCAGAAAGATGTCTTTCTTTTATAAAAGTATATAATTCTCCTTGCTCCACCATTTCATAAATTAAAATAATCTGTTAATCACTTTCATATGTTTCAAAAAATTTAGTGATTCCTGGATGATTTAGACTTCTAATTATTTGTAGTTCCTTTGTTATCAATAAATAATCCTGATAATTAATAATGGCTTTCTTTTCAAATACTTTTGCAGCAAAGTCTCTTTGTGTAATTCTTGATTTTATCTTAAATACCTAAGATTTCTTATATAGTTTAATACTTTGCCAAATGTACCTTTTCCAAGTAACTTAGAGATACTATATTTGTTAGCAAAATCTTGCTGAATGCAATAAAATCTTAATTATTCAAGCCAGGTTATAGTCATTCCATATATTTCAATAAGCTGACCTGCTTTAGTTATTCTAATTCCTGCACCATAATTAGGTAGCTCAACTTCACAAATTGTTGCATTGAGAATATCTGCAATTTGATATTAACTCTTATAATAGAATGAAATATAATTACATTCTTTTTTCTTTTAAAAATGAAATGACTTTACAAGTATAAGGTCTTTACTTTATAGATTTTATGTTTGCATGAGTAAATATAAAAATTTTCTTAAAGAGACTCATTGATATTACGTGAAGCTGTTGTATTTTGCCATAAAGAGCCTTTTGAATTATCGAAAAAAGAAGTTGAGTTTACTTATCTCTTTATATTCATAATATTAATCAAAATACTCTAATAATTAATTCTAACTTTATATTATAAGTTATTTAAATATCTTTAAGAAGATAATAATACTTAAATTTTTTTTGTCCATCTATTTTAACATTTGAAGATGACAAATAGGTTTAGTGATTATATTTATAATTCAATTCATACAATCAACAAAATTAGTATAAAATATGATAATTCAGCAAAGAATAAACTATAATGTGATTTATAACTCGATATTATCATTAATTCATATTTGTATTGGTATTCTTTGTAAATTTTAAGTCTTCCCAAATGGACCTTATAAAGGAGAGAAACTTGGAGCATTTTATCTAGTTGGTGATTACAGAGGTGAGGCATATGGATTTACAAATCTACTCTTATAATCATTAGGGGATTTAGCCTCTTATTTTGGACTTTATAATGGTGAAGTTGTTCTTGAGTCCCCTTAAGATGGTATACTGCCTAAACTGCTCTAACTTCCATATTATTAGAAAACTGTTTAATGTTTTCTAAAGAATTAACTTTATTTAATTTGATCTATTGAATATCTTTTGATAGGGTTTGGGTCTAGCATTCCTCTTAATAATTCAAGACATTCAATTGAAAATTGTAATTTTGTTAAGTCTACCCATCCATTAAAATTTGCCATAACTGTCTAATCATAATTATTTGAATCAAATGGTCCTTTGCCTACTAACAAATAATAGAAAAGTATTCCACAACTATATATATCAACTTTATAATCATAAATTTTATCTTGCAATAATTCTGGTGCTACAAATCCAGGAGTACCACATCTAGTAAACATATATTTACAATCCTTTCTAAAATAATCAGCCAATCCAAAATCAGCTAACACTACCTATTCTATCATTCCTTACTCTCTCAAAATGATATTTTCAGGTTTTATGTCTCTATGAATTATACCATGAGAATGTATATATTGTAAAGCTTCAATCACTTATTAAATAATAATGAAAGCTCCATATTCTGAAAAAGTTCGAGTCTTTTTCAATTCTTAATGAAGCTCTCCTCCATTGAATAATTCTTATACAATAAATATATATTGTTCGTTTTCATATGTCTCAAGAATTGAAACAACATTTTTATTATTCATTATTCTCATTAATTCAATCTCTTTAAGTAAAGCTGGTCTATCTTGTGTTTTAAAAGTGGTTTTATCAAATAACTTCACAGCAAATTCTTTTTTATCACTTAAACTTTAAATTTTATAAACCTAAAAGATCAATTTTCCTTTTACCTTAGCAAAACTGCCCTTTCCAACTAGTTTAATCATGCAGTACTCTTTCTAAAAGTTTGGTTATATACACCATTTTTTCATATAAGAGTACCAATGGTCAACAATTCCATAAAATGTAAAATTTGCTCCGTTTTTAGTTATTGAAATTCCTGTTCCTAATTGAGTATGATTCACTAATTCAAGTAAAGCATTTGTAATATTGTAATATTTTTGGTTCGATTTCTTTGAAATATTAAAATAGATTATACCTTAGAACTAAATTTGATCAAGTAATTTCGTTGAAGTACTAGAGTCTTTAACTTAAACTTATCATTTTTGAGAATATAAAATTGATCCTTTAAGGATTTTGAAAATATTTCAATAGGCCTTTTCAACTCAAAAGGAGAGGTAAAATCAAAGAAGGACTTTTTTTCTTAATTCATTTCTCAATTTATTATTAATAAATCTTACAATTAAACTTATTTAAAATTTAAAGCAAGCGAATAAACGCAACAATCCCTACAATACTAAAACAATAAAAAATATATAAAATAAATTCTTAATACTATATAATACTAAAAATAAAAACAATAATAATGGTTTTAGTTTTTGACATTTTTAAAAGTTATTATGATTTAATTTAGAAAAATATAGAGACATATGACAATTAGTTAATACAATAAAATTATCATGAATTTTTTAAATTGATATAATTATTTTTATCAGATTTTTATATAATCATTACCTAACATTATTAATTAATCTTGACTAGAATTAGATAATTTCTATCTTGATGTTTAAACCTTCTAATTTTTTCATAAATTATCATTCTTTTTGTAAACAGTGTTGATTATAAATTTTCAATATTCTTCTGATAAAACTTTATTGATTAAATCTTTCATTCATAAGGTGAATTTTATGTTCTATTTAATAATAATACATTTATATATATAGTTAGTAAATAAACCCAAAATTATTTTTGATTTATAAATATTTTTTGTTCATTACTTTTAAATAAGCTTTCAATATAGAAACTATTAATTTATGTAGAATTAAAATAATAATAATATATTAGTGAAGTTTTATAATTAAAAAAACAAGTGTCTTTTGGAAATTAATATTTTTTTTACATTTCATCTTGAGCCATCTTTTCCTGAGATCAATCATATTTTTAATGTGAAGCTTTAAAAATTTTTAATTTTTTCTTCAGTATTAAACATAACAATTTTATCATTTTAAAAATGTCCAAAATCACTGTTCCCAAGACTTTAAATGGTAATTCTGATATATTATTATTCAATAAATAATTTATAATAATACTTTATTAAAAAATAACAACTAAATCACAAGTAATCAATTAGTTAACAGATCAATTATACTTTTTAAATAGCATTCAGAAAAACTCTAAGTTAATATTATAAAATGAATTTATTATTCTAAGTTTTATATTTAAAATAATTAAAAACTTTAAGGATTAAAGTAAAATGTTCAAAAATACATTGATCAATTTATTAAATAATATAAATTAAATAAAACAATAAAAGTATCTAAATAATAAAATTATGTTGAGAATATTGAGCAATTTAAAGTATATAATTCAAATTAAACTATGAGATTTAATTCATATACATATTTTTAGTTTATTTGAAAAAGTTAAGCTTACCAAGATTATATCCAAATTCATATCAAATTTAAAAAAAAAATCGTCAGCTGCAGGATTTGAACCTGCGCGGGTAAACCCAGTGGATTTCAAGTCCACCGCCTTAAACCACTCGGCCAAACTGACTTCTATGCTAGTATTTATCTTCAAAATTTAATATATTAATATTCTATATATAATACATATATTTTATATTATTTAAAATGAATAATTTAGAGTATAATATTATCAAATTTTCATATATTAATTTCTCTCTAATTTATTTAGCCTTGATAAATGATCTAGATGAAATAGATTTTTGAGATAATACCACTAATCATTTAATTCATAAATATGAAATTATGTACTTAAATAATTATGAAATAAATTAAACTTTGAAATTAATACATTAATGGATAGAATAAGCTGACTAAAGATATTATTCATTTAATTTTCTAACTTCATTCCTAGTTTATTAATAATTATTAACTTTTTCAAAAAACTAGCTAATTAAAAGGAAAAATAATTTAATATTTTGGAGCACAGCTTTTCTTTAGAATATATTATATTTTACATCACAATAACTTTGGGTAGTTTGATTAATCCAATCTTATCTTAAGGGCTAAAAAATTTAAAAAAAAGTATAATTATTTGTCCAAATCTAAACAATAAATTTTTAGAACTTAATTAAAACCTTGTTCCTAGATTAAAAAAAGCCGAATTTTTCTACTGTATTAATATAAATAGAAGAATTAAATTGAATTTTTATGCTTTCTTAGTAGCAATAAGTAAATCTCAACTAATTTATAGTAATTTTAATGGAATTTTTACATATAAAATCTTTGGTATGTTATTCCTATCTATAAGAATGGACTATTTATTAATCATGGTTGCTTTTTGACAACTCGTGGATTAAAAAATTATTAATCAAAAACGAGTGTACAAGCTACGAATATAATAGTTTAATAACAAATTTTTGAGCTACCATTACATAATTAAATCAATCTATCATTTATGTTTTGGATGTAATTATATAATAATTAAGATATTCTAAACTCTTCCAGTGAAGGTTTTGAATTTCATTTATACGTTGATAACTAAATTATATCTGTTTTTTAGACTTCCTTATATAGTCTAATAAACTCATCTTGATCGATTAGATCATATTGGATATTAGAAATATCTGAAATTATTGTTCATTTGAGTACTTCAATTTAAATTACANAATTTAATATATTAATATTCTATATATAATACATATATTTTATATTATTTAAAATGAATAATTTAGAGTATAATATTATCAAATTTTCATATATTAATTTCTCTCTAATTTATTTAGCCTTGATAAATGATCTAGATGAAATAGATTTTTGAGATAATACCACTAATCATTTAATTCATAAATATGAAATTATGTACTTAAATAATTATGAAATAAATTAAACTTTGAAATTAATACATTAATGGATAGAATAAGCTGACTAAAGATATTATTCATTTAATTTTCTAACTTCATTCCTAGTTTATTAATAATTATTAACTTTTTCAAAAAACTAGCTAATTAAAAGGAAAAATAATTTAATATTTTGGAGCACAGCTTTTCTTTAGAATATATTATATTTTACATCACAATAACTTTGGGTAGTTTGATTAATCCAATCTTATCTTAAGGGCTAAAAAATTTAAAAAAAAGTATAATTATTTGTCCAAATCTAAACAATAAATTTTTAGAACTTAATTAAAACCTTGTTCCTAGATTAAAAAAAGCCGAATTTTTCTACTGTATTAATATAAATAGAAGAATTAAATTGAATTTTTATGCTTTCTTAGTAGCAATAAGTAAATCTCAACTAATTTATAGTAATTTTAATGGAATTTTTACATATAAAATCTTTGGTATGTTATTCCTATCTATAAGAATGGACTATTTATTAATCATGGTTGCTTTTTGACAACTCGTGGATTAAAAAATTATTAATCAAAAACGAGTGTACAAGCTACGAATATAATAGTTTAATAACAAATTTTTGAGCTACCATTACATAATTAAATCAATCTATCATTTATGTTTTGGATGTAATTATATAATAATTAAGATATTCTAAACTCTTCCAGTGAAGGTTTTGAATTTCATTTATACGTTGATAACTAAATTATATCTGTTTTTTAGACTTCCTTATATAGTCTAATAAACTCATCTTGATCGATTAGATCATATTGGATATTAGAAATATCTGAAATTATTGTTCATTTGAGTACTTCAATTTAAATTACAATTTTTCCTAAATGGAGGGAGTGAGGTTTTAAGAATTTTATTCAGATGCGAATCTTTAAAATAATATTAAATAGAAATAGGAATTAATTTATTTATCGCTTAATAAAATATAATTTTCTTCAGAATGAATGACTAACAGCATAATTCTCTTTTTGTTTGAAACATCTTTAATAAATTAATAGTAATAAATATGTTTAATTTTTTTTCTTATAAATTTAAGTAAATGTCTTTAAAAAAATTAACAAATATAAGAATTTCATTTAATTTTTGTTTGAACTTTAGTTTATAGTCTTATATCAATAAAATAAAAGCAGAATAAAAAGAATTTTTATAATAGAAAGATTTTTATTAAAATTAATAACGGCTATTTTTTTGATAATTAGGTATTGTTTGATCCAATATATTATAAATTGAAAGAATGTATAATTTAACTATGAAATTATTAGTAACGATAGCAATAGATAAGATTTTATTTAATATTCATAAATTAAAATTATAATTGTAAAATGAATTTATCAAGTAATATCAAAAACATGATGAATAAAAAAGAATGTGTAAAATGAATAAAAATATGTTAAATTATATATGATATGGATATATATTTGATATTTAAATCTATCATTGAAGGAATGATGATGATACTTCATCCAAGGAAGGCATCTCAATATCTGGGTTTTATTGGGGCTCTTCATCGGAGTTCTAGACTTCCTCTAATGCGCCATCTCCTTCTGTAACAACTGGAATATAATAGGATTCATTGACATCATCTTAAGCTACATCTGGAGCTTAGTAATTTGATTCTGCTTGCATCTCAATATTGGGGACATTATTAAAGTCTTCAGCAGTTAATAAAGCCTATTGGATTTATTATTCAGTCATTAATTCGGAAGAAAGCTAAATACATAATAATTTATACATCTTCATCTTAATTCATAAGAATGAATTGATCAGTTTCTTATTAAATTTGAACAAATCCAGTTGGTTATTGACTGTGTAGGATAGCTCTTTTCAAGCTGCTGTCTTATTTACTCTAAGCTGTCTTAAGTTATTGAGTTCTGGGACTAGTAAAAGAATCGACATCATATTCAATTTATGCATGTGATTATTAATATGCCTTGTTGTCAATATGAATTAGATTAGATGTTGTTCTATATTAGGAATGGTTTATAAAAGTACTTTCTCTTTTTTTGTGCAGCCATCACTGTGAGGGCTAATACTACGATAACTAGTACTCTCATTATCGTTTTTTAGAATAATATATTAATTAAATGAATTTTGATTCATATAAGAATGAAACTAAGATTAAAAAATGGAGCTTGATATAAGTAAGACCACCTGCTAATTAAATGAATGGTACATATCTATAAATCATATTTTAGACAGATAAATTGTATCTAATATTCCAGATATGGCTGTACCAGACAATAAAATAACAACCTCAAAATATTCATCTATTATTACATTTATTCCTTTAAATTTGATAGAGTAGTTCTCAAAGTTAGTGAATTTTTACTTTTTATTCATTGTTATCATGCAAATGATTCCATCAATTAGTATAACAAATGGTTAACCTGTGATTATGGGACCATTATCAATATTTATTTTCATATCGATGATAAAAGATTTTGTTGAAGATAACTAGAAGCATAAATCAGACAATGATGAAAATAATCGTAAAACTTATTTAATTCGTGCAAATGAAGCTCCAAAAGAAGTTATATGGAGTTAGTTAAGGATTGGAGATTTAATTAAAGTTCAGAAGGATGAACAAATACCTGCTGATATCTTAATTATACAAACATCAGATAAAAAAGGGAATGTCTTTATTGATACTAAAAATTTAGATGGAGACACCATTTTAAAATTAAAAAATATTCCTAAAAATCTATAATATTTTCAAGAATAAAGTTAAAATGCTCTATCAGAATTAAGAATGACAATAAATTATGAAAGGCCAAATCCATATTTATATCAACTTACAGGATCTGCTGAAATAAATAGTTAACAAGTTTCTTTGAGTCATAAAAATTTCTTATTAAGAGGTTGTGTTTTAAGAAATGTGGATTATATTTATGGAATTGTTTGTTATAATGGACATGACTCAAAAATTATGCTTAATTAAGTTAAGATATAACCTAAGAGTAGTCATTTAGAAAGAACAATGAATTAGTATGTTATTGCGATATTTCTATTTTAAGTAAATATTCTGTATGATTAATTTTTAGATTACCATATGTGGGTTAGGAGGATATTTAAATTCTTATTGGTAACAGATACATAATTCTTAATTATCATATTTAGATATCTTAAATACAGATCTTGAGTATAATTTTATTAAAAATCTATTTGTAAGTACTAAAAATTAATTTTAGATAAAATGGGGTAATTGGATTCTCATTTTGGCTAACTTTGTTCCAATCTCTTTAATAGTTTCATTAGAAATAGTTTAATATTTCTAAGGAATCTTGATAAACATGGATTAAGGAACATATTCAGCTGAAAATGATATTAGAAGTGTAGTCCAATCTTCTAATTTGATTGGGTAACTTGGTTAAGTAGATTATATATTTTCTGATAAAACAGGAACGTTGACTAAGAATTAAATGGATTTCAAATGTCTTTCAGTTAATGAAAAATCATATGGAAAGGAAGTAACATTAACAACTGAAGAAGTGTCAAAATTATCATAAGTTTCAAATGTTGACTTTAGAGATAAAGCATTCTTTGATGATTTAAATTAAAATCCAGGAATGGGACCATTACATGAGTTTTTACTTTGCTTATCATTATGTCATACAACTATTACTGAAAAAAAGAATGGGTAACTTTTTTATCAAGCATCATCCTCTGATGAATTAGCCTTAATAAATTTTGCAAGATATTGTGATTATACTTTTGAGAGGTCTGAATCATCCAAAAATATAGTAGTCAATATAAGAGGTGACATAAAGAACTATTAATTGTTACATGTATTTGAATTCGATAGTATAAGAAAACGAATGTCTGTAATTGTTTAAGATGAATCTAATCAAATTATATTATACACAAAGGGAGCTGATTCGATTATTCGAAATTTAATGAAACCAAATGCTCTTTAATTATAAGAAAAGACTTGGAATGATCTATAAGAGTTTGCATCAATTGGCTTAAGAACACTTTTATTAACTAAAAGAATATTACCTTTATAAATTTATAAAGAATGGGAAATAAGTTATCTATAAGCATGTGCTGCTGTAGAAAATAGAGATAATTTAATGACGAACTCCTAAACAAAAATTGAATAAGAACTTGAACTTATTGGTGGAACAGCTGTTGGAGATTAATTATAAGAAGATGTAGGACAAACTATTCAATATTTAAAAGATGCTGGCATAAAAGTATGGGTAATGACTGGAGATAAAATAGAAACTGCTATCAATTTTGGTTATTCTTGTTAATTATTAAATAATTCCTTATAATAATTTATAGTTGATGGATCTAATGAAGAAATTATTAGCAATTAATTAGAAAAAGCTATTTAGAAAAGTCAAAATAATAATAACAACGCCTTAGTGATTTCTGGCAATGCTTTAATTATTGCTATGAAACCAGAAATTTCATCAAAATTAATGTAAATTGCTGAAAGATGTGAAGCTGTAGTAGCTTGTAGAGTTTCACCAAAATAAAAATAAGAAATTGTTTCTTTAGTTAGATAAAATAAACCTAATGTGACTACTCTTGCTATTGGAGATGGTGCTAATGATGTTAATATGATTACAGCTGCTCATATTGGAATTGGAATCAAAGGAGTTGAAGGTTAACAAGCAGCAAGAGCTTCTGATTATAGTATTGGTGAATTCAGAATATTAAAAAGATTAATACTTTATCATGGAAGAGAAAGTTATAGAAAAAATTCAAATCTTATATATTACAATTTTTATAAAAATATCCTTCTAGTCCTACCTTAATATTGGTGGGCTGTAAACAATGGATTTTCTGCTGTTATGTTTTATGACTAGTTACTCTATCAAAGTTACAATTTGATTTTTACTAGTCTTCCTATTATATTTTATGGTATTTTCGATGAAGAATTCTCTGGTGATATACTCACTTCAAGTAAACATAATTCTCTATTGTAGATCCCAGTTTTTATAAAATTGGTATTAAACACAAATTATTCAATACTAAAATATTTTTGTATTGGGTCTTAAATGGTACTATTTAGGCTGCCTTTTTGTCATACATAACCTTTCAGACTTATGAAATTTCCTCTATTTATAATGGGATGATGACTGGATTATGGACTACAGGTGCCATTGTATTAGGGTATTCAGTTTTCATTAGCAATATCAAAGTAATTAATTCCATAAACGAAATTAGATTATCTTAATTAGTAACACTTATTCGATTGGAGTTATTATGGGACTTTTAGCATCGGTCTTCATTTACATACTTTTATTTATTTTTGTTTCTGAGAAAATGGCAAATTCTGATATTTTTAATAGCTATAGTATTAGTTTTTCTAATCTGAGATTTAACTTGACTTCATTGTTAGTAATTGGAGCTACATCAATTCTTGATTTTTCTTTGATTAAATTAGTTTAGTGGTCTTAGTATGCTCATGTAGAAATATAACATGATAAAGTTTATATGCCGATTAAAAAATAGCACATAGAATTACAAGATGAGCAATAATTGAATTAACCTTTCCCTAATACACAATTTTAAATGAATAACTAATCAGTTTCCAAAGGCTCAATTAAAAAAGGTTAGATCAATCTTGCTTTATCTTCAGAAGATAATTGATGTTGAAATAAAAATTGTTTCGTATATAAAATTATATCAATATTTCAACAATTATCAAGGAGATTGTATTAGGATCAGATCCTTAACTATAGTTATAAATGATTAAAAAGATATGATTTTTTATGAGATAGGATATGATAGTTGATTCAAAATTATAATTACTAATAAAAATTATTATTTCCTTATAAATTTTGTTAATAGATATTATAACAGAAATAATATCAAGAAGTCTGAAGAAGTAGATGAAATCTTATAAATATAATTAATATAGTGAATCTAAAACTTTTGATATTTCAAAATACTCAAAAATAAAACAAAAAGATTCTATAAATTTTTAAAGATGGTAATATTATAAAATGTGTTTATTCTTAAGGTTGACTCCTAATAGACTTGACACTGTTTAACTAATTAGATTGCAAATTCTTATATGATAGATTTAGATAATTGAACTGATAACAAATACGATTATATTATAACAAAATATATAATTTTTATTTCTCAATTCTATGAAATCTTCATTCAAAATGCTTAAATGAAAGAAATGCAAAATTAAGAAATCTCATAATTATATATAGTTATTTTATTTTTAATGTTAATTAGTATTTTTAAGCATATTTCATAAATATGAATAGTATAATATTGAATATGTATTTTAAATATATTCTCTAAAGATAACAAATCTTTATAATATTTTACAACTTTTAAACAATATAGCAGCCTAATTAATGATTTATGTTATCTATTATAGATTTCTTTTATATTATGTCAGTTATTATTTTGATTCTTATTGATAATAATAATAGAAAATAGATTATATTACTAAATTATGTCTTTTAGTTAAGAAACTTCTCTTATAGTTTATGAAGACCATCAGAAAAAAATCAAAAAGATTAAAAAAGATCAATATGAATTAATATCTCTCACTTTAAAAAAGATAAGTATGCCAAATCAAGAATTCGAAAAACTAAAATAATTTAGGTTCATGAACATCCTTCCCTATGAAGAATATTCGGAATATAAAAATATCCATACTTTAATATATCCAGATTATTAATAACACATATTATAATATAGTCGAATAGATCATAATGTAGCCAAAATAGTGGTATTATAATTAGCCTTATGTAAAATTATATTTACACTTAGTATTTGCTGAATTAGAAAATCGAAAGCTAAGATGGAATTTAAATTCTATTAATTAATTATATTTCTATGAAGGCCTTGTTTATCTTTCTTTGCTTGAATATGACTTTGTAAATACAGATTTTACACTATCTTAATTTGAAATATTTAAAAAATTCGTTTTGAATCATTTTGCCTAAGAATTTAAAGAAATTGTTGCTGTAATTTAAGATAATAGTTCTTTTAAACCTATTATAACATTTCTTTTAAAAATTAATGGGAATTTTGATTAAATTGATCACTACCATACTCCATATCAAAATGTACTGTAATATTTATTCAAAATTAATAAATTTTAAACTATATATGATTGTCATCAATCTGTAGTAAAGTGTTTTGCTAGACCTAAAAATTTTATTTTGGCAGATAAAAATTAAGATTAAGAAATGGTTTACAAAACTCAACGAATTATAGTAAATAACGAATTTTCTTAAACTAATACATAAAGAGAAATTGAATTTTTAGAAAAATTATATAAAAAAAACTTTATTGTTAATGGATTTGCTTATTTGAGAATAAATGATTACGTTTTTATTTTCATGAGAAAATATTATGGTACTCTTGCAGATAAATTAAAAAATTGGAAATCTTAAAATATAGATTAAAAGATATCCATTCGAGATATCTTTAAAATTAGCTTTAGATTTTTATCTTGTAATTATCAATTATTAAAATAGCTCTTATGGAATTATAGAAGTTGAATATTATGCATAGAGATTTGAAACCAGAAAATTTATTCTTAGATAATTAAAATTTGGAAGAAGCTAATATTGCAATTGGTGATTTTGATCGTTCAAAATCAATAGAAGGTTTTACAAATGATTAAATGACTTTTGAACGTTAGAGCAATACTTAAAAATATGATGCTCCTGAAACATTTTATTCCTTAAAATATGATATTTTTCAGTATGCATTAATCATTTTAACCGTTGCCAATAAAGGGAATTATATTGGAAATTAACAAATAGGTTGTAAACATATAAACAATGAAGAACACAATTCTTACTATAGTGAACAATCTTTATTTTAATATTTGGCTCATACTTAATATCCTCAATAATTTATTAAAATTATTAGTAGTTGTTTAAAAAGAAATCCTAATGATAGGCCAACAATTGAATAACTACATTAATAAATAAGTTAATTATATTTCCAAAATACAATTAGAATTCAATCAGTAAATTATAATTAACAAATTAATCACACTGTTATCGGTGAAAAACCATAAACTCTACAATTATAATCATAAGTAAGTCCATAAAATTCCCCAATTATTGCATAATAATAATAATAATAATAATAATAATAATAATAATAATAATAATAATAATAATAATAATAATATGAATAATAGAAAAAAGGCAAAATTAAAATATACGAAATACAATGATTAAAATTAATTTAAAACATACTAAATAAGCTTATAATGGTTATTTATGATAAAATGATTTCTTTCTTTTTTTATAATGATTTTTAGTTTGAGCTTGTTTATTTTTTATAGCAACCAGAAATTTTCTAATACAAATTAAATAATAAATCTATAATTTGTATTAGAAAATCATTTAAAATGGTTTAAAATATTATTTTTATATTTTCTTATATTGTATGTTAATATCAATTGATTCTAGACTCCAAAGATGTGATGTCTCTTTCTTCAATCACATTTCTTTGTTAATTACTTTAAAATGGCTTTCTCTTTTTATACTTCCAGATGCCTAAAGCGATAATACCTATAATGATAAGTGCTCCTAAACAAATAATGATAATGTAATAATAAGGCAACCCAGCATCATCTTCTTTTGGAATTTCTACCAATTTTTAACATTGCCCTTAGTATAATTAAAATTCAGATTCACATATTAAACATTTATCATTAGATTAGCATTCACTACAATTATGAGGACATATAAGAACACATTCCATATTATCTGAGAGTGTATACCCAACTTCACATACAATTTAGGCACAAGTTTGATTGAGGGTAACTTCATATCCTAATATGCATTCTTAACATTAATTTGGAATTGAACATGAAAGACAATTTAATCCACAATCTATTTAACAGAAATCATTTTCAACATAGTATCCAGGCGCACAATTTTAACAAATAGTGCTACTCAAACAAGATAAGCAATTCAATGAACATATAATAGATGTTTGATTATCTTCTATGATTGGATTTTGAATAATTAGATTAGATATGTTGAACTATTGTAAATAGAAATTGTCTACTGAATTATTACCAGCAGCTGTCCATGTAATATAAAATTCATTATCATTTAAAATTTAAACACTTGGATTTTTAGGATAAAGTCCTTATCTCTTAACCTAAGTTTAATTTGAAATTTATAGTCCATCACTATCAAATATCTAAAATACAATATCCTTAGATTTTAGAGATTTATCAACTGTTCTCCAAGCAATTATAAAACCTTACCCAAATGCTGTAATATAAGGATGTTCTTCTCCATAAGAAGGATTAGCGAATACTTTTGGCTCAGACAAAATTTTTTCTAAATTCATGATCTGATATGATAATATATATTAAGGAGGTGATACATTAGTGCTAACAGCTTCAAAGACAAAAACAATAGATTTATTTTTCAAATTAGTAGATTTGAATGCTTTTCCTTCATCAACTTTTTAAGGTTTTGTAATGATATCACCTTAAGTTGTAATTTAAGTTATGAATGTAGCACCTTCACTTGAAAATGTAATAGATATCAAACCATCATCATCACTAGATATCATAGGTACTTTAGAAGTATCTGCATTATCTAAAACCTACATTTATCCAATAGGTTGTAGATTATTACTAAAGGATTATAAAAACATAGTTGCTGTAGAAATAGAATCTTAAACTTAATTGAAGTAACCAATAACAAAATTATTGTTTGATGTTTTTTTAATAATGCAAGGAGCTGCAATGCTATCTAGATTTTATTTTGGTAATTCAGCAAATTAAATTGATTTTGTTAAGGCTTGACCATTGACATCAAATTTTTTAAGATTTACTTTCATGTCTCCAACAATTTAATCTACCCATAAAATAACAAAGTCTTAATCAAATGTAGCTATATCTGAAAAGAGTGTTTTTACTTTCTAATTAGTGGATACAGATTATAAAAATCTTCTAGTTCCTAATTCATCCATATTTACTTAGGTTTTAGTTCCTATCTTTTGTCCACTCTTTCTATACAATTAGAAATATACACCAGCAAATGGTCCTTCTTCAGACCATAAAGCAATATAATCTCCATTTGGGAATGTTGCAATTAAAGGATCAGATATGCTGACTTCACCAATTACATCTTCAAGTAAAACACATTCAGTTTTTGTTTTACTCCAATAATAAGAATCCTCACATTAATTACAAACAGGAGGAGCTGTACAAACTGAACAATGGGGTCCACATGTTCCAATACATTCAGTCATATCTTATAGACTCTAATAAAAGTTTTTAGGACATTATAAACAATGTTGGAAAGTATTACATAATGAGCAACTTTCTTTACATATATTCTTTTCACATTGATTATTTGATTTAATTGAATAACCTTCTTTACATGATGAACATATTGTTGGAGAACTGCATACTAAACATGTTTCAGGACATTAAGGTTCACATTTATATGTATTTGGATTCAAAGCATAATTATTAATACAAGTTTAACATGTATATTCATTTTAACATGTTCCACATTCCACTAAACAAATAAGAGTTGGAGAAGGTAGTAATACATTTTGATCTGTAACTCTCAAGTAATAATATTAATATTTTATTTATAAAGTGACTGTTGTATAAGAGGAGAGCCAATGTATAGCTATTTAATTGATATTGATGACTTTTGCATAGTATAATTTAACATTATTACTAATTGTATTCAATTATTAAGTTTAAGATATAAATATTCCTGATTCATCATAAAATGAGATAGTCAATTATGAATATGTAATAGAAATGAAATTATTCCAAATTATAGCAAATTTACCTTATAAAATTATCATTTGAGGATTCTCCAATTTTCCATTTGAATCAGCAACTATTTAATAATCAGTAATTCTTTAAAGATCACTATTTAATATAGTATAATAAAGTTAATTCCTAGAAGTCAAAGATTAATTTGAACCTGTCCTCCATGTAATAACAAAGTTACTATTTTTAAGTTATTTTATAGTGAAGGATTCTATAAAAACAATAAATTATACAGAAAATTAGTTTTCTGATGATCTAACATATTAGAAATCTAAGTTATAATGATATAATCTCATAAGGTAATCTTAATTAATTTCTATAATAATAATGGAATCAAAGTTGAAACAAATTTATCCATATCTTAATTATCTTTGAATTTCCAAAAGTCTTTCAGGCAAATAAATTCTTAAATAATCTTTACTTATTTTATATTAGTATACTTCATATTTCAAATAATCTGATCTATGTGAATAAATAACCTAATAGTGACTATTTTAATAATATAAATAAAGAACAAAATCACCATGTAAATTTATATAATTTGAATTATAAGGTAATTTGTCTATCTATTTTTCATATTCAATAATTGTTAATTCATAATTAATAGTTATCAATTTTATTAATACATATTCTTATTCTATATATTCTACCCAATATATTTGTATTGAATTATCTTCTCTAATTAAAATATCAGATGATACAATCTAAGACTTTAATGATACTAATTTTATTGAATTTGTAAATTCACGTTGATTTGAATTTTGAATCAATTATAGATTTATATTCAAGAAATAAGAATCAGCTTAAAATGTGACTGTTCCTGAATATATTAAAACATCACTTTCTCCAATAGTAGCACTAGATGAAAAACTAGGTAATTCATCAAATGGAATTTTTAAAATAGGATCTTCTGGTAATAATTCAGAAGTGATTGTAGAACATAATCCTGATGGATTAAGTTTATATCCATCTTGACATAAATCACAGAAATTAGGTTTTGTACATTGACTACAATTTGAAGTACATTAAGGTGAACAAATACCATCAACTAATAAATATTGATCTGAACATTTAATACAAGTTGTTGATGAAGAACAACTCTTACATTTATTTGGACATACTATACCATCTATCAATTCTTTAGAACCATCAGATCCAAATTTCATCATAAATATTCCTTTTTTCTCATCTACTGATGGTTTATATCCATCCCAAATAATTATAAATTTATCATTATTCAAAGCTGAAATTTAAGGATATTCAGTATTAATTGTCAATACATTAACTTCTATTGATGATCCTAAAGGAACTCCATTGGTATCAAACATCTATGCTCTTAATTTTCTTGATCTTAAAGTTTCAAAATCCTAATTTTACCAAACAATAACAAAACCATTAGATAATGCTGTAATATCTGGATTATCTGCTTTAGTATTCAAAGATTCTACTTCCAATATAGATCCTAAAAGATTAACATTAGTATCAAAAAGAGAATAATAAATTCTATTATTTGCACTCCAACAAATAATATATTCTTATTTTGAATTTGAAGTAATACTTGGTGAAGATATTCCATAAATTGAATGAGTTATACTTGTTAACTCAAAACCTTCAAAATCATATATTGTAGCTGCTAATTGATCAGCATCTTTATAAACAACAACAAAATTGAGACCATTAGAATTAATAACAATTTCATTGTTGAAATAGGGTCTACTAATTTCATTTTTTCTTTTTTGTACTCCTTCATTATTGAACAATGATACAAAAATTGAAGTTTAATAGTTTTTAGTATTGATCCATGCAATTACAAATTCATTATTACTCAATCCTTATACTACTAATGGTCTATCATAATATTATTAATAATAAAGAGCCATATAATCTATAAATGTTGGTGTTCCTATTCTATTTAGTTCTTAATCAAATATTTAGAAATAAAGTTCAGATTCAATTTTTATATCTCCATCTGCCCAAACTATAATAACATTATTATTAGGTAAAATAGTGACATCAGGTAAAAATTAAGAGTTTTTTGTATTAATATTTACACGAATAACCTGATTAACTGGTATACCTTCTGGACTAATCAATTATGCATAAACTCCATAACCACTTCCATCTTATAATTCACTCTACCAAACAATAACACTACCACCATTCAAAAAAGAAGCAACTCTAGGTAAATTCTCAGCATAATTAAATGTATTATCTAATTAAGTTTCAATAGGTAAACCAGATAAACTTACACAATTAAATGAATCATCACTATAATAATCTGTCTAACAAACATCACATGATAATGGTTATGTACAACTTTTGCAATTAGCTGAACAAATAGGTAAACATTATTATTATACCAATTCATAATTATCTATACATCCTTAACATTTAATAATAGATGTACATTCTGTACAAATAGGTAAACATGAAAAATCTTCGAATTTAAGTCTCTCACCCATTAAACCAAATCTTGTAATCATTATTTTACCTTTATTAACATTATGTTCTCCTTATTCCAACCAACTGAATAATATATTCTCATTATATAATTTTATATAATTAAATGAGCCTTAAATTAATGATGTAGGTGATATCAAACCTTAATATAAATTTATTTTCATTTAGTAATCATAAACTACAAATTTATATCTCTTTGAATAATCAAATTATTATGTGTAAATGTAAAATATTTATGAATGATTAATTTTGATTATTTTTGCTTTTGATTATAATGTTTCATATTGTAATATATCTTCAAAGGATAATAAATCTAATTAAGTTGACAATCTTAATAAACGATTCTATTCTAAAAATACAAAGATTTCACCCCAGAATATATATATTGAACCTTAATTCAAATATATTGGTATAAAGTCATTTAAATTTCTTTCATTTTGAATTTACCCTTAGAAATTATAAATTTAAATCCATGATTATCCAGAATTATAATCAACTAGGAATATATAAATTTAATCATCAATTAAAATATCATTCATTGAAAATTTAGGGCAATTCTTAGATTCATCCAAAAATTAGTTTGTGAACTATTTATCTTTGTTTTTAAATATTATTGATGGCACTAATTACTTACCTTACATATCCAAAAGTATTAATTCAGGAATATTACAAACTATTAATTGAGGATTAAAAGAAAACTAATCAATAATTGCTTTTTTATCACCAGATAAATATAATATTAAACCATTATAATAAGTATAGAGTCTTATTTTATCTAATTATAAGTAAAGATATTCTGATTTTAAGAATTCATCTAATACTATTATATTAGAATTCTATTCAAATTTATCATTAAATTAAACAATAATTTATGTTTCGGTATTAGCTAATAAAACTACAAGTTGATTTAATTCCTTATGATATTATGCAGTAAATGCCTCATATTTAGAATATTATAATGTCATAATAGATCGAGGATCTAATAACTAACTTCCATCAGCAGTGAATGTCTAAACTAATAATTACTTTGAATCATAATTTAACCATAGATGTATAATTTCCTTATTAGCATTCTCAAGAATTAAAGTAGTTGATAGACCCCATTAAAGATTTTCTTAAAGTACAAATTCTTAATTTTAAGTATTATCAATAAATTAACAACCTAAATTCATTTCATCTAAATAATATCCATCATTACAAATATTACAATGATTTGACCAATAAGAACATGAAGTACAATCAGGTATTAAACATATTGGTTCACATTAATTATTACTATTTAATATAAATCCATCAAAACATGCATCACATGATTATTCATTTGTACATCTTTTACATAATTATGGACATAAAATTGAATTAAATGGTTAAATAACTCCATTTCTATTTAATTTTTGAGCATAAATCTATTTAATTTCATTCCAAGTTACAATAATAGATCCATCTTATAATGGTGTAATAGTAGGATTTATAGGATATTAGCTTTTGAAACTTACAGAGATGAATCCAGATTATTGATTACCTGATAAATCAAAATAAACTACTCTTACATCAATATTTCTTTAATTCTTTTCATTAAATCCACAAAATGAAACTGCAAAACCATTAGGAATTGCTGCAACATCTGGTTTCAATTCCTTCACATTATCAAGACCAAAATAATTTTATGTTATGGATTTTAAATAAGGATCAAATATAGCATAAACAATTGAATATCTTTAAGAGTTAGGAATTTCTTTGTAATTAGATGATTTTGAATTTGATTATATTTATTCATTCCAAACCACAACAATATTTCCATTTTCTATTTTAGTAGCTGATGGTTAAGTTGCAAAATCTGCTTCAAAAGTATAAGAATTATAAGGATTTAAATTAGAATCAAATATTTACATTTAAATTCTATTATTTTATTAATATACTATGAATATAAAATCTTAAGTTGAAATAATAGTAGGTTCTTTTTTAAACCAATACTCAAAATAATAAGGAGATTATCTTTCTTTATCATATTCCCAATAATTATACCACCACCAATAATCTTAATAAAAGAATCCTACATATTCAAATTTTAATTAAGTATAATTTTAATCAAATTTCTTAATATAGATTTCATTATTTCCAAATAATAAAATTGCTATTTCATCATTAGTCACATATTCAACTGTAGCAAATCTTAAGTTTCTCCATTCATTCATTTCCTCATATACTATAAATTCATTTCCAATCAATTACAATGTTTTATCATATTTTTATGCTTTTATTTTGACATCACTACTAGAATCAACCCAGACAAGTAATATTTCATCTAAACTTGAAGTAGAGTAATCAAAATATCCAATATTTACACTTTAAGCAAGAATCACAAGATCACTAGTATTATTACCATTTTAATTATGTATTTAACCATACAATACCATTTAATCTTTCAAAATTTATAGTGTAACAACTAAAATTGTTCCGTCACTTAAAGCTTTGACTCTTGGTAAAATATATTCTCTTTCCAAAGTTGTACCTATTTATTTTTCAATAATAATATTTGGATCAGATTGAACACATTCTTAATTATCTTTGATTCTATATCCATTCTCACATATATTACAATACTATTATTATGTTCCTGATCTCTCACAAGATATACAATTATTAAATTAACAGATTAATTGACATTATGATTAATCATCAACATAATAATTAGAATCGCAAACTAGACATTGTTAATTAGAACTTTTTGAGCTTATGCAACTTAAGCAATTCTAATCACATACTTATTCCCACATTTCTATTTTATTACATTTATAATCATATTTTTCCAATAACACAGTTAATTGATATGGCATATCTAATTCTACCACAGACATCAGTAAAATATTATTATTAAGATATTTTTTAATTATTCCTTATTAAATCCCTACTCTCCACTATTTATTCGAATAGAATTTAACTTCTTTTACTGATGAGAGTTTTTCCATATTGAAATTAAATGGAAATAGCTTTAAAATTCTATTATAATAGTTATAATTATAAATATTTGTGTAATATTGAAGAACAAATGACCTATCTAATTGAAGGATTTAAACTTAATTATAATTCCAACAACCAAAACAACAAGTTACACAATTACTGTCCCAATACTAGGATAGTTGGTTTTGAGCAATTGATTATTTTTTAATCAATTAGAATTCTTTATCAAAGTCAAATTTTATGATTCCAGTTGGATAATATTTGAATAAGATATACTCATCTGTTTTAGTTTAATAGATCTGGCCTCTCATATCAGACCACCACCACCACCATTAATTAATATCGTCTTACTGAAAGATTTTATTCATATCAATGATCTTATTTGAAGTAAAATAATCATTTTTATCTATCAGAACAACTTAAAGTATGCCATATCTATAATCCCACCAATAAATATTTTAATAATTGTTAGTAACTACTAAATGAGTTTCAGTTTCTAATACAGAAATCTAATTATTGTTATTCCACCATTCCCAATAATAATTATTTTAATTTTAATTAATATTCAACAGAATATCATTACTTACTTAATAGTATTTATTATTATATATTCTTAAGAATATTTTTGGACTTGTAAATTAAAACCCGTTATTATCATTCATATAAGATACAGCAATACCTCCATCTGATAAAGATTTGATAGCCAATATATTTGAATTATAAGAATCCTAATACCACCAATAATAATAGTTCCATAATGCAAAAGTCACAATTGGTAAAATTCTTATTTCTCTTCCATTTTAATCATAAACATGTAACCAAATATGATTATTAGAATTTGTATTGAAAGATCTATGAACTATTGCAAAGTTACCATTGGATAAAGAAGTAATTCTCATAAGTTATTAATCACCTTCACTACCCCAAATTTATTATTCATCTATAACTATTTCTCCTTAATTATTTATAATTGTAAAATACATTTCTTTACTATTTTTATAAAATGCAATAACAATATTTCCATTCTAAAGAGTTATAAAGTCCTAAACTTAATAAAACTAATAATCAACTCCAATTTTATAAAGAATTTGCTTTTCTTCAATAACAATTTTTTCACATTCTCCTTTTAAATTTAAAGAATATCCTTTTTAACATTGTCTACATTTTCCAGGTCTAAACCAATCAAAATAGCAATCTAAGCAATTTGATGGACATAAAGGATTGCAAATAGATTTAGTAGAATCAAAATAAAATCCTTCATTACAGGATTCACACAAATTTAATTTACTGCATTTATTACAATTAGTTTAACAGATAACATTTGATATTTTTAATATATTTCCATTTGTTTCTAATCTTTTAGCATATAATCCATAATCTTAGCTATCCCTTTCACTTTTAGTATAATAGTCCTCCCTTTAAAATACATATTAACCCCAAGTTACAATAAATTAATAATTTCCAATATATGAAATTTTAATATTTTCAATATATCCATTGTAGTCATTTAATTATTTAATTTAACTTGTTGATGAAATCAAATGATTATCAAAAAATTACACTTAAATACTTTAAGTTTCATAGCGAATAGTTCTTTTTGAATACTTAAATCCTAAAATAATACCTCCTTCTGCTTAACAAAGAGATATTTATTAAACATAAGATTCAGAATTGATAGTGATATAATCGCCTATCTCCTAAAGTTGTTAATCAAATCTCTATATTTCAATAGTATCATAATTTGACCATGCAATAACTAATTAATTTAATTCATTCTTTGTTATACTATAATAATCCTTATAAGATGTAAATATTTTTCCATTAATTATTTCACCTTCTAAACTAAAAGTTGTTATTTCCATCTATCCATCTCTATTCTTCCAAAGTACATAAAGTATGCTGTCAATTTAAGTCATTTCAATTTAGAAATTACAGCATGAAGTTTAACCAATTAAGATTGATTTGAATTCTATTAGATCTTAATCAAATAATTTCAATCTAATGTCAAAAATGCCTTAAACTTATCTAAATCCTAAAATAACAGCTAAGTTATTATTTGATAATTGTAATACTTTATATTCAACTTAAATATAAGTATATATATTGTCAAATAAAAGATCACTTGTTACTGAATCGTATATAATAATTTCACTTCCAATTCTTTCAAAATTAATTGAAAATTTCTGCATCAAAACTCTTAAAATATTAGATGGGCTACTATCTTACCATATAACAATGAATTCATTATTTTATAGTGCAGCCACATTTGGATTTTCTTAAACTCCAATGGCATCTCTAGTAATTAAAGTTTCTCCCCCTACTTTTGAAAAAGAAGTGTCATATAATTGCATATAAATTGAAACACCATTTGCATTTTAATATCTACTTGTCCATACCACAACAGAATTTCGATTTGACAAAGTAGCTATATTTTAATTATATTGATATCCAATTTAATTAGTATTAATCAATTGTTAAGTTAACTCAGAATCTAAAGGGACACATTCGTTATATTTATTCAATTAAAATCCTTAACTACAAATTATTTTACCATATTCATCACAATAATCTGAATGATTTGGACACATTTTCATACAAATATGTTAATTATAAATCTAATATCCATCTTAACATTTTTAGCAAGAATGACTATTATTGCAGTCTTAACAATATTAAGGACAAACTATTTATTCAAGTTTCATCTGATTTCCTAAATTATCAGTTCTCATAATGAATATTATAGATTGTAATTATGAATTTAAACCAACATCAACTAAAATATTATCTTAATTTTGTAATTATTCAATTTAGAATTAATGATGTTCATAAGCATATGATTTTATTTACTAAGAAAAAGAAAAACTGTAATGATAATAATCATCAAATTTATCTACCATTATTCTTTTTTAAGTTTAATTATAAAATTATGATGATCTTGAAAATACTGTAAATGAGGTACATTAGGTATTACCAATTAAATTAGGGTTTTCTAATTATTCCATATAATAATGTTATATCTTAAAATTACCAGCAATTATATTTAGATTACTATCAATAAATCCTAACATAATTTGTTTAACATATTCATTATTTTCTAGAATTGATTCACTCCATGCTAACACAATGTTCCCACATGTATTTACAACATGAGTTGGAGTATAAATACTATTACCACTATCATATAATTATAGATTTGATTCTCCAACATCTTTTTCTATTCTTAAGGCTTTTAATTTCATTTCACCAGAAACATATAATATTATAAATATTTATGGATTATAAACTATTATATCCAAATTGTCAACTTTAGTATCATTTTCTATTATTTATGGATTTCTTACTATAAAAGTATCAATTTCATAAATAGTATAATATCCTTTTGTTTATGAATCTTTGTTTGCAATATATGCAATAATTAATCTATTATCTTATCTTCTTAAAACAACTGGCTTTTAATTATATAAATTTGGTAATTCTACTGTATCTATAGTAATTTCAGTAATTTATTCAATTAAATCTTTATTATATATCTAAAGGACTAATCTACATTAAACACTACAATCTCCCTCAAACCATACTACAGCAAATGAATCATTAGCCAAGGTTACAGTCTATGCATATTGTCTATCATTAAAGGAAGTTAAAGTTCTTACATCTCCTTGTTTTTATCTATTGTTATCATAAAATTAAAAATGTAAGGTTTAAACCAAGTTTACTTTATCATTCCAGACAATTACAAAACTAGTATCAGAAAAAGCACTTATTGAAACTTTAGTTAATTTGTAATCTTCTATATTTGCTATATGATATTCATCGACCATAGTTTAATCATTTAAACATTAATATTCATGTAAGTAATATCCAGGATAACATATATCACACACATCTCTAACTGTACATATTTAGCATGCAGATCCACAAATTACTTTACATTAACTTCCATCAAAATAATAATTATCAGAACATCTTGAACATGATGTTGTTGTCATGCAAGTTTCACAATTTAACATACATGTAACAGAGTTAAGAGGTATTGGTTAATCGTGCTTATTATATTTAACTGCAAAAATTGAATCATCTTAAGCATCTTTATCTTACCATGTAATTATAACATCCCCATTGTCTAAACATCCAATTTTTGGATTACTTGGTTAGTTACTAAATGTGGGAACTTATAAAGTTTATAATTGCACTCCTTATTTTGAAAAATATTCTAAAAATAGTTTCCTTTAACCCTAATTTTAATCATATCCAACCCAAATTATTAATATCTTATCTTAATATGTGGCTACATCAATTTAATCAATACTCATTCCTAATGATTTATACATACTGTAAATCAAAGTATCATATTCAAAGAATTTAACTTCATAGTCAACTTCAAATTTGGTAATCTAGATTTTAGATTATGATGTTAAGATTTTATATTAACTATCTTAGGCTATTTCATTAATTGAATTTTCATAAAGATTATATTTTAGTTATATAAAAAGGGATGTTGCAGTATTAAATCCATTTTGGTTAATTTCAAATCTTTAATATTGTAAGTAAATAAAATTATTATCAACTTGTATTTCTAGATTTTTTATTCTTTAATTATAAGTGTTATAATCTCTTGAGCTTTCCACTCTTAATTGATAATAAAATTCTAAATATATGAATCTTTTTAATTGTATTCTAAATGTATCAAAAGAATCATAGTATTGATATACTATAAAAATATGATTTATGCCATTTGTTCCAATATCATATTAATATTAATTTCTCAATGAGTAATTCATGAAGTTAATCCAAGCTGCACATCCCCAGTATGAAACGTAATCTCCGTTTTGATTTAAAATTGCCAATTCTAAACAATTATTTAATCTAATTACAGATAAAATGAAATATTGACCAAATGTCTTTACTTTAGGTGATAATGTTTCATAATCTGAATAGATTTGCTCATTTTTTATTTAAACTCCATGAGAATCAAATACCTTATAAAATGAAGTGTATCTATCTCTTACTATATCATATTCCATCCAAGTTATAATTATATTTCCATTCTTACTTACTGCTATTTATGTATTAGATTCTATTCTATTTAAATGATCTTATAATTTAACATAAGAATTTTATTAAGCTTAAATACATTGTCTCTCATTATTTAATTAATATCCTTCATTGCAAATTTCACATTTATTCTCTATTTCACAATAATTACAATTATCTAAACAGATTAATTAGCACTTATTTTAACTATCCAAATTATAGTTATTTATACATTAAGTACAAATTAAATTATTATCACATTCTTAACATGTTTCATCACAAATTTTAATAAGTCCAATCATTTAATCATCTTTTATAGAAATTTATTGAATATATATTTGATTAGTTGCAACATTTGCAGTATTTTTAAAAGCTATCATTGAAAAGAATAAATAATTTAAATTAAGACTTTATATTTCAAAAAATCTAGGCTAAATTGAATTTTGATTTAATTTTTATTAGTTTTTAATTACTCCATTTTCTTAATGTATATAATTTAACGTTTGAAAATTGCCTTCTATATGATATTCCAAATAAACTAATACAAAACTATTTGAATCCAATGCTTTTAATTAAGGATTACCAAAATTTTAAACAAACTATGAAGAGTATAATACTCCTTCTTTCCATCTAAAAACATATATCTTATTATTTATATCTTATAACGCTACCATTATTTAGTTTGTAATTGGAACAATGGAAATTGATGGATTTTATAAATATTTACAACCCCAATAATCCCAAAAACTTTAATAATTTTAATTAATAAGATTTCCAAATTAATCTAATTAAAATAATACTGAATCACATTCTCTTGTTACTATAACATATATTTTTCCAAAATCATCTTGGACTGCATCAAAAATTTTCTTTCCTTAATAATATTAAATGTTTCCAACATGTATTTCTCCATAAAATAATGAGTTTTTTATCCATCCATTATAATCATATGTATAAGATATAACTCTTTAATAATGATTATTTTCATAACCTCCTTATAAGAAGACAGTAAATGCTTGACTTGTACCTAATACTTTAAAAGTAGTTGATGCTTGTCTTAAAAAGTAAATACTCTCACCTTCATATAGTTATAATTAAGTATATTTGATTTATTGTAAATCTGATATTTGTAATTAATAATAGATAATTCCGATCTTATTTGAGATATATTTCAACAAGTATAAATGTAAAACATTCTCTTAGTAGAATAAATCAAAATTAGTAACATCTACACCATCTAATGTTTATGATAATATTGTTTCACCCATAACATTCAAAACTTTTAATTATAAAAATTATTAGTTTTAGTTCTCTTCTTAATAAATAATTACAACTTTTCTATCAGGTAATACAATGAATTTTACATTTTCTTTAAATGTTGTTTCAGAAAGACTAACTCTTAATTCACCATTTTATAGATTGTTGTTATTCTAAATACATTAAAACATATTTGTTAATATAAATCCATCTTAACATATTTCACATGAAACTAAATTTGAACATCTCTAACAATTATCAATACATTATGGTTAACAATTATTATTTACTAAAGAGAAATTCTATTTACATTATGTACAGACATCATTTTAACAAGTATCACAATTAATTCCACAATCTTCAATGTTTAATTGTAAATTTATTTCTGACAAATATAAATTTTATTTATGTTAAGGTATCAATGTTTCTAGTTATCCATCAATCCACTATACAAAAACAGAATTTCTATCTACTCTCTAAATTGAAAACCTATATATATTTATATCTTCATAATTTATTAATCTTTATTAAATAAATTCTAAATTTTTATTTTTTAATTGAACCAAATTAAACCTATAATTATTTTTGTCAACTCCTATAATTATAAATGAATCCTCCAATGCTAATAATTAAATTACTCCATTATAAAAATAACCATAATATTCCCAAGATGGATAAGGGTAAGCAGTACCATATTAAAAATATGAATAACTGTTTAAATTGTTATTAATAATGGCTGAAAATTTGTTATCATATACAAACACTGTTATCCAATCATAATAGGGTTGAACAACAATAAAATTATTATTAGAAAGTGCTACAATTTTTGGTTAAAAACCTTAAGAATTATAATGATAATAATATAATTTAAAAGTTCGTTAAATTTATCCTGAATAATTTAAGATTGTTACTAAATTATTCTATATATCATCTATTTATTATATCAATACAATAACTTGAAGTGAGTTAATAGCAATAGACACTTCCTTTGAATAAATTAAGCTAACATCGGTAGTTCTAGTGTTGTCTTAGTAGTCAAATATAACTCCATTCCATATTTTTGATTAATTAGGACCTTTGTAGAGGATTAATAATTTTGTATCATTAATATATTATAGATAATGAAATTCTGATACGAAATCCCAATGAACTTCCAAATGAATATCATTAATTTCTTATTTTTAAGTTATTGGATCTAATTCAAAATTAAATATTTAAATAAATAGCTTTGTTGTTCCTATTTGTTTTTCGATCCAACCTAGAGCAAATCCAACGTTGTCTATTAATGCTACTTTTGGTCTTGAGCATTCTGAATTTTAGTCCCCAAATTTTAGCTCTCTTCCAACTTTTGTTTCATCCCTTTCATATTTTTATAAAATAAATGATTTATATTCATTTTCGTCTACATAGGATTACAAAAACAATAATTATTTATTGGGTAAAACAATGGTTTGCATGTTTTATTCCACTTAAGTAGAAAATTGATAAAATTGCCATCTAGTGCTAGAATAACTAGACTCAGCTAAAATTCTTTGATTTCCTTCTACCAAGCGGCAACCCAATATTAAAAGACAGGTATAAAATATTAAGTTAACGCGCATAATAATAATTTAAATTAATAATATTTGAAGATATAAAATTTGATTAAATAGCAAAAGCAAACACCCCCATACAAAAAAAATTTAACTAAAATTTGCTTATTAAATATCAAATGAGCAATTTCATTTTTTGAATATAAGGAGGCTATTAAAATATTCTATTAATGAGAAAATACTCCTAAGAAAAACTAAGTAATAATTTCGATTCTATATTAACATCTCTTTTAATAATTGGAGTTTAAGTTGAATATCTAGAAAATTAAAATAGATGATTTATTTACATTATTCATTCTCCAACGCTATTATTCAAATTAAAAGACTTTTTATTTTATTTATAATGTACATTCATTCCATTTTTTTTTGAATTTTTTTTTTCCACCAATTTTTCGTTAATGATATAATTAATAATATATGAATATAAAACAATTTACCTGAATTAATCAGAATAAAATAAGAATTTTTGTAATAATATATAAAATAAAGGAAAATTTCATTCATTTTTGGCTCCTTATTCTATTTAAATAATTATGAAAAGATTAAGAAGTTGTTAATAACACTTAGTTAATAGATATATATATATATATAAATATTCATCAATGAAATGTTTCTGTCATACTAATAGGTTAATTATTGATCATATCAATAATTTGTTTCATTTTATCTTAAATCTTTTCTAATGAATCATTCATAACTTTCATTTTTATTTCGATTGCCTCTTGGATTTCATTGCCTTTCTATTAATCATCCATATCTTCTTCAGCAAATCGTGCTCTAAAATTAATTAATATTTTTTTGTTACCTTTTAATGGGCATCCAACTTATATCCTTCAGATCAATTTTAGATTTGATATATGATTCATTTCCATTATAATCATTTTCATCTTTGTGCTTTAAATAAGCATAATAATATATGTAATTCCACATATAATGTTCTAATTCTATATGTTCTTGAAAGCCCATACCACCTCCTTCATCATTTTTTTCGAATTTTTCTCTTGTGATACCACATATAAAACATTTCATAGTTTAATCTTTAATTCTTTCCTGAAGTTTTTCTCTCAATGAACCAAAAGTATCAACTATAATACCTTATATCATATTAAGCATTATCATAACCAATACAATATTGACAGCATTATCAAACACAAAACGACTAAAATAATTAGAAGTAAATTGATGATTAACACCATCATATTCATTTTATGATTAGATTACTCTATCCCAACCATTTACAATCATATCATAACTTTAAGATATTTCAGTTACAGTTTCATAATCCATTATTCCAGAACCTAAAGCACCTGTGAATTTGAATGTTAAATCAAAACTCATAAATATGCATTGCCACATTGTACTACATCCTCTCTCACATATAACTTGATCATTATCTGATAATATTCTACAACTTGTTCCATCTACTATTGGATAATCATTAAAAAATATAACAAATCCAAGAATTCCTACATAATATTCAACTACAGCCAATAATAAAAGTGCTAATCCTATTTCTTATCTTGGACCCCAAATTGCATCCAAAACAGTTTTTAATTATTCTAATTTTAAGAAATCCATTAAATGAAATGCAAAAAAAAATGGATGAACAGTCAATCCAACTATTCCTGCAATAATATAGATAAAATAATACAAAATATCTGGATCCTATAATAAAATAAATAAACTGTTAATTCCTCTTACACTCAACTCCCAAATCATTTTCATAACAGTTTTTGGTTTTTAATAATCTTCCCATATATGATCAACTTTGAGAGGTGCTCTTTTCACTAAAAAGAAGAATACTATTAATGAACTAAAAACTAACATTGTGATTCCCAATCCTTATATTAATATAGGTGTCCATATAAAATCTGGATATTCTAATAATCTTGGATCTGATAATCTTTCATAAATCAAATCACCTCTTAAACCAGATTGACCTTCATTATAAAATGATTAAGAATAACTTAATAATACAATAAGATTAATAACTAATGTTGTTACAAATGCACAATTTTCCCATAATTTTCCTGATGTTGCGAAAAATGCGAAAATAGGATTTTTAGCAAATACTTAATTTAATTTTTCTTCATATTCCATTACTTTTATAAGAAAATTAGCTCTTTCCATCAAATATGTTAATTTAGTTTTGCTACTTGTCCTATCAACTTAATCATGAAATTCGAGTCTAGCACTTTTTGGTAATTTACATATTGGTAATTTTGGAAAATAAATTGTATAAAGTTTTTAATCTCTTATCATATCAATTGAACATGTATTTTATCTAAAAAATTTAATAGCATTTTTTGTTAATTCTTTTTATTCTAATTTCTCTTACAATAATTTTTCCTATCTTAATTCTTCTTCTGATTTTTAAGCCAATCCTAATTGTCCTATTAGATTTCCACCCATTTTTGCAATATTTCCTAAACCTGAAAATATATTTGCTATTGCATTTTCTTCTTTTTAATTATTATTTTCAGAAAACTCATTTAAAATATCATTCATTTCATTATCTTCATATAATAATTATTTAGCTTTTTAATTTCCAAGAAATTATTACATTAATAAGAATATATAAAATCCATTTTCTATTATAAATTCTTAATTTACTGCTGGTTCATCATTTGTTATTTCATTTTCAGCTCTTTTAAAAATTTCATCTTTATAAACAGCTCCAAATTAATTTTTGAATAATTTATAAACCCTAGTAAGGTTATTTGTTAATACATTTAATGGAATAACTCTTACTAATCTAGCAATATCAGAATTTTAAGGATCACAACATTCTAATAATGATACTAAACAATTTAAACATTTAAACTTCAATCTTGCTAATTATCCTGGATGTATAGCTAAACGATATTATTTTTCACCATCATATTTAAAATATTCATTTGATTAATCAAATATTTTTTCATCTTCTGATAAAATAAGTACAACATATTCTAAAAGACTACTTTTCAATAAAGCCTATTAATTTTATTTACATGGCCCTTGTATAAGTTCTGTAAGTGTTTCAAAACATTATAAAACACTTTCAAAATTTCCTTTAGAAATTTAAAAAGTAGAAAGTAATAATACAATTTAAGAAACTAAATCAAAACTATTCTTTTGGTTACTTTAAGATCTCATATAATTTTAAAGATCTTAATTGTGACCTTCACAAAATAATTAAATTAATTTTAAGGCTTTACAAACTAATTTATTTTCTTAAATATTTAACTTATGAGCTCTACTCATAGATAATATTTAAATATCAAATACATTTTTTAGTTATTTAAAAAACTTTTCACATTGAGTATTTGACAAAAAATATTCATAAGCAGTTTTTTAAACATTTTAATTTCCATTTTTTAAAAGTAAAATCATAAATGACATAATAGTACCCATATAAACTGGTTCTAATTCAGATTCACATAATAAAACAATTAATATTTAAGTTACATTCATTCTATTAAATAAAACTTGTCTTTCATGTAATTCATTTTCTGTATCCTTCAATATAGCTGATAAAACTTTTAGAATAAAGATAATATTTTCTCTACTTGCTCCATTTGTTTTCCAAAATTCCAAATAAGTTAAAATTTTAACTATGATATCTGAATTTGTCAATAATAAATCCTTTACTTCTTATTTTCTATCATCTTTAAACATATTCTATATTGTCCAAATAGAATTAGATAATTTTAGGGATTCTTTTTTAACTAATTCTTTAACAAATTCTTAACCAAAATATTTTTTACGAAATTGGCTTATTGCTGAATTTTCTTGAGTTGTTATATAATTAGTTTAAATGTCAGCTGTTCTTTCATCCTAAGATATATTAGGATCTGCCTAAAAAAATTTAATAGGAATTTATATATTAAAACTTTAACCTAAATCTGATATGGTTTTTAATCTTTATTTATTATTTTTTAATTCTGCTGGTGCTAAAAAGAACATTTTATCGAGATTTTCTAAAAAGAATGAAACAAATTCACTTATTTAATGTTAATCTTTTTCAGATGATAATAAAGCATTTTATAATAATTCGTTATATCTATTTACTACTGGTAATAAGGAATCAAATAAGTAATTCAAATTTTAAGGTATAAATTAATCCTTTTGTTTGATTACTTTATGTTCATCAGTAAGTATCTTATTTAAAGTTTCTGAATTAAAAGGAAACATAAGTTCATCAAGTGTTTCAGGTTTATGAAATACCATTGTTTTTATAATATTCCAATAATCACTCTATAGTTATATGTCTTCAGGATGAGGCTTTTCTTTTTATTTTATACATCCCAATATTCTTTATGTAATTATTAATGTATTTTCTAAAAGATCTTGTAATTTTAAAAATTCAATGGCTTGACTAATTAAAGAAGCTCTTATCTTTTTTGATAGACATTTTGATACAATATTGATGAAATACAATTAATATTTGCTTTTGTTGGGAGTGTAGTCAAAAAAATCTGTAATTTTACGAGACTCTTAAAATGGATATAATGGATTTTAATATTCTTAATCAGGGGATGAACTCATAGGTTCAGTTAATTTTTCAATTATAATTTCAAACATATCAACTGACTTTTTGGAATATATTTCTGTAACTTTAATAATTTCTAAATAAAATTACAGAAATTCAGGATATCTTCCATGTTATTTTATTAATGCTATAAAATAATCATATTCTTATTAACCAAGTTATCCATATAGAGTTGGTTTATTTTCAAATAATGAACAAATTAAACTTATTTAACCAATATTTTAATTGCTATTCTAAATTATTTTCTTAACAACCTTTCTATAAACAGTTGAAGAATTCCTTTCATTATCTTTTGCAAAATAAGCCATAATATTCATTGTATGCCTAAGTAATGTTATTAAATCAGGAGGAAAAGATTTTTAATCAATAACAGTTAAAGCTTTATTTATCAACTCTATTAATACTTCATAACCACCTATATGTTCAAATATTTATTATTTTAATTTTAGAGAAACACTTTCTGTTTATTAAAATATGC